CCACTTTGTGGGGCATGTGGAGACCTGCGCGCTGGAACAGGAGAGGAGGCAGAAGGAAGCGAACAACAACACCGGAAGGCACAACAAGTACCACAACAACCCAACCAACACCAACAACAACAACAACGACACCACCAACACCAACAACACCGACAACGACGCTTCCGAGGTTGTGGCCCCTAGCCGCGCCCTCGGAACCGACCAACTCGAATCGCGGAACCGATTTGCGGGGCTCGAGGTCGAAGGAGGACAGGAGGATGACGTCGAGCAGGAGGATGCAGGAAAGGAGGGCGAGGAAAAGGAGCAGGTCGAAGAAGGAGACGAGGATACGGGCGCCAAGGCGGACGACGAGGATTCGGACTCGGATGGGAACGCCGGAGCGGGCATCGACAAGGCGGGAGGCGACGACAAGGACGACGACAAGGACGAACAGGACGACAGCTCGGAGGGAAGCGAACAAAGGGAGGACGAAGGAAACGATGGGGATGACGTGATGAAAGATGGAGCAGAGGAGGAGGACGAAGGGACGGAGACGGAGGTGGAAGAAGAGGTCGAGCAGGAACAGGGGGTACAGGACGACAGCATCATGATCATCGACGACGACCAAACGACGATCACCACGGTTTCCCGCGAGTCGACTCCTCGGAGTCCCTCGTGGCCTCCACTATCTCCTGAGACGTTGGCAAAGTCGCTGCGCGAGGGTGCGGAGTGGGACCGAGCTAACGCCGAAGCTGCTGCACGTGTCCAAGCAGAAAAGGAGGCGATCATCAACGCCCAACTCGACGCGGAGGAACCGCTCGTTCGCCACCAATTTGCAGAGTGGGGTCAGGAAGATGGACAACTGCGATTCATCAACATTCGTGGCACCGGCTCCGGGTCGAACAAGAAGATGAAGAGGTCGCAAACGGTGGCCGATCTCAGCGATCCGAGCGACGACCCGGTCGATATCAAGCGCGTTCTGAACAGGGTCAAAGGTCGAGCAGGAAAGGAGGTAGCGGGTCAGGGGAAGAGGGTGACGAGGTCGATGTCGGCGGCGGCGGCGATGCAGGTCGAGGGGGCCAAGGCGAAAGCGGAGAAGGGTAAAGGGGTGGAGGAGGAGAAGCGCTGGTCCGACCACGAGCCCGAGGATGACATTCTCCCCGAATTCCCACTCTTTGAGGACGACACTACCGCCAAGAGCACGTCTACATCGTCTACCCAATAATGATCAAGCACACCATCACCAGCTGGAACGTGAGGAGGTGCATGGGGATCCCGGAAAAGCGACGCAACATTTACACCTATTTATCAACATTCAAAGCATCCGCCATTCTACTACAAGAACACTTCATCAAACCGGAACTCTGGCAATGTATCAAGGACGAGTACGAGGGCAAGGTCTTCATCAGCAAACACTGTCTGACTCTGATCCCCGCCGACTCGCCCCTGATCGACGCCGAGATTTTGCGCACCCACTCGGCACTCGACGGACGAATCCTGGTCACCTCCTTTCGACTTCGAGGCGACATCCGGATACTCGAGATCAACAACATTTACGCACCAGTCGATACAAAACAACGACTCACATTCTTTGACAAACTACATTTCCACAGGACGCAGAGCACCCACCTTCGACTCCTCGGCGGCGATCTCAACGACTGCCCGCTGCCGGCGATCGATCGGCGGAACCAAGGTCGGCACGGCCATCACTGGCCGATCCTGATCGGCAAGCTCGACTCGCCCTACACCGACTGCATACGATTCAAACACCCGCTCACACCATCTTTCACTCGACCCAACATCGTCCGCAAGCGACCAAAGTCCTTTTCACGACTTGACTACTTCCTTCTGCAGCGCACCCACCAAAAGCGACTCGTCCAAGCCTCGACGATCTACGACCACCCCAAGGACCTTTCGGATCACCGACCGGTCTCGATCGTCCTAGTTCTCTCGGACGAGCGAGGAGACGCGGCTCAACCCAACAACAGTTTACCAACGACATCAAACCAATTACATCGTATCAACGCGGCGACCTTCAAGACGGCGGAGTTCCAGGGGATGTTGGAAGGATGGTTGGAAGGAGCGAGTGGGGAGGAACCGGTGGGGGAGCTCGAGGTGGTGCTGGGGAACTGCGCGAAGGAGGGTCGGGAGCTGGCGAGGAGGGAGCATCGGGAGCGGGTGGAGCGGATGGCGGTCTTGGTGGGAAGGGTGCAGGATCTGGAGGCGTTGCCGGTGATGGGGGACGAGGAGACGGCCGAATGGACGCGGACGACGGAGGAACTTAGGCGAGCGGTCAACGAGCGCGCGCGCCAACTTCGGATCCGAGCCCACGTACCCGAAATCGCTACCGAGGAACGACTGTCGCGGCCGGTCCACGCCAAGCTCGCGGCACGGAGTTCGGATTCCAAGATCACAGCACTGCGATTGCCCAACGGAGAGCTGACACATGACATTGACGTCGCGCTTGACCACACACAGGCGCACTTTCAGCGCCTCTACGATCTCGAGCCGCGCGATCGGGACCACGTCGAGCGACTTAGGGACGATTTCTTGGCGCCGATCAGGTCGGCGCGCACTTGCGATGACCCGAGCTCGGACCCGCTCTTTCTGCGACGACTCTCGGAAGCGCACATCGAGCTGCTGCAGCAACCCATCACCGAGGACGAGGTCGTAGCCGCAATCGCAACAACACACCCCGGTCGATCGCCGGGTCCATCTGGCGTGCCCTACGAGCTCTATCACACAGCGCCGCGGGCGTGGGCCAAGGCGCTGAGCAGGGCCTTCAACGCGATGACCGAGCGCGGCTCGCTTTCACCGAAGCAGGGGCAAGGACTCGCTCGCCTGCTCTTCAAGCACCACAAGATCGGGGCCGATCGCGCCGAGCTCTCGTCGTACCGGCCCATCACCTTGCGCGAGTGCGACTACAAGCTCTTCACCAAGGTCTACGTTGCGCGACTCAACCACGTGCTGCCGGACCTGCTCCCACCGCAACAGCACGGCTTCGTCAAGGGCCGCCGATCGGCGGACGCGTCATTCCACCTGCGACTCTTGATCGAGGAGCTGGGCGCGCGCGGCACCGAGTTCCCTGACGCGGCGCTCTTGTCTCTTGACCAATCGTCGGCTTACGACCTCGTCGAGCACGAATGGATCTTCGCCATCTTCGACGCTCTCGGCGCTCCTGCCGCCTTCCAACGCGTTCTGAGGATGCTCTACTCGGGTGACTCAACCACGGCGCGATATATCATCAACGGCTTCTTGACTCCGCCGGTGCGGCTGACGTGTGGGCTCGGCCAAGGGGACCCGGCGTCGTCGTCGGTCTGGGATGTCGTGTTCCAGCCGTTCCTGGATGCTCTGCACCGTCGAGGCATCGCGCTGAACCTCTCGCTTCCTACCATTCACCCCTACCCACAGAGCCGCGCCATTACATCCCTTGCGTTTGCCGATGACGTCGTCGTCGCCGTCGCGGGCTCGGAGTCACTCAACTTGCTCGACGACCTGGCGCTCGACTGGAGGCTCGCAACCAATGGCCGGCTCAACACCGACAAGACCGTCGTACTACCCATCGGGTGTCGCTGGGAGGCTGGCGATCGTCCGCTCGTCGTCAAGGCCGAGGGCGAGTCGCTCGAGTGGATCGGCCTATCTTTCGACCCCACCGGCAACACCGAACTCGCCAACGTGAATCTCGTCGCACGGCTCGAAGCGGTGCTCGATTCGGCACGGGACCGAGGGCTCACACACCACACCCGAGCGTTCTACGTCAACCGATACGCCATTCCCAAGATTCTGCACATCCTCTCCGCCGACATCCCACCGCTCGAGGTCGTCAAGGAGCTTGATCGCATTCTCGCCGACTTTGTCCGCGGCGGCAAGAGGAGGTCGTGCTATGGCAAGGACGTCGTCTTCACACCGAGGTTCAAGGGGGGTCTTGGGGTCATGCGGATGCAGGACGTCGTCGACTCGGTTGCGGCACGCGTCTGGGACGTGCTTCTTGGCGGTTCGGATGCGATCTGGCAGGGACTTGCGCGCGCGGCGATTGTACGAGCCCATCCCGCCCCCGACTTTGACTTGGCAACCGATGCGTGGCCTTGCGACTACACTCCGATCCGAACCGATCTACACCCAAGATGGCAGGCCGTGCTGAAGGTACCATCGACGCACAATGCGCAAGTCAAGCCGAGGACGTTGACGCTCGCGAACCTTCTCGCTCTTCCGATCAAGTTGCACACCCTTCACTACCTACCGGGAGCACCAGCTGTGTCGCGACCACCCTACGACGCCGACTATGCTGCGTTTGCCATTTACGCCAAGGTAGCGGACCTGTTTCGACGCGAGCTGTACCCGGGCGGGGGCTTTCATCTCTGGACGCCGCCGACGGATGTGGTCGTCAGCAACAGCGAATACGATCAACGGGGCCGCCCACAACGAGAGCACATCGTGGCATGGTACCGACATGCGATCAATCGATTGAGGTTCACACCAATAGCTCAACCGGTGGCGGCAGTACAAGTGAAATGTGGTAAATTTTGCTTACAATTTGATATTGTCATTTGTGATTGTCTAATCACGCATCTGGCCTCTATGGCGTAGCGGCAGCGCGTCTCACTCGTACTTCATCATCGTATGGTGTGTTCTGGCATGAGAAGGTCGTGTGTTCGATTCACACTGGAGGCATGTCGTTTCTTTTGCGTTTCGGTTTTTTTTTTGTTTCTGTCCAATCGCCTTTTGCATTTCGGTTTTTTTTTTTTTTTTTTTTTTTTTTTTTTTTTTTTTTTTTTTTTAAAAAAAAAATTAAAATTTAAATTCCCAACTGCGCCCCGACCGACCTTATTAAATCATGTTTGGGGAACAGACAACCACCAGGGTGGCTGCGTTCCGCCTTTTTATCCCCGGCAGTTGCCCGGCCAGCCTGTAGCGCTACCCAGTGAAGCGTGACGGATCCAGCTTCTGCCAGTCTCCTTTACCCTACCAATTGGACGGGCGGGCTCAGAATAGTCTTGCGGAGTCACTCAAGCTCGAGGTCGATGATCAAGCCACGACTCGCACCTCGTTTGCTGCCATCGACGCAGGCCTGGTTGTCATCGTCGTCCCTGTCGGCGTCGTCGTCGTCCTCATCGTCTCACGTGCGCGCCGTGCAGCATCCACCCCGCCAGCTTCAGCGTCGCTGGCTTGCTACGGGCCCCACAGCTCCGACCCCGGCGCGACGTAGCACCTACGACATTGCGCTTTTAGTTGCAGGAGGTGCAGGTATCTCTGGCTTGCTCATTTGGTCCGCGTCACAGCGCAAGGAAAAGGAGGAAGCGATGGGCCGACAGGGCGAGGGCATGCGATCGAGCTTCACCGTGCCCGTCATATCACAGTGAGTCACCCAGCTTGTGAGAATCCCCAAAGTTCCCGTATCCCTTGTTTCCTTGCTCGAGGATGCCGACCCAGGACCTTGTACGCCCAACACTCGATGCTTCCAAAGCGGCCGGTCCGGTCACCGCGCCGCCCCACCTCCCACCTAACGTCGACCCTTGGCTCGTCCCCGCTTCGTGTCGATCGACCACCTTCAGCGAAGCGTTCTGGCCCAGTGCTGCCGCCATACCCCCAAGTCATAAATCTGACACAATGCCCTCCCCCCTCTCCTCCTCAGAACGGGCGCTCCAGGAACAAAGACCTTGACCCGGCTCTCACCGGCCGAAACCGATGCACGGCTCAAAGAGCACGAGGCGTCCTATGCTGTCTCGAGGCGAGCGAACCCCGTCTTTCGCTACGACACCACCTCAGTCGCTTCCAACTCGCCGATCGAGGACGACTCGTGCTGCGTCATTCTCGAACGAGACGGTCGCATCAAGGACTCGGTCCAGGGCGATCTCGTCTTTTGGGGCGTGTTCGGTCAGTCCCCTCCCTTCCCTCCACATTGACTGGTTGCTCGAAAGGGACCAGTGAGCGGCGTACTGACCGTCCCCTCCCCCTGCGCCCTCGCTATAGACGGACACAGTGGATGGCAAACGAGCCGGTTGCTGTCGTCCACCCTCGTCTCCTATGTCGCTCGCGAACTCGATCTCGTCTTCCGCGGCGCCCCCGTTTACGCCGCTGAGCTGGCCAAGCTACCTTCAACAACGCTTCCGACCCCACCTTCCGCCTCTGCCTCCTCCTCCTCTGGCTCTTCCATTTGGTCCTTATTCTCTTCCGCCCCACCTCAGCCCAAGCTGGACCTGGACGTCTACGATCCGATCCTACAAACCGCGATCAAGAACGCCTTTGCGGCTATGGATAATCAGATCGTTCAGGCCCCCGTGCGGTTGTTGGAAAAAGCCGAAAAGGCCGGCAACAAACTCAGCAAGCCAAGTCCGGAACAAATCCTGGGGCTGGAAGAGTCCGAGGCGCTGCAGACGTTGTTGCCCGCGCTTTCGGGTAGCTGCGCCTTGCTGTGCTTCCTCGATGCGGGCAGGAACAAGCTTCACGTCGCCTGCACCGGTGACTCGCGCGCCGTGATGGGAACGTGGGAACCGGCACAGAGCGGTGGTGGCGGGAAATGGCGAGCCGAGGTCTTGAGTGACGATCAGACGGGGCGCAACCCCAAGGAGGTCAAGAGGTGAGTCGGCCGGGAGTGACGTCGCATTCGAAAGCCTCGCCAAAACTAAGTATCACCCCGCTTGCTCCCACAGGATGCAATCCGAGCATCCACCAGAAGAGGCCGAGACGGTGATCACTCGTGGTCGTGTCCTGGGAGGGCTCGAACCGACTCGAGCGTTTGGCGACGCACGCTACAAGTGGCCACCGGGAACGGCCGAGCGGCTCGCGCAAGCATTCCACCCTGGCTCCGTCCGCGGTCGTCCCAAAAACTACCACACCCCACCTTACGTGACCGCCGTCCCGGAGGTCGTTAGCGTGGATTTGTCGGCGGGTCTGCCCTCGCAGCGACGATCGCTCGCTTCTTTCTTGCCCGTCTCTTCTTCTTCCGAACCGCCGCAACCTCAAGCGACGCGCTTTATCGTGCTCGCCACCGACGGTCTCTACGATCGGCTCAACAATGACGAGATCGTTGCGCTCGTCGGAGGCCATCTTTCCGGCGTCCGGGGGAACCAGTCCCGACCGAGCGTGATGAACCACGTTAACGACCAGAGCATCGGCACGGACCTGTCGCACATGCATGCGCCTCGACAGGAACCGACGCGAGGCGAAGGCGACGTGTTCTCGTTCGAGGACGGCAATTTGGCGACGCATCTCGTGAGGAATGCGCTCGGGGGTGCCAAGAAGGAACAGGTTTCGGTTCTACTTAGCATTCCCGCACCGCTCAGTCGGCGTTATCGAGACGATGTGAGTTGCGCTTGTCCAGTCTTACCTGATGCTATTGATGTTGACGCTCTTTGTTTCTCCCTGTTCTCAGATCACCGTCACCGTCATCTTGCTCGCTGATCCTGTTCAGGGGGGAGAAGGTGGGGCCGGAGGGGTTTACCGCCGGGACACACTCGAAGGGCCGATTAAAGCCAAGCTGTAGAGTTGCTATCTTATCTTCTTCTGAAATTGCAGTTGTATCGCAAAAATCCATAAAAGCTTGGGCTCGAATCGTACAAAGCGCTCAAGACGTGGCTGCAAGCCTTGACTTGAGGGCTGAATCATGAGTTATCCTTTTGTGCGACCGTGTGACTTCTTCACGTCGGGTCTCCATCGCCAGGTGTTGCAGCCTCCCACCCTTTGTTTTAAGAATCGCTCAAATTCTGAACAGGAGGGAGGCCGCTTGAGCTTTTGTCCTTGTTACCACAACGCAAAGCTTGATCTACCAGACTGTATTGTATGTCAATGTAAACCTGACGAGGTCTAGCCTAACCCGCCCAGTCTGTTCAGCAGAATTTCGGTGGATCCGATCCATGATTCGGCCTATGCACGAGTGGACTTGGAGGGGGGCTGGCCTGGACCTGTGGCACCTTGACTCTCTGCGGCCTTGCCGCTTGGACGTTTGTCTCTCCAGCTTCCATCGAAATGGTGCACAGACATGGCGGCGTAATGATCCCGTCCGCGTGATCCGGGGTAAAACTCGGAACTATGGGGAAAATCTTCGAGCTGTGAGTAGGGGCGCGGTAGGAGATCACGCCGGCCAACCGCCACCGCCCTGCCGGCGGTCGATCACTCACGGTTTGTCAGGCGTCATCGCCGTCAAGGGCATGATGCGAGTATCTCCCAGCTCCCCTGTGTCAGGATCTTGATCGCGCCACCCCGAATAGGGAACACCGTGAAAGTCGACCCAGGTGCGGCCATTCCGAGCGAGCAGCCACCCAAAGACCGCACTCGTCCAGGGTCCCGGTCCGGTGATTAGGAGGACATCGACCGTCTGTCCGGGCTTGAGTTCCATGATCTTATTGTAGACCCTTCTCATGGCATCTATCGTGACCGGATGTCCACGTGCGGCTCCGAACCCCCATTGTACGATCTGGATCGGTCGGACGAAGCGCTGTTCGTGCAGAAGGTTCAAAAGAGGATCGCGTCAGGCGAACAGCTGATGGAAGGATATAGAACAGAAGCGACGGACTTTTGCCCAGAGCGCGTAGTGGCTAAGGTCCGCTTCGATCCCGACAACCAATGAAGCCTCCGTAAAACCCTGTGGCCTGAAATGATGACGTTGTCTCAGCGTTTTCCGTTTATGGCTCGGCGAAAATCTGCGCGAGTCTCAGCTCACTTTTGCTCGTCGACACCTTGCGGAAGTCCCCACTCGGCGAAGGGACGGAGTGCCTCCAAATCCTCGTCGGCGTACCAGCCTCCTTCACTTGCTACGATGAGGTACCTATTGGATAACCGTCCCTGATCAGTTACCCGACCGCCCAAACCCCGCCCCACCTCGATCTGCCTCGTTTTTGCCGCACCTCCAGAAGTCGGCCTTCAACACGGGTTTTTGGAGGCGGAGAATGTCCCAGGCCTCGACGATTCCCTGCTTGCCTTGTATCTTTTGATTTCTGTCGCATTCAAAACGATTCCGTACCCAAGTATCGGCAGCAGCATCCCAGTGGGATGTCGTGTTGAGCCCTAAATCGTGATACGAAATGCCTCGATCAGTGACAAGCACTTGAAATCGCCTCCGGAAAAATTATCCCGTTTACGTACCCGGGTTCAGTCGGTTGAAAGAGGATAAATATTCCAGTCTCTTCCCCTCCATTAAGAATTGAAAAGTCTTGCCCGTGCGAAAAAGCTTGAGTGGGATCGGCTGTTTCTGGCTCCGCTGCTCCTTGAGTGGGAAGTAAGCGCGCATCGCGTTGATCAACGACGAGGGGTCATCTTCGTCCGAGTCGCGCGTCGGCAGGTGGTCGCGGATGAAGGTCTCGAGCGTGGTGAGGTAAACCCCGAGGTCGCTCGTCTCGTACTCGTACATGGCGTCGATACGGTGTCCATGGATACTTAGACCGTGGTGGATCTGGCTGTCGACGAGGGGCGAATCCTCCTTCTCGCCCAGGTACCGCGTCACGATCACGTCTTTTTCACTGCCGCCCTCCTCCCCCGCCGCCGTCGCGATCTTCTCCATCCGACTCCATGGTTGGCCGACGACGACCCGTGGCGGCAACAATCGATCCCGTGCAGCTTTAGAGGGCCAAATCTCGCCATTCGTGTCCTCGACCATGTTTTGCGAGGATGATAGCGACCCAAGTCGGGCCGAACCAGCGTGGCCAGCGTAGTACACGACTAGTAGCACCAGAAAGATCGTGGACGTGACACCAACGAGGCACAGTTTGGTGTATCCTCTGAAATTGCTCTTGGCCCGAGTCTCCTCATACCAAGGAGGTCTGCGCACACGTAGTAGCTCGAGGATGCTCCGGTATCGCCACGGCGAGGGCGACGCCGACGTGGCCTGCGGCGCTATGTCGTCCGGTGAGCGCCTGAGGTATGAGTAGGGGGCTGTTGACATTCAGGTCGGAGTCTTTGGCTATAAGAAAGAGAGTAAAGCAGGGTAACATCGTGGAGTAGGCCACGCAGTGGGCTTGTGCTTTGAATGTCTCGGGGCCGTGCGTCCAAAAGGGGGCTACTAGCGGGTTCGGCTAGTGGAGAGGGGCCAGTGGCAGTCACCGGATCGTGAAGCGGTGCACGCGTCGGACACGCTGATGGCCCCGGCGAGGATGTAACTTCGAGAGTGGCATGATATATCCTCAGTACGCCCATTTTTATTCGTTTATATAACACACAGTGAGAACAATTCGGAATTCTCCCTCGGAACTGTCCGTCCAATATCTGTAACGTGCGCCGAGCAACGTTCGTTCGTCGCCGGAGAAGGTTTGGCATCGCACTTACCCTATGCAGAGCTCAAGAAGATGACAGTAGCCTATTTTTCTATACATTGGAATACTCTCATCTTCAACTATCGTTCTGAAGTTCCGAAGAGATGGCGCTTTCCATCTGCCCTCCTTGCAATCAATCGGAAACCGCTGGCAAAGTCGAGCAAGACGTCGAAGTCGGGTCAGATATCGAAGCTGAAGCGCCGAGGCGGAAGTCGGAGACTCAGTCAGGAAGATAAGAGTGGAGTTGAACAGAGCACTTCACTTGAACGGCCGCGTATTTTCCAAGCCGACCGTCTGTCGGTTCCACCATATTCTTGCTTTTCGTTCAGCAAGCCAACGTCCGACTTTGTTTATGCTTCACCACCATGGGACCACGCTGATCAAGTTCCCACGACTTGAGTCGTGGACAGTCGCTCAAAATTCTTCCTTCTCTTCATTATCGAGGGCAGGATAGCCGCGGTGCTCGGAAAACGGCGGCGGTACTCGGAAACGCTGAGCGCCCGGTGACGACTGGACTGCGCTCAGGTTGATGTGGCTTCCGCCTGCTCCGCAGGTTTTGGAAAGACCTACGATAAAGCATTTGCAAACACCCGCACTCTCATCGATGGTTACAGAATTCTCTTGCGCAAACACCGTAGCTTCTCCCGGACTCGGCATCACAATTGCACGTTGAGCTTCGTTCAAGCGTCCAATCCGCCCATGACAAGCAACTTGATGTTCTGATAATCCGCGAGACCGTACCTGGTACAAAAGAAGAAATCCGATGAGTGCTTAGGCGCCACAAGGGTGTTACCATCCAGCCTCAAAACGAACGACGCGGGACTCACTTGCTTCCCTCCCTTCCCAACCCACTCTGCTTCACTCCACCAAACGGTACGACACTACTCGACAAGACGCCGGTGTTCAATCCGACCATCCCAACCTCCAACGCCTCGGCGAATCTCCAAGCACGGGACAAGTTCTCAGTGAAGAAATAACCGGCCAAGCCGACCTCGGCCGAGTTGCACATGTCCAATGCCTCTTGTTCGGTGTCGAATCGGTACAAAGCCGCGAGGGGACCAAAAGTCTCTTCCTCTCCCAGGCAGGCGCTCGCGGGGACGTCGACGAGGATCGTCGGTTCGTAGAAGGATCCTCGTTCACCTCCTTTCACAACGGCCTTCTTACCCCCGACCAGGACCTTGGCTCCTTTCTTGACGGCATCTTGGACGTGTCGATCGACTTTATCGACGGCCGCATCGTGGATCAAAGGACCGTGGGTGACACCTTCGTCGAACGCGTTGCCGACTTTGAAAGCCTTGACTTTGGCAGCGAGCTTTTCGGCGAACTGATCGTAAACGGACGAATGAACGAGATGATATTGCGTGCACACACACGTTTGTCCTGATCCTCGGAATTTGGCGATCACTGCTGCGGCGACGGCCTTGTCGATATCAGCATCTTCAAAGACGACAAAAGGGGCTAGACCTCCGAGTTCGAAGGAGCATTTCTTGAGCGTCGATGAAGCTTGTTGCATCAACAACTTGCCAACGGGTGTCTGTGGCGGTGACCATTCAATTTGGAAACTTAGAATTGGGTTTGATTCATCCAGAATGTGAATGCACTCACGCTTCCCGTGAACGAGATCTTCCTGACGATGGGGTTGGTCGTCAACTCCAAGCCAACGTCCTTGGTGTTGGCCTTGGTCGTGACGACGTTGATGACGCCATCGGGGAAGCCGGCTCGTTTGGCCAGCTCAACGAAAGCGAGGGTCGAGAAGGGTGTTTCGGGGGGCGCTTTGATGACGACGGTGCATCCCGCCGCGAGAGCAGGGGCGACTTTACGGGTGATCATCGCCGAGGGAAAGCTGCCGGTGAAAGAGCAAAGGAAGGTGTGAGCCGATAAGGCGGAATTGGGAGTTCAGCTCGGCAGAATTGACTTGAACGCACTTCCAAGGTGTGATCAATCCGACCACACCCACGGGCTGCTTGAAGACGAGCTGCCGAGTCCCGGCTGTGGAGGCAGGGATGATGTCCCCATTGGATCGGATCGCCTCCTCGGCAAACCATTCGAGGAATGAAGCCGAGTACGTCACCTCGCCCTGGATCACATTGAGGCCACGTTCGGTTACTTCTGTCATCTCGAGAATGACAGGTCAATGTTCAATAAACAGTTACCTTTGCCTCAGCCAGAGCCTTGCCATTCTCCAAAGCGATGATGGCGCCGAGATCGTCGAGGTTCTCGTTGAAAAGCTTGAAGAGCTTGAGCATCAAATCATGGCGAGTCTAATCAAAGCAAGTGCGGGGGTCAGAAGCCCAGATTGTAATCCGACTCGATTCGCCAAATACCAAACGTGACCCTTCGAGGCCTCGGAAATGAGAAGAGGAGAAAATTTTCTGCGACAATTCGCGGTTGTGCTCACTTTGGCGGTGGTCTTTTTCCACGACTTGAACGCCTCTTGAGCGGCTTGGATGGCCTGCTTGGTTTCCTGCACACCTTGCTCAGGAACTGATCCCAAGACGTCGCCCGTCGCGGGGTCTGTAGGACATCAAGAAGAGATTAGAGGCCAAGTACAGACCGATCGGAGGACGGTGCGGTGTGGTGCAACGTACCCGTGACTTCGAAGGTGCTGGCGTGGGAGACCCATTCCCCATCAATGTGGGCCTGATCTTGCAGAAGGGAATGATCCTTGACCTGTTATGACGTGGTGATGCAGATGGACGCGTGCGACGTGTGACGTGGGCGAAGATCGACGATGACCGGTGAACGATGATGTGGGGAAGCAAAGCGTCGGCAAAGGCGCGCCATCAGCAACTCCAGCGAGCGCAACTCGAGCAGCTCGAGCAGCTCGAGCGGAGTGGGTGACCTTACCTTGGACAAGGCGTAATCGGAGAAGGATGGCATGTTATTCGAGTGAATTGCGCTGGGGAGTGTGTGAAGGGAGGGAGAGGACTGAAGTGGAGCCGTGGAGCAGCGGAGCTGGCGGCCGCTGACCGAGCTGGTTCGCACCCGTTTGCGAACGAGAAGGTGCCGCCCGATCAGAAGCGCTCGGCCGAGTTCGACAAGTGGAGCGCCCGGCAAGGTCATGGCAGATATCGCAATCTCTCACTAGATACCGGACCTCATACGCTACGAAGCCATCGGAGAGCAACGCACGACATGTTGTTCAGAGACCACTTATTTCCAACTCTCGGGCACGAGCTCAGCAAGGAGAGAACCAATCCTTCTCCCGCGAGGCAGCAGTTGTCACAGGAGAGTCCTGTCATTGCATTCAATCAACGAAGACCATGCTCTTTTGATAAATCAGAAGTATAATCGATAAGATCTCGCGTCATGGCCAAGAAAAGGAGAAAAAGACCAAAAGAAGAAGCGTTCCCGAAGGGACCCCTCTTCCGTTCGCCTCCGTCCTTCAATCAGCGTCAGGTTAGCGGTTCTGAATCTTTGTTTGGTTCATCAGGTGAAGAAAAGAGCTGGGCGATCTGAATGGAGGGAGAGGTGGAATTCGGCGACAGAGAGCGAAGCGCGAGCATCCACGTGCACGCAGTCTGGTAGGATGGCGGGGTGTAGTTCTATTGCCTCAGAAGGGCTCGCCGTGTACAAGGTGTTGTGGTGAGGGGCCGCAGCAGACTGGGGGACCGCACTGCCCCGCCGTAAAACCTTGTCGAGACGGCTCCGGGCTCGCATTGAAGCTGCAGACTGATAGACCCAGCATCAACGATTTGTCAGTTCAGAGTCAAGATTGAGCATGTGAGAGGCCATGATGATAACCCGGAGGCTGCGATCGCGCTCCCTCTTCCCACCAAGGGAGAAGGCGAGCAAGCGAAGGAAAAACGTCATTTTAAGCGTTGGATATAGTGTTCCACAGAGTAGCGAAAGCCACATCCCAAGGTTCTTTGACCAAGGGGGTGTTCTCGTTTCAGAAAACAGAATTTGTGTATAATCATTCGTTTTTCGGGGCGAGCGTTCGCCAGTCGGGGTGCTTCGCGGGGAGACGAGCGGCAGGGTTTGGGTGTTGCCAAGTTGTTGGAGAGGTACAGCATGGGTCAAGAGGAGACACGAGAGGAAGCAGGTACTCACATGGCCGCATGGCTTCGATGTCCGGTGTAGAAGGGGTGTCAGGCTTGGGGAAGCGTTGGGAGCTTTTGCAGGCAGGCGTGTTCAGGGGTCCAGGCGGGGCATGTCAGGGTGTGTGAGAGAGCTTAGAAGAGCTCAGGTGTATGTGCGGAAGGAATGCGGTGAGACCATAGGACGCCAACGGACGAGTGCCGTTCGCAGGGCGAGGATGAGGTCGAGGGGAAAAAAAGGCAAGGGCCCTTGCCGCGTGAAGGGGAAGGGGCGGTCCCAGTCCGAGCTGTAATCACGATTAGAGAGATTAGAGATCGTCGCGAACATTACATTAGCTTTGTCCCGTTTGTGCTCTCAGGCTCGCGCTCCTTCGCGCTCTCTCGCGCTGCGACTCGACGTGGGTGCATTCAACCAGCTGCCAAGTTGATCCTCTGAGCTTTGCCTCTGAGCCCATACTATCTGGCTTGCCCACCGCGGCACAAGTCGCACCTCGCCTGCGTCTGACAGAGGACACGTGTTGCTCAAGATGGAGGCCGTCATGCTGAGGAACCTCGCTGACAAGGTGCGTGTGCCGTGCATTCGGCTCAACCGCTCCCGGTCGACACGCGGCCGCTCCACACGCGATGCTCGACCGCATGGACCCCTCGTCCCTGTTTCGAGCGGTCCCCGTCACTCGGGCGCTGACCCTCATTGGATCACCGTGACAGGCATACGAACGACGCAAAAACACGGCGTTGGAGTTGGAACGGGTCATCAAGGACTGCGTCACCATCGACGACGTCAAGCGCCTCGAGCTCATCATCGGCGAGCTGTGTACGCTCGTCGAATCGCACAACTCGCATGCCAGGTCCGGCGGTATCATGGGACTGGCTGGGACATCGTCAGTTCAACAGCGACGCCTTGGTACCGTGATCGGCGCACTGACGCTCAGCCGCCCATAGCATCGCCCTCGGCCCCAAAGTAGCCGAGCATCTCGCCGCGCTCGTACCACCCGTGCTGAGGTGCTTTGCCGACCAAGACTCCAAAGTCCGATATTTTGCCTGCGAGAGCATGTACAACATTGTAAGTTCAACACTCGTGTTCTTTTCAGATGGCTTGCTGATCTAGCATCCCCCTCTTCCCCACCGAACCCCCGACCCCCACACGCAGACCAAAGTCGCCAAGGGAGAGATCTTGATCTACTTTAATGAGCTCTTTGATGCCATGTCAAGGGTCAGTGCGATGCCAACTGTACGGTTTTGAAATCGAGAGCTCATTCGACCAAGGGCTTTCATCTCCTTTAGCTGGCTGCCGATACCGAAATCAGTGTCAAGAACGGCGCTGAGCTGCTCGACCGACTCGTCAAGGATGTCGTCACCGAGCAGGCCTCGACCTATGTGTCGACACTCAACATCCCGCCTTCTCAACCCCTTTTCCCTAACACCTCTGATCGACCAGGGTCACCCCCTCTGGGCGACACTCGCGATACCAAAGACCAGAGCGAGCCCGAACCGCAGCACGCCTTCTCCCTCAAGCGCTTCGTCCCGCTCCTGCGCGAACGGATATACGTCATCAACCCCTTCACCCGAACCTACCTCGTGTCGTGGCTCACCGTACTCGACTCGGTCCCCGAACTCGAGCTCGTCACCTACCTACCCGAGTTCCTCGACGGACTACTCAAGTTTCTCGGCGATCCGACCGTCGATATTCGCATCGCGACCCAGAACGTCCTCGCCGATTTCCTGCGCGAGATTCGAGAAGTTGCCGAGGTACAAAAGTTTCACCAGATCGAGGAGAGCAAGCTCGAGCAGGAACGAGCCGCCCCCAAAGCTGAGAGCTCGGCCGGTGTGAGAGCCGAATCCTCGAGTCGGACCCACAGCCCCAGAACGAGCCAACTCAGTGGAATGACCAAAGTCGGTGGCGTACCGGGAGACTCGACGGTGCCGACACCGACATTTCCAGAATCGTTGCAAGGCTTGCAAATCGAAGGGGCCGCCTCGGGCAAGCCACGCGGCCCGAACGAGGAGGAGGGATCGGAGGAGGACTACGACGACGAGGACGATGATGACTCGGGCGAGTGGATCCCCGGACAAGGGGTGCATGTCGACCACGCCGCCATCATTGAGATCCTCCTCGAGCATTTAACCTTCCCGGATGAGGAGATACAAGCCACCTGTTTGAGATGGATTGCCGAGTTCCTGATTTTCGTGCAGCCCGTCATGGTCCCGTTCGCGCCTCGTCTCATCCCCGTCATCCTATCCTCACTCGCCCACCACGTCCCCACGATCCGCAACGCCGCCAACGAAACGAACGACAACCTCTTCTCCGTTATCCAAGCCCTTCCCGTGGCAGGGCCGTCCTCTCCCCAGCCGCCGACGAACACGGGCCTGCTCGCAACCTCCGCCTCCGCAGCCCCTACTCGATCAGGCGACTTGAACAAAGACCGGAATATCACCTCCTCTCCACCAACAAACATGAGCTTCCCCGATGATCAACGATCGCGTTCGAGCATGTCCGACTACCCACCAATAGGGGCCGCTCCCGAGATGGACCCTTTCGATTACGGTGCGACGGTCAATGCGTTGACGTTGCAATTCCTGAACGAGCACGAGGAAACGAGGGTCGCGGCATTGGAGTGGCTCATCATGCTGCACCAAAAAGCACCGAGAAGGATCCTCGCCATCGACGATCCCGCCGGCGAATCGTCTCGCATCCCCTCGCGCATTCGTACGCACCCAGCCTACAGCACTGGTTCTTCCGAATCGGGCCTCAGTATTGCTCTTCTCCTCAAGATGCTCTCCGACGCGTCCGAAAGGGTGCTCCGGATGGATCTACAACTCCTCGCTCAAATCTCGGCTAGCGCCGCCGACGAATACTTCCCCACGTTCATGATGTCCTTGTTAGAGCTGTTCTCGACCGATCGCAAGCTATTGGAGACGAGGGGGAGCTTGATCATTCGTCAATTGTGCGCGAGCTTGAACACTGAGAGGATCTATAGGACTTTCGCCGAGATCCTGGAGAAGGATGAGGTGAGTTCTTTCAGGTCCGCATTCAATGGAATGACGAAGAAAGCGACGCTGACGTGGGCTGGGTTGCGCTTGCTTCAAAGGATCTCGAGTTTGCATCCATCATGGTGCAGAACCTCAACTTGATCATGATCACCTCGCCCGAGTTGGCCGAGTTCCGCAAAAGGCTCAAGAGCTTGGACACTAAGGTAAGTCATAGACAGGGGGGCCTCGGCCGTATGTCGTAGTTGAGCTCACCCATCCCATCATGAATTGACCACGTAGGACGGTCAAAGCTTGTTCGTGGCGCTGTATCGGTCATGGTCGCACAACGCTGTTGCGACGTTCTCGTTGTGCCTTCTCGCTCAGACTTATGAGCAAGCCTGTGCATTGCTGCAGATATTGTGGGTTCAACAGATAGGACGATTGGGCAATACTATGCAACTGACACTTCCTGATCCGATCCCCCATAGCGCCGAACTTGAAATCACCGTCAGCATGCTGATCCAAATCGATAAGCTCGTACAACTGCTAGAATCCCCCGTCTTCACCTCGTTGCGATTACAATTGCTCGAACCGGATCGGTACCCGTATCTGCTCAAAGCCATGTATGGCCTGCTGATGCTCTTGCCGCAGTCGAGTGCGTTCGCGACTTTGCGCAATCGATTGAGCGCAGTCAGCACATTAGGGTTCTTGCAAACTGTACCCAAGTGAGTTCTTGATTAAGTCACATCCGCACAAGACATTCTGATATTGACGCCCATCACATCCTGACAGAACTTTCCCTACCTCTTCCTCCTCATCCCTCCCCTCATCCTCCTCCAGCTCTTCCCCCAGCATGAACCCTTCCAACACCTCTTCCTCTTCCTCATCCTCCGCCAACACCATCAACGCTTCCCGTCTCCGCCGCCAAGACGACGTCCGTTGGTCCGAACTTTTGTACCACTTCCGAGCCGTACAAAAACGAAGAGCGACGGCGGCGATGCAAGGACACGAATTGGGGTTCGACCCTCCTTTCAACACATCGTTTTCGACGATGGGCTCGTCGACGACGAACGCATGGGGTAGTCAACCTTTGACGCCGAATTCGGGTGGTGGGGGGCCGAATGGGATGGGGTCGATGAGAGGCGCCAGTGGTGGTGCTGGTGGTGGTGCGCAAGGCGGAAGAAATGGGACGGTAGGGAGCACGAGTCGAAAAGGAACGGGGACGTCGACTTCTTCTACTGCCGGGGGAGGTGGGTTCGGGATGGGTCGAAGTTCTAGTCGACCCCCACCTATGTTGACCAATAGCTCGGGGATGATGACGAGGCCTATGAGTCCGACTTCGGTCGGGGTTAATAAGAGGAGGGTGGTGAGTGGAGGCATGGGGGCTAATCTGAAGAGGTGATTCGAGGACTTTGGGAGGAGGGGAAGGGGGTCAAGGGTGTTTGTTTTCGTGTATTCCTCCGGCGCCTTATCGTTTCTGCAGTATGGACACGCATTTTGCCAGAAGGGTTTTAAACTCTCAAATCCGAGGGCAAGGGCAGGAATGGGCAGTGCTGCCCTGTTTGATGGTGTCAAGATGGGACTGCGGACGAATCTCGAAAAGAGAAGGACGAGGTGTTCCGTACGGAACAACGATAGGGAACCACTAGGCGGGTCGGATGGCACAACATGGGATGGGCATTGGACGCAGACAGAAGAACACTACGCAAACAAAAAACAATACTGAGTCGAAACGCTCCCGCACCTCTCTTCCTCCACCCGGGAACCATTGACGTTCTACATCCCACTGGAACTCGGAAAAGCCCAACTGGGCAGGTACCTCGCGTCCACGCTTTCCCACACCTGTAGAACAGAAAGTCAACTCAATCTTCCTCTCTCTGAGGCCTCCACCGTCGACGTTTGAAGGATAACTAACTTGGGGCAGCAAATCGAATCCTTCGATGAATTGCTGGTCCATACTCCTCGACTTGGGGTACGAGTACCTTCGATATTCGTCAAATATGGCTGTGAGAGACCACTGTTGGACCTTGCGTAGGCACCCGACGAGACAACCTGTTCGGTGCTATAGGTGGGGGGCGGGGACGAGGGGCAGAAGGTTAGGGTGGAGCCGCGTGGAAGGAGCTCCGAAGGTGGCGGCCTACTTTGCCTTTGTTGCAATGGATGAGCATGGGGTGATTTCGCACGTCGAGGATGACGGCGAGAGCGGCAGCGATCTTCTCGTCTGGAACTGAGGAGGGAAAATAGGTCGCACAAATCAATTCGGCGTTGTTCGGGGAAAACAGGCTTTCCAAGTTTAAAAAGTTCGTTTAGTTACTTTGTACGAAGGGTTCCTGAAAGAAACGAAGCGAGGTATTAATACCCATATCCTGGTATCTCGTCTACGCGGCGATCGCAAATAGCTCACCTTGTTACCCGGGATCCCGAACTGATAGAACCTGTTCACGAAATGATGGAGAAGGAAGCACCTGGGTCACCGATCCATTTCCGTCCGCCTATGGCTGTGACTCACTTTATCCCTTCCTGCTCCAAAAACTCCAGATTCTGCTCTGGGTACTCTTCCAAAATCAACGTGCTGCAGCGGGAAGATTCAGCTCCGACTCAGTGTTCCAATCCACCGTCCCCGAAACGCCGCGAGGCCAACTCACAGCACGCTCTTCAATCTCAAGCTCCTCAAGAACGGGAAATTCTTGCGTTTGGGGAACGAGCTCCGATATATCAACGATGAAACCATGGCGAAGTTTTCGGGAGGTAAAAGGTCTTCCTCGGGGGCGATCTCTTTGGGAGGAGAATAGACGTCCTCCAAGCGACGGAGATGGATCGAGTGCGACATGGAGGAGGGAATGGCAGGGGTTAGGGTACCTAGCCCGTTTGGGGTCGGCTTGGGTTGGGTCGATGTTGTTGATGTGGAGAAGGGAGCGTGGAGCTCGTTGATGGAGGACGAAGTGGAGAGGGGTTGGTGGTAGGAGGGCATCAAGGAAGGGGGTGGGGGAGGAGGAGATGGTTCGCTACGAGGATGATATACCGCCGAGCTGCAACTCGTCAGGGGGAGTAGAGGGGGCGGCATTGCCAACACGGAAGCCGAGACGGCCGAACTGCCGTTCGACGACGACGCGCTCGACCCTGAGCCAGAGTACGAGTACGAGGACGAGAAGGCGTTCGCGGGTGAAGGTAGGGACGAGGTCGAAGCTGCTCCTCGACTGGTCGCAGATGCCGAGCCTGTACTCGAGGTGGCGGTGGCGGTTCCCGATCGAGCACTGGCCGTCCCCATGCTTATGCCTTTGCCTTTGCCATCGTTCGAGCGGGGAACCACACTATTGGAGGCTGCAGCGGTCAAAGTGGGGACCGCCGCCGAGCCAGCTTGCGGCATCGTTTCATCGCCATAGGCCCTCCTCCGCAACTGTCGCGCGTAATCCTCCTGCAATCGACTGAGAAAGGCAGGGATCGGGATTGTCGGCGGTGGTGTAGCCTCCATCGCTGCAGTCCGTGTTGTCATCGTCGTCATCGTCTCGGCCTCGACGGTCACGATCGACCCGCTGTCGATGGCAGCCAGTTGAGACGGGCGCTCCAGTGTCTGTACCTCTCCCAGTACTTGATCGATACCCCACGCTACCGAAGTGATCCCCCGAGATTGCATACCGTCCGTCGTCGGCGTCAGATTTCCGCGTGCCATCGAATGAAGTTCCAGCGGTGGCACGGTGAACTCCGCGAAGCCGTTCAAGTCGATCGCGTGAACTTTGACCGCTTCTCGGATGCCCGATAAAATTCCGTCGGCTAGGCTATGACAAGGTCATTCCTGCATCGTTGTTCGGATGGTAGTCGTTGCTGTGACGATCGTCCAGAGAGGCGGGGACCTAGATCAGGCGGTCGGGCGGCACGGCACGCACAGGCGAACAAACACGAGGCTCCGCGCGGAGGGGTCGAGTCAAGCCTTCAAGTTGCCCGGATGCAGGCTTCCGGCGGGAAAGGCGAATTATGCGAGATGATGACCGGCGGCAAAATCTTCTTCTTCTGTTCCTGTTTTGGTTGATTCTCATTTGATCGACCAATCGCATTGAAACCAGTGGTTAGATCGAGCGAATCACGCGTTCAACAAAGTCCGAGTCGGCACAAGTTCCGCGCTGATCGAGCGAAAGCTTGTCTCACGTGAGTGACTAGCGCACCGGTCCCGCCTGCATTGTGATCATTCGGATCTTTTCTCGTGTCTCTCCTTACCAAGATACTGAGGTCCGACGTCCGTCTCTCATCGATCTCATCGTCACAGCGATCGCATCCCAACTCCCATAGATTCGGCTGGAGCCAAAATTCCGAGCCTGCAGGCACAGGAGAAAACTTCGACTTGACACTCAGCTCATGTTCAAGGAGCCGTGAGAAGGATCCAATCCACTGGCAAGTCGAGATCCATCCACCCTCTGCAATCTTCCGATTCGAGGCGAGCATCGCGAGCCGGCGGTAGCGTCCGACTCAGTCGGTCCGAGCATGAGGGGTTCATGATCAGACCCGTTGTCGCGACGCCTGCAGTGCCTGCATAACACGTGTACGTCTCCGATCACTCTTCCGCTGAGGCTACGACTCCGGACGACCTATGCTTCCATCGATGCAGTAGGGACGTTCCTCCGTAGTTGAAATTTTCGGCTGATGGGGCAAGGTTTTCTCACGTGTGCGCAGAAGTTCCAGCGGATGCGATCCCAATTGCAAGCGTTGCCCGGCCGTCGCTCGGAACTTTAGTACGCTGCGAGTATCCAGTGTACCTCTCGGGGACAATGCTCCTTCGTGTGCAAGACCGACTTCAAGAATTTCAGGAACGAATGCGTGTACTGTGACTTGACGGCCAGCTCGAATGCATTTTGATTGAGCACTGTGTGTTGTCGTGGCCATCACTCGGAGCCGAGTGGGTGGCACTGCCGGGCCGACTGAGGGAGGCCTGATAGCATGAGAGTGAGAATTTGAATTTAGTCTACAAAGAGACGACCCTTATCGGGCGCTGGACCACATTGACTGGGCTATCGCCTCTGACCTGACTTACGACTTCCAACCGCTCCCCTTACCCTGCTCAATCCTGCAACCTACACTGCTCCTTTGAGATGCACTCTATCCATCCCTTCTCCGTTGACTCTCACTGTCTTCTCCTACGGGTTTCCGCCCACGCTTTTTGGCGATCACCCCATATCCTCGCTGTCCCCGGCCGCTTTAATCAGTTCATGATGCCATGCAGTGTCTGCAGTAATTTCGCCCTCAGGCGTTCTGGAACTGCCTCCATGGCTAACGCCGATGCCAGAGTGAAGCTCACACCATACAGTGGCATACCACCAGATTTGGTCCGATCCGAACCGTAGCACATCCGAGCTTGCACCTCTGCCAGACTGCCTCGACGGGCAAAGCACAAATCATGTGGCATTGTGTATGACTCAATAACATCTAAAGAACTCAGTCCATGCACTTCCTGGCCCATCTCTAGGTACGGGGAGTGTGCTGGGTCTAAATTATGTCGTGCAGTGGCGAGCAAAAGAAATATTGTAACAATTCGGCAAGCCGCGTTGCATTGATCGGAACTGGGAATGCTTTTGATCCCGTCCGATGTCACCGCGCCGTAAAGTCGGCGGCGATGGAGTGCTGATGCTCCTCTTGGCCTCTCAGCTTCTTGTTCCCTCCACGGACCTTGAAGCCAACACACGTTCGACCCCATCCACGTCATTTCCATTCAACCACACCCATGGTCAGTCCTCTTGTGGTCTGAACTGCCTATCCCTCCCCTTGCACCCCAACTGACACGACATTCATTTTGGCGCGCCCCACCTCTTGCCTCGACTTGCCTCTGTCGGAATCGGCCTTCGTCAATGCTCGACATTTCCGTTCTCGTCCAGCCTTCTTACAACATCGTTTCTTTACCCGGTGATGGGATCGGTCAGTGCTTTCTTACGTTCTCTTCCTCAGCTACCGCTACCCATCGTGGTTCGCCCCAGCGCGAGTCCAGAGACCCGACCCCGACTTGGGCCTCTTTCGGCGTTCTCTCCTTCGCTTCAGCTGCACCGCACAAACAAGCATGAGCCCGTACTCAACCTCCAACCCCCGCTCTCACAGGTCCCGAGGTCGTCGCACAGGCCGAACGCGTGCTCGAGACGCTGAGCACGCACACCGACAACCAGTTCACCGTCAAGGCCCACGACTTTGGCGGCATCGCCATCGACAACCACCAGAACCCTTTACCCGAGTCGACCCTCCAGGCTTGCAAGGACGCGGATGCCATTCTTCTTGGTGCGTCTCTTGCGCAAAGTGGAAACATTTGCTAGACTGACTCGTTTCCGCTGTTTGACGTAGGTGCCGTCGGTGGACCCAAATGGGGAACGCACCCGACCCTTCGACCCGAAGTCGGCCTTCTCGCGCTCCGAAAAGAACTCGGCCTCTACGCCAACATTCGACCGGCTCTTTTTCCCGCACCGTCGCTCGTCTCGTACTCTCCCCTGAAGGAACACATCGCGCAAGGTACTTCGATCGTCGTTGTGCGCGAGTTGATCGGTGGTATCTACTTTGGCGATCGTAAAGAAGCCGTCGCCGGCGCGACCGAGGGAGAGGACGCTGTCGCTCGTGACGAGTGCTCCTACTCCGTCCCCGAAATCGTCAGGATCACACGCTTGGCGGGTTACCTTGCTGGGTTGAGCAACCCTCCTTTGGCGGTGCATTCGGTCGACAAGGCCAACGTCTTGGCGACGAGTCGTTTGTGGCGTCGCGTCGTCGCCGAGACGATGGAGAAGGAGTTCCCCGACATCAAGGTCGATCACCAATTGGTCGACTCGGCTGCGATGGTCATTTGTTCGAACCCTCGTAAACTCAATGGCATCGTCCTGAGTGAGTAAAACCACGTTTCATTGCGAGTAGGATTATTCCCCGAGTGATTTGGCTGACCATTTTGATTTTATTTCGTTCCCCAAGCCGAAAACTTGTTCGGTGACATCCTTTCGGACGAAACGTCGGTCATTCCCGGATCTCTCGGTCTTCTTCCCTCCGCGTCCCTGGGTGGTATCCCTGATGGCACGAACAAGATTCCGGGTATGTACGAACCCATCCACGGGTCCGCCCCCGATATCGCCGGTCAAGGAATCGCAAACCCGATCGGTACGATCCTGTCGGTCGCTCTGATGTGCCGTTACTCGCTCGGTTTGGAAAGGGAGGCCCAAGCGATTGAGGAGGCGGTGAGGATCGTGCTCGACGATGAGGACAAGGGTGGGTTCGGGTACAGGACCAAGGATCTGGGTGGGGACAAGTCGACGCCTCAGGTGGGGGACAAGGTCGTCGAGGTGCTCAAGGGGCTGTTGCAGAAGAAGTAGGCAGGAATTGGCGAGTTCTGCTTTCCTGTGTGGGGAGGTCGATGGGTTGGATCCAAAATATCTATGCTTTGCATATACACAACTCTTCTCTGATGGACTTGGCTCTACACGAACGGCGGGGAACACGTGTGTGCTGTTGCTGTTCTCGTTTGTTCGATGAAGTCCCTGAAGTCATAACAGGATCTAGAAAACGAACCGAGAGTGCTTGCGCAATCGTATTCTGAGGAAGCTCGTCCCCGCAAATGGCGTGACCTCTGTCGTACTTCAACCACGAAGGATAGGGGTGCATGAAATGCACTGCCACGTACTGAATAACTCTTTAAAGGTAGTGGCATTCACGACGACACAAGCTCTCACTTGAAATGCATTCAAAATAAGCCGTTGAATAGAATTTTTACATTACAAGCCCCACTACATCCTTTATTTTGTACAGGTCATTCTCCTGCCCGGTTGCCGTCGGAACATGGCGTCACATCGCCCGTACTCACACCGTGTCCATGTCCATGTCTTTGGTGTACCCCATATTGCCAGCGATAAAGTAGAGTTCGGCGCTAATACAAGGACCATAACTGTTGATTTGGGAGGGATAAGAAGACAGAACGCAGCCAGTTCGACCGGTGTCCGTCAGAATCAGGTAGGTCAGGTGAAGCGCAGCCTGCTGCCAAGCTCAATTCGACAGGAGTCGTCATGCACTTACGAGGTGCAGACCAGACCCAGGTTGGAGGTTGGTATAGATCATTCACAGGATCGCAAAACAGGCGCCACCCAGCTTGGTATAGCGTGAGTTGCAGACGAAGTCACACCCGGACACTGTGCAGACGCTGACACTGTTGGGGACCGTCGGGCATGTGGCCACATTGCAGCCAGACCTGTCCGAAGCACCGTCGAGATGTTGTGCGTCAGCTTGCGCGCAGTCGGGGTTTGGTTCAGGCATCAGGGGTCATCTACTCACCCGATGGGCACGCAGTTTCCGACCCCGTTCTGATTAGTGTAGCCATTGGGGCAGCCCATGACGCATACGTTGCCGCGGCAGGTTCCAATGCAACCGCTTGGAATGCAGCCAGTCCTGGCGATGAGTGTCGAGAAGCAGCCCATCAGCTTGTGTGCAGTCCGAATCGTTGTTCCGGCGCATGACTTACTGGGTTGAAACACAGATGTCACCCTGCCTCGCAGAACCGAGTGAGCAGGTGAAGTCGCAAGCACCCTCCACATTGCAGAAGACAACGCCAGAGACGGGAATCTCGGGGCATCGATACGGATTACACGTAGAGCTGCGGTCCACGATGCAGAGGCCGTCAGCTGTTGCATCATTCCGAGCTTCGTTCACTGAGAGGTCTGGCACTCACACGCAAGTACCGCCTTGCTTGTCGAAGCCAGAATTGCAGGTAAAGTCACACATGCCGGCCATATTGCAAATGCTGACACTGTTGGCGACCTGAGGACATTGGTTCACCACGCACGTAGAACTGCGGTCCAAGAATCCAAGATGCAGGCCGTCAGCTTTATAGCCTTTCCGAGCCTCGTTCAGATGATTTGAATTCCAGCTAGTCTACAAAGAGAGACGACCCTGATCGGGCGCTGGACCATATAAAGATGCTGTAGTGGATGAACCTGGTCCCTGGACCTAGCCTATCGAAAGTGACACGAGCATTTACGACTCCGACTCACAACTTGTCAGAGCCGGGCGCGTCGACGATATAGTGCGGCTTGCCACTATCGCGCGATTCGATCTAATCCGCTCGATTGCTAATGGAAACTTGCTCTTCGCAGCCCGAGTCGTGAGCTTCGCAGCCCCGGCAGTGCCCCGGCAGGCGCACAGAGGCATCGAGTCAGGCTGACCAAGGTACTCACCGCCTCTCTACTCCTCCGCACACTCATAACGCTTTAAGACGCACTCGTCATGGCCTCCGCACCACCACCGATCATGACCCCATCCACGACGATGACCACTTCTTCCCCTCCTCAACCGCCGGTCAAGCACCTGATCGTCGATTCCTCGCCTCTGCTCACCTCGCCTTTGTCCACGCTCCGTGGTATGGCGACCCACTACCTCCTCACACCGGATGTCGTCTCCGAATTGAGGGATCGCAAAGGACGCGAAGTGCTCCAGGAGGCGCAGTTGCAATTGTTGCCTCCTGAGGGGAGTGGCGAGGACGTCAAGCCTGGGTTCACAGTCCGAGAACCCTCCTTCGAGGCCGTCGCGCGTAGTGAGTTTCACAAAGTCGGTACATTCTCCGGCTTTTGAGTTGACATATTTTCGTTCAATTTTCAGTCACAGAATTTGCGAGAAAGACGGGTGATATCGCCGTGCTTTCCAAAGCCGATATCCAAGTCTTGGCTCTCTGTTTGACGCTCGAATTGCAAGAGAATGGTGGATGGAGGGTAAGGGACCATCCGGGACAGATATTGACCGGGCCTCCCAAGACCAACGAGGAGCATGAGGATAAGCCTTTGGAGGAGGTTGAGGCAGGTGTTGAGAAGCTGGAGGTAAAGAATGTCATGGAGGAGCCCGTGGCTTCGACTTCGGAACTGTCTACGGCCAAGGAGGAGGCCCAAGTCGGCACGTTGGAGAAGGGCGAACCGGCGGGACAGGAGCCCAGTGTACAGCAAGAGACAGACGGGGAGATTGATCCCCAAGAGCAGGACGACGATGAGAACGACGACGAAGACGATGGCGATTCCGAAGGCGAAGAATCGGACTCGTCCGGTGGATCGTGGATCACCCCCGAGAATGTCACCTCGCACAAAGTGAAAGATCTCGGCCTCTTCACACCACCCGAAGACACCCTCGCCAAAGCACCCAAAGCGATCATGAAGGCCGCCGTTTTGACCGGTGACTTTGCGATGCAGAACGTGGGGTTGCAGATGGGCTTGAACGTCTTGGGTTCGGGAGGAAAGAGGGTCAGGGAGGTCAGGACCTGGATCTTGAGGTGTCATGCTTGCTTCAAGTGAGTCGCCTACGATCTGTGATGTTAGTGAAGGAAAGAGAACGATTGCTCATTGTCTCCCGCTACTTTCCTCACGGAAGACTCTGCAAGAACCCGGAGAAACGATTCTGCCCTTCTTGCGGCGGCCCCACCTTGATTCGCACGTCCATCACCTACGTGCCCGCCTCCCCCGAGCACCCGAACGGCTACATTCTCCACCTCAAGAAGAACTTCCAGTACCGCCTCCGAGGCACACAGTACTCGCTGCCCAACCCCAAGATGGGTCGAGCAGGTGGTGGCGTCAATGCCGAACCGGTGCTGAGGGAAGATCAGAAGGAATGGTCGAGAGGAATCAAGACGGCCGAAGTGATGAGGCATAAGGAGACGAGGGCCTTGTTGAGGAGTGTCATGGACGAGAAGAGGAGGGGTGGGGACGCGAACGAGGGTGGGCTGAAGGGATTCAACGATCCGGATTGGCAGGTCAGTCTACTTGCTTTATCTCGCTGCCGGTCGTACGTCAAGCGGGCAGGGTCTGATTTCTACTTCATTCATTCTCTCACGCAGCCCGCGATGTTGCAAGGCGAGAAGGGGCGACGAAGGGGCGGCAAGAACGGAGCTGGGGGAGAAGTTCGACTCGATTCGTCCGGTTTGCCCGTCATCGGTGCGGGGAGACGAAACCCGAACGCTTCGAAGGGGAAGCGCAAGTAGCAAGATCTTGGCTGCATATTGTTTGTTTGTAAATGACGCCCGTTGTAATCCTGAAGACTGCATCGTTCGTGTTTGCCCCCCTGTTCGTTCTCTCGACATCGTCACGAGTGAGAGAGGTCGAAACCTTTGCGCCTCTGCACTGTGCAGATATTTCCGGCTAGTACGTTTGATTGAACTCCAACCTATTACGTTACACCTCGTCCGCGCTATTACACTACACCAATTTTACCACTCCCTGTTCGTTCCTCATCCCCATCCTCATCACTGCTCCAGTAAAAACCACCCGCTACTAGTGCCTGAGTGGCCATTGTCGAAGCGAGCAAGATCGGGATTGGTTTCTTCGAAGCGAAAGCTTTGCGTCCGTGGAAGAAGAGGTAGGTGAGAGACCAGGCTAACGGGGAAAGAAGAGACCAGGAACAAGTATCAATCTGCGGACTTTATGCCTGGTTGACTCGGCTGCTCGGGAGATAAAGGTCGTCGATCGTGGTGAAATTTACCTGTCGTGGTGCCTGCTCCGTTGTAAGGATCTCCAGCTCGGATCATGTACCTGGATCAAGGAGAGTAGACAAGTTTCAACATGGCGTTGCGTATGAAAAAAACCCATTCAAGGGACACAGTTGCTCACCCTGAACCACCAAAGATGAGAGCAAAAAGCGGCAGTTGAACGAGATGAGGGAATCCAAGCGGGGCTTTAACGCAAGGCGGGACAGAGGCGAGTCTGCACCAGTTGGGACAAGTATAAGTGATTGCTAGACGACCACCATGCGAGCTGAGCTATCTGTGAGTGCTCACAGTACGGCACTGGTCGCCCACGGCAGGTAAGGGGTCGTCATGATGGACGAGAGCAGCGAAGGCTGTGCTGGCTCGATTGGGCGAGTGGATGTCGATGCATCCGTGCGTAATGTTGCTGTTGATACATTAGATGGGTAGGTGATTGAGCTCATCGCGCGTGGAGGAAGAGGAGGTCTGTAGGTGGAACGGTGGAATACGCTGGCGGCTGCGAAGGAGAACGGCCGAGGTGCGATCGGCCCCATCAGCGTAGTTGTGCCCCCCTCGACTCGATGTATGCATTGGTCCGAAGTTCAACTTGGCTCCGCGGCCCCCGCCTTGCTGAATGCGCGTAACGCGTCAATCCGGGCAGAGCTCAATCTGTCTTGCTCTCTGTAGCTCTGATCGTTAGCTTCTCTGGCAGAGCTCTACCACCTCCGAATACCGGGCCCCGCCTGGTCTGGCAGTGGTGCTGCGCCGGCTCCAACTTGAGGTCGCGGCGCATTGTCATCTCTAACGCCGACACCTCAAACATATTCCTAGGCGACCCACCCTGAAACAGAAAGTCACTACTTTGTTTAACTTACAGTGTGCCTACCAGATTTCCTCCAGCTCAACGCAATACCACCCCTCTCTCGGCTTGCATCATACGTACTCGCAGCGGCTCAATGCAGCGTCCTCCCTCACTTGCGCAAACCCCCACCCCCACCTTCGCCGATGGCACTTTTTCACTCATCCCTCCCGCCCACGCACGACAAGCCTGATTTATCGAGGCGTTCAGCTCGTTTGATTTAGATCGACATCACCGTACAATTTCCCCCTGACAACTTGAAACATGTTCTTTCTCTCAGTAACTTGGTGCAACAGTGTCAGCGCGTCACCATATTTTCCGCAGTCGAGCACTCAAGGCGGTCAGTAAATCATACCCGGTGGGGCGCCGACTTTCAATCGCAACTGGGCCTTCTTCAACGAAGGGGAACAAGACACTTACATCGAGCTCGTCTGTCGGCGCAGAGACGGGTCGGACGGGCTGTCTCTGCCCCTTTCAAGCTTGTCCGCAGCGGGCGGCGCTGAGGATCGCATCGTATCCTCCGACGCGTTCTCGATCTTAAACGCTGCTAGATAGCAATGAAGAGCAAGCTAGACCAGTCAGTAAGGTTTTGGCCTGAACTCAGGTTGTAATCGCCTCTGCTCCGCGCCGACAAGTTGGCCTCCGGGCTTGCCGACTTCAGCCATCGGCGCTCGTGCATTCGAATGGCGTACATCCTAATGATTGGCCAGTTGATTCCGGAGGCACGGACGGTGAGTGGCCCTCGAACATGTGGGAAGGTACGCGTCCGGGCTATAGGTCTGGCGTTCCCGGGATCGACGGCTAAGAAGTTGAAGCCCTTCGCACTGAAGTTTCACACACTTCCGGCAGCGCTGATCAAGCCCACGGCCTGTCGTTAAGTTGGTCTGTCCGAAGAAGTTGTCTGAGTTGGCAGTCAGCATCAGCATCAACCCCCGTTCGAAAACAACTCGACCAGGTTGCACCGCCGAGACACCTTCTTCCCTCCGATTCGCTGCATGTCGGCCCAGGCCATTTCCGTCATTCTACTTGAGCTTGCGCGTCGCAAGCGGTGTCGCAGATCCAGCCATAGCAGATCCAGCCATACTGTCAGAAACGCAAGCCGGAGCGCCTAGTTGTTAAATATGATTCGACTTGCCAGGCGGCGAGTCTTCGTACTGCCTTTCGAGCAAAATGCTGCGGTGCGGATCCAAGAAACACTTTTCTCGACTGCCGGCGCTCTGCAAGTGTCTGGTTGGACGGCGCACTCTCGCCGCGCTTTTGCCGACCAAACCCGAACGCCGATCGAGAGCGAAGCAGAGCAAGCGAAGCGCAACACCTCCCAGCCGTGCCACAGCCTTTACAGCTCGGTGTTGCGACCATGCAGCCCCTCTTGTCTCAGCTCGTGCGGTCGACCAAGGCTGTTCCGGGATGTGCATGTACTCGCTTGGTCACCAGTTTCAGGAGCTTGTCCGGAACGTCGTCGTTTCGGAGCGAGTCCAAAGCACCCGTGAGTCGTGCGAGCAGCTGGTGGGGATGTCAGAAGGCTCGCAGCTGACCCGAACTTCCGGGTTGAGTTCCTCAAGCTCGCCATATATGTTTCCAAAAGCCATGATCCACATTTCAACCTGGCCTACGAGGATTGGTATGTAGTGGTTTCTTTCTCCGCTGCCCCCCTCTGCCCCCCTCTGCCCCCCCCACATCGCACCCTCTCGGACCCAAAGGATAGGGCGAACCGCTGATGTGCTCTTGGGGACTGCGACGCAGGCTATTTCGTAAAACAGATTCGTCCATTATCACCTTGTACATGTATCGCAACACGCCAAGCATCATCATCGGTCGGAATCAAGTAAGCTAGCTCGCTTCCCGTGCCGAACCGGGTCGAGGGATCTGATCGCGATTGATGCCTTCAGAATCCATGGAAGGAAATCGACCTTCATCGATCAGAACACCTTGGAATCCCATTCGTACGGAGAAAATCAGGAGGCGGGACCGTCTATCATGTAGGGCCACCTCGATCCACCCGTCCGAGTCTTCGGCGTGCTGAGATCGAGGTTCTCCAACCTCTCCACAGGATCTCGGCAATACAAATTATTGCGTGTTCGTCCCTCGGCTCGAGTTCGAACGACGGACAAATGCCGAGTTGGTCGCTAGGGCGCTCAACAACTTGGGCATCGAGGCTTACGTCAATGAGAGGAATGATATCTGTGTCGATTCGTTCAAGATGAGTCGTCGGTGGCTTGAGGCTCGATTTGCCGAGTTCGAAGTCGGTGGGGATGAAAGTGCTTACCTAGGATAAATGTTGTTGGTCTTTACGTCTCAGGTTCGGCATTCAAGCTTGTCAATGCCCGGGCCTACCATCACGGAACGATGCTCATCGATGCCAAACTCAAAGACCTCAAAGGATTGCTTGAGAATTCCAGAGTAGGGGCACTTCGACGTACAGCTCTCAGGAAACCCACCACTGACTAATAATCTGGACATCCACTTTTTTCCCATCCAGGATACTCTCGTGACCAAAGGCGTGGCATCCGTACCCTCACCCGTCAAAAACCTGCGCGAATTCAGTGCCACGATCGATCATGCCTCATTCGTGCGAGCCGTGACGAAAGAGTTTGGAAAGAGTCACGGTGATGAGGGTATAAAGATTCATGTGAGTCGAAGACGGCTGTGGCATGGAATTGAGTAGGGCTAATCTCTGCAACCGTGATCGGGGGCCGCGCGGGATAGGAGGTTGACGAATCCGAGGTGGAGCGGAACGACTATGCCAGGGGCGTCATCGACGAACTCCAGGTGAGCCTCATCATACTTTGAGCTCGTTGAACATCACTGATGAAGTACATGTTCCCAGTCATGGGATTGGAAGTATGGCCAAACGCCCGAATTCACACATGACGTCTCGGGTGAATTCCCCTTCGGACCACTAGTGAGCACTTTCGGGGACTCAGCATTGTCCCAACATTGAACGCAAACTTCGTCTTTTCATCCAGGCATACCACATCACCTCTCGGCACGCGCTCATCACCTCATGCACGATCACGACCTCACCTTCGAATGCGGATTATTACCGAGCCGCACAGACAGTGCGTGAGATTGTACAGGATCTAAGGTATGGATCTCTGGATGGAGTCGAGGGCAAGATTCCGCAGGGATTGAAAGGGAAGAGGGTAGAGGAGTTGTTAAAGTGGTTGAGAGGGGTGATGTAATGAGTACTGGGGAGATTTTCTTGAAAATGGAAAAAAGACGTGCTCAGAGACCTTTTGTACGCCAACAAAAGGAGACATATGCTTTTGGTTCAATTCGAGTGAATTCTGATGAAGAAAGCATCGCCGCAGCAAGGTGGTACTACACTTCCCGGCCTCCCAGCTTGAGGGGCCAGGCTGGTCCGAAATCCGTCGGGCCGAAACTTGCCTAGGGTCAAAATGGTTCCCCCCCCCCGCGCCAGGGCTCTTTTCACCCTCGCGCGGGTCCGAAAGTCGACCAGCTCGCGAGCTGCAGACGACCCCGTCCCAGGCGGGAAATGGGCTGGGCTTGAACGCTTTCCCGCTGTGCGTTCGATCCCCCCCTTCGTGTCCAAACTGACAACCTGTAAGGCCTACCACCCACTCTTTTTATTGGCTGCGATTCTGGAGATCGACTACGACCAGATCAACGTCGACGTTGGACTCGACTGGGATGAGGAGGGACGCGTAGGGAAGGGGTTCGTAGCCATGAGCCGTTGGATTCTAGGGGAGCAAGCGGGTGGTGGCTAGGCCTCAAAACTTCTTCCCTGGCGCTGGGCGTCGCAGCGCGCTTAGGAGGGGCGTGGAGCACGGCGTCGCGCTGGGTTGGTGTGTTGATGATTGGATGGTGCTGTGGGACGGGGAGGAAATGCGTCGAGGAGGGTCGGGGGTATTAGAGTGCATGGTGTTGCATCGCGGGGCGTGTTGAGCGTGCGAAGAGGGGGGACTCATCCCGCCGTCGCTGCCGTCGTATGCCTATGCATATCCCCGTGATACGACATGGAGTGACTAGGGTCACAGGGTCGATGAATGATGGTATCGACATTTACGACCACGACCATCGACACGATACGACTCGACTCGAGAACAGCTCCGCACAGCTGCACGACCCCGAGCCCCCGACCTCAGCCAGCAGCCGTGTCAATTCACGCATCCCACCTGCTCGCCGCGACCGATCGCTGACTCTTGCTCTCTCTCCCTTCCTCCCGCGCTGCGCTGCTCCCCCTTCTCTTTCACTTCGATGTTTACAGCCACCATGGCAGACCAAATCGAAAAGTCCTTCCAGAAGCAACCCCTCTTCCAGAACGCCAAGGTTACGGCCAAGTCCAAGAAGTCGGCTGGCAAGGACCGTCGCTGGTACAAGGATGTCGGACTTGGGTTCAAGGTGCGTTCGATTCGAAGTCATTCTGGGGAGTCTCCTTGGCGCTTGCTTGCTGATGGCGTGGAGTTTTGGTTCTCAATCTTCCGCAGACCCCCAAGGAGGCCATCAACGGTACCTACATTGACAAGAAGTGCCCCTTCACCGGCGAGGTCTCGATCCGTGGCCGCATCCTGACGGGCAAAGTCATGTCCAACAAGATGACCCGCACCATCATCTGCCGACGAGAGTACCTCATGTTCGTCAAGAAGTACAACCGATACGAGAAGCGACACAAGAACTTGGCCGCGCACTGCTCGCCCGCGTTCCGCGTCGATGTCGGCGACCAGGTCACCGTCGGCCAATGCCGACCTTTGTCCAAGACCGTCCGCTTCAACGTACTCCGAGTGTCCAAGGCCAAGGCCAAGACGTTCGTCAAGTACTAAATCAATCGACAACCCGCAAACTCCAAAAAACGCCTTTGTCTTCGTTACGTTTCTCGATCCTCGGCCGAAGCAGTTTCGTGGGACGTACGCTGGATGGAGGGAACTCCCCCCCTCTTCTCTCACTCATCATGGGGGTAAAACAACACGCATTCTTCCTGGTCCCGCTTCTTTTCTTTTTTTAGAGAGTGGCTGCCCGGATTTTTCCACGTTGCTGTAATGATCGCATCACAACTACGCTCTAGAGTTCGAGTTCCGCGTGGGGGGAGAATGGGAGCAGAGGAGTGTGATTCCAAGCGGACCTACTCGGTTTGCTGCATACAAGTTGTGCATAGTGACAGCAAATCTCATATTCGACTAACCCGTGCTGACTGATCGAAATGCGATTCGACCGACTGCCTCGGCGTCAGCTGACCCGACCTCGCTCAACTCTCAAGCACATCGACGTTCCGCTCGAGGCTTGTTTCGCAGCCGAGTCGGCGTGGCGAGACAGCGGCCTCGGCCGGCCCAGCGCGGCCCAAGATTTTCGCGCGTAGACCTGCGGAGACCTGCGGAGACGGCAGAAGGGGACAGCCTGTGTGCGGCCTTGGCTGGCGATTGAAACTCTTGTTCCGTCTCTCCATACCTAACGCACATGTGAGTTGTCACCTACCCAATTCGCGCGCGACTGGGCACTTCCTCTAAGGAGCTCAGCACTAACCAACAAGCTCTTCTTGTCTCCCACCTTCACCCCTTCCGCTCCTCGTCGTCGTTTCGCACGTTCTCCCGCGGCGTTCTCGTGTTCGCTCGCTTTCCCCATTCACAAAGCCACGCCCTCACACCACCCTACATCACCCCCACCAAATCTACTAGCCACCATGTTGTTGTACACCGACGTTCTCACCGGCGACGAGATGGTCTCGGATGCCTACGACGTGAGTTACCTCGTGCAGGTTTGGGGTGCTGGCGACGGTCTCGTGGTCGTGTTCGTTGTGTCGTCGCGAACGAGGCGTAGCCACGCGGATGGTTGTGATGAGGTGTCCGGACCACCCGAGCCCGGTACATGGCCGTTATTCTCGTCATACGTTGTTGCATCGACCCATCTGTCGCTCATGGGTGTAACGACTTGGACCTCACCCAGACGATGCACCTGCCACCGCGTTTTATATCCCATTGTGCTGATTCTTCCCTATTCCACATGTCCCATCAGCTCAAGGAAGTCGACGGAGTCGCCTACGAGGCCGACTGCGCCGTCATCACCCTTCGTGCCGGTCAAATCGACATTGGTGCCAACGCGTAAGTCTCACCTTACAGCCATACTGGGCTGACTCGACGCCAAGACAAGTGGCTCATCCTCGTCGTGATTCTGACCCGCCTGCGCAGTTCGGCCGAGGAAGCCGAGGAGGACCTCCAAGAGGGTGACTCGCAGGTCAACAACATTGTCAACTCGTTTCGCTTGACCGCGACTTCGTTTGACAAGAAGTCGTACATGACCTACCTCAAGGGTTACATGAAGGCCGTCAAGGCGCACCTCCAGACCACCAACCCCGATCGCATTCCCGAGTTCGAGAAGGGCGCCGCTGTCCTTGCCAAGAAGTCAGTACGAGTCGAGACTGCTATCTGATGGTCTTGGTGTGCTGAAGTTTTGTTGCGTTCGTGTTCGATCAGGGTCTTGGGCAACTTCAAGGACTACGAGTTCTACACCGGTGAATCGATGAACCCGTGAGTGCCTTCGCGTTCGTCTTGACCTGTATTAGATCAAACAACTGACGTCGGATATTATTCACAGCGACGGCATGGTCGCTTTGCTCAACTACCGCGAGGACGGCACAACGCCCTACTTTACCTTCTGGAAGGACGGACTCAAGGAAGTCAAGCTCTAAACGAACGAAAACCTTGAACGTTTGTTTAAGAGTCCTTGTGGGTTTCCTTTCTTGCCGGCGTCGCTCTTCTACCTTTCTCTTGTTCTAGCTTTGTGTCACTTTTTTTTTTTTTTTCCTCTTGTACCTCCGGGGAAGGTGAAAATACATCCGTGTTTTTTTGGGGGTAATCGACTTGTTTCGCAGACGAGAGGGTGTGACTCGACATCTTGAATTGCCGACTTTGTAATTGGGAGGGGCGAAATTGTGACCACCGAAAAACGGCGCGCGGCGACTGACGATGACACGAGCCTGAAATTCGCTATGGATCGTTGGCGTCGCTCCGCCACCTTCCGCTGCTCCTCTCTCGGTTCAGCCCCCCGCACCCTTACCTACATCATGGTAAGTCAAGCTTTGAAGAGGGCGGAGATGGACGATAGGCCTTGCATTGGGCCAGCGAAGGACGACGTCCATGGGCGCCTCGGGATGAGGCGACGAGGCTCGAGTCGCTGTTGAGCTCCCGTGCGAAGGGTCGCAGCTGCTTGCTTGCTCCCGGCCGTCGTCAGGTGGATCCTCGTTCCGCACGCGTTGGGTCGGGTCGCAAACCTCGCACAAAAGCCGTATTTGCTCACACGCGTCCCCGATGTCGTCACACAGGCACCCATCTCTGCATCAAAAGCCAAGCGAATGGCAGAAAAGGTTAGTACTTTGCCCCTCGAGTTTACCTACATGCGCATTCTCTCTTCGTTGCGACGGACGGACCGGCTGACTTTGAGTCTTCTCGCTACTTTCCCGGGGCCGCCGTTCGGCCCGACATTTTCTTCTCTCTCAACTCGGTCCATGAACATTCTTCTCTGCACCTCGACTCTCGTGTACCGACACCCATAGGCCGCCAAGGCCGCTGCCAAGGGTGAATCCTCGACCGCTTCGTCCAAGACGGGGTCCCGAGCCGGGTCCAAAGCCGCGTCCGCGACCAACACCCCCTTGACCTCGCTCTCGGCCGCCAACTCGGAAGAGGACCTTTCCATGGCCAAGTTGCGCCTCGCGACCGACCGTTCGGGAAGCGGTGTCGTCGTCTCGGATGATCAGAGTCGTGATATCCAGATTCAGTCATACTCTCTGTCGTTCCACGGTCGTCTTTTGATTGAGAACGCCGACTTTTCGCTCAACTACGGTAACCGGTGCGTTATCGGTCAACTAGAAATAGGTGGTCGAAGAGGTGGCTAATCATTTGGGCTGTCATTCCAAAAGATACGGTCTCCTCGGTGACAACGGTTCCGGAAAGGTCAGTTTCCGACTCGCAGTCCCGGTTGATAACATGGACGAAGGCTGACTTCGAATCCATCCTCCGATGATCAGACGACATGGCTCCAATCGATCGCTGCCCGAGATGTCGAGATCCCGGAGCACATCGATATCTACCTCGTCCAGGGTGAGGCCGAGCCGTCGGAGATGACCGCGCTCGACTACATCGTCCAGTCGGCCAAGGAGAAGGTTGCGCGCATCGAGCGACAGATCGAGGAGATGTCGGTCGCCGACAACGTTGACGAGCTCGCGCTCGAGCTCAAGTACGAGGAGCTCGAGGAACTTGACCCCAACACGTTCGAAGCCAAGGCCGGTGCCATCTTGCACGGTCTCGGGTTCGGGCCGGCGATGATGGCCAAGGCGACGAAGGACATGTCCGGTGGATGGAGGATGCGAGTCGCGCTCGCCAAGGCCTTGACGATCCGACCCCACTTGCTCCTGCTCGACGAGCCGACCAATCACTTGGATCTGGAAGCCGTCGTGTGGCTCGAAGCTTACCTGTCGACCTACAACCACATCCTCGTCCTGACGTCGCACTCGGCCGATTTCATGGACACGGTCTGCACCAACATCCTCGACCTGACCCAACAGCGAAAGTTCATCTCGTACGGTGGTAACTACTCGACCTACGTCCGAACCAAGACCGAGAACGAGACAAATCAAATGAAGGCGTACCAGAAGCAGCAGGACGAGATCAAGCACATCAAGGACTTCATCGCCAGTGCCGGAACGTACGCCAACTTGGTCAAGCAGGCCAAGTCGAAGCAAAAGATCATCGACAAGATGGAGGCCGAGGGCTTCATCGAGAAGGTTACCGAGCGCAAGCCGCTCTCGTTCAACTTTGAGGATGTGCGCAAATTGCCGCCGCCGATCATCGCCTTCAGCGACGTCGCTTTCGCGTACTCTGGCAAGATGCAGGATGCGCTGTACAAGGACCTCTCATTCGGTATCGACATGGACTCACGTATCGCCATCGTCGGCCAGAACGGTACCGGTAAATCGACGCTGTTAAACCTCATCACGGGGCAACTGCAACCCCTGCAAGGCACGGTCAACCGCCACCCGTCGTTGAAGCTCGCCAAGTACTCTCAGCACTCGGCCGACCAGCTGCCGTACGACCAGTCGCCGCTCGAGTACTTTGAGAAGACGTTCAAGCCCAAGTTCCCGGACAAGGACATCCAGTACTTCCGAGCACAGATCGGTCGCTTCGGAATCAGTGGCACGCATCAGACCTCGCCGATTAGTCAGTTGTCCGATGGTCTGCGTAACCGAGTCGTGTTTGCGCAGTTGGCGATGGAGCGACCCGACATCCTCTTGCTCGACGAGCCGACCAACCACTTGGACATGGGATCGATCGACGCGTTGGCCAAGGCGATCCGCGAATTCTCCGGTGGTGTCGTGATCGTCTCTCACGATTTCCGCCTGATCTCCCAAGTCGCGGAACAGTTGTGGGAAGTCAAGAACAAGAAGATCTTGGATCTGAGCAAGTCGGACATCAGTATCGTGGATTACAAGAACACGTTGGTCAAGAACTCGCAAGCCGAGATCGAGCGGGCCAAGTTGGTCTCCAAGAAGGGCGCCGCCGGGGGCAAGATCAACATGTAGAATCACACACATACACGTTCCATCATGATCTTCCATTTTTTCGCCCTCTTCTTTTTTCCTCATTTTTACACTTTCCTTTTCTGCTCCTTCTTTGCTGTTCCCTCTTGCTTTTTTCGGCCGTGGTAGACCACGGCCTGTCCTCGCTGGATTGTGGAATTCTATGCGCTTTCCTTGTAGACAAAACACCCAACTCGTCATCGTATCTGAGAGACCGAAAAAAAAAAGTGACCAACGCAAAGTTCAAACAACGGTTGCCCCGACCCGAAGCAGATGGAAGAAGGAAGGGCGTGTGTTTTTCTTTGACCTATCTGTATTATTTTATTTTACTAGTCAAATAAAGTGAAAGGGAGTAAAGAGGCTCTCTATCAGGACAGGGCAGAAAAGCTAAACGGCGATTAGACCGTCCCCGGGATGTGGGGAGGTTGTGGGAGTCTGGGGATTTGTAATCGGGAATGTAGCCTTACAAGTGGCCGATTCGTCGGCTCGCGCGGGGTTGATTGCGCGAGCTTGCGCGGCGGGGATCGTTGGTCGTCAGCGCGGTCAGGCGTCAACCCTTTGTAGGACGACCCCTTTCACGTGCCGACAGTGCGGTCTCGGCGCTTGCACTTGTTCAGAATACACGCGACAATCACCTCGAACAAGGACGGGACGAGCTTGTTTAGAGGTCAGTCTCGGGCTACATGGCTTGATGGAGCGGTATCGGGCTGGTTGCTGGGACGAACGAGCTGGCGTGCTGGTTCGCTTGACGACCGGCGCTGGAACGAGATGCGGTGCATGCCATGACTGTCCAGCCAAGCTCGATGAGATGTGACGTCGCTTACTGTCTTGGCTTGCATCGTCGTGGTGTTGAGACACCTCTCGCACTCGCTTGGCACCTCGCTTCACCGGTGAGGGTGTCGTGGCGAGCTGCTCGTGTGAGCTCGGCTGTCATCGCAGCATATGCACCGTCTTCCTCTTCAGCCCTGGTCTGGTTGATGGATACTTTTGCGGTGCTTGCCCGAGCTTGATCACTGCTTTCGCCCCCCTCCGCGATCGCTTGTCTCGTCGCCGACGACCCGTCTGGCCCCAGCTCGCTCGGCGCTTGCTCGCTCCTGTCGACGCCGTCAGACCGGTCTTCGTTCGCTCGCTTACGTAGATGACTCGACCACGCCTTTCAAGCTGACGTGCTCTATTCCCACCCTCTCCTTAGACTTTTATTCCATCCCACCACTACGACCTCCATGGTCTCCAACGGCAACAGCCTCGGCTTGGCCAGCACGAGCGCCCACACGCTCGAGTCCCAAACCTCCCGCTCGCCTTCGATCGCTTCGAGCTCGGGCCTCATCTCGGACCGCGACATGGTCATGCACGAGGGAAACTACTCGCTCGAATCCGAAGAACAAGAACGCGACCGGGACCGGGGCCGCGAAGCCGATCCCGACGTCGAGGAAGAATCGGCCGACGACTCGGACTTTCTCGACGACGATCAGGCCGGCGGCAATAGCTCGTCCCTCTCCTTGGCCATCACTTCCCCTGCCGTCGCCACACCTCGACCCAACTCGCTGTCCACACCGTGGCCGTTCAATCAGGGTAGTCATGGTCCTTCACCACTGTCGACGATGAGCTATGCACCTATCTCGCACCCGACCGTCTTGACCTCGAGCGCACCTGTCACCATCTCGTCTGAAGCGGCCTTACTTACGACGACTGCGCCGATCCCCGCTTCCTCTCTCCCGCACGAGATCCTGCTCCACATCCTACGCCTCCTACCGGCTGCATCACTCTCCCCGGCCCTGCTCGTGTGCAAAGCCTGGTGCCAGTGCGGTGTCGAGTTGCTATGGCACAAACCGTCGTTCACCTCGTTACCGTCGCTCTCGGGAATGCTGCAGGTCATCCACTCGCTCGACCAGACATTCCCGTACCCGACCTTTATCCGACGACTCAACTTTTCGACTCTACACGAGGAGATGACGGACAAGGTGTTGCGCAAATTGCTGCCGTGCGTACGGTTGGAGCGACTTACGCTAGCTGGATGCCGAACGCTCGGGCCCGAGAGCTTGATCGCGTTGCTGAGCAATTGCACGAGGCTGGCGGCGTTGGACTTGAGTGACGTCGTTGAAGTAAATGACGCGGTGTGCCAGGCGATCGCGAAGAGCAGTCCAAAACTCCAGGGGTTAAATCTGAGCGGGTGCAAGGAGGTGACGGATCTCGGGATGGAGACGATCGCGAAACGGTGCAAGTCGCTCAGAAGGGTATGTTCAGCTTCCTCCCGATTGGGACGCCGAGAAGTGATTGGACTCATCAATCTGCTTCCTGGTTGGACATGGACAGATCAAGCTGCGACAAGTCTCGCTCATTTCGGACAGCTCGGTCATTCTGCTCTCGATCAACTGCCCGCTCCTGCTCGAAGTTGACCTCATTGCCTGCACGAGGCTCACGTCGCTTTCACTACTGCAAATCTTCCGAACTTCGCCCGCTTTACGTGAGCTCTCTCTGCAGGGATGTGCCGAAATCACGGAGGATGCGTTCCCGTCTAGCTCGATGATCCATTCGCTCGGCTCGACGCGCGAGTACAACATGCCCGAGGACTCCGATCGATCGACCTCTCCTCTACCTCCCCTCGTCGCCATGGACGGCTCGCACATTCCTCGGCCGATACCGATAGATGCTTCGCCCCGCCTCAAGCCGTTCGAACATCTGCGATACCTCGACCTCACCAGTGTTGCCCAGCTGACCGACGAAGCGGTTGCCGGGATCGTCAAGTATATGCCGCGCATCCGGAACCTCATCCTCGCCAAGTGCGGTCGATTGACCGACGATGCCATTCATTCGATCAGTCTGCTGGGCAAGCACCTCCACTACCTCCACCTCGGTCATGTGTCCAACATCACCGACGTCGCCGTCACCGCCTTGGCCCGGTCGTGCACTCGACTGCGATACATTGATCTGGCATGCTGCACACGGTTGACGGACCTGTCCGTCTTTGAACTTGCTACGAACCTCCCTCGCCTCAAACGCATCGGTCTCGTCCGGGTCGCAAACATCACCGACGAAGGCATTCAAGCGCTCTTGCAACGCACCTCGCTCGAACGGATCCATCTATCGTACTGCGAGAATCTGAGCGTGTTGGCGATCCATCACCTCTTGTCCTGTTTGCCGAGGTTGACCCATCTCAGTTTGACGGGCGTGCCGTCGTTCCGAAGGGCGGATTTGCAGACTTGGTGCAGGATGCCTCCTAGCGTGAGTGCGACGAGGAACCTCCCACGGTAGGTAGGAGTGCAGGTGCTTACAGTTCTCTTGGTGCGCTTTCTTCATTTGCAGACCTTCAATTCGCACCAACGAACCACCTTCTGCGTCTACTCCGGTAAAGGCGTGCACGAGCTCCGGCGATTCTTGCGCAACATGCATGCCGACATGGAACTCGAAGCGGCCGCCGCCGTCTGGAATCAAGGCGTCACGAACGGGACCCACGTTAATGATGGGCAGGGGATGAATATCGGAGCTCCTGGGAATGCGGGTGGTGCCGGGATGCCGAGGGCTCAAGCGGCGGCGCCGAGGAGGATAGCTTTCAATCCTGGGTCTTTGCAGATACCGCCTCATAACCCGGCTGCTCGACAAGCTCGGCTATTGCAGCAACAGCAGCAGCAGCAGCAGCAGCAGCAGCAGCAGCAGCAGCAACAGCAGCTTAATATCTATCAGCAGCAGCGCCTGCAGCCACCACATCAGCATTACCAGCCCCAGCCGGGGCAGATGCCATTACAGCTTCAACAACTTCAACTGCATCCCGCCCCGCCCTTTCACGTAGGACCCATCCCACCTCAAAACGGTTCAACCCAGCGCAGTAATGGCGCCCAGCCGGCAGCAGGGGGAGTACCTCATCCAATAATGATGAACGGCCAAGCTTTCCTCGGTCGACCGTCGTCGACGCCACCTCACGGAGCGGACTCGCTACTATCCTCGACATCAAACAACAACGGTGCGCCTGATCGAGCTCAAATTGGTGCATGGGCATGGGATGCGTCCCGTAATACGGGCTCGTACCTCCATGCTGGTTCATCAAACCTCACCCGAGCGGGTTCGGCAGGTCCTTCGATGATGGCTACGAATGGGGGACGCGATCGGACCGCGACTTCGACGTCGAACTCTTCTTTGGCGCAACAGAATCGATTGAGGGGGTTGGACATCTCGTCGATGAATAGGGCTTCGACGAGTGCGGATGAGGGGATGAGGAACGTGAGTTCGACATCGCCTTCGACGAGGTCGAGACCACGGGGTGCGACGTTGACGAGGGGGAATTATCGGGGAGTGGATGAGGATGATGGGAGGGGCATGATGGATGGTGGTGCTGGGGCTCTGACGCCGGGGAGTGCGACGCCGAGTGAATCCGATGTTGAGATGGGGTGATGATGCGGGGTCGGTGGGGTCAAGGAGGAAGGAAGGACATTTCTTTTTCGTCGCTGTTAGCCTTTCATTGTGTCATTGTTTGCCATGTTTCGCCCATTTTTCTGACGTTCGTTTGTACATGATGCATGTTTAGTGATTCCAAATATTTTGCTATCGTAGTCTCCTTAAGACTAAAGGTGTGACCTGCGCGCGAGAAGAAGTGTGTAAACCAAATCGTGACAATGCAAGCTGCAAGCGACATTCTAAAAATACCAAGAAACATCCTTCCCGTTCAACTCGATCACCGCTTCCCCCCTCTCCTCGCTTTGTCCATCTTCTTGGCATGTTCCTTGATCCCCTTCTCCTTCTTCTCCTCGGCCCTCTCGTCCGCCAACCCGACCATAATCTTCTTAATCTTGGCCTCGTACGCCACATCCTTCTCCCTCTTCTTCTTCGCCTCCTCTCCCGCCAAGAACCGATTGTCCTTTCGCAATTCCCGAATCGCGCCCTTCTTTTCTTTCTTGACCAAGCTGCGGAGTTTGTTGGTTTCGTTGCGCTGGGTGTCGGGGTCGAAGCGACGGTTCGGGTTGAAGCCTTCGTCGAACTTGGGGATGTAGGTCGCGATCGGGATCGGCTTGTGGTGTTGCAGGGTGAGGGGTTGACGAGAGGAGCGAGAGAGGTTGAGCATTCGCTTAAGCGAACTTTGCAGGGTTGTCAGAGAGGTCTGTGGGGGAAAGAGATGCAAAGGCGTCAGAACGTGACGGTAGTATCCGTGCGATGGGTCTGACTCACCTCTAGTGCTCTGGGCAACGACTTGGCCAATGCCTTGGAAACGATCTGCTGCACCGGGTCGAACAATTCGATAAAAGCCTCCAGTCCGACAACGTACATCTCCGCGAACGAAGTCAACAACTCGACCGCGACCAAGACCAGATCGGCCTTGGCTTGGGCGTCATCGTCCTCGATCTCTGTCAGGGTCTTGGAAAAATCCAACGAGGGTGAAGCCTTGCTCTCCTCGGAGAGTTTCGCACTCGCTTTGGTACTCAGTCGTAGACCCTTGACGTGCTCTTGGCCGAAATCAGGTAGAGGGAACGTCCCCGGGACATTCTTGACCGTGTACCCCGAAGGCAGTATCACGATCAAAGTCGTCTGGAGAAAGTTCAACGCCTCGGGCACCAAGCGTTTACTCAGCGCCTCGTATTGGTTCGCCAACGTGCACAGGAAGAGACCTGCCGCGATGTCGCGTAAGGAACGTATACGGGCTTGAGCAAGGTATTGCGAGATGAGGAGCATCGCTGGTGCTGCGACGGGGTGCGAAAGATCCGATGTTGACCACGTCATGCCGATCAAACGCAAGAGGGTCAACTCGGCCGGTCCAGGCCAGGTCGCCGAGTTCGGGTCCAAAGGTCCTCGACTGACGCCTCGAACAAAGTTCTTTTGCATCATTGTGAGCTTGTTAACGTAGTAAGGGGCGGTGGTGAGAGGGTAGGCGTGGGAGAGGGTCAGGAGTGAAGGGAGGATCGAGTTAATCGTCGTGAAGGCCGTCTTGGAGGGAGTTGAGGCGAGGTAGAGCGCATGGTCGATCAAGACGTGAGTGAAGACTTGAAGCTTCTCCTTGTTTGAGGGACCAAGTCCGGGATGATACAGGGTTCGAATGCGTTTGACGACGGTCGACGTCTCGGCTTCCTCGACACCGGACGATGCGAGCAGCTTGACGAATTCTGCATGCGTCGAAGGGCAAGGAAAGGCAAAGGGGAGCTCGCGTTTGACCGAGTTGGCATCCGGTCGCTGCTTTGGCTTGGGCGGGAGAGTCTTAACCAGCGACTCGATCTTGTTCTCGTCGTCGTCCTGGTCAAATTCGGGCTCGTCGTCAAAGTCGGCGGCGTCGAGATCTTCTTCATCGTCGTCGTCGTCCTCATCGTCCTCCTCATCATCATCCGAGCCCTCTTCCTCGTCCTCGTCTTCACGTTCATCGTCGCTGACATTAAAAGCGACCATCTCCTCCTCCCCAAGACCTTTGCCGATCCCCGCCTCATCGCCTTCAAACCCACCATCACTCCCATCAGCCATATCGCCCAAATAATCATCCTCCAGATCATCAGCCTGCGGTACCCTCTTGTTCGCCTTCTTCTTCTTCTTCCCGTCCCCACCCTGCTCTTCATCACTCTCATCGTCCTCCCCGCGCTGTCGCTTCAACCGCTTGTCTTCGCGCTTCTTCAACTCGTCCGCGGCTTCCTGAGCCAATTCCAAAGGCGTCTTGAGTCGATCACTGGGTTTACCTCGTGGTTCGAGCGCCAACATGCGCACGTATGAGTCGTAAGGATCCGCATTATCCTTTTCCGTCGGTGCGACCGCAACAGGTCGCGAGGAATCGACACCCCCAAGATCGTAAACGGGAGCAGGAGCAAGTCGGCCCTTCTCCGCATGTGCAGTTTCCTCCTCAGTCTCGGATTCAGACTCGTCACTTTTACCGCCGATGAGTTTGCGCAAGAGTTCGCGGTCGACGCCACCGGGTTTCTTGGACGCGGCCAAGGCGGCTTCGAGTGCTTCATCGTCGAGCGAGTAGGTCGAGCCGTCGGATTCGGTACCGGATTCGTCGTCGCCTTCGTCGTCGTCGCCTTCGTCGTCGTCTTCTTCGTCGTCGTCTTCTTCGTCGTCTTCCTCTTCGTCGTTGTCATCGTCCTCCTCGTCGTCGTCATCTTCCTCATCGTCCCTCCCTTCAGCTTCGGCGTCTTTGACGACGGTCGGTTTCGGCATCCTGCCCGTCCCTCCAAGGAGTACCCTAAGGTCCTTCAACTCTTGATCCACCTCGTGCCTCATCTCGTCATCGGCGGACTTGATTCTCTGTCGTTCATGCTTGTACATTTTGCTCTTGGCGACGACTTGTTCCATAATTTCGGCGTGGGTCAACTTTCTCCCTCCCTCATCGACACGTTCTCGTTCCTCATCGTCGCCGTCGTGGTCGGTCATGCCGGCTGCGATGCGTCGACGAAGGAGGGGTTCTCGATTCGATGAAGAAGCTCCGCCTTCGACTGCTGCTCCTAGCCCACCCCATCCACCATGTTCCAATTCTTCCTCATCGCCAAAGCCCAGCTTTCTCCCTCCATGAGTCAATTCGACGCCTTCCTCCTCGCCCGAATAATCATCCTCGTCTTCCTCGAGGTTGAATCTCGCTTTTTTTCCTTTACCTCTTTCCCTGGATGAGGAAGAAGGCAAGGGTTCGTCCAAGCGAGCTTGTCGTTCGGCGGTGAAGCGGGTCAAGGCTTTTTCGTCCGGGGTCAGATCGGTCGAATGTTCGCCGAAGCGTCGGTCGACGAACGTCGAGACGTGGGATCGGGCTTCGAGGAGAGGGAGGAGCGTTTTCTTCCTCTGTGAATGATTGCGCAAGCATGTGAGCTGAGTAAGTCGGTGTCCTGCGAACTTGTTGCTGCCCAACGTACCAACTCGATGCCTGCCGTCCTGGACTTGGTCGGTGCCCCTCCCGGCGTCTTCTCGATCTGCCCTTTCCTGGTCACGACCTCGAATTTGACCTTTTCATCTGTCCGATCGAACGGATTGAACTTTTGCGCTATCGCCTCGAGTTGGGATCGACGGTGCGCGAGGGAGGTCGACGAGAGCGCTTTGGTCTGTCGTCGCTTCTTGCGTTGGTCTTTGGGGTTCGACGTGCGCGAGAGACCGGCCTCGCGTAGGCTCGATTTGAGCGCTGTGAGTTGGGAACCACCCATCGCAAAGTGTCGAACGGGGTGTGTGTGCGTGTGTCTGTGGACGACTCGACTCGACCGAAAGGGAAGGGAGGCGGAGGCTGGCGGAGGTGGAGCTTGCGCTTGAGCCGGTCGCGAGAAGTGGAGCTGAGCCGCTGCTGAGCCGCTGCTGCGAAGGGCCGAGATCGCGCCGCGCGTGACTTCGCACGGACCGCCAATTCGTCATTAGTAATCGAGTTTTGAGACTCGGACCCAGCCAGAAGCCCCTGAGCTCTGAGCTGCGTGGGAGCCACTCGGTTCCTCACCGCCCTCACCGCCCTCACCGCGGATAGCTCACCGACATGGACTCGTCAGCGAACGCAGCGCTGCAAGCAACGTCGGATACATGTCGCTACGCACTGCACCTCTCCACCGCGAGCTCGACCTGCTCGAGTACAAACTGGAGCTCTTCGTCGGATCGTCTTCAGGCCGTACAAGCCGAAATACTCGCCTACGTCCACACCCTAACGCACAACTACATCTGGCACAAACAACCCTTCCACCTCGAGCCCCAAATCAAACCAGGGACCTCGTCCTCCCCCCTCTCGACGCTGTCCGGCTCAAGCGACGTCACGGATGCGATCGATGACGAGTGGTTCCTCGTATGGATACTACGACAAGTATCCCTCAAATTACCCCAGGTCGTGGTTCAAGTCGAGGATGATGATGGGCAGTTCCTGTTGATCGAAGCCGCGCAGGTCTTGCCCAAATGGATCACACCGGATAATGCCTTGAACAGGGTCAGTCTCCACAGTGTTTAGCTGACGTGCAGACACCCCAACTGACCTCTGACTCTTCTTTGCAGGTCTGGATCCATCAAGGTCGCTTGCATCTCGTACCCTTGCAACACACCTCGTCGATCCCGTTCGATCCCAAGGCTACACCCTCCTTGGAAGACGATCCTGAATCTCAAGCCTTCATCGACCACATCACCGCCATCGAATTGGTCCAGGATCCCAACGTCGATACTCTAGCTCCAAAGGAGGTCGAAGAGGTTGTTTGGGCAAGGATAGAAGGGTAGGTATTGCGAATAGCTTACGATCGGGACTGTTGAGAGCACGGGAGAACTGAATCTGCCATGCTCTTTTGTTTTTTTGATCCCAGCTACCCGGACAAGGTTCAACAACACTTGCACAAGTCACTCGCGTACCTACCCCTTGATATTGTTCTCGCATTGGAGGATTCACCGTCTTTGATTGCGGAAGCCGTAGCGGCTTTCTACGAAAGGGAACCCGACACGCTCAAGGTGAGCTCTCCTTCCCCGATCGGAAGGAACAGGACGTACGTCAGCTGAATCCTCTCCCCTTCCCTTAGCCATGCAACACCATGCACCGATTTCCACCGACCTCACCCACTCAAGCATTCCTCGAAAGCGCCCCTACCGAAGCGCCCACCTCTGTCACCACCTCACTCCCCTCCACAACCCTCTACTCGACAACACTGACTAGACCTCTCTATTCGCAATTGGTGATGCAGAGGTTCTTCCCTCCCAAACCTTTTGACAAGGTCGGTTGGGAGAAGGAACCTTTCTTCGGGGAGGGGGATAAGAGGTGGAGGAACGTGGGGATGAAGATTGTAAGTGCCTTTCAAAGGTGTGGATGGTGGAAAGAGAAAAGGCAACTGATTCGGTCTGCATTTGATCCTCATCCCCCAGGCATGTGGTTTCGAAATGCTCTACGCCTCTTCCTCCAAACACAACCCGATCACAACCCCCACCCCCGAACCACCTACTCCCTCGGACCGAACATATCAAATCTACCTCACCTCGCTCCAATCCCAAGGGTTCTTCCACCCCCATCCACCGGGGAGTGAGGAATACGAACTACTTGAATCCCAAGCTCGACAAGCTTATTCACGAGCCAAAAGAACGTCTTCTCCCTCCTTCGATTCCGAGATTTCGGACTTTGGCACTTGCTTCGCCCAACGCGTTGAAGAAGCCATCTCACGTACTCGATCGAAAATACAACGCTTCGGATCGTCCCGGATCGAAAAGAAGGTTCTTCGTAAGCGCGTTGAGGAGGATGTTGTGCGAGATTGGGGATTGGAAGATAGTGAGCATTGGTTGGGGTTGGATCAGGATGGATTGGAGGAGTTGTTGAGAGGTAAAGGAGGCTTTGAGGGGGAGGATGAAGAGATGTTTGGATCGTTTGATGATGAAGACGACGACGAGGAGGAGGAAGATGGGGAAAGGGAGGAGGGTAAGATGAAGGTCGATTTTGAAGAGGTGTCGATGGATAAGGAGGAACAGAGAAGGGCGAAGAAGGCGGCGAGGAAGTTGGGGAGGATGGCGGGACAGGTGGAGAAGTTTCTGGAGGGCAAGGGGTCCGTCCAAGGGGCGACTTTTGAGGATGAGCAATCGGATGAGGACGATGGGGAGCATGAGGATGACGAAGATGGCGAGGGAGAAGAGGTGGTTATGAGTGAGGAAGAGAAGAAGAGGAGGTTGGCGAGCTTGGTCAAGGGCTTGGAGGAGAGTGAATGGGGGGCCAAGACGATCGAAGAAGAGACACCTTCGAAGGCTGAGGAAGAATCAAAGGCGAAGGACACTATCGACGTCCCACCGAAGACCAATGCAGCCCGAGCACCTCAATTGACGCGCAACAAATACGACGGCGCTTCCGAGTCCGACGATTCCTCCGACGACGAAGAGGAAGGGCAAGAAGGCCTGGGAGGATCTTTACCGGGTATGAATGAGGATTTGACGGGGAGGGAAGGAGAACAAGGAGAGGATGCCCCAGCGGTCGAGATGGATATGGAGGAGGAGATAGACGAGTTTCTCAAGTTCGCGACGGAGACGTTGGGGCTAACTCCGGAGCAGTACGAGGATATCCTCAAGGAACGAAAGGGGAGGGGAGGTGAGTGAGACAGAGAAGGTATGAGGTCCGCGCCATGACGTGTTATTGACCTCTTGCCTTTGCTGTCTGTCATCTCTCAGCCTTCGTCCCAGGGCCGAGTAAAGCCAAAAAAGTCAACCTCATTCCTTCATTGCCCGAAGAAGCCTCCTCCATCTCGAAAGACGGCGCCTCAAAGACCAAAGCGCCCAAACCGACTGTTCCGAACCCACCTTTACGCAATCCGAACTTAAGCAACTTTGACGCCCTGATGCAACAAATGGATTCCGAACTCGCCAAAGTCAAACGACAGACACACACCGAGCCTTCAAAATCGTCGGCACCCAAGACGAAATCGACGCCCAAACCCAAACCTGGTCGTACCACTTCAAAGGAGAAGGACTCTTCACGCATTGTCATCGATTCGGACTCTGACATGGATTCCGAAGACGACGTAGGCGAGATGGACGCCGAACTCGCAACACTCTTCCACCAAATGAGCGGGACCGACGCCGAACGTGACCCAGGTCCCCTGGATTTGAACTTGGTGAAGAACTTCCTGGAGAGTTTCCAGAATCAAGGTGGGTTTGCGGGGCCGGCGGGTACGTTGAGTGGGAGATTGGGGTACCAGTTGCCGAGGAAGATGAAGGATGATGATGCGGAAGTTTGAGACGAGGAAAGCTTGCGGGAGGATGCCGAGCTTTGGCACGAGATGGGAACGGCTTTGGGGGCTTCGATCCCCCGGAGATGAATGCTGTTGCAAATGCATAAAAAAAGGGGGGGGGGGGGGGATCTTCAATGAGAAAGGAAAGAAACAGAAAAGCTATAATGCTATAATGCTCCCGAATGACGCTTCTATGTGAAAACCTTGACCGATTATGCTCCCCGACATACTTCCTCACTTGTCTTGACTCGACGTCGACGACTCGGACCCCCTCTCCCAACTACTGCACAGCCCCTCCAAACTCGGCAACTTGAGGCAAATGATACCTCCAACATTCGACTTGTTGATCCGAACAGGTTCGACGTGCGAAGGTGGCGGCCGACTGGGGATCGTGAACATGATGCGATCGACGGCGATTGTTGACGGCGGTGTCGTGCCGCTCACACGGAGGAGATTGTTGATCGACGGATGGAGGAAGAGCGGAGAGGGGGCGCATTGTCTTCTCCGGACCATGATGGGATCTGATATGGTCTTGTTGTATCGGTACCGGATGCGGTGTGCGCGCGAAGGTGTTGCGCTTGATCGAACTTGAAGGGGTTTTGAGAGTCGCACGATGGCTCGGGAGCTCCTGGCTGTCGGGTTTATTGCCGAGTCAGTCTCTTCAAGCCCCATATGAGTAGGGTACTAGGTAGTCGCACTCACGATGGCGTTACGTGGTCCTCAGACAAAGTATGAGCGGAAGGTAAGATCCAACGAATCCGAGATGCTCGAGGTGTAATGACAACTTGTCCCAAGTGCCAAGCCTGCTCGGCGCTCCCTGAAAATTGCTCGTTCCAAGACTACGCGAGTCGCGACGACGATCAGCACCAAAGCCGAGGCGAACGGCGCACGCGACGCGACGTACTCGAGCCGAAGAGACGACGTAGTTCGCGGCTGCTGGCGCCGGCGCTCGTGAGGAGGTGTCTCTCTTTCGGAGGAACGGGCGATCGATGAAAGTCGGACGACGATGACCCTTTTGTGGGACCTAATGATGTTGGAGAGTTAGGTCTCGACTATCCTGTCCAGCTTACCATCACAAGAAGGGAAGGAGGGTAACCCTGGTCGTCCATGGTCCGTTGTCTACCTGAGTTCGGTCCAAGTCGGACTGAGTCTCACTTGGAGCACCGTTGTCCGACGTTTTGCCGGGTATCGCTGTTTCGCACCCGGATCTGTTGCACAGCTTTCCTTTTTGTCTTTACTTCCCAAGGGCCTTACTGCGAACGCACGGGCGCTGAAGTTTTCTTCCACGACGTATACGACGACTGAGCCGAGCAAGCGGCCCAAAAATAATTCACCGCCCAGCGTTTATTTTCCGTATTTGAAGAAGCGACCCGAGCGCGCTTCACGCCCGTCGTCCGTTCTTCCCGCTCTCTTGTCTCTGCCACACCCCAGTCCACCGTTATCACGTCTTACGCTCACGCTAGCCGAAAGCGATAGAGCACCGGTTTCTACTTCGGGTCACTATAATTTACGTAGGGCACAGCTTGAGCCGTCTTGCTAGGACGAGGCGCTGCGTTCAGGGGGAAGGAAAACTGCCGCTGCTCCACCCTTCGCAGGCCCACGACTCCCAAACCCCTCTCGCCCATCACTGCCACCCGATCACTGCCCTTTCCAACTACTCCTTCAGTCCCGCCTTGTCAGCGATCATTTTACATCAACTTTTGGGGCACTCCTGCTGCTTTACCTCCCACTTTACTCGGCCCTCCTCTCGCTCCGCTCCGACCCGACCTTACCGACCGGCTTGTCTTAAGGCTCCCAGCAGAGGTGACCATTCCTCCCTTTCAAGTCAGAAACCCATCGAAATCAAACACCGCATTTCGAGCCCATCGTCATCGTCTCTTTCGATCCTTTGGGTTCTCGTACGGCGTTTCCTTTTCGTTCTGATGGGATGCTCGGATGCACGATCCTCGATCCCTCTATCAGGGGATTCATTGCTGGGTTCTGAGTCATTACAAGCCCAAACCAAACCTTCGCACCTCACCTTGATCTCTCCCTCTAACCGGGGCAACCCCTTTCTTTACCGCACGTCCCCGGACGTTCATTTTCCCATCGTCCTCTCGTCGTTCATGCCTCTCCTTTCTTCGAAACTCTACATTCACCTTTCCAAACCCCCCTTCATCAACTCGACTCGTACTGCGAGGTGTTTTGTTTCTTACAAATCTTTACGAGGGTGAAGGTTGGATTTCGGAATACCGAGCAAGGGTTGATGTTCACTTTTTGTTTCAAACGAGAAGGGAACAGGGAAGGAAGAGGCTTCTTTGAACGTCTCTTGCACTTTTTTGGGGGTGTGTGGGGATGTGAAAAGAGATGATGAGAGGTGCTTTAGGAGACGGGAGAGGCGTTGATGACGAACGGTGTACATTCTAATTTGCTTCTGCGTTCTGCTCGCTTTGGAGCTTTGGAATTCATCCCTTTTCTCAAAACATGGCTCGCTGAACCGAGAACAATTTGACATGTGTCATATGATACTAGGAACGAGAAAGAGGCAAAGTGTCTAATTAGGGCCAAGAGAGGTAGAAAGGAAGGGTAAAGACGGAGAGACGGGTGAAAAATGCAAACAAGAGGACAGAGGAAACGACGAATAGGGGAGGGAAAGGGCATGACACAAATCGCACAAGCGTTCAGGTGGCGAGTGGGTGGGTAGGGGGAGAATAAGCTTCGTCTAACAGATAGAGAGAGGAAAGACAGAAAGACAGCTGAGAGGGGGTTAAACGGGTTTACTCATCGACACCTGACCAAGAGGAAAAAGTGAAGACGACAGCGTCCATTGTGTCCAAGGTCCGTGCCGTCATGAATGATTCGTCCATTCATAATCTGCGGACCAACGTCACATCGTCCAAACATCGGTCGTCATCGTTCATCCTCGTCTAGATCAACAAAGTCGAGGCGGCCATCACGGCGCCAAGCACAGTAAAGACAGGCGCGAGGATCGACATGGCCCCACTGCCAGGACTGTTGTTGGAGTTGGAACTCGAAGAACCCGTGCCAGCGGAACCGGCAGCAGAGGTCGTGCTCGTCGACGTGCTGTTGCCACTGTTCCATGGCTTGCCATCACCACCGGTCGAAGCGGGAAGACGCTGCACGGGGCTGATGGTCTGGGCTCCGAGTCGGCCGTTACCGATGGTAACCCACTGGCCGATCGAAGGGATGCCGTCAACGACGACAAAAATGAGGCAAGGGCCGGGGACGAGGATCGCGGCGTTGGGAGGGACGGGGGAGACGTGCAGCACGGCCGAGCCATCCGAGTTGGCGGTGAAGGTCGAGTCGAGCTGGACGAAACGTTGGCCCATATTCATCGCATGGGTCGAAAAGCCAGGTCGGATCAGCACGACCTTAGTGTTGTCGAGCTTCGAGACGTTGCCGACATCGCTCTTGGACAGAGTGACGTTGAAGTACGAGCCACCGTAGCCGAGCGTCGTCGGGAGACCGGTCGGCTGCGGGCGCGTCGCGGTGAAGTAGTCGGGATAGAATCGCTCGACGCGGTACTCGGTAGGATAGGTGTAGCCAGGGGTGCCGGGGGCGACGTAGTCGGCATTGGGGTTGGAGCCCGATGACAAGATCGATCCGTCGGGGAGGAGAGTCGCTGAGGAGTGGTACATGCGGTCAACGGTCGAGTTGGCGACGATCTTGGAGAAGCGCTTGCCCGAGGCGGCGTAGGGGTCGTAGTAGCGAATGGAGTGAACGGGCTCGTCACCGAAAGATTGACCGATGGCCCACGACGTGTTTCCGTAACCGGCTGTACCTTTGCCGATACCGTTGATCACGACAAAGCGACCGTCGGGAAGACTGATAAGATTACCCATCACTCGGCCCTCGGGCAGCGGATCATCATCGACCCAGTTGGTCGAGACATCGGGGGTCATGGACACACACGTGCTGTCAGCGGGGTAAGCGGCGATGTTCCAAGAGGTGACCCATTGGTCGGGCTGCAAGTTCGTGCCACCGCAGAAAAGGATGGTCGCCGTCCAGTTGTTGGCCGGGGTGAGCGGCAGCATGCCGGTGGCAGCCGATCCGGGGTAGGTGCGGACGGCGTGAGGCATATCGGAGACAGCGTACTCGACGTTGTTCTTGTAGTCAAAGATCTCGGTACCCAAGTTGGCGTTGATGAAGATGTTACCCGAAGGGAGCAGCCACGTCAGCGGGAACAAATTCGCCGGCAAGGTCGTGGTGAGGATGTTGAGGCCGATCGGACCGCCCTTTGACGGGTAGTACTCGTACGTCGGGTTGTTCTGCGACTTGTCGTTGACGTATCCTCCCCAGTCACAGCCTCCGATGACGATCATGGATCCATCTTCAAGCGTTTCTAGTGTCGGATACCATCGGCGCGTTGTCATGTAGTTGGCCCCATCGTCGATCCAGTCACACTTTTCATCGGTGCACACATCCAGTCGCCTGAAGCATCGAGGGGCAAAGGTACGTGTTAAGCACCCACTTGTCTTCGAAGAGGTAATCGAAGAGTAGGTCCACTCACCGTGTCGCCTTCCCACCATCGCCGTTGACGTAAGGATCTGGGACAGCGTTGGCGTTGAGCCCACCGGGACCGACGGGCTGATTGCCACCAATGTTGACCCAGGTGCCGTTGCCGAGCACGTTGCCACCGGCGCAGAACGAGTTGGTTTTGATGTCCATGGTGCGGAACGTGTTGTCGGTGTAGTCGTACTCGGTCGCCCATGCTGGGTGGCCGCTGGTGGTGTTGACCGGGTTGCGTTCGGTCTTGTCGACGATGTAAACCTTGTTGGATTGGCCAAGGAAAAGTTGCTGTGCACTGTTGTGATCATAAAAGGGGGGTGAGAATGGGATGTTCAGCGACCGTCCGTCCTCCCAAGCACGAGGTCCAGGCTAGCTACGGGCGATCATTTTTTTGGTTGGAAAACGCCGAGCCGGCGGCGGTGTCGGTGGGAAGTAGACGCGCCGCGGGCCCGCGCGGTGTTGCGGGGTAGGGTGCATCGCATCGCATCTGGCGAGTCCGATTTGGAGTGCCAACGCCTCGGAGTCGACCGCATCTCGCACACAAGGTACAGGGCGAAGAGCTGTCCATGAAAGCGATTGCTCGCCGTCACGTGACAACACAAAGGACACGGTGTGCACATGCACGCTCGCACGTCCCTCGCGCCGAGAATGCCGCACGCCCATTGTTGGGCCGCGCTCCGTAGGCCGAGGTTGGGTGACGACGATGGCAGGCGAAAACGCGCGTGCGCGCCGCGAGCGAGTCACCGGAAAGTGAGGCCATCGATCCGTCGAAAGCGATTTACTCCGGCCGGGCGTGCTTGGCGTCCCAGTTCGCACGGCCTCGTTTCGTGGTGTGGTGCGATACAGCCATGTCGTCCCAGCCGAACACGATCCAGAAGAGTAAAAGAGCAACAAGACAATGAAGTTGAACTGACCTGACCCCCGAATTGCCAACGATCTCGATCGTGTTGTCCGCAGGCGCCGCGGAGCTGAGCGTCGCGAGCAACGCGGTCGTGAAGGTCGTCGCCACCCGCGTCGTAGATGGGGTTCGCATATTGGAGTGGAGGCGAAGGCAAGCTAGGGGGAATGTGAGATGACCGATACAGACAAACAAATGGGCGGTGCTCGTCAACAAGGGGTCGTGTCGCACGTGTAAAGGAGTGTGTAAGCCTCTGAGGGTCAGTATGGGAGTGAAAACAAGCCCTCGGGAGCCTGGCTCGCGCATTCGGCGCGAGATGCGGACGCTTCGAATTCCCCACCCTCGCTCTTCGCCGACTTATATTATTCGGAGAGTTCCGAATTGAATCAAGGAGCGTTCTAGCATACCTACCCCACGCTTGGAGGGTCAATACTTGCGACTGACTCGCAAAAGCACATGGAGTGAATACCCAATTTTGCTTTCCGGGATAAAGACAGACCCTGAACAGTGGTTCTCTGAGAGACATCTGCGCCGTAGCCCTGGAAAAAGGGCCAAGCGCCATAGTGACCCCTGAACCGAACTGATTATTTCTTCTCGCACCTGGTGTCTGTATGTTTCACGTTTTTGTCAGTGCCTTCAGTGCCTTCAGTACTTTGATATTACTGGCACTCGTACCGGGTGGTTAAATAGAAACGACCTTGAGAATGTTGGACCTTGTGCTCCACGCGACGCGCTGCACTGCTCACTCGGGCTCATGACGTATCGCGTGCCGCACGGACCCATCGATGCAAAATCGGCTGCGTTCCAATCATAGCACACGAACACAGAAAGGCAATCATAGAGTCTGTGCACTGGCAGTCGTAATAGTGGGACTTCAAAGTAACAAAACCGTCCCCTCTTCCTTCTGGCCCATGATTATTATGAATGGAAGAAAGCTGCAGTGAAGCCGAATGTTAAGCAGTGCCGGCGCTCTTCGGTTCGAGCGATCGGCACAATCGATGCTCTCCCTTTTGCTCTCTCAATCCATTAGCGCTCACGAGACATCATGACAGAGAAGAGTGCAACACTCAGCTTTGATATCAGCAAACGAGACCCGTCATTCACGTCTTCTACCAAGGACTATACGATCTCGTACACGCACCATGAACCTACGGTCAAGTCGGAGGGAGGCAAAGAGCTGCCTTTCTTAGTTCTGCTGCATCGTGAGTCCACTTCACCTTGAAATATGACTCAGGGTATATCCCGGGGTGCATACAATATTTCTCCTTCTGCAAAGCGACCCATCAGCTATCCCGCGAGCTCGACCTGGAGCGTAACCCCTGGGCACTAACACGTCTCCCCTTCTGCCCCTCTGCGACGGAACAGACTTCAACGCCTCCCGAGAATACTGGAAACCCCAAATCAAGAACCCTCTCTTGGCACCTTATCACAAGATCGCCGTCGATGCCCCCGGGTTCGCCCAATCGCGCACTTCTCCAGCGGGGTCAGCCTGGTCTTTCGATCTCGCGGCCGAAGCAATCTTGCATATTCTTGACGATGTATCAAAGGAGCTTGGAAGAGAGATGAAGGCTGTCTCGTATGGTGATTCGATGGGGGGAGCTCATACGGGTTTGAGGTTGGGCATGAGGGATCATGAACGAGTGACCAAGGAGGGAAAGGAGCGAAGAATTGTCGGCGTCGTCGTCGTTGGGACCTGTGCCGAGGAAGAGAGCGAAGGTGCGCACCTAAAACTCATATGGACATGTTGCCATATTCAGCCTGACATTTGATTCTATGGTATCGGCGTCACAGACTTTGTCATCGACTATACCCAGGACGCCGAAGACTTTGCGGCCAAATGCCGAGCCACGACCTCGCCCGAACAAGTCGCACAACTGATCGACGAGTTTGCCGCGAACATGGGCAAAGCTGGATATACCGAGTCGGAGAAGCCTTTGTTTGCTGTGGCAAGGGAACAAGGGACAAAAGTCATCGCTGATGCGCTCAAGGCAACGCTCGTGAATGACGATGGCATCTTGGAAGGGAAACAAGCCGGGGAGACGATGAAAGTCAGTAGATAAATGTGCGATCCATTTGAGGACCTTTTCGTGGTACTGATCCGATCTCTCGCACAGATGAACTATCGCTGCCTGAACCATCGACGAGGCTTGATCGGTCGGCTCGCGAGTCGACCCAGTCCGCTCGGCAAGACGAACGTGCTAGTCGTGCACGGGACGGATGACAAGGCTGTGAGTCAGGTACTCTTTTCATTTCGTCATTTCAACACAGGCTCATGTTCATCTATGACTGCAGTACCCATTCGAGCGCAATTACCATGAACGAACTTGCTCGGCGATCGGAACGGACAACAGCGAAGTCCTCGTCATTCAAGGGGGTCCTCATTTTGCAACAGCGTCGCATTGGGAGACGCTGGACAAGAATGTGGTTGATTGGATCGAGAGGAAATGTACTTGACCTGAGGGTTTGCAATGACTGAGCAGGTGATCGAAGCCACTCGGCTCGCGCGCTCTCGTCCGAGCGGTCCACAGTACGCGGACTCTGTGCTCACGCATATTTTCCCGAAGAAGAGGTCGAGGCTCGCTTGAGAGTCTTCGTATCTTGCTTGACCATCCGCCGGGAAATATGTCGACAAGAATCAGCAACGAGTCGCACAGGCGACACCGCCAACTCGTTGCCAGAGAAATATTTGTGGAACAACAGCAGGCGCATGGACCGATGAAGGCGGCCCAAGCGGCAACTCATTCATCGCAAAGTCCTCGGCCGATCAAGTGGGCCGACGGCGGGTCGTAATTAAAACAGGCATTTGGCCCGCGCCGAGCTGATGATCGGCCAGGCTCTGTCCGTATTGGGAACTTGCGCGTCAGGTTTCAGATCTCTGCTTCCTCAGAGACCCACCTCCCCTTCCCAGGTCCCCCTGCTTGTTGTTTGGCGGCTCTGTACCCATATCCACCAACATTTTGCACCTTGATTTACTCGACGCGCCGTTTCATAATCATCAACGTAATATTCGATGGCAACGAACGCCGAGTCCAAAGGCGTCGGTGAAGTCAGGGTTCCTGTTGAAGAGGTCACGACGGAGTCCGGCGGAGCAATGTTCCAAGCTCGTTAGTTGTGGCTAGGACCTTCTCACCAACCCGAGCGTGATCGACCCGTGTACTGATGTTGTAAATGCTCTCCTTGCTGCAGCCGTCCCTACGAACGAGCAGCGTAATGGTGTAACGCTTGAAGAAATCATCGGTGGCACGCGCTGCTCCCCGTTGACCCTCAAGGAGTTTGAGGGCTTTCTCATTCATGTAGGTCGATGATTCGACCCTCTCTTCAAGAGTACCGAATCGAGATCACTGACCCGGATTATGCACCACGTGTTTGGCCGTGACCGCAGGAGGAACGTTCCGTCGAAAAGTAAGTTTGTCTCGGCGAGCCTGTTCGTTGAAGTGGCGCGACGGTCATCGGCCGGCCCATGACCACTCCACGGTGCACGGCTACGCTCAGTGACGTCGATGCCGTCCGTGTGACCGTGGGGCAGTGCGGACCTGTACAGATCGCGTCAGATTTCTAGCACCAAGTGGGAGGGAGAATCAAGGCTGACCAAGTGGGATCCTCCTCGCATCTCTGCAGCCTCCAGTTCGTCGTCTGGTATCGCTCGTACTGCGAGCGCTTCAACGCGTTGCCGCCCGAATACCAAGCGCTCTCCGAACCCCCCGCCGAGCGCTACGCCCATTTCAGCACCCCGGCGGGCTCGATCCGCACGGCGCAGTCCATTAGCGAGAAGGATGGATGGTGGGAGAAGCTCCGAGGCCGGGCTCGTTCCATCTCGGGTCGATCCGTGCGCTCACTCGAGGGCAACACCGCTGCGAATGCGAACTCGTCTGAGTACTTTAGCGAGTCGGCCAAGATTGCCCAAGGAAATGGCGACGCCACGATCGTGGAGATGAACGGTATCGGAGAGAAGCCCTCGGAAACGAAGGCCTCGGAGGATGACGACAACCTGTCGCTGCATTCAGCCATCGCCCCGGACACGCCAAACTTTGCCGAAGCGAGCACGTTCCCAACCACCAACAGCATCCACAACAAGAACCTCGAGCGAACGCAAACCGGACGCTTTTCGGACGCTTCGTCGGTCAACACGGAGAAGGCAAAGCAACGCTTCGGACTTCGATTCGCCAATATGGCTCCGTTGATGTCGATTCGCTCTCGAAAGGAGTTGCCCGCCGACACGCCGTTGCCGTTCTTGGAGGAGATCAAGCTCATCCGCTCGACCTTTTTCCTGCCTAGAGCAAGCAAGGTTGGTCCGGGCTATCTTAATTTGCGCAATGTCGAACAGGCAGGAAGGTACGAGCTGACATGTGGCCCTTACCTCTCTCCAGGAACTCAACATTGACGCCCGCTTGCGCAAGCACGTGCTCAGATCCCTACAACCCGTCTCTGAGGACGGTACCAAAGGCGAGCCCATCACGACGCACCCCGAGGTCTTCAAGGAAGCCGCCGATCACGTCTACACGCTCATGGAGCGCTCCTTGCCCCACTACCTTCAATGGGCCAAGGGAAACACCAACACCCCCAAGCGTTTGTTTTGGACTGGCGTTGGAATCTTCGATATGGGGCTTGGGGTCATGTTCGCGTGCATCATCATCTACTTTGCTCGCTCGAGGTGGTGGCGCATCTTTGCTTTCTTCTTCTTCTGGTTTGGTGAGTGTGTCGGCAGGCTCTGCGCTGCCAATTATCATGTTACTGACGAGGATCCTTCGCTTCTCCTTTCCTCCATTCTCAGGCTCGATGCAAACGTATTCGGCCATCAAATATTTTTGCTCTCAGGTCCACGGTCGAACGGCTCGCCAATTGTATCCTTGGGAGTTGACAGAAGCGCTCTCGACCGGCGACGACTTCGCCAAGCCGACGGTGGCTTCGACCTTTGTCATGGCGAGCAAGAAACCCGATACGGACTCGGCCGCCGCTGCGACGGATGCCGCTGCTCGAGCTGCGAAGGAACGAGCCGATCTCGAGGCGTCTTTGCCATTCTTGTTCGATGAAGCCGAGTCGCCCGTGGAGAAGAATGCGAGTCCTTCGGGGAAGCAGACGACGGAGGAAAAGGAAGGGCATACGACGACGACGAGGAAGAGGATTGCGCAGTTCCGCAGTCGGTTTTGGGCGACGCTTAAGACCGAGGATGGTAAGCGGGTGCCCATGTTCGGCCCCGAGCGCGTCGTCGAGGACCCCTACATCAAAGTGAGTCCAGAGGAGGTAGAGGATTTCACCCATTGTTCCAACCAATTAAAGAATGCCGACCATGTGCCTCATTCCTTTGATTCAGGATCTTCACGACAAGCAGATGAAGGAGATCATTATCTTCGGCACGATCTGCACCATTCTCTTCCTCATCATCATCGTTGCGATCCCAGAAAAGAGGCCTTTGTAAACTCTCGTGCCCTTTCGGTTCTGGACGAAAACATCTTTCAAGTCTTATGCTGTTCTTCGGACGTCTCCTATTTCGGTTGGGTGTAATCACTCTCTGTAGCCACTTATTTTTATAACTCCGTATCCGATGTGGTAATCCAATTCTTCATGTTCTGGGGTACGAATGACGATAGTGCTCTTGGAGTATCACAACATGTACTAGGGGTGTCATACTGATTCAAAGCAAGCTACAGGATGCCTCCGACATCGAAGCTCCACATTGCGGCCTGCTGGTGGAAAAATAAAAAAATAAGAATCATCAGCGCTCGATATAAAGACAAAAAAGTGTCAGCAAGAGCAACTCACTGAACCGCCCAAATCCTGCCCATCCGAGCCCAAAGCCCAAGCCTGAGATGCACCGGTCTGAATAGATGTCCCACTCGTCTCATTGAATGCGTTATTGACAAACCGATTCCAATCAAAATCGTCGGCACTCCCTACCGATGGAGGGCCGGGATCGAGGGTAGCGAAGCTGGTGCTGTGGTTGCTCCCGGCTTGATTCGGGTTTTGGGCCGCAGCGGCGGCGAGGAGGGATGTCGAAGCGAGTTGATGCAAGGACGAAGTCGCGAGACGGGTACGAGCTTGGGTCAGCATCTTTTGAAGGGGTGGGGCGAAGCGAGGGTACGGCGTGCCGAGGAGTATTGAGGCGAAGCGGTCGACGACGTCGATACATCGTTGCATGTCCACGACCGCTGGGACGAGGCGCGCAAAGCGGAGGAGGAAGGCCCCGGCGAAGGCGACGACGCTGACGGTGTAATCGACCGCGAAGCGCAGGCCGTGGACATAGGCGTCCTCCTCGGTGCAGATGCGTACAACTTGGAAGGCGGAGTGCACGGCCATGGTGATGACCTTGAGCATCGCTGGAGTCAGCCGCGAGAACGATTGACATCCTCGCAGCACGATCGTCGACGTGAACAACGTCGCGAATTGCAACTGAATGTCGAGCGAGAGCCGGTAGAACGGTTCTTCGGGGTGCCGCTGCCGCATGATCTCGCACCATTCGTTGTACCATCCCTCGAGATCGCTCCTCCCCTTGAGCAACATATCTAACGCCCCGTCTCCATTATTCGGGTCCTGCTCCCGCAGTGCATCCGTTATTCTCGCTTGATGCATCAGCATCTCGGCGGTTGAAACAACGCGAGCGTCGGTCTTGACCGACAATGGGTGGTCGAGCAAGAGCGTGCGAAACATGGTAAGACTGTACTCCTGTTCGGCTCGAAGCATCGGGGGGCGACCCGCTCCGATGGAGGTCTGAAAATCGAGGACGAAGAGGGACGCGTAGAGACGTGCAGCCGCGACGAGCGACCGCTCCTCGTTCGGATCGGCATGTTGCGCTCGCCTCGCCGCGAGGCGTCGGAAAACTTTGTGCACATCGAGCTCAACAGCCATACGAAGTGCCAACCCACCGCTCAAGAAGCCTGTCCTCTCGAAGTAACCGCAACAATTAGCTCTACAGACTAAAACCTCGATGCACTCCAAAGACTGACCCTCAGAAGACCACCCCGAAGTGACGACCATCGCCTGGATCGTTTCCAGCCCTTCAACCTTGTGGAACAGCGTCTCCTTTGCCAGGTATTCGACTTCGGCCCGTAATCGGATCGAGAGCGGCGAGATGGCCCCCCCGCCATCCTGGACTCGCGAACCGACGGCGCAAATCGCAGCGAGCAGGAACGGCGAGCGTTTGCGGATCGAGTCATACGTGTCGTACCGTGGGTCGAAGCAAGCGAGTACTCGGTGCGATCCCGAGAAGTACCTATGAGCCCATGAAGATCGCAATACAAAAGGTCAGCTGCTCCGCATCGCTGATCACTGACTGAGCGAGAAAACTGACACTGCGTGCAGATCTCTCGCCATGATCTCGTCCAGCACACCCTTATCGATGATGTCTGGAATACGGTCCGGCGGAGTGGCAGGTTCGTATGCCCTTCTTGGCTTCTTCCGATTTGGAGGCTTGATCCAACTCCCGTCCGCCGCTCGCCTCTGCGCCTGCGCCTGTTCTTCGGCCAATCGATTGAGCGTTTCGACGGGCGCGACGAACACCGACCGCGGCAAATGGTCCTCGTCCTCGCCATCGTCTCGGTCGCCTTCGTCATCGGAAACGTTTGTCGAAGCGACCGGGTCGTCCGCTGGTCTTCTCAAGGGCAGTGAGGACCGTATCCCCGTCTCACCACCGAACGAGCGCACCGAAGCGCCCAAACTCTGCGACAGACCGACGGGACTCGGGTTCGAGGCAGCGTGGGAGGTCGACGATCCGGCAACAGATCCATTCTTGTTGCCACCCGCAAAATACCCTGGAAGTGCCGGTGGGGAAGGGATCATTCCGGACGTGGCCAGCGATTTTTGGTCCCCTGCGCCGGGGATGCCGAACGCTCTCGGGATTAAGAGCTTGATCGCGCCGACCTCGGATTCGAGCTGACGGAGGCGTTGCAACTCGGACTGGACGACTTGAAATTCCCGTTCAAGTTGTTCAACTCGAGCGCTGTTCGAAAATGAGCGGACGCAAGGGAAGAGATCAGTTTTGTTGCGACATGACGGGGTGTTCCGCCCTCGCGCAGGGGAGCCTCCGTAGGCGATCGGTCTCGGACTCTCCCGAGTCGGCACAGGGGGTGAACCCCGAGATTCAGACGCGGGCCACGAGAGCTACTTACTTGATGGTCGAGACACTGGGCATGATATCCTCGAACACGCATTCAAGGTTATTGGCGGTGCATCGCTGTGGTACAGAGCTCGTTGCGATCAGTTCGGGGCTCCTCATTGAACCGACCGCCCACCCGCAGCCGGCGCGGGGCCACAGCTCATGTGGGGATCCTCTCAATCACGCCTCTCGAGACGAGGATTGCCGCTGCCGCCTGCGAGCTCACCTTGCAGGGCAGGTCTGGGTTGTCGCTTGTAATGCATTTGGTTTTCCTGTACGAGCAACACGGTGGTTCACCAAGGGATGAGTACCCGAAAGCGGAGGTGGGGCGAGCCACCCGAGCTGTGGCCGACTCTGGCGCCAGTCGAGCGTGCGACCACCACTCACAGCTTGCGACAGGCTACACAGGCCCTAGCCGAGCGCATCGTCTCCTTGGCCGCTTTGGCTGCATTGGCCGCGGCTATGGCACTCGAGGGCGTAGTCGAGGGTGCGATCTTGCGCTGGGTCGTCGCTGAGGTGGAGGACATGACGGGCTACGGGCAGCTGCTGGCCACGCCAGGCGTAGGCGAGCGTCGAGCTGCGTCGAGCCGCGACGCTGGGACTTGTCGTCGAGAGACGTGTCCGCGCACTCGTCTAAAAGTATGCAGTCACACTTGACCACGACACACTACACCCCAGCCCGTCGGCTATCAACACGAGTGGTGAGGTGGGTGCGACCGCTATGGGTATAGCGGCTGTCTCCGAGGTGGACCGTGGAGCAGGTGCGCGAACCCCAGAAAGTTGTCGGGCAGCCGACGGCAGCTTTGAACCCCACGCTCGAAAATCAGACCCCCGCCAAAGTGCTAGAGAAGTCGGAAAAACCACCCGAGACAGTCCGGGGCAGAAGCAGGAGTTCCACGAAAGAACAGCGGGGTGCGAATCGGAAGTGATACGAAAAGATGGGAAGCAGTTCGCAATGAGCTCACTACTCTGGTCTGTTCTCTCGTAAGTCGTGGCGCTTTGCAACGAACAATCATCATTTCTCTCCAGCCCGGCGCGACGGCCCGTGCCGCGCGCTCGGCGACTGTGCGCTCTGACCTCACCAGCCCCTGTCCAATAATCGGGTCGTCCAGACTCCTTTACACACTACATACCGTATGTAGTGAGGCGTGTCGTACAGAAGATCCGGTTCTGTGAGCTACTCCTGTTAATTCCAAAAACTATGACAACCCCCCACGTGGGAGGAATGGTTCGGCTGGGAAAATGCGACGGGCCAGACGGTCCGGTCGTCGTCGCCCGGGTAGCCGCGCTCACAGCGGGCCATCGACTCCGCTTCCGAGCACGTGCGAGTGCGACGAATTGCGACGCGCTCGACTCGACCACCTGGCGCGCTTCGCACCAAGATCGCGAACAATCCGAGACCTAGCAGGAAACAGCAGGAAACAGCACTCACACTTGCTCGAGGTCCCTAAACTGTCACTGCCGACTGTCAAACCGTAACCACCCCCCTAGAAACCATGAGCGCGGCCCTTCGTGGCGCGTTGCGGGCTCGGCGAGGGCTGCTCTTCACCTCGCTCAGTGTGGGGGCCTCCGCAACGACGCTTGGTTTGGCTGTGAGTCTGATTTCAGGCTGTCGACGACTTTGATAGACGTATTTCTAATCTCGGATCAAGCGTCGTCTCTACTCCTCAGGCCTGGGCAGTACAGGCGTCGTACCATGAACCGCTGCGGCTTGAGGCCCCACACGCGTTGAAGAAGGTCCCAACGGCGCTCGTAGGCGAGAAGAACAAAACCCGCGTCATCTCGATGGAGGAAGTGAGGACACATCGAAGTAAGGCAGACTGTTGGGTCGTCCTGGGTGATCATGTCTACGAGTCAGTCCCTGTTCCCACTGGCCCATTTTGCCCGAGCAAAGGAAACTGAACCACCCCATAACGTACTTGTCGGCCGGCGGTCCGCTTCTGCTCGGGTTGTCATTTCCCCCTTTCGGCTCCGAGTTTGGCTCACAACAGCGTTACGGAATTCTTGGAGGCTCATGCAAGTTCAAAGGAGGCGGATCTGATTGTCCAATCTATCTGTGCCTTGAGCTGACATTCCTTGACCTCTTTCCTTCATTGCGTACATCAACAGCCCGGAGGAGAAGCTGTCATCCTCAAAGCCGCCGGCACGGATGTCACGACTTTGTTCGACAAGATTCACCCGCCCAAGACGCTCGAGAAGAATCGGGACCTTCTTGGAGCACCTGTTGGACTCGTCGACCCGGCAACAAGGCCCAAGGATGAGGAGAGCGATGAAGCATTGCAGGAGAAGGCGAGGATTCAGGTCAGTGATGACGGTCTCGACGTCCCTGTTGACGCTCCCTCATACGAAAGTACGAATACTGAATCGATTCGCGCCCCTTCCTCTTGCACCTTTAGATAGCCCGAGAAACACTACCAGCTGTCGAACTGGTCAGGGGTTTGGCCGAGATGGAGGTGAGTGGCACATCAGCCGGGAGGTTGCATGTGCATAGAAATTGATTGAAAAATTGGTCTATAACCCTACAGAGGCTCGCAAACACCTTGCTGGCTCCCCGAGCCAAGATTTATTACGCGGGTGGATCTGATGATGAGCAAAGTAAGTGCTCTTAAGTGACCCTACTGCAATACCTGTAGAACCGCACCGTTCAGTTTGATTTTCCGAATATTCCTCCTCTAGCTTTGCGAGATTCGTTCGCATCCTACCAGAGGTGTCGCTTCCGACCTCGAGTCCTTGTTGATGTTTCCGAGATCGATCCACGAACAACGTTGTTGAACTGCCCCTCGACATTACCCATCTGTCAGTCTTGCGGTCTTGGCTTTGGGGTCAGTCAAAGCTCAAGCCTGAGCAACTGACATCGATGCGCTCTCGCCGAAATCAGATATCGCACCTGCCGCTTATGCTCGATTAGGACACGACCTGGGCGAGGTATTTCGATGATGAGCGCGAGGTGTATGAACTCGATCTGATTGATTTCATTCTGCCTCAACCGCAGTTCAACTTGACGAGGGGCGCTTCCAAGACGGGCATCGTGCAAGGCATCTCGGCGAATGCGAGTCAATCGTTCGATGACATCTTGGCAGAGAAAGCGACGATGGATGAATCGGGGAGGGCACCTGTTGGGATGGTTTACCAGGTGGGTGTACTCCACTCCTACGGAGATTCGATCGGCTCGCTGTACTGATGCTTTTTTTCGATGACTGTGGACATTTCCTCCTCCCTTCTCCGTTCTGGCATTGCGTTCGCTTTCAGGTCTACGTCAATCGAGATCGAAGACAAACGGAAGCAATCATGAAACAGGCGCGTGAGGGAGGTTGCAAGGCTTTCTTCTTGACTGTTGATTCACCGACATTGGGCAACCGAGAAGAGGATGCGAGAGCGCAGGGGCTGGCTGGATCCGTACGTACGTATCTGTCCATCCTCACTATAGTAGTATTCTGATCTTTTTAAGGATGTGTATGTACAGATGGATGACCGACCGCACGACCATCCCAACAAGTCGACGTATTCTTACTACGACACCTCGGTCGAATGGAAGGACGTTGCATGGGTCAAACAGGCGGCCGGTGGACTGCCCGTCTACATCAAAGGTGTTGCAACACATGAGGTGCGCAGTGAATTCGAATCTTCCCTTTACATATGTCTAACATATGTCTGACAACGTTCAATTGGATGAATGCAGGATGTCGAGTTGGCCCGAAAGGCCGGCGTCGCGGGCGTGATTCTCTCGAACCACGGTGGGCGTCAACTTGACAGGTATGGCAAACCTCAACAGCCACCCACCCACCCTTCTCAAACCCGTACTGAACCCGTACTGAACCCTTCCTCTTCCGCACAAAATCCAGCGTCCGATCGCCCCTCGACACCCTCCTCGAAATCCGCCGAATAGACCCAACCCTTTTGACCGATCTCGAAGTCTACGTAGATGGCGGTGTACGACGAGGCACGGATGTGCTCAAGGCTTTATGCTTGGGTGCCAGAGGTGTGGGATTGGGTCGACCGTTCTTGTATGCTCAGACGGCTTATGGGGAGGATGGGGTGGTAAGGGCTGTGAGGAGTGAGTTACATTTCCTTGAAGAGAGGAGAGTTCTTTCGGCCAACTCCCAAACCTCTCGATCTCTCCATGGAATCCGCTCGAAGGCTGATTCCCTCCTCTACGGTTTCATCGATATAGTCATGGAAGAAGAGATTCTGACGGGGATGAGGTTGTTGGGCGTCAAAAGGTTGAGCGAGTTGAGGCCCGAGTTGGTCGAATGCTTGGATAACCAGTATCGGATCCCGAAATGATCTTCTCGTTGGTAGCTGTGAGGTGTATAGGGCACGTGTGCGGGTGTTGGAATACAAGGTTATGAAGCAGGACCATGGGGCGGCGACATGGCGATCTGTAATGCACTGGAGTGACCTGAAACGGAGGGCGCTTTCAGGTCTCTTCCGTCGGCCGATTTCGGGGAATGTTGGGAAAACCTATTGCATTTTCAGCATTACACACACGCGTGCGGCAGCACACACACAAAAAATATGGGAGAAAAGTGACGGGTGGGGAGGGGGTGGGAGGTGGGTTTACCAATCGATCGAGGCTCTAGATTTCTGCCCGAAGTGGCATGTCGATGGCGGAAAGATGGATATGGATGAGAGGAAAGAACGCCGGAGGTCGAGCGATCTACTTGGCAACGTAGTTCTCGTAGATGCTGTATTGAAGAGGGGCCGGGACCACGTCAATGGCGAGCTCATAAGGCGTACAGAAGGCCGACGAAGCAAGCAAGCACGAGCAAGACTGACCGGTAAGCAGCGTAGGCGACGACACCGGCAAGGGGATAGAGGTAGGCATAAGATCTGCAGACACAATGAAAGCGCGCTGGTCAGCACACGCAAAAAAGCCGAATGACGTTGGGGTGGGCAAAGCTCTGAGAACGGGTCGAACGGGTCGGCCAACGAGCCCAGCTCGGCCGGTGCGACTGAAGCGAGCAGAGTGTCGCGCGCCGGCCTCCTTCGCGTCCCTTCATCGCCGAAGCCGCGGCCCAAATCGAGTCACGCGGCCGTTCCCCGGGATGGAAGGTGCGCCGAGCTTGATAGAGTATTGTCGAAGATACTGCCATGTATTCGGATGTGCAAACACGTACTGAGGTTGATCACCGAGGCCACCGTTCGTTCGGGTTCCCCGCTTGGGGGGCTCTTTCGAAGAGCTCTGTGAAATAGAGCAGGCACAGCGGCGTGGGAAGTCAGCGATTGTAAAAGCTAGCACGGGCAAGCAAACGACGGGGCGACGGCGGAAATTGATCGAAGATCACACCAGAATTGGGTGCCGAAAGTAGACTCGTTGCCACTACGGACAAATGTCGCGTGATCGAGCACCAAAACCCCTGACGCGGCAGGAGGAGAGTGGCCACGGCCAACTTACGGCGGGACCGTTGCCAACAAAGTACTTGTCCAAGATGGCCCTCGCCTCGTCCGAGTGTCCAACATCCTCAAACGCCTCGGTTGCATCCTTTCCGGCCTCGCCCAACAAAACCTCGTCACCTCCCGGGTGCTGTACGCGACGTGGAACACCAGTCAGAGCCAAGTGGGTCAGTGACATGCACGGGTGACGTAACGCGACAAATAAGACAGAAAAGTACCTCGTCCAGGAATTTGGCGATGGCATAGACTGTAGGACATATCACCGTACGACAACGCGGACGAGGGCGAAACGGCGGGGGTGGCAACACATGGGCCAGGTGAATCGCGATCAGCTCCGGTGTCCTCGTTCGCACGTGTTAACAAGCCATGCACGACACCAACGTCACACACGACTGACCTTTGCCGTGGATGAGCATGTGCAGGTCCTTCTTGGACGAGCGCGCCTTGAGATCGTCGAACGTGAATTCAGTCGTGTCAGTCATCGTTGGACTTAGTTTTGAGATCGGCAGCGACGGCGGTGGGTATGGGCTGAAAGCGAAAGGGGATGGGCTCGGCCTGTGCACTGTGCAGCCGAAGGCCTCCACTAGGCCTCTAGAGGCCTCCGAAGGCAGCCGCCACGCTCAAGGCCGCTCTTCGCCTTGTTGGTTTGGCCGCCCTGCGATTGGCCACGTCGGGCATCGGCTGGCTTCCCCCATCGCCTTGAGGCAGCATGTATCGCGAGCTACATCGACCGCTCAGCTTGCTTTCCTTAATTTTTCTGATTAGGCGGAGACAGTAGACCATACATGGATTTTGAAGGACGTGCTTGAGTGGAGAAATTCAGACTTGGGAATATCCACGGCCCACAGAGCTCAAGCGCTCATGGCCGGGCATCAGTTTCCGATTTCATCCGAGTCGGAAGAACGATCCGCCTGTGCGGATGATTCTAATACTTGAAATCTCCAGGCCTAGTCCATAGAGCCTGGTAGTGTGCTTACAAGGGTGGAGTGAGAATGCCATGGGGTAGGAGCTACATATATTTCCTGCACGAAGTCGTCGAATACAAGTTGAAAAGTGCAACTTGGGTGCGGATAGCAGCATGCTCGCCCCTATCAGTTAGTCGACTAGGAACGGAATCGCTTCCGGAGCGACTCGGTGTTCAACTGGATACGTCAACAAGCCTTCTTTGAATTTCAGTCAAAGGAGCGCATATAAGGTCATGAGAAAACAACCTACGCAGCCACGAACGATCTTCTTTGATTCGAGCGACGCTCCAACCCGACTTCAAGAGGAGACGATGAGGATGATCATGGTCTCGGCGACAACCTCTGCCATCGTTGGTGTATGATTCGATCGTTGAACGTCAACAGTGAGTTTCAATTCTTCATATTCACATTCAGCCAAGACCAGTGCTGCGCGTCGTGTAAGGTGTACGGATACTAACGAGACTAACGAGAACTGCGCGTGCCACTTTCCCAGCGACGAATCCCTCCGATTCAAGACGGCGATCCGAAAGATGTACACCCTCTCAGCGAGCGATAGGGTGTCACACATTTTCAATGGCAAGAAAAGCGGTGGATTTATTGCATGTTCCGCAACGAGTCCCAATGACGATCCTTGCACCACGCGAGTTCCGTCGACGTGGCCCCTGAAGGAACATGATCAACAAGAAGCGATCCAGAACAGCGAACAACGCCAAAAACCGCCCTATCGATTCTATCCCGCCTCAATATTATTCGATGCCAATACAGAGAGCCGCGATTTTGCCTACTTCTACAACATGATACAACTAATACAACTACGGAGAAGAATAAGATCCGACATGAAAATCTGATAAACACCCTAACACGTAGATCGACCACGTCCCTCTTTCGATGTGAAGCTCACGTACTCTCGAGAACTGAGTGCTTCAATGTGAACCTTAAGAATAGCTTAAATGCCTCTGCACACTTCTTCTTCGATCGGGCAGCCGCGCACTAGGCTCTATGATCGTCCTGCTCCGAGCAGCCTCGTTCCGGTCTTTGCTCGGTGCAAATGGGGGGAACACGGGCGACATAGGCGCCGAGGAGGTTTGCGGGAATGTCATAGGCGTAGGTAAGGCGTGGAATGTCTTGAGTGCGGTTGATAGCTCTTCGAGCTGTAGGAGTTCAAGATGGCTCGTCAGTCCCGGGAAGGCATGGTGCGCGAGCGATGTGGGGCTTCGCGTCAAAGAACTGACCATGGTCATCATTTGGTCCATACGAGGTCTCCGATCGTCCAATGACTTTTTGAGCTCATCATAATCGGCGCGACACTTGCTCGACTCATCATCCGGCTTCTCTTTCTGGACCGAGCCTTCCTCGGTCGCGGCAGTGGCTGAAGACGACTTGAGCGACGGCTCGACTGGTGCTGGCTGCGGTGGTGGGAGTTGCGGAGATGACGGACTAGCGGAGCCAGACGCAACCTTTTCGAGTTCGGCGTGGCGTATCGCCAACTGTTTTTGGAGCTGATCTATCCGATCAAGTTGACCAAAGATCTGCTTGAACGTTGAAGTGTCGTTACCCTCTCTCCTCGCTGACGCGCTCTTAGGACGCGGTGATCCTTGGCGTGAAGCCGGTCTCGACAACGAGGTCGACGAAGGATGAAAGGGGAAATGAAAGTCGGCTTGAACGGGAGACAAGGCCCTGGGTGAAGCGACGAATTGGATCGGGGATTCCAAAATGGATTGATCGAGTTGATGTGCTTGCGGTCTAAAGGCCGTGGGACGTGCATCGTTCGAGGCTGACGTGCTCCGTAGTCGTTGGGGTGTCTGCTGCTGCTGCTGTTGGTCGTGCAACAACGTTTGCAACGAGAGAACAGGTCGCTTTGTCGTCATGACTGGTTCGAGGTCTACATGGATGCTGAGGAGGGGTAGACCATCGCGAGTGGGGACGTGTCTCGAGGTCAGGGGTCGATCGACGCCGGGGTGCGCGACCGCGGGGCGTGGACGGTAGTTGGCTCATTCGAAAGGCTCGTGGTAATACGGTGAACAGACGCAGTTCACCCGCCCGCGCCTACCCATATCTTTGTAACACCAACCAAATAACCAACCAAAACCAAGCCAAAGCTAGGGGGTTTAGCGGGTGTCACGACTCACGAGGTCGAATTTTTCTTACCCTACTGGCCTAGCCAGTGTGTTTAAAAGCATCTCATCCGACTTTTTTGATACACTCATGCTGTTATTAAAACTCCATTAGATAAGAGAATCAAGTCTGAACCTCATCGAAGATTATCCAAACTGTAATGGAGTGAAGAAGAGCGCGTGACTACGACAAAAGTCATTATAGTGAGGCGCGCTTAAGGCGGATTTAGGCAAGAGTAATCTACATCGACCGTCGACACTCCTCACCTCTCCGGCTCCTTCAGCCACCAGACAGGCAGTCGTAAACAAAACAGGAGGACCAACTTCCAACGACCCGAACCAGACGGAGGAGCAGGCGTGGTGTCGGTTGCACCAGCTGGCAGCGTGAAGCACACCACTCGCCGAAGCTTGCGAGCGACCTCGATCGATGACGACCGTCGCGGTCGCCTTGAAGCCGATCGCCTTGGCTCCCCGCACGCTCGGACACAGCTACACCGAGATACATCGCTTCTTCACCAAACTCGGTCATCAACAGCCACACTTTCATTCGTCGTCCACGCCCCGCGATGCTCTACACCATCCTCAGGGCTGGACGAAGGCGTCACATCGACCCGGCACACTCGTTCGACTAGCTTCCAGTCGACCCTCAGTCGCCTCGATCTCTACGTCGGCGACCTGGAAACGAGCCTACACGTCGTGCCCATCACCCAAATGTCCTCAAAATGCGGCAAATGCTTCTGCTTCTGCTTCTTCGTCGACATCCTCATCCACGGATTCGCCGAATACACCCTACTACCCTAGCCAGGACAAAGGCCCTCCACCCCCACCACCAGCAGCGACGACCCCCTCGACGGCCCTATCCAAGCCTACACCCCAGATTCCGACAGCGCTTCCAAAGTCCTCACCGTCCTACCTTTCGTCCTTACCAGCCTCGTTGCGTCGACTTGCCGTCACGCTCCCTTCCTATGCACCGGGTCGACCTCCATCGCGCGATCAGCTGCTCGAGGTGACCCACGGCTTCTTTGAGCGTCTGCGCATCCGCTTCAAGTGGTTGACGATCCGCTCCTACCGTCACTTCCGAGCCGATGACTATTCGGCCTTCTTCTCGTTCGGCATCCTCGGCACCTTGGGTTGGTTTTTGCTCTCGACGACGAGTTTCCTTTCGTTCTGCTTCCTCGTTGTCAACTCGATCAGTTCCCAAAACTGGCTCGGCACCAAGCTCGGCAACTATCTCACCAAGTCGACCGGGGTCAGAGTCGTCTTCGAGTCGGCGATCGTGCCCAAGTGGGGTGTGCTGGGGGGCACCAGCAAGATCGTGTTCAAGAACGTCTTCGTGTCGAGGGGTACGACCGCAGACCATTACAATGCGGCGACGAGGTCCAAGACGTTGGCCATAAATGATTTGGACCGCTCTGGTTCCAAGGACGAGGACGGGGCGCATGCGCAATCCGAGCAGGCGAGTTTGGATGACGAACAGATGGCCAAGTGGACTCATTTCCACCTCAGTATCGATACCATCGAAGTGACGCTTAGTCTGAGGAGGTGGTTGGACGGGAAAGGGCTCGTCAAGGACGCCGTCGTTAAAGGAGTTAGGGGCATCGTCGGTGAGCCATAGATGCGGCCTCAGCCTCGTCCTGATGGGACACTGATAGCCAATGTTATGGGGTTCACAGATCGATCGCACATCATCTACGATCCTGGAGCACCACGAGATCGGTTCGCGTACCGGCACACAGCCCACCCGGGCGATTTTTGGCTCGAGTCGTTGCAGATCCAGGACTTTCTCGTGACCATCTACCAACCCGATCAATTTCGACCTTACACGTTCTCCATTTTCAACGCCGACATCCGCCGCTTTCGCAAGCAGTGGTTGTTTTACGACCTCATGTCGGCCGAATCTGTCGTCGGCCAAGTCGACAACTGCCTCTTCTCATTGCACACCCCTCAATCGATCGGACGCACGTCCGAAATGGACCTCAAGGATGCGAGGTGGGGACGCATGTCGAGGTTCAGGATCGACGGCGTGCCGATCGACCACATGCAGTCCGCGAAGGACACCGGCGTCCTGTCTTGGATCACCTCGGGCCGGTGCGATATCGTCGCCGATATACGCTTCCCTAGGGACGGCGATGAGCTTGACCTGTCGACGCTCATGGCGGATCTGGTCGATGAGATCGGTGGGAGATTGCAGATCGCTACCAATGGGGGTGAACCTGCCTCTGCGACTTCCACGACCGGCGTCTCCAGCAAGGGCGATCGCATCCCTGGTCGAGGTACATTGACGAGGGAAGCCCTCAGTGCCCCGGAGGAGTGGCAAGTTGAGAAGCGTAAACAAGCCGAACTGAGGAAAGAGGTCCGACGGGCCGAGCGGAATGCGCGAGTCGTCGCTGAAGCCGAAGCGATGGAAGAAGAGGACAAAGAAGACACTGAAGTGACGAAGCACGAATGGATCGATCACACGGTCTCGATCGACCTCGACATTCGGTTCAAGGACCTTAAGGCCTCGGTCCCTTACTTCACCTCGGACCTATCCTACGTTAACAACGCCTTGATCCGACCGATCGTAGCTTTTATCAACTCGCACCATACCCTCGTTCCGATCCATTGCCATATCGATCTCGACCTCGACGAATTCGACGGCTCATGGACGACCTACGACGTCGGCTTGTTGGACCGCATGTCCGAACAGACCTATGCCGCTTTGGCTCATCACGTCCAGAATGCGAATCAGCAGAGGTTGCAGGCCGTCAGTTTGTGGACGTTGCAGATGACTGCTCAGGGGGTATTGGCTGCGTTTAGGAACAATTTGGCTTTCAATGGTGGAGGATCGTGATGTTCTTCTTGTCATGACTTTCAAATGATATATAGCAGTGGCTTTGGTGACTCCAATTGACGAAATACATCCCTTCTCATGAACGTTTGGTTTGCCTCATGCGAGTTCTATTTCGCCTCGGGTGTACACACTTTGCCTCCCAATATATCCCCTTCTCACCTCAAGTTTCAACTCAGTTCGTCTTTGCCTTGGCCTTTTGCAGCGTCCTCAAGTTGGACGAGATCTCGGACCCGAAGAGGATGATGATGGAGAAACTGAAGGGGCCATCCGAAGATGCGGAAGTCAGGCCTGACGATCATTTCAAGAGGAGGGAAACAGGTGTGAGGTGTGAGAGTGGGACTAGACTCACGGGACTACTAGCCAGAAGCTATTAGGGATACCGTATAACATGATCCATTTGTACAGGCTGTTGTGGCCGCTGCATATCTCGTCGGACGGGATTAGGGGAGATGTGCGGAAGGCGTGGATCAGCAGCTGGTACCTTAAACCTGTAGGGCCATGATCTGAAAAATTGTGGCTCACGTTTGGCACCATCCACATTGTTGATCCATGAGCCAGTAGAGCACCTAATCAGGAGGAAAATTTGCCGATTAGCGCGTCGTCAAACTCGGCAGGTCTGCTCGGCGACCCGTGCTCAGATCCTCCCCAAAACTTGCCGTTTTCTGATACCGCCGCGAACGAAGAGCAGTTCTCAAAGTCAGTCATGCAGAACAAAGTCATGACTCTCTCGATACGCAAGGACCAACTGACCCAAAAGGTGCATGTGACAGCAAAAAATCCCACCAGAATGGCGTTCGCCGATCCGGCTCGAAGCAAGAGCAGATAAGTAATGTTCATGAAGTTTTCAACAACGTTGAGGATCGCTTGCGCTGAGGTGAAGCCTTCGCCGGCTTTGAAGACTGGTGTTGCGTGAGGAAAGATCGGCAGGCATTTCATCAGAGATTTGAGGTATGGTTCGACCTCCGCGTGGGGAGCGCTTACCTGCATGGCCGTAGACGTAGTCGACGCCTGAAACATGGGAGGAGTCATGCTTAGTGCTGCTCAGCAACGACTTGGGATTTGAAGGTCAACTCACTTGCATACAAAACATAGGGTCTGCAGGCCTCATCCGAAAACAAGTAGGGTCCGGGATCAGCGTTCCATCAAGCCCTCGGGGCGCCCACAGCGCACCACTCCGACGAGGCGCCCGCAGAGGCGGGGTGGATCTGCAACTCACGTCCACAGGGTATGGTATTTGCCTCCCGCAAAAGTATGCGGTCGGAGAAGGCAGTAGCCAGCATCCCAGAAGACGAGGATGGTACTGATGATGAACCCTAAACTTGGATGAAAGGAGGAGGCGCAGTTCCGAGGGTGAACGGTGAGCTCACGCGTGCATATCGTCATGAACCTGCCTCCTGCCTCTTGTAAGGACGATGAGGGACGGAACGTACAAGCTTTGACCCAAAAGGGAGGACTGTGAACCATGGTGTTGACGCTCGTTCGGAGCTCGGAGCAGTAGGTTGAAGGAGACGCTGATCTCGCGACTCTTAATATAATAAACGAGACTGGTCGAGTCGAACGATCACGGCAACGAACAAATGGCCCAGGCCGAAGAACCTCGACTGTGATTCGCCGGCCATTAATAACGGTCGCGGAGGCAGCTCCTGGGTACCAGCTTTGTAACGGTCTTGGTGAGCCGAAGTCCAACTCCGGTCCGGCTGAAAGATCAAGCGCGACTAATGCCGTTCCTCTCCTCACCTTCCTCTTCGAGACTGCACGCCGAAACCCGAGAGTCGTCTTCGTTCCATGAGATTCCACATCGTTCCTTGAGATTCCACATCGTTCCATGAGATTCCACATCGTTCCATGAGATTCCACATCGTTCCATGAGATTCCACATCGTTCCATGAGATTCCACATCGTTCCATGAGATTCCACATCGTTCCATGAGATTCCACATCGTTCCATGAGATTCCATAACATTCCATGGCTTTACTCTAACTAGTAAAAAAAAAGTGTGAGTTAAGGAATGTACCTAAAATCGCTGTTTTTAACTAGGTTGCGGCCCGGAGGGCCGCATGTGGTGGATGTACCAGCATACTGTTGTGTCTGCCGCACCTGCCTGTGGTGTCCATGTTCCGATTAGAAGTCATGTACAAGCCCTGTGGTGACTTTTGTATTTTCCGCGCCGTTCCAACGAAGCTACAGCGTTCCCAGTAATTTCCTTCACTTTTTCGTTGACGTAAAACAGTGATAACACTTATATTGTATTTAATGGAGGGCAAGCGCGTGGCTTTGTACGACAATGCTTCTACAGCAGAGCTCCGCCTGACGGGCGGGGCGAGGGCGGCTGGCGTCTGTCACGTGATGCGGCGCGCCGGCGGTGTCGGTGTCATTCCGGCGGCCGACCAGCGGCATTAGGGGCTGAACAACAAATCACACCCCGTGAACAAACCCGCGACACTCCCTCTAACCTTTTCTTTTCCTCTCCCACTCTCATCGAATTTTGTGACATTCATTCAAGGAGAAACCCTCTCCACTATGCCCCGGTCCTAAGGTCGCCAGGGAGGGCCAAGTCCTAAGTGAAAAATAGTTTCTCTGCTGTCTTTCGTCATAATACCGTTTGATTCTCCTACTATTTGGAATCATCCCGTTAATTTAACGGGATCCCACTGGTTTACTATAAAAGCCGGTCATCTGATAGTTTCTCCTTTGCTTCCTGCAAGCAACAACTAAAACACATACTAAAACACATCCTCATACTCATCCTCATACGCATACTCCTACCACACTCCTTTGCAATCACACTCCTTACCTATCTCGAGAAACCCTACAGTTCAAGTCCTGCTTCAGTTGCTTCGCAGACCTAACCTGATCCTCCCTCGCACCTCGTCCCCGAAAGTCTAGCCTCAGCCTAGACCTCTCTCCTGCCGCGAGGACCGTCATAAGCTTGTAGGCCGCTGTCGTCCATGCTACTCGCGAACACAGGGATGAAGTGGAAAGTGTCGGTGACATGCGATCAAAGCCTGCCCAGCAGTGCAGCAGTGCCCTCGATTTGACAAATTTTTGCAAAGCCGAGATGTTTCGCCGACATGCCATCGGTACTTAGCAGTGGCTCAGGACAAATTTGTTCACGGGCAAGGTAGCTCTGTTCTCCCAATACAATAATTGGGATGCCGTCCAGTGAAGGATGTCGGTTTCCGACTCGATCGGCGACGGCCTCGATAGGCCTTGAGTTTGCCGTCGTACCAGTGCCTCGTACTGCCGTCGTCTTCCCAAGGCTGCGGGCCGGAATCACTCTCAGCTTCCTCGACGTTCCGTCACGAGCATCTGGTTGAGACGCCGCAAGATTGATGGCGCCCCTAGCGCGTACACCTTCGCTGCTGAGCCTCCTGAACAGCAGTGGCATATCACCCTGCGTCTGTCGCACGGTCTCGTCTGCAGTCACTGCATCACCGGTCGCCAGCGGGAGCAGTGACGGCCCTTCGCAACGCTCGTTCGCGGTCGCACCAAAGGCACCGTCGTCAACCCGCCGACTGAGTACCGCCGCTGCACCTCGTCAACGACTTGGATGGAATCTGGTTTCATCGGCTTTGAGCCGTCGCGCTGGGAACAAAGTACATCAGGTGCGTGCTGCGTACCCACCCGGCCGCTACTGCGATAGTTATGTCATCGCCGGCCGCTCGCTGACGCTGCCTACTCCCTGTCTTCCCCACAGCGCTCGTTCCATGCTTCATCGACCTCGCTCGTCCAAGACCCGTACAAGGCGATTGGTGTGGCCAAGGATGCATCCGCGAGCGAGATCAAGCGAGCCTACTACCAGGTACGGCGGAGCGCGAAGCTCTTTCCTTGACCTTCTACGGGCTTCCCTCAGCTGACGATGGCACCCTACATCCTGTTATGGATTTCGCAGCTCGCCAAAAAGTTCCATCCTGATACCAACAAGGACAAGGGTGCCAAAGAGAGATTTGTAGAGATCCAGGAAGCATACGATGTGAGACCTTCGCCTGAGATGGTGTCCCCCCTGCCCGGTGAGGCTGGGGCTGGAGCTGACAATCGCAATTAATTTCGCTGCGCGCAGATCCTATCTGACGAAAAGAAACGTGCCGACTTCGATCGCTTTGGACCTGCATCGACGCAGCAAGGCTTTGACTCGGATGCCTACGCCCGCGCCTCGTCCTCGTTCGGGGGTGCTGGATTCTCCGACTTCTTCGGCGGAGGGGCCGCCGGTGGGGCCGGTGGAGCTGGACCCGACATCTTCGAGTCATTGTTCGGCGCATTCGGTGGTGGAAGGGGTGGTTCAGCCCGACCGGGTCAAGGGATGCAACCGGGTGAAGATATCGAGATCGGCATCTCGCTGCCTTTCCTCGAGGCGGCCAGGGGCACGAGCAAGACCGTTACCATCTCCCCCGTGGTCGACTGCGGGACTTGCAAGGGGTCCGGCTTGAAGGAAGGAGCACAGAAATCGACTTGCCGAGCGTGTGGAGGAAGCGGGACGAGGACATTCACGATCCAGTCCGGCTTCCAAATGGCGTCGACCTGCAACGTCTGCGGCGGATCGGGTTCGACCACACCGCACGGCTCGGGCTGCGGCACTTGCAACGGCGTCGGCAAGGTGCGCGAGCGCAAGTCAGTCGAGGTGCGCATCCCGCCTGGTGTCGACGATGGAATGAAGATTCGAATCGACGGCCAGGGTGATGCCCCTCTCGGTGGCAAGGGTCGAGTTGGAGACCTCTACGTCCGAGTTTCGGTCCAGCCCAGCAAAACCTTCCAGCGCCAGGGCTCGAACCTCTACCAGGACGTTGGCGTGCCCTTCTACACGGCCATCTTGGGTGGTCGAGCCAGGGTCGCGACGCTTGATCGGGAAGTGGAGGTCAAGGTGCCTCAGGGCACGCAGCCCGGCGAGGAGATGGTCCTGCGAGGCCGAGGTGTCAAGAAGCTGTACAAGGACGAATATGGTGATCTTGTGGTTAGGTTCGGAGTTCAAATGCCTCGGTAAGTGCTTCGAGTTTGGGCTATGTTTACGACAAGCAAACGGATGTCCTGACTGAATCCTCCCTACCTCCCTACAGCACTTTGACTCCGGCCCAACGACGTATCTTGCAGATGTACGTTTCCGAAACTGAATCTCCCGGATCGTCGTCATATTCGCCGTCGTCAGCGCCACCGTCATCCAACGACGGTGGCTCGACCGAGTCCCAAGCCGCATCGGCCCAGTCTACCTCGTCCAAGAAGGCCTCCAAGCTGCCCGACGAGAACTCGCCTGGCTTTACGCACCAAGCCAAACCCCCACCATCCGATGCCGGTGAGTTTTCGAGTAAGCTGTAGATCGCACTCGTGGAGGGTTGATGGGCTGACACATGTGAGCTTGTGAGCGACTCACTTTTCGCAGTGTCGGGAAAGTGGTGGTCGACAATGGATGAAAACGATCCCTCGAAACCTCTCGATGAAGCCGGGGCCAAGCCCTCCACCTCAACAACACCACCGCCCCAAGCAGCCCCACCCAAACCGATCCCTGAGACCGCCGACACGAAGGGCAAGGAAGACGGCGAGTCGCTGTTGGGTGACCTATGGAATGGTGTGAAACGTTGGCTACCTCGTCGATGAAGAGCTCGTTAGAATGATGGAATTGACTCGTTGTTTTGGTTTTTCGTGGCTTGCTCTTGTAGCAGGGAAAGATAAAGTGAAAGAGGCGTTGGGTTGCGACGAACCCGAAGCTTCCACCGCAACAACACCGAAGGAGAAGAAGTCGAAGAAGAAGAATATCGACAAGGACGAACCGGTTGTGAGGGAAACAGGGAAGGAGCCGAAGGAATGAAGAGGGAGAGTGCTATTAGAATCGGGGTTCGACATTGCCGTTCGAATGAAGGAAATTTAAAACATCCCAACTTTATCGCCTCTAATCGGATACATTCTGTTGATGCTTCTGCAGTTATTGTGCAATCAATGACAAGATAATGGCACAGTAGATGGGTATTTTACGGATTATTAAATTCTCCTCTTTCCCGCACCATGAGATAGTGGGGGCGTGCGCCCGTAAACGTTGTGGAGGACGTCCATCGCCAGACCTGTGATCGTCGAATAGATGCTGAAGCATAGGTGACAGACCCCATTCGCGCCAGTGTGGGAGTTGAGAGCGCGAGGGCTGCGACGGCGGCCATGCAGCTTTTCCGAGCTAGTCGCCGGGCGCGCGAGAACTTTGATCGATAGACGGGGATAATGAACGCCGCGGTGAGGAGCACGTTGGTCAAGACATCAATCGCCAGCCCCGTTGCCGTCGAGTAGAGCTTGAGCCCGATACGACAGGCCCCGTCGTTTTGACGAATTTCATGGTAACGTCCGAGCATCAAAAGCACCGCCTCGACGACCCAAAGCACGAGGAAGCCACATCCGGCCAAGTACCACCAAGAGTGCCACCGCGAGATGTGGCATTCGTAGGTGATTGAGTGCACGAGATGGACTCGTCCCACTGTGACCGGGCCGAGTGAGACTGTCAACGCTGGCAGCTCGGAGTTGCAACGAGGAAGCAATCCCACTTACTCAGGAACAAGGTGATCAACATCTTGCCTGCCGAGTACATGAGCACACACCACCTAGCGAACGTCAATCCACCGTCATTCAAGTGGTACGTGTTTTCATGCTCAGAAGCACCACGGCATGCTCACCAAATTGCGACCGCGCAAGCTGCACTCGTCCCCGAACCAAGCTTGAAAGCCGACGTGCCAATGCCGAGCACGAGAATGCCCATGAAATATACGAAAACGTAGGCATCGAGCAGGATGAGGAAACACAAAGATTGAACAAAATTGAACTTGAGCCATAGCGATCGTCCCCGAAGGGCGAGGAAGCCTGCCAATAACGAGATGAGACTGAAGTAACCGAAAGCGACGAGCGGCGGTACCTCCGGCTGGTCAACGGGCCACACGGTGCGGCCGTGCGGATCGATCGCTGAGGTTGATGCTGTCGAGTTCATGCCGCCCTGCGATTTAGGCACCGGGCCCAGAGTGACAGTGGACGGGAATAGGTAAACAGCGACTCCTCTGTGATCCTGTTGGTATGATTCGAGTTCCTGTCGAACCGAGCGACTCAGTTGTTCCGGCTCGTTGGCGATGATCGGCCGCTGGGAGCAGCGTGCGGACTGCGGAAACCGGGACGATTAAACGGCCCCTTTGGACAAGCGATCGCTCGCCTTGAATCGAGCTGCGTCGGACTCTTGCTGGTGAGGCTTGAGCGACGGGGACGTTTCAAAGTAAGCAAATGTCGAGAGAGAAGGTGCAGAATGAGTAGGAAAGCGTCTTCACAGCGAGTCCCCCTCCGTGCGTCGAAGCTGTATAGGAGTCTGGTTCTGAATGAGCTCGGCCGCGCCGCAATAAAGCCGCGCCGACTCGCCGACCCAGGGCGTAATCGACGCCCTGGCCGCTCCGCGCGGCGTTGCTGCAAGGGGCTAAAATCGCGTGACCATCAGCCTACTTGGTTTAGCAGCGATCGCCCAGTCGATGTTCTATGCGTCGCTTAATCGAACGTGAGCTGATTCACTCGGACGCTAAGCCTCAGTGGCACGAGGCCCATCATCATGCGTGATTAACTACAAACCTTGTGCAGGTAAGTAGCTTGTACTAGTGTGTCATAGCCACGCTCTCTCGAGGTACTTAACTTTGTAGGTAGGTCTTGTTCAATCAAAGTGAGCTGTAGGGTGAGTTTGCGTCTAGGCCGACTCGGTTCCGCGCCATTGTCCCAATGGGGAAATGAGCCATGGAGTGGTAGATCGAAATTCGAGACCCCGGGCCCGAACCAGTGATCTTGCATTGGGCCGTGGTAAGCACGCCCTTTTGAAACCCACTACCGACTTCCTCAGGGCTTCTTGGAGAGTGTCTCGGTCTTGGAGCTCGAAGCGATTCATACGACTGATTCGAGGACGCCGCGGCCGGGTCTTGGTCGATTGCCCACAAAGGTCACGTGACCGGGCCCCCACTTCGTTCGTACTGGCAGTCCCACCGCGGATGAATACGCTCTATCTGCTGAACGCGTGGCCGTGTCCTGCACTAGCGAGAATCATTTGCGAACCAGTCGGCCATACAGATGCGAGTCTTCCCACACCGCCACTGTCCGAGCTCTTCACTGTAGATCTGACATGATCAGGCTCCGACGCTTCGCTTCGCTTTTGAAACGATGCGTGGAATAATGGGAGGGGGTGGGTGGCCTTGCTTGATGGGCAGTAATGTTGTTAGGCACACCTGAGTCGAGTGAATGAGCGGAGGAGGAAGAGGTGCGCGAGCCTGGGGCAAATACCGAACGCCGCACCGTTGCAACACTGGGATTCAGCTCCTAATTCAGTCGTCTGGACACAATCGGTGACGCTCGAGAGCGACTAGGTCTAACCCCATCGCTATGATAGGTCGTTAACCGAGCTAAAGCGACTTGCATCATGTTCAGCGTTCACTGCATTCGAACAGAAAAGCTACGCAATGCCCAAATTGAGCTCGGACCCCTTGGCTTGTCCCCGCTCGTGCTGGGCGCTTCGCGATCGTGGGAGCGTCTCAGGCTCACCCTCAACACTTGCACAACGCTTTCCGTACGGCCGTTAGCAAACCTCTTTCGCCATGCTGGGCCCACTCGTAAAAGCGCAACTCGTGGCCCTTCTGACCAAAAAGGTGAGTATCGTACGAACGACTGTTGTCCATGGCTCGATCGCCACTCGTCGTCCCGAGTCAGCTGCTCATCGTTTCCCCCCGTGTATGCACGTCTTGCAGTTGTTGGACTCGCCCACGTTCGTCAAAGGAGTAGAAAACCTACATGGAACGTTCTCGAATGCGACTGAGAAGGCGTACGACACTCTGTACCAAGCTACAAGTCAGTCCCTGCGCTTGCGACGCCGTTCGGCCATGCTCCCGTACTTCATGGGCGGCCCTATTCTCAGTGCTTTCACGCGCTGAGCTAATCCGTCCTCGTTCTTCCCACAGTCGAAGCGGAGAAGAATGACCCTTCCAAACCTACCCCGAAACCGTTGGCGCAGGACGAGTCTCGCCCTACGCCGGATCAGCCGATCAAGGTGCAGAACGACGAGCTACGGAGATTGATCGAAAAGACCAAACGGGACCTCGCCAAACGAAGCTGAGATGGAGCTTGTCAAAGTATTCTTAGGATCGGAGGAAGTTTTGTATATTTGCTGTTGTATGTACTTATTGTGGTAATCGCACTGTGTTGTCGCGCTCCCTGCCACGTTGCTCCGTCTGTCGCTCCCCCTACATTGCCTCACTTGACACCGGTGCCGCTGGCTCGTGCGAACCATGCTCTAAACCAGTCGAGGAGCGCAAACAGTGCTGTGCAAACTGTCGGAGCATGTCCGGAGAAAGTTTTGCTCCATACGCGAGCTGACTAAGACCCCCATCCACGTACACTACTGGGAATGAAGCTCCTCGAAATTGATCAGCGGACGGGTTCAACCGGTTGTGGCTTCCTCCCTCCATTCAAAAGAAAAAAACGTGTAGTGGCTGAGCGGAGGCATAGAAGTAGCAGGGTTGAAGAAATCAAAATACAAAGAAAACAACAGTGAACAAAACACAACAAGTCCAGCCAAGGAGGAACACGCTCTAGACCCGCGTGCCTGGAATGGTCACGTGATCCTTGCGCTCAAAGAAGACGGGCTCACGCAGCCGACGCTCTTCTTTGGCTGTCAGGATCTTGTTCTTCTTCTTCGTTGGCGGGGGCGGTGGCAGTGGGGAGTTCTCCGCGATGATTGCTTCCATCGAAGGAGGTGATGCGACTGAGGCGACTGAGGCGACTGAAGTTGAGGTGGTTGACAAAATATCTGCATTTGCGTGAGCCGAGGTGGGGACCGGCGACGTTTCTCGGATCGGAGGAGCGGGTAATTTGCGCGTCGTACGACATGCCAAACACGTATGCACGATCCGATGCCCATGCGGACCTGAACCTGAAGGTAGAGAAGGGACACGAGAAGTGGAAACGAAAGGCGTCAGAAGACACAGCGTCTCTCTGAGTCTGAAGAACCGAAAAGGCTCACGTTTGACCCGGACTGAACTGGACATGCCGGCGACGAGGACCGATCGACAGGTTTTGCACACTGTCCTCTTCAGCGAGGGGTCCCTGGGGAGCATGCGTCGGGCACAATGTGAGACGAGCGGAATCGAGCAGGCAGGGACCAGGAACTCACATCTTGACGGTCGCTTTCTGCGCGACGAGGTTCATCAAGCCTGCCAATGAGCACGACACCGCATGCAAGGCCATCCCAGACTGTTGGGGAGTCGTCTCCTCTGATATAGCCGACCGTCGTCGTCGTTGGCGATCGCGCACCGTGTGATGGTCCGTGCCCGTGGAGGCATGCTTGGCCTGGGACGGGTCACGTGCTTTGCTCGTCGCGGTCGTCGTCGGCTGGCTGGGATTCGGTTCCGAGGTCGACGAGAGAGGTGGTTGCATGTGTTGCACTGCAGCCACTCCAGCTGAAGGCTGCGTGGGGAGGAACCTCGCTGTCGCCACATCCATGCCGGTAGTATCACTCCCCTTGCGAGCTTCCCCCTTTTTCTTGTGCTTGCGCTTGCTCCGACTTGTGCCCTCCTGGTGATGCATGCCGCTTCCGCTCCGACCCAGCAGAGTCGAAGCCTGATAGAGGTAGTTGAGCCTCTGCAAGACATCCCTGGAAGCGACGGGGGTCGAAGCGGTGGGCACAGCGGGTGATTTGGTGCCGGGGTGAGCGTTGGGCTGGGACGAGGATGACTTGCGAGCCATGCTAGAGCATGAGCATGAGGGGGATGGGGATGGGGATACTGAGGAGGAACGCGAGTTGGAGGTTGTGCTGGACGGTCGAGGGGGAAGAAAGGACCGAAAAAGGCGCGGAGAGTTCGAGTCGACCTCGCCTCAAAATCTCATGCCCGAGACTTGCCCGAGAGTGAGTCGGGCCTTGCGCTTGTGCTACGCTGACCTCAGTCTGCTGTCGTGCTCGTCGTACGCCGCCCGAGTCTCGGCGACCGCACCGGTCAAAGCAAACACATTCACCATGCCGAGCTGGTTAGCCTCGCTGTCGTCCCATCCGATCTTTGAGCTTCCCGACTCGCCCGCGACGGCTTCACCGACGCGCTCTGGACCGGGTCCTCATCCCCACCACGATCGCACTTCCGCCTTGGGGCAACACAACTCGACTTTCACACCACTAGCTCGAGCATCTTCCTCTTCTTCGAGGTCACCCTTGTTTGCTAACGTCTCGACCAGCCCCAGGACGGGTCGCAACGGTTCGACCCCGACTCGCTCCTCTTCAGCGAGTTCCTCCGTCAATGCACTCGCATCTGCGCGTTCGAAAAAGCCCCAAGTCGGTGGCTTGGGAAGGCAGAGCAAGATGGTCGTGGTTGCGCGCAGGGACTTGATCGTTGCTGTCGGCACCGAGTTGAGGATCACCAGTCTGAATCAGGCCAAGGCGAGAATGCAGCACGAGCGACCGCACGCGAACGAGACCGACCACGATCGAGGGGAGTACAAGGTTAGTTCCCCACTCACATCGGCGCAGTCGTATCCGGCTAGCTGACGAGACTCTCCGCCTGGCTTGTGTGTGTGTGTGTGTGTGCTCGCGACCCACGCTTCCCCGGCCCAGGTGCTCCACACGCCCCTGATCAACTTTGAGATCCAGCAACTCGTGCTCAACCCGACCAACACTTTTCTCGCCGTCGTCGGCGCCCATTCGATAGCTGTCGTTGTCCTGCCGAGGAAAGGCTCGTCATCGATTGTTGGATCGACCGTCGAGTGCAGGTCAGTCTTACAATGGGGGAGATTCCTGCCCCGACCGCTCGACAGCTGGAAGGGCATCCTCGACAATGCAAGCTGATCTGATCACTTCGATCTTCACTCGCAGATCGCTTCTGGTTGGTCACTACTACCACGGACTGTCCGGCTCACCGCTCGTCTCCCAAATTCTATGGCATCCCTGGGGGGCGAACTCGTCCTCATTGCTCGTGCTCACGATCGACTCCACCATACGCGAATACGACATTTCGACCGACGTCGAAGAGCCCACACAAACCTTGTCCTTCATCGAGCATCAACCACAACAAACATCTCGCTCGACCCCGACCAAGCGATCAGGAGCGCCGCGCGGCTTCTCGGCCGAAGACAGGAACGCCAAGAAAGCGGTGGCCATGTGCTTGGGTGGGGGCCAGGCCGACTGGGGTCCTTTGACGCTGTTTGGATTGATGAGGAATGGTGATGTGGTGGCAATTTGCCCTTTTTTGCCCAAGAAGGCGTAGGTCTTGCCGCTTCGGACCGCAGGTGGCATCGTATTGAGCTGATCCGGTCCGGTCCGGTTGTGCCAAATACACAGATCCGTCCCGGCTTCGTACATCCACGCATTATCCTCCTTCGTCTCTACCAAAGTCGACTACCTCAACGTCACCGAAGCCACGTCGGACTCGATGGCTCTGACACTGACGAGTTCGACTCCGACCAAATCTGCGGCCGCACCTCACCTTTCGTCCCTCTACGCTCGGCAACTCCAATACGTGCACCAATTGGTCCGACAAGCCAGTCGCGCCGGCGCCTCCTCGTCCAATCTCGAATCGGAAGGTATGGACATCGACCCTACGATCCAAGACTCGCTAAAAGATCACCTCGTTCATCTCACGGCCCCACGCTTCGGTGCCGGCAACGCGATCCCCAAAGTGCAAGGTCCGTTCTTGTTGCAACCCGAACCGATCGAATTGGACCACGGGGAGGATTGCGAGTTGGACAGTTTGGCGACGGATTTGTTGTATCTGTATTATGAACCGCAGGATCGAATGAGGGTGGGGGACAAGGAGGTCAAGATTGGTTTGGGCGTGGTCGGGATCGCTTATCTGGATGGGAAGGTGGATTTGTGTTTGGAGGTTGAAAAGGTTGAGGCGAGGTGGGAGGAGGGGTCTGCCGAATTGAGAGGGGAGGAGGAGGAGAAGGACGCGTTGGACGAACTGCCGAGTTTGTGCGTTTACGAAACGATCGATTTGGGCTTGGTACGCGAGTTGGACGAACAACAAGCACGTGCTTCGATGACGTTGGAAGGCGGTTGGGTTTCCTTCATCAAGGATCCACTTTACGTCGATACGATTTATCTCCAACATCCCTTGGGGTCGCACTGTATCGTCCTGTCGAGGTGGTTGGATGACCTCGTCGATACGCTCAACCCGAGGTTGGAGACGGGGCAAGAGGACGAGGAGAAGCAAGCGCACGAGATGAACAAGGCCGTACGGGCGAGTGAACCCAGTCAGGTCGTATGGATCGTCAAGACCGTCAACCCCATCGCCGCATCCGATGACTCGACGACGGCTGATGCGACGACGCCTCTTTCGGTCCCTGTTGTGGGTATGGATCTGATCAATGACGTCTACCTAGGGTACACGATGCTCCTCGTCACCTCGTCATTGCAACTCGTCGCGATCGAGCTTTCACTCCGAGTCGATTCCTCCCTCTTACCCTCAACGACCTTATCCTCCTCCACCCACCGTGGCAAAGGGCTCTCGAACGAACCACCACCTTACCTTTCCCTACTTGAAACCCCGTTCAAAACACCTTCGATCCTCACCTCGTCGTCCCAACACGTCCTGCCTCGTCAAGTCGTCCCCAAATCCCTCGCGAATAAAGGCGCTTTAGAAACCGTCACCCCCGATTCATTAAGATTCATCGCTAAATCTGTTGAAGCTCTTCGAACGAGGTTGAGCGATCTGGTCGACGCTTCGGATCAGGTGCAGAATAGGATCGAATTACAATTGGCCGAATTGGGGAGGCAATTGACGAAAGTGCACGAGTTGAGAAAGATTATCGCGGGGGGGTTGATTCAGGAGACGAGTTTGAACGCGGGGGACGAAGAAAGGGTGTTGAAGGATCGGATTGGTAAAGCTAAAGAGAGGCAGGAAGCCTTACTCAAGAGGACGGATCGGATCTTGCAAGGGTTGATGGATAGGCATGCGCCTTCGGTGTCGACGTTTGAGAGGAAGTGGTTCGACGAGTTGAAGAGGCTAGAGGGGGAGATTGAGGGGGGCAAAGAAGGGGATGGACCGGGTTTGACGACGAGGGTCGAACGGTTGGTGGAGAAGGTCGAGATGTTGAAGCCTGGGTTGGAGGAGATGAAGAAGAAGAAAACGGAGGGGCCGAGTGGGGCAGGGAATCTGGTTTTGGGGGGTACGCAATTGCACAAGGTTGAGGAGAAGTTGGCGGAGGAGGCGGAGTTGATCATGGAGGCAAGGAGGAAGGTCGAGAAACTCAGTCAGGCGCTCGGGGCGTTGAGTATGGCTTGATGGTGGTAGTTTGGTGTTGAATGTAAGAGTACCACCCTCGCTCGACTGTGCGACTGAGAGCACCTCTGCTCTTCTTGCACAAGAGAGCTAAGTTACATGCGTAAACATAACCGGGTGTATTGCAATGCACTACTCTGCTATTTGACCACCGCATCACCCGAATTGGGGTGCGATCGGCGGTGGTCCGGCCTTCTTCTTTGGCTTTTGTTCGACGTATTCAATCTGGTCCTCCGTGACCTTGCCGCCAAAGACGGCGAACGCCTTCTTGTCATCGGCATCCAAAATCATTTCCTCGACCTGTGAGGAAGAAGATCGAGTTGAGTGCACGATCTCGCCCTTCTCAACAGCTTTGTGTCCGTCCTCACCTCATCAGAAACGTCGCCCTGAATGACGATCTCGTCATCGCCCTGGGGTGTCTTGCCTAAACTACTACCGGTGGCGAACTTGTTGGCAAAAAGTTTGGCCGCTTTTTTTAGGTCGATATCGAACTGGTCCAGGCCATGTACGGTGGTGACGAATTTGCGCTTGTTGCGTTCGGATCGGGTGATGATAACTTTGGAGGCCTGCGTGTAGGAGAAGAGAGGGGTTCAGTGGAAGGACAGGACGGGAGGGGAGCGTTTCGGACTAACGGCTACCCGAGCCTTCTCCTTCTCCAATTTGGCCTCTTCCTTTCTCTGCTTCTTGGCCAGGTCCTTATCGAGTGCTTCGCGTTGTTCGACAGTCAGGTTCGCCAACTTGTCCTCAAGAGCGGCTGGTGAGGAAGAGTTCGCATCAGTTGAGAGCTGGCTGACGGACGGGCACTACTTCCTCCCCCCCTTCCCCTTGGCCTCGGACTGACTGTCGGAGTAGAACTTGGCGTACAGGTCCGGGTGGGCATCTTGGAGCCACGTCTTGCATCTGGATAGGGGTTGAAGGTCAGTCCTGAACTGGGCTGAGTAGCCTTCGGTAGGAATAGACCGGGTAGGCAACGCACTTTGATGATTTACTCGAAAACTCGCAGTACTCTGGCGGGAACGAGCAGACTGTGGCGCGTACACCGGGTTGGATCAGATGCTGCACGGTGAGGTCACAGCCACGCCGCGAGTCTGGCGAGACTGACCGGCGCAGTAGAGCACTTGACGCGGTGCGATCTTGTCACCCGAGGTCGAGGCGGCAGAGGTCGAGGCCATCGTTGGCGAGTCCACAAGGAGCAGATGGTGAGTTGGGTGAGATGAGGAGAGGCTGGGATGCAGTGGCGCGACGAAGGGCGCCGTCCTCAGCCGCGGCGGGGCTCGCACGGACCCAGCGAGACCCAGCGCGCGCCCCACAACCAGACTCGCGCCCCACTGCAGTCTCCTCCTGCTCCGCACACCCGTCATCCTGCACCATGCCGGACACCACCGCGCTCGCCAAGCAGTACCGTCAACAAGTGCTCGACGAGCTGCCCCCACATGTCCTTCGCGCACCACTCGATGAGGCGCCGGGCTCGAACGTGACCCGACTTGTCGCGGAGCTCAAGCTGCTCAGTCAGCGTCAGCTCGACATCACTGGCCTTGATGTCGTCGATCTGGTGGCCCACATCGCCGCGAGGAAATACACGAGTGAAGAGGTTGTGATTGCATTCGCTCATAGAGCTGCGTATGCACATCGTTTGGTCAGTCCCCATCCCCGGTTCTCGGGCCGGCCGGCGAGCCAGCACGAGCAACTCGAGTTGTCCCTGCCTGCTCTGACCCGCATCGCTCTCTCCACCTTATCTTCGGTCAGACGTGCTGCTTGACCGGCATGTGGCTCGACAAAGCCGTTCAGAGGGCTCGAGAACTCGATCATCACCTCGAAAAGCATGGCACCACCATCGGCCCCCTACATGGACTCCCCATCTCGGTCAAGGTCAGACTTTTCCCGTCGCCCTTGTCCCCATAGCGTTCTTGGGCGGCTCCCACTGAACCGAGTTCTTTCTAATTCACAGGACCAATTCCAAGTCCAAGGTCGAACCACCTCCCTATCCTACCTCTCCAAACACGTCCTCGCAAAACCTTCTCCAAAATCCTGCTCCTTCGTAACCTTGCTCGAATCCCTCGGCGCAATCACCTACGTCCATACGAACCTCCCTCAAACGATCATGCATCTTGAATCCTCTTCCTTCTGGGGTACGGTCTTGAACCCTTACAACACCTCCCTAACCGCTGGAGGCTCATCGGGCGGCGAATCGGCTCTGATCGCGATGCGAGGCTCCGTATTAGGACTTGGCACCGATATCGGGGGCTCCGTCCGATCGCCCGCTGCGAATTGTGGGTTGTGGAGTTTGAGACCTACGAGTTCGAGGTTGCCGAGCGCGACGGCGGCCGTTCCGGGCAGGGATTCCATCATCGGCACGGCGGGTCCGATCGCGACTAGTTTGAGGGACCTGGAGTTCTTCTTGAGCCTTGTTTTGGCCGAGGATACCAAAGTGTGGCGGAGGGATGCGAGTCTTTTGGAGATGGCTTGGGGAGTAGGGAGGAAAGGTGCTTGGGAGGAAGGGAGTCAGAAGTTAAGGATAGGGGTGATGTGGGATGATGGAGAGGTCAGACCGACGAGACCGATACGGAGGGCGTTGGAAGGCGCGGTTCAGAGGCTTACGGAGAGTGAGCTGATTGAAGTGGTTGACTTTGAGCCTTGGAAGATGAGGGAAGGGTGGGAGTTGACAAGACAGTTGGTTAGTCTCGGGTCAAGCAGTCTCATTTTGGACATTTCGGCTGACCACCTCTACCGCGTTCTCACGGGCGCAGTACTTTGCTGACGGCGGGAAACGCATCCGCGACTTGCTGGACGAATCGGAAGTTGCTGAACCTTTGAAGCCCCTGACCAAGTGGCTACTTGAAGAAGCTGGTAAAGAACCGCTAAAGGACCATTCGGTTCATGAATTGTGGAAGGTGAGCACTCGGGGTCACTCGGAAGATGAGAAATTCTGCAGTCTGGCGCTGACAGAGTCAAAGCTTCTTCGGTCGCTCATAGCTCAACAGCAAAAGGGAAAAATACCGCTCTGCCTTCCGAGAACATTGGAACAACTCGGGCGTGGACGTTGTCCTGTCCCCCGTTGCACCGAACCCACCCCCGAGGCACGGCGAGGCCAAATGGTGGTCGTGAGTAAACTCGACTCGCTTCTTCGACAAAGAGGAACTATGCCCTCACCAGGAGGTCAATCTACGCACAGTTATACCTCACATTGGAACCTCGTCGATCACCCCGCGCTTGTGTTCCCTACGGGATTGTTCGTGGATGCGACACTCGATGTCGAGCCGACGGTACCTCGCGACGAGTGGAGGAACGACGACGAGCGATTCGTGCATGAGCATTGTATGTACTCCCGTCCGCGAACGCAATGTAGTCACGCTAATATCCGACCTCCCGCAATGTCGCAGACTCGCCCGAGATCTACGCCAACGCTCCTCTTGGACTACAGCTCATCGCGCGGAAGTACCACGACGAAGAAGTGATCGCGGCGATGCGTGTGATCGAAGGCATATTATTTCACAAACAGGTGCAGTAGCGGAAAAGATGGGAATAGTACGATTGGGTTGGAGATGAAAGTAATGTGAGGTAGGAAATGATATTTGAGTGGGGTGAGCGAAGGGGAAGAGGTGCTGCAAAAGGGAAAATGGTCAGGTGATCGTCAAACACCATGGCCCGCGTTTTCATAGAGTTTTGAGAAATGTCCCATTCAACACATCTGCATCCCCTCCTCTTCACGTGTATGACGCACCGTCGAAGTCCTCGAGCTAGGGGTCGAATCGCAGGCGCGATGTTCAATCAAACCCACGCCTCTGAGACTGCGCGTCTCGGTACTAGCGTCCTTGGTCAACGAATCCGTCCGTGATCGTTCGGCCGGTGCGGTCTGGGGTCTCGAGAAGGACGTTTCTTGGAGCATGATGGTGTTGGAAGTGAAGGGCAGTTCGGCGGTGGGGACGGTTGCGAGAGACTTCTTGCGTCTGGCGGAGCGTTCGTAAAGGATCCGATCGAGCCATCCTGAGGAAGCGACGGCGGACTTATGATCCATACCGAGATCATGATCCTCTTCTTTCTCGTCATCGTCCTCCTCCGTGGCTTCTACAACATGGGAAGTGATCACGACACCGTCGAGCGGACGGACAGGTACTTGAGTCATCGTTCTGCCTTGGTGGGAGCCTGGGGATGACGTCGAGTCGTCTTTGCGATCGGCGCTGGCCTCGTTGGGGTGGGCGGTGGCGCTCGGGCGGAAGGGCTTGGAGCCGGCGTTGGTGATGATGAAGGTTAGGACGGCGCTGATGAAGACTATGCCAACGAGGTGGTGGGTAAGAGTCAGCTGTGATCCGGCGAGGAACTAACAGTCACCCGACTTACTATCGAGAGAAGAGCTAAACCCTCGGACCCATCGCTTTTCCCGCCCTTCGGCGTGGGTCATCCAAAGGAGGTTGCCGAATGAAGCCAGCGTCCCAATACCCGTGGCGATACAAGACGTCAAAGCGAGACGTTGGGCTTTACTGAACCTCGATCGCCAAACCGGAAGCGCGAACGCTAGTGTCTGTGTGAGGTAGGTTAGGGCCGCGGAAGCGTTAGCGCCGACGCCGACAATGCTGCAGAATTGTTCATCCGACGAGGTCTGGGACTTACCAAGACGGTGCAAACACTCGCATCAACAACGAGAAGAGCGATCGAAGCGTATGGTCGTACACCACTAACGCAGATGTCCTCTTCACTGGAGGTCTCGACGATTCGACCGATGACCATGGCGATCGCGACGCCGGCCCAAGCGACGACAACAACGAGGCTGAAGCGGTACCAAGGGGCACGGAGGCGGCGCAGTTTGATGTTGCGTTTGCTTGAGTAGACGAGATGGACGCGTTCCACTGTTGGGACGGAGGTGGAACTCATTAGGAAACCGTGGAAAGAGAAGTCCCCGTGGGGCTTCGACTAGACCGTGACGCGAGGCGCGCACCGGGGACTTGACTTACTGAGGAATACTGCGCGGTGTCATTTCGCAAGAGTATGATCTTGAGGTCAGTGTCAATCATCGCTTTGCACAAAATACATGCTGGGAGAAGGGACGTACCATAGTATACGAGCTTGAATATCATGTACAGGATGATGCACAGCCATGTCCCGGTCACGCATACAGCGACGATGGAATGCGCCCCTTGCAACCCTAGCACCAGTACGGCCTCGGCGAAGACGAAGAGGTAGGCCGCTAAAAGCGCCAAGCAGGTCAGGATCTTGAACATGGGCCAGCGCTGCAGGTTCTCGATCGAGAGCGCTCTGATCGCCAGCAACGCCCCTAGGACCGAGGACGAGAGTAGATAGTAGAACGAAAGGCACAGGGTGATGACCGAGATGCTTCGAGGCTCGTAGAGTGTCAAGCTCATGACCGACGAGATTGAACGGCACGCTCGTGGAAAGAAGCCAAAAAAAGGGCTACCACGACGAATGAACCGGTAAGCCCGGGGATGGGCGGCGCACACGAGCTATCCCACGTATCCCATGCTTCTGCGCGTGGGAGCTCTCGGTTCCGCTAAGCGACAGTGGCCGCCTCGGGCCCTCCCTTGAGCCGATCGGCAAGACGCCTCCTGTCGACCGCGCTGGGCACGGTCCGGGACGTATTTCCGCGCCGTGCGGCGGCAAAAGGACGAGCTCGGATTCTCGCTCTCGGGGAGCGAGACTCGGTTACGAGTTTGCCAGTGGCTTGCCGGACCGAAAGTTGAACGAGCATGTCACTCGTCCGTTGTGTCGGCCTCTACATCGGCTGCTGCCTCGGTCCCCCAAACCACTGTGGGAAACATGTCGCCGGGAACGGCGCCGTAATGTCCTCTTGAATCAGGGTGCGATCACGTAGCTCGTTTTAGTTCAGTGTGACAAGTGCTTGTGACGCGGCCAACAGATGTCTCAACACAGAGATGTCCAGCGAGACGCGCTCCATCAAGAAACCCGCTCGAGGCCCGGGCCCGGGAAGAGTCGAACGAGTCGATCGGCATATGCCGGGTGCCGTTGGTTCCAAAGTCAGAGCCGAGGTCCGGGTGAGACACTTGAGCGGCCGCCCTCGTGTTTCTTAGAGCAGTGGAGATGGCCTCCCAGACACCGGGTTTTATGAGACTCGGGTATAAAATGGTGTCAGACAGTTGCCGGCTGGACCACTAATAGCAGTCGCGGCGGCGCCCTCGGATGACTAAGCCGAGGTCGGTCAATCGCTGGGTCCGTGCATGGTCGAGCGCGTCGTTTTCGAGCATGTATACGCTAGCTAAGCGTCGAGGTCGCAGTCATGGACACCTCGGCTATAGAAATGACCTGTGACACAGCCCACAGCTGTGAATTGCAGCTAACGCAGCTCGTCTGTGATCTGATCCTTCGAGGAAATATGATGAAGTTCTTTCCGTGTTTCAGCCTCCGCGCCTCGTCTGCCAGTGTCGGAAGATCACAACATCAAGAAGGAAACGCTTCTAGGTAAGGCTGAGATTGTTTTACGAGCCAGATTCCAACTTGCACTCTATGCGGTCCCATAGTGGCAATGAAGCGTAGATATCGTGTCGGATAGCGAAAGTTCTACTAGGGCAATCCGGAGCCTTAATGGCTTATCCGGCTGCGCCGATCGCTGCACGAAAGCAATCTTCTCCCCGACGCAGCCTTCTGGTGTGTGGCGGACCCACACAGCCAAGTGCACTCCTTGGACATCAGCCGAATTTTATTTTTAGTGCCACTATAAAGCAGACGGCGGGTACAGGTAGGTCTAAAATCCCTCTCCCTCGGGTACGATGCCTGTCTACCACATCATGGAACCGCGGGAATTCTGTCTCCACTCCTCGTCGCCATACGGTCCGGTGGGGTCTTCGGTCTTGAGGATGGCGCTTTGTACTCATTCTCCGATGAGAACGAGTCAGGCCGGGTCCCCAAACCTAAACTGTCCTTAACCTTGGCCGGGTGCTGATCAGGGAAGACCCGATCCAGCCACCCGACGACAGGCACCTTCCCATTCTCAGGCTCGCCCCCTTCCTGGGGCTCTTCGTCGTCCCTCAGTTGAGAAGTTTGTCGCGTGATAATGACACCATGAAGCGAACGAGGACTGGAAGGGGGGCACGTGTCGAGCCTTTTCATCTTGCGTATGTCCACTTTGACTTGCTTGAGGTTCGTTCGACCGGCTTTTCGACCCGGTGTGGTAGTAATGGCGAAAGCGAGGACGGCGTTGAAGATGACTGTGAGATGGAGGAAGATGTGAGGGCGGATCTAAAACATGTTTCTCCACCATGTCTTGAACACGCACCGTCCATGCTACTGCTTATCCCACGACTCCAAGCTCGTTCGGGACCTTCAACGTGCATCATCCATAGCAGGTTTCCGGCCGAGGCGAGTGTTCCAAGCGCGGTCGCGATGCACGATGTCAAGGCGAGTCGCTGAGATTTACTGAAGCGTGATCTGACTACGGGGAGGGCAAAAGCTGCCGTCTAGGAGGTGTTTCGCCGAGAGCACAGAAGGTCATCAGAAGAGCTCCCAAGGGGGGCAGAGGTACTCGGAAGTGTACTGACGAGGACAGTGCACACCACGGTGTTGACGACGAGCATCACGATAGACGCATAAGACTTGATGGTAGTGAAGCAGATCTCCTCCAAGCCCTTGGCCTGAACCAGGCGAGCGATCAACATCGACAAGCTGACCGCCGTCCACGCCGCGACGACGGTCAAGCTGAACCAGTACCAAGGGGCTTCGAGGCGACGGATGGGGACGTTCGTCTTGTAGCCGTAGACGAGGTGGACGCGCTCCACTGTGATAGACAAGGTGAGATTTTGAACCCCTTTGGACCTCGCGAGTTTGGCTCGGACTTACTGAGGAGAACTATTATCCGGCAGGAGAGACCGCCACCAGCGAGTCAGTGACACGACCGGCAAATGCGGACACAAAACACTTCCGGCTGACCGAGTCTACTGTCGGACCCGCAACTCACCATAGAACACTAGCTTGAACACGGTGTACAGACCGATCCCGACGTAGGTCCCGATGGCGCATACTTGTAGGAACGACGTGTCGCTCTGCAAGCCGAGGATCATGATGGCCTCGGCCAGGACGAACAGGTAGGCCATGAATATGCTAAGGCATGAGAGCACTTTGAACAAGGGCCAAGCGCGCGCGGCGCGGTCGCCCGACAGGGCACGGAGGGAAAGGAGCGTCGCGAGCAAAGTCGTCGCGAGCATGTAGAAGATAGAGAGGCAGAGCGTGATGACTGAGACCTGGCGAGCTTGGACAGGCATGGTCGCCACGATGTTCGGCGAGCGCTGATCGAAAGGGGGGTGGGAGGCCTGAGGTGGATAGTGTCAGACATCGGAGGAGAAGGAAGCTCTGGATTGAATGAGGGGCGCATGCAAAGGTTTTTGAGGATCAGAGCGCGCCAGACGGCGGCTCAGGATCTGGAGCACGATCCAGTTTCTCGATCGGCCTCCTGTCGCCAAGTCCTTTTTGATCTTCCGCTTATTGTCTTCAGCCGGTAGCTCATGAACGTCGGCGGGTGTGCTGATCGTGCTGAGAAGTTAATCGGATATACAAACCCGAGATATTGCGTCATATCAACTACGTGGCAATCTAGGAGTTTGATTCAGTCGCCCCGACATTTAAGTCCCGAGCGCCCCCCCCCCCCCCTCCCGGGAATAAGAGCGCCGACTTCGACCCTTGCGCTGTGAAATGTCTCAGTTCAAAAGCGTCTCGAGTGATTTTTGATCGTCAACTCCTTCAAAAAGGAGGCGTAGCCCGCTCGTCGCCTGAACCTAGCACGTTGGCGGGGCAGGAGTTGTCATTCGGCGTTCGATCCAGGCATTGTTTGGCAAAGTCAGGACGATTACAAGAACGATCAGCCCCCTACTCGCAATTTTTCTATAAGGCCATCGGCCTCACACAGATCTTAGCGCAGACGTTTCCGATCGGCTTGGGTCGACACCACCTATAAGTGTCCGAATTTGCGCCACATCCGCGTGCGATCCCCTCAAGCATTCAAGCAAGACCTTCTCATCACCTTCCTCATTGCCTGTCTCGGGTATCTGCACTTCATGAGCTCGATGAGCGAATTCGAGACTTCTCTGACTTCCGCGCAGGGGCCTCCTGTCATCGGTTAAATCTAGTCTGGAAAATGGTTTAGGCGGCTGTTCAACATTTCTCCTCTAATCGATACAACAAGGCAAAAAAAAAACCCGTCGAAGAGGACCACGTCATCGTCCTCAACAATCTTGTGATTTATCCTCGCAGAGCAACCCCGTCGCACGACAGACGCTCTCCCTGAACGTCTTGATCCCTCGTTTCGCCGCTGCCCTCCACCTCAACCTCCAAATACGTCCAGGCTCAACCGAATCCTTCTCCCCTGATCGATCCGAAAGCTTGGAGACCTCATCATCGGATTCCCCTCTTCGAGCAAGGTCCTTTTCCGTCTCATCATCGAGGAAACCTAATTCCCTCCTCGCGACGATCGAGCGCGCTTCGTCGAATTTGGCTCGCATCGCCAAAGTTAAGGACGAAGGCACCGGTTCGAAGGGGTATGGGTTAAGAGGTCCTGATGCGAGTAAGCGAGGGAATGTCGAAGGTTGTAAGAGGAGGGTCGCTATGTGTTCGAGGCCTGCACTCGCCTGTGAGGTGGGAGTGAGTGTTGGCTCGAGTTGTCAGCACGAGATCGAGTCGATTGAGAAGTTCTGTTTTCCTTACCTTGTCGGCTGCTTTGGGTACCCTGGAAAGACCAAACATTTCTATCCGTGACGGTAATGGCCAAAATCCAAACTCGGACGTGACCCTCGTCAATGTCTTACCCGATGTCCTGTGAGAGTGAGAAATTGCCCCGAGCGGACCATACACAGTCAGTACACACGATGCTCCTCCGACCAAATCATTCCACCGTCGATAACTCACTTTAAAGGATCCCCTTCTACGGGATCAAACGTCTGCCACTCAAACACCTCCAAAGCCTTGACATGATCCAAATTTCGACTTCTCGTACGAAACTGTTTGCCGTGCTCCCTCTCCAAATCGACCTCACTCTCCTCCAGAACCCAACTCGTTCCGATCTTGTACAGAGCTGAAGGAGCCCAGGCGGGCATCTTGCCTCGTTTAAGGACGAGGCGGGTCGTGCAGATTGTGGAAGGGGCGCGGAAAGTGCGAGATATCACGTCGGAGGATATGACGTGGGTGGAGTAGGGGGAGGGGAAGCGGAGGTTGTGCGCCATTGTTATGTAGGGTAACGGGATACTGGAAGTGATAGGTAGACAATAAAGTTAATGCGGGGTTGAGAGTTGGCACTGCTGCTCATCACTCGATGCACACTGAAATCAACCTGCTCCGCGATGAGCTTCATAACCCGATCCAGGTTTCACGTGCTACGCAGCGCAACGAGTTCGTACAAACGAGCTGTAAGCTCCAAAAAATAAGGACTCACTCATAAATACGCGTCTGCTCATGATAGACGACCATGACGGATTCGACCACCCCCCAAGGAGCAGCTCGTAACCGATGCCTGAGCCGAGCAACGGGGTGCTCAGCTGTGCCTCAGGTGGTCGTGGAAGCTTGTCTCAAGGCCGTACAGACGATCCGAGAGGTACGTTGACGCCCACTTAGGTCGATGAGAGAGCTGTCGTACTTGGGCCCGAGTGGTGGTAGAGCCTGGGCAGGGAAAGGTGGTAGTGCGGGGGGGGGGGGGGGAGTGGAGAGCCCACGAACCGGATCGGCAAAGAGTTGCGAAGCTTGGGCAAGATCATTATATCGCCGAGCTGAGCTAAGCCCAATATTGAGTAGCCGAAGTGAGGATTCATGTTCGACATCGACATGATCAATTACTTCACCACATCCCGAGAAATGAAGAATGTCCGATTTCAAGTGGATACAAAGCACTCCGTCAAAAAAAACTACCTCCTAATACCCGACGCGCCAAATGGACTTCCGACCCTCGCGCTCGTCGCAGTCGACGACCCCAACGCCAATCGACTCGGCGTCATATTCCTCAGCAACGAACTCGGTGCCATCGACGCTCCATTCGGCTCCCTCTTGCTCCCCGATCCCATCCTAGCTCCAACTTCGCCCACCCTACCTTCCAATTCAGCGACGTTCTTCTTCAACCCCTCCGTCGTGCCCTCGATCCATTTCAACGACCCCAAATGAGCGTTTAGGATGGCAGCAATCTGCGCCAAAGGGTCTTCCTCCCCATTATTCGCACCCAATCGATTAGCCTGTGACATCGTCGAAGGCGACAACGCATTAAGAGTCTGGATCAACGACGTCAACGATGTCGAAGTCGTATCGAGTGAATTGGAGAGGTTCGTCGCGAGCGAGTAAGCGCGTTCACGTTCCTTCTCCGCTTGGCCTCCTCCGCCTGCTCCGTTCGAACCTCTCCATCCTGATGCGGTGGTGGATTGTTCGACGAGTTCGCCGACTTGGGATTCGTAGGAGTCCAAGAGGGCCGCGAGGTCCTTTTGTTGCGATTCGACATAGTCGAGCGAGGTAGTAATTTGCGATTGGAGCGGTGAGAGAGGTAGGATCGACGTGTACAAGTTCGAGATCTACATCATCGCACACAAGTGATCAGCACCGTCACCAGGTCAGAAGCACAGTCAAGCCACTCTCACCTGCTCTCCATTCTCCCTCAACACGCGATCCCACTCCCTCACCTCCCCCGCCAAATCACCAAACTCCCTGGTCCTCTCTTCCAATTCGTTCGTCCACCCATTCACAATCTCATCGAGCGTCTTGCCGCGCAACATCGAAGGCACCGGAGCACTTGCCGTCGAAGTCGGAGGAGCCGAGGAGGCGTCGGCGGGTTTGGGGAGTGAGAGGGTTGTGGCGGAGGTCGCAGGAGGCGTCGCGGCTGGTGTAGCGGGTTTGGCACCAAAGGACAAGGTTGTGGGCGCTGTGGAAGTGGCAGCGCCTGTTGCTCCGGGTGCCGTACTCGCAGCCGGAGCTCCAAACGAAAGAGTCGGCGCACTCGTCGTCGCAGCTGCTGTTGATGAAGACAATATGATCGTCAGTCGCAAGTCAAGCACATTTTGAGAGATTGGAACTTACCTGGTGCCGTCGATGCTGCAGCAGGAGCACCAAACAAGCTTGAGGCCCCACTCGCAGCAGGTGTCGCGGTGGGTTTGGGTGCCGAGCCAAAGAGATTCAAAGGGGCCGCTGCTGCAGCCGGCTTCGCCGCCGCGGGTGCCGCACTGGAAGCTGCGAATACTGCCGGCTGGCCAAAGAGGGACAAAGGGGCTGAGTTCGCGGCGGGGGCGGAAGGTGTGGCAGCACCCGAGGATGGGGCAGACGAGGCGACGGGTGCTCCGAACGCAAGAGGGGTCGATGTCGGCGCTGCTCCGAAAGAGGGCGCCGTTCCCCCCGCGGGAGCAGGAGCGGTCGAAGAAGCTGCAGGAGTAGACGCAGACGTCGTTGCGGTAGACGATGCAGCACCAAAGCCATCAAACAGCGAAGGGGCAGCCGGTGCAGCCGTCGTCGTCGTCGTGGCCGCCGCCGGGGCTGCCGAGGGACCGAATCCACCAAAGGAGGGCTTCTTGGCTCCTTGCTCCGCTCCAGCATCACCTTCTCGCTTTGCTCCTCCAAACAGACCACCAGCAGGGGCAGCGGGGGCGGCAGCGGCGGGGGCACCGAAGGAGAAGGTAGGGGCCGAAGCCGGGGTCGTCGAAGCAGCGGCGGGAGCAGGAGCGCCGAACGACAAGGGGGCAGGTGTGCCGGCGGGAGTGGTGCTACCTTGAGCAGGGTTGGCCGCACCTCCGAAGGTAAATTTACCGCCGGCTGCACCAAAGGTGGGTGGCTTGGCCGGTGTAGCGAACGAGGAGGAGGCTGCGGATGCGCCGCCAAAGAGGCCACCTCCTCCTGAGGCTGCGGCAGGCTTGGCGCCACCAAAGAGCCCTCCCCCTCCAGCAGCAGCTCCACCACCGAAGAGAGAGGTCGGAGCTGCTGCGGCTGCACCGGGTGCGGGTGTCGAGGTCGCGGCCGGTGCACCGAACGAGAAGGTGGGTGCACTCGCGGCAGGTGCGGCCGAGCCGAACGCTGGGATCGAGGACGAGGTCTGGCCGAACAGTGGGCTCGAGGTGGAGCCGGGAGTGGATGAGGCTGCTGAACGCAGGGAAGAGGTCAGTTCAGGGTCTTGCAGGTGCGGATGTTGAGCGGGAGTCGAGTACGAACCTGGCTGGCCTCCGAGGTTGCCGCCAAAACCACCAAAGTTGAACGCTGTGGAGGGGAGCATGGTGTTGTGTTAGTCGAGCAGACGTTTCGCATACTTGCTGCGAAGGTGACTGACCCATTCCTGGCCGGGCTCAAGTCGCGAGGGATGCTGGGAGTGAGCTGCGCAGAGTCAACGAACACCTACGAACACGACTTGACCGCGCGTGACATCCGACTCAAAAAATTCAGCCCAGCTGTTTTCAGCTTCTCGCTAAATGTACCCCACACTCGCCTCGATCCCATTCGTGCACTCTCTTTGAATCAATCTTCCTGTTCATCTCGCACGCGATCACACCTCGTCACCTCCAGCATGACCAGTACTGCCCGCCCCTCGCTACAGGACGAGATCGCTCGGCTGCAACCTTACGGTCTCGGCGCACGCGGCGACACCGACAATGACCCGGGACACTACCCGCAACGCAGCTTGCATGTCCTCCTGGCCGTCAGTGGTAGTGTAGCTAGCATAAAGGCTCCTTTGATCGTGGGCAAGCTTCTCAAGGTCAGTGCCACCAGTGCAGCTGAGCGGTGCACGCTCGACCGAGGCTGATCCTGTGCGAGCTGAATCACGTGCAGTACGATCGAGTCGAGGTGCAAGTCGTCGCAACGGCATCTTCTTTGCACTTCTTTGACAAGGCTGCGCTCGAAAGAGAGCACGCAGGTCGCGTCAAGGTCTGGACCGATGTCGACGAATGGAAGGTCAGTCCAGGCCAAAGTCACGTGCTTGCTTCCAGCGCCGACGTCGGCAATCACTGGCTTTGCACGCAGGCTTGGACCAAGATGGGCGATCCGGTACTGCATATAGAGGTGAGCGATCACTGATGTACGCCTATAGAGTTCTGTACTGACTCTTATCGGTTCTTCGATCGTCCGCCGCCACCTCCAGCTCCGGAGATGGGCCGATGTGGTGCTCATCGCTCCTTGCTCGGCCAACACACTCGCCAAGATAAATCATGGGATTTGTGACAACACCCTAGCGAGTTACCAAAACTCACAAGTGGTTTGCATATCATCTGGAAGTTCAAATCCCTGAATGTGGTCACTACGCCATTCTCGCAGACTTCTGTCCTCCGCGCCCTCCCCACTTTCGTCCCCGTGCTCCTCTTCCCGGCCATGAACACCCAGATGTACTCCCACCCACTCACGGCAAGACAGCTCCGATTCGTCAAAGACGAGCTCAGCTACACAGTCCATGGTCCGATAGCAAAGACTTTGGCATGCGGTGACGTCGGTGAGTTCGGATCCGATTTCTCGATCGAACAGCTTTCTGAGTTGCTGACCCGAAGGAGCGGAAATGCACCAGGTTTGGGGGCGATGTTTGAGTGGAGCGATATTGTCCGTCTCGTTCAAGAAAAGTACGACCTCAAGGAACGAGCAACGCAATGATGGGCAAGTTTGTAGATGACTGCGGCCACGTCGAGTCGGTCTCGTACGGATCATCGTGGGCGCGGCACAGACCTCTCGCGAGCGTCGGTACAGTGAGGAATGCCTGCGCTGGGTCGGCGCTTCATAGGATCATACGAATGTCGTCACAGCTCAAACAAAGGGATTGCTTCAACTTCAACGCCCATGTACTTGGTCAATGCCATGATGAACAATAATCTCGGGGAAAGCACCTTTCGGACGGCATGTCGGAAGCGAAAATTCCTAGCTTGGCACCACGATGGTCAAAGGTGACGGGGCTATGACAAAGTAGGATCGGGGGAAAGCAGTACGACTATGCATCCTAACACGTGTCGAGACTCTCCCCTCGGATCCGATGGCTATCGGGCTTGACCCTACGGAGTGTGCTCTGGATCTGCAATGATGAAACATTCTGGGCGCGCGGCCACTACGAGAGCTGGTTCCAGGCGCCTCCCGGCGCGAGAATTGACTGGGCCCCGCCGCCCGCAAAGAGGCTCGCTCAATCGATCCGAATCAAGTTCGTGCTTCCTCTCTTTTGAGCGTCGGTTCTACACGTTTTGCTTGTATTCAGCTAGACGAGATTTCTCCCTTTTTTTGTTCAGCGTCTCTCGTTGCATCGGTTGGGTCGTGTCCGTGTCGCGCTTATCGTACTCGAGCAGCTCGGGCCTCGGCCGCCGACGATTGTGGAGCGAAGGCGCGTGAAACAGGCGTCGCCGGCCACTTCTCTTGACCAGTGTGGGGTCGACGTGTGACTTTTTGGTGACTGACCCTCACCGTTGGGGTGGAAGCGTCCATCCTTCATACACCGTTACGGGTCTTGGGTTACCTATTGAACCACGGTAAGGGCCTACTTCGTCGTCGACTTGCCACGTCTTCGTCATTTGGAAGCCTCGCCCTCAGACGCCCGACGCTCCATTACGCTTCGCCTCGACGCGTCGCGACGAGATCACGAGGAGCCGCCGCCGCCGCCGCCGCGACGGAACGTACTGAACCGTGAACCTCGTCCACAACTTGACGCCACGGGGCGCAGCATCGGGGATTTCCAAGACTGATAAGATAACGCCCCGCACCTCACTACACCTTATTCATCTGCTTCACACCCCCGGTCGATCGCGAACACCCGCGTGAAGGCTGCAGCTCCGTCATGTTCCCGAGCAGCTTGAGCAGCGCCGACCCGACCACGCGCGATCCGGCCCCAAGTTCGACCACGCGCAATCGGACCGATTCGTTCGCCATGACCGCCGCCAATGCGCTCGGCCCTTGTCCTTTCTCATCTTCTTCCTCATCATCGAATTCCATTATGACAGGAAGTCGGAGAAGATCCGCCTCAGCAGCGATGGACAATCTTCCCCTCGATGCCCCACCTTCGTTGCTCATCCAGTCCGAAATCTTGGCTCGACTCGCCCACGGTCCGACCTTGTTACCAAGTTCTCTCGCGCATCTCATCTCGGCCATCTCGGTCTGTTCGAGGGTATCGATCCGTTCGGCCGCTCTGTTCATCGAGGCAATCCTTGAGAGTATTCGACAGGGGACCACGGCAGGCCTGGGATTGACGAGGAGGGCTCTGATTAGTGCTGTCGCGAGCGCGAGGACGTTGCACTATGTCGCCAACGGTCTCGATTGGGATGGCAGGAATGCTCAGGGGGAACGGGATATCGGTCTCTATCTCGGCCTACTCGATCGATACACAAATCTCGGAATTTATGTTGTCAGTATTTTCGATGATCGTTATGCAACTCGTCATCGTACCCACCTTGCACACCCTATCGCGCACAGATCAACCACACCTTCACCCTAGCCGAGCTCTTCTCCCTCGCCGGCCTCTCCCTGACCATGTCAACGACTTCGCTCGCCTTTGCGACCGCCGAAGAATCAGTCCGCATGCTCGATTCCCTTCTTGGATCAGGCGAGACGTCGCGAGCTTTGTCGGCCATCATCGCGCTCGTGAGGACGGAGATGGCGGAGGATCCGAATTTCAAGATCATTGATGATGGGGTCATCTCGACTTTGGCATTGTTGACCAAGACGCTGACGGCTTTTGTGTGTTTACAAGTGAGTCCCACATGTGAATCTCACCTGTTGCATAGATTGTTTTCTATGGTGTTCATGTTTCGTTTCGTCCGGTTTGAACAGGCCGCCACGAGCAAGCGCACGGCCAAGGAGATGAGGATGCGCGTCGTGTACGATTGCACCGTCGTTGCCGAAGGTGAAGAGACGATCACGGGGTACGTTCCCTTTCCTACGACAACGCAAGGGTCTGCCGACGAGCATTCCTCGGCACACGCATTGGAGGATCACTACGTCCGCGAACATCGACGATCGAGGGCTTCGAGTATCGAGCTCGCTGGCCAAGAGCTTAGACGGGACCCGCACGGTAGTCTGCTCGGGTCGACCAGTCCGAGGTTGATGAGAAGTCGGACCAAATCTGTTGGTTACGAGAATATCGATGTACAGCGGAAAGAGAGGGAAGAGAGGGAAGAGGAGACGGAGATCGTCGAGGAGTTGAACGAGTTGTGTGGTCTCGATCAGGATCAGACGGCGTTTGAGTCAGATCAAGTTGAAGCCGACGATGCCGTCGCCAAGTTGCCGCCCGAGGTTAGTGCGGCGCTTGAGGAGTTGAAGCATTCCGCCGCGGGCAAGACGATCGTCACTTCTTCTATGGGGTCACACTATGAGGTTGAAGTGACAGAGACCACGACGACCACTACGACGACGGTCAGGGCGACTGCGTCGACGATGGGAGGGGACGGCTACTCTACCCGTACGCTCTCGAGGAGGACCGCACCGCGTACACGACCCTTGTCTTCAATTTTCCAGATCGCCGTGCCGCAGGCTTCGGACGTCGAGGAAGGTGATGTATCCATGGACGAAGCCGGAGATTCTAGTCCTGGTAGCTCGAGTGATGAGTGGGTCGACGTCGGCAAACAATCACCCAAGCAGCAGCCCGACGACGTCTTTGGGCCCGAGGAATCGGTCGCGGCCGGTCCCGAGGAGGAGGGCTCTCGTAACGCCAAACTACAAGTCGTGTTCCGAACGATGACGAGCAAGTTCACGAAACGTAAACGTACCTTTCGTCGAGTTGATCACAAGGAGACGGTCACGACAACTTCGACATCGATTCCGTCGTCGGGTGAGAGCACACCTCGTCCAAGACGTATTGCGGTGAGCAGCGAGGTCGAGGAGCCATGTTCGCCTGATTCTGCTGCGAGTCGCAAGAGCCCTGGGCGGATCTTGAAGGCGTTAGGGAAGGCGCTCATGTGCAACCCCTCGGTCGAAAACGTCTCTTCGTCGTCGCCACCCATGTCAAGTCGGAGCTCCCGAACGATGTCGAGGGAGTCGACGCACTCTGCCGGGTCTACCGAGCAAGTGTCGAGACTGCCGTCGACACCGCCTAGGATGTCTGGCATGACAACTTTGGCTCAAATCAACGACATGAGGTCTCCTACTGCTTCCTGTGCGTCGTCTAGGAGGCCATCGCTCTCGGATCTGGCTATCACCTCACGGAGAGGTTCGAAAGCCCCTCTCGAGCCTCTGAATCTAACAGGGGCTCAAGTGCCGACTCATACCTCGACCAGCTCAGCCCCCGTCCCCAAGCTGCGACGCGCCGAATCGATGGTCTCGATCGTCACGACATGCAAGCACTCGCAAGCGACGCCGATGGAGGAACCTGAACCCAAGGCGTCAAACTTCCCTCGCCAACACCTCGTCGCGAACCTGCAACGCTTCATGCGATACTCGTCAGCCGCGTATGGGCAAGCCTTCTTGCGAATTCTTGGGCTCGGCAAATCCCGCGGTCTCGACTTTTCGTTCCCCAATACTAAAAGCCATGCCAACAGTCATGCCTTTGCGCACCATGTTGGCATCCCCGTCGATGATATCCTGCTCGACTCGTATACGACACCTGGGGGTGGCATCTTTGACAACCACCGGATCTCGCCCATCGTCACCTACCTCGCCGTCGATCACGAGATGAAGGCGATCGTGCTCAGTTGTCGCGGATCGCTCGGCCTGTCCGACGTGCTCGTCGATCTTGTGTGCTCTTATGAGCAGATACATGTTCCCGATGGCGATCCCATGGCGTTGTATCAAGTACACGCGGGTATGTGGCACGCTGCAACGCGATTGCAGCGTGGGTTGGTGCACAAGACGATCAAGGAGGCGCTTGAGCAGTATCCTTCTTATGGCTTGGTACTTACCGGCCACAGGTGAGCCGCACTACAGTTTCAGGGTCTTGGAAACTGCCGCTGAGATATTGCGTGATGGTCACAGTCTCGGTGGTGGCGTGTCATCCCTCCTCTCGTTGTTGTGGTCCACACCCTCGCACGTCTTCGAGCGCAATCGCCGCCCCGTCGACATCGGTCGCCACCCACCCATCCATACGCCCTTCGTCACGTCGTTTGCTTCAGGTCTTCCCGCCGGTCGACCGATCCATTGTTACGTCTTTGGTCCCCCTTGCGTCGCCTCCCCCGACTTGGGTCGCTATTGCCAAGGTTTGGTCACCTCAACCACGCACAACAACGATGTCGTCCCGACGCTCTCGATCGGCTCCTTGCGTGACTTGAAGACGATGGCGATGAACTTGCATGAAGATGGAGGGACAGGGACGACGCGCGAGATCATCGGTCGAGTGTGTGGGATTTACCAACGCAAAATCGCACTCGCGACGTCGGAACGACTTTACCGAGGCCTGCCGGGTGGATCGGAGAAGGAGACCCCTTCGCTTCACGACGTCTCGGACGAAGCGCGCTTGGTTGCCCTGACCAAAGCGGAGATCAGGGCGGGGAGGGGCAAGAACCGCGCCCTTGATCCGGCGTATTGTGATCCGACGTTGTTACAAGAGTCGGAGGACCCTGAAGATGTCGTCGTCAATGATTACTTGTGGTCCGTCATGCGCACGTTGCGCGCTGATAACGATAATGACAAGTTATATCCGCCCGGTGAGTCTCCGAATGGAGCAATTGGTTCTCTTCGCTTTACTGACAGCCGCGTCTTCGATCATCCGACGCAGGCAATGTGTTTGTGGTGGAGAACTACACCGTCTTCATCTCCTCCGAATCAAGGCCAGGCCAATACGCTCGACGCGAAGGACGCCGCATCCTGCTGCGCGCGGTCGACAACGTTGAGAAACGGTTCGCCGAACCCGTGTTTGGCAAGACCCGTAAGTCTCCTCATCTTCGTTACAAGTAGATCGGTCGGATCAGAGCTGACCGTCCGTGGGCACATTCATCTCCCTTTAGTCTTCATGGACCATTCCCCGACAGGCTACGAGGAGAACGTCGACCTCCTCGCAAGAGCCGTCCTTGGCTAAATCGTTTCGAGCCCTTACCGTTACCATATACCTCCTATTCCTAGTTCCTTCTGGTTTTGATGCTACCTCCTGTCTCCACTCTTGTTTGTTGCTATATTTACTCTTATTGTCCGTCTGCACTGCAATTTGCCAACGTTGTTTACCAACTGATGGTTGATTCTCTTTCATGGCAGCCGCGAGAAGACTAGTAGAATGATGGCATGTCACTTCACATCTGTCGTTCCCCTCTTCGTCTACCCGGCTCTAGCAAGATTACCCAAACTCTTCAAGAATTCGGACGCGTTCACAATTTCGGTCGCGCCGTACGTGATCTTCCTTGTCGGTGCGCCCATCTTGTCCATCGCTCCACCCCCTGGAGCGGGAGGAGCCGAACGTGCCGCATATTCCGTCAAGTTCGTATATTCAACGTACGATCCTCCACCGACGACGAAGACGATCGCGTCCCCGAAAGGTTGACGCCCCCTCCCTGCGGACGCTCCGCCAGGTCTGGCCCCTCTCCCAGCACGAGGATCGAACAAGAGGTAATCGTCCGTATCCTGCAACGCCTGCGTCGAAGCCGAAGGTGGGTCCATCAACGCTTCGACAAGTCGAGTGACGGGGAAGTCCTTCTTCGCGGGAAGGAAGTTCTTTACGCCCGAGATGAGGTTGTCGAGGCCGACGCCACCGATCCCACCGTCTCGAAGACGATCGGTCAGTCGGTTCGAGAGGGACGAGAAGCCTCGCATCAGGTCACCGCCGGAGGTCATTGTGGTGGGAGCAGCGGGGGTCGCACCGAGGTTGGACATGCGCATCACATCGCGCAATCTGCAGCAACAGATTCACTATCAGCTATAAAGAATTGTATCGCCGAGATTCAAGGCACCGCGACTCACTTTTTCGCATATTCCCACGGCCCCATATCTACGCCCGTCTGAGCCAGCGCTCGCTCGTACTCGGCCAAATCGTCCTTCGTGACGGCCTTGTCCGGCGCCGAAAAGTAGAAGCACAACAACAAACGCAGCTTGTCCTCCGGATTCTCCTTTGTCGGATCACGGATCGCCTCGAGGATCTGGGCTTTTGTCTGTAGTCAGAAAGGGGTTGAAAAAGCCGATTAGCATGAGAAGGACCACCGGACGAGGGCTACGCAATTCGTAGCCTACCTGTTTAGTAATGCTCTCCTCCATCTGGAACAGCGTGTCCAAGCCTCGCGACTTGATGCCCTGCAACAAAGCCGTGGCGATGTTCATGTGGGTGTCGAGCGTGTGTTTTCGAGCCGTGAGCTCGGGTAAGGCGGTGATGGCAGCTTTGAGGTTGGCCGCGTTGGAGGACAGGTCCCTGTGATCGATGAAACTCACGTTAGGGAAGCGCAAGATGCACTACTAGATTTGCCGGGAGAAGGAGAACCCACAGTTGTGAAAGGTCGTTGATATCTCCGACGCCCGTGGATCGTGTGATGTCACTCGTGTCTGCTTTGTATCTGTAGATTCATACGCCACGGTAAAAAAATGACATTAGCCACTTGTTCACTGAGTGCCAACACAGAGTCCGACAATCGACCTACTTGTTCAGTTGCAGATCAATCTCCTCCGCGACCTGAGGGAAAGGACTGGCGGCGTTCTTGGCCCAGAAAAAGTCCTTGGCATCGAGGTCGTAGAGCTTCTTTTGTAGTCGTCCAGATTCGGGTGCTTCAACAGAGACGCGGTTGAGTCGCATGCCAAGCACATCGTTGACGAGGGCTTGGTACGTCCATGAATGAGACAGCATGGGCACGAGGTCGACGTTTCGGTCCATGAGCACGAGAACTGCGGGCGAAACAAGCCGACGATCAGCTCAAGCAGCGTAAAGCCTGACCTTTGTACAACTCACGTGGCCGCCCAAAAGATCCTTCACCTGCACCCGTTGCTCCCGAGAAGGCGTTCCCGCCTCGAGCACCTGCAACGTGATCTCGCAATCGAGCGTCCAACTTGCGTGCAATCATCTCGGCGGCATTTCCCCTCGGTGCTCGGATGATCGGCAATTGACCTACATGATCACGAATGTATAAGCGGTTCTGTCCCATGAATTTTTTTTAGATACAGAGTGACTACGCACCCATTGTGGCGAGTACGGAGAAAAGCCCTCGCGCAATTCGATCGGTGACCTCTTCGATGTCGGTTTCCGCCGCTTTCGGGTCATTGAGCTTCTCGTAGGTGCTCCTCTCGAGGGACGAGTCGACCATGGGAGCCGCAAGCGAGGCCGAAGCCGAGGTGGGGGTGGCGAGAGATGGGGCAAGAGAGAAGAGATTCGGAGAGAGGACAAGGTAATCGAGGTGTTGGTCGTAGATCTGCGCGATCAATCAAGAATGGTGAGGTCGGCGCAGCGGATGCAACACTCAGTCCCGCTAGCAGAACGTACCTGCTCGACATTCTCCACTGTTCCATCCCTTGCCACAGTCTCGGCAAACTCTTCCAAAAGCGGCCGCGAAAGTGCACTAGTAAAGTTGACATAGGTCGAGGCGTACAGTCCCTTTTGCAGGTCGAGCGCGATCCGGCGGATGTTGGCCTGCGTCGGTGCGACAAAGTAGATGGCAGGTACGTCCGTAAGTGCTGGTCTTTCGGCATGCAGTTGCCTGTATACAACGTATAAAGTTGGTCAGTTCAAAGTTCCTCCAGGGTTTGCTGTAGGGATTCCGGTAGCGCCAGTTGACTGGACGCGTATCAATCACTCGACGAGGCAGTGATCCTATTGGCCACTCGGTTTCCATATACGACCCATCGACAACATCGAGCCACAACCCCAGCGGCCCAGGATTGACGTGTACGAGCTGATCTCGCGTCGAATTGAGTGCGTAAAGGGCGCGCCGTGCGGTGTGGATGGTGACACGTGAGAGCGAGCCGGCCAGCCAGCACCTATCACCGAACGGCGCGTGCCGGAAGGTGTGTGCCCAACCTACATGTGCAGCGTCACGCCCTGTTCCCTGAGATCCTGTACCCTCAGACTGGTGGCGACGATGTCCTGCGCCACCTTGTCCATCACCAACACCTTCCACGTCGGCACCACCCCCGACCCGGCCACGACCGCGCCTGCTGCCCCGCCAGCACCCCCAACTCCTGCGCTGCTCGAGGCTGGGTTCGCTGTCGAGGGGTTGTTGAGCGAGAGTAAAGAGGTCAACGCCTGGACTTGGAAGTCACGCAATGTCTTGGGGGTCGACATGGTCGTCCTTGCCCGTGGACGATCTCGAGGTCAAGTCGAGCGTAAGCGTGGTCAGAGCAGAGCCAAGCCACGGCGAGCCAACGGCCCGCCTGCCATGCCAGTCAGCCGGTGACGATCGGTGACGATGCTTCTCGAGTGCTAACGAGTGCTTCTCGCGCGCCGTGAAGAGCTGACGGCCTCGATCGACCCGTAGTGCGCTCGACTTCAGCCCCTAACCCCTGACCTCTACCGGCAAGGAATTCTAATCTGCGTTGAATGCTCCCAAGGCGTGCATCCGCCCTCGCCCTCGCCCGGCTATCCTCCGTCTCGCGTCACCTCGCAGCAGCACCACCTTCCCCTCTCCCCTCTCGTCGATCCAACATGTCCTCCTCGGCCGCCGCTTCCTCGGGCAGCGCTTCGTCGGCTACGTCGCACCGCTTCGACGTCTCCCCCGTCCCACCCAAGAAGAGTGGGCATGACTTTGTCAAGACGGCGGGATGTCTTATCATCGGCGACGAGGTCCTCAACGGTACGTACTGCCATGACGCCATCCTCGATGCCGCGATTCCCCACATCAGCATCCCAGATGACCGGTGGTCGGAACCTCCTCGGACGTACCAATGACCTCACGCTTTCTCCACCACCACAGGTAAAACCAAAGACAGCAATTCCAATTTCCTCGCCAAGTTTCTATTCGACCTCGCCATCGACCTCAAAAAGATCGAGGTCATCGCCGATGACGAGCAGGAAATCGTCGAGGCGGTTCGGCGCATGTCGAGCGCTTACGACCTCGTCATCACCAGTGGTGGGATCGGGCCGACGCATGATGATATCACTTATGAATCGGTGAGTTCGCTGAATCAGCGGCCTGCAGGTTCCTGGATGCTGAGACTTAGCGCTGGATTCCTTCCCCCCCCCCCCCACCACCACCAGATCGCAAAAGCCTTTGATACGACGCTGCAGTACGACGAAGAGACCAAGACCCGGATGGTGGCACTATCCAAGCGCCGCTACAACATCGACGAGCAGACCGAAGGTATGCGGGCCATCGCCCGAGCCGGCAATTATCACCCTGGGAGTAATCTTCACTGTGCTCACCGGAGTCCTTGTCCTCCCCTGTCCCACAGAACAAAAGACCGCTCGCAACCGCATGGCCTTATTCCCCGTGCCGACACCCAAAACGTCCGTCGAAGTCCTCTTCGTCGACAAAGAGCTCTGGGTTCCCGTGGTCCGTGTCGCGGGACGAGTCTGCATACTCCCCGGGGTGCCGATGCTTTTCGAACGCCTCCTCACGGGCCTAGGATCACGCTACATCAACCTCCCCCCTCGTCGGAAAAGCCTTATCGTCTCTTGATCCATACCTCCATGCCCGAAAGTTCGATCGCGCCTTTCTTGACGTCCTTGCATGAACGAGTGAGGAAGGAAGGCGTGAGGGTCGGCAGTTATCCCAAGTTTGATAAAGGGGTGGATGTGAGTTTGATTTCGAAGGACTTGGAGAGAATCAAGGAGTTGGCGCAGGAGGTCGTCAAAGAGTTGAAGGGGGAGATTGTGGAGCAGGGCAAGCTGGGCGAGAGTAAGTGAGAAATAGTGATGAAGGGAGAGGCAGACTTTTCCCGGGTGTTTGGGTAGAGTTCGCCTTCGAACAACGACGGCCTACCTGCTTTGGCCGAACCTAGTCCAAATCACATCTGAATTAAGTTGGAGTTTCAGAATCAGTGTTGCAAACGCGTACCCCGTCCTCTGGTGGAGTATTTCTAGTCTGCACGCGCAGCGACAAGGCGCCACCAGGCTCGATCATCCCCTAGTTCAAATGGCTATTATTGGCGCATCCTCTTGCGGCACCGCCCGGCCGAAGCCCCGAGGCGGGCAGACCAGCAACGTCATTCACGCAGGGAAAGAAGAAGCTCTCCTTTCAACTGACGTCCTTCTTTTGCCCTTTGGCTTCCTTCATCTACTCTCACTTTCGAACGAGATCCCACAACATCTCGGTTCAGCCCAGAATACTGAGACTAGGTTCTACACCAATCAATGCCAACCGAGGACTCCGCCCCCCGCAAGGCGCCGTTCGACTATGCCCACGCCTCGATCGCCGACATTCGTAAAGCGGCCTCGGAAGTCGAACAACGAGTCGCGGACCGACGCAAGCAGCTTGAACAACAGGCCGACGGCGATAGTCAGGAGAGGGAGAGGGAGAGAGCAACCAAGGTGTTGCAAAACCGGTATAGGTACTTTTGGGGTGGGGATTGTTCGAGCTCGGTTGGGGTGGTGTTCCGGGGGGGGAGTCCCGTGCTTTTGTGGCTGGGGTCACATGATAAGAGCCCACCGGTGTATTTTGAGCCGTTCGATCTCCACGACTCGATAAAGCTCGTGCCACGGGCCGCGGATCGATTCTGATTCAATCGCAAGCCACGGATTATCTTGCACGCATATACTCACGCCATTACTACTGCTGACAGGGCTGGTCGACCGCTCAACCTAACGAGCTCGGAACGATGGACTGAAGGCATGCGAGCCAGGAAGCTATCCGGCGCCGGCAAGGAACAAGACCATGGTGTGAACGATGCGAGTGAGTACCGCTGCTGTTATGGCATGAACTCGTGAATCTAGTAGCTTGCATTCATGCTTATACTGATCATGTCTTGCACAGCCTCGCGATGGAAGCGGTCCGAAGTCTATGCCGCCAAGTTGTCCGAAGGCCAGCATGCGAAGAAGGGGGCTCTCGAGTTGACCGAAGCGGAAGAGATGAAGCGCTTTGGGAGGGTGAGTTCACTCGCTACATGTCCTTATTTTTTGTCATGCACTCATCATCTCGACTATATTTCCCGCATTCCTCAGAACAAGAAAGAGCGCAAGCGAATCAGGGAGGAGCGAGAAATTAGTCAGCAGATGCAGGCGCAGTACTGGCTCGAGATGGTCGACGCCAAGCATCGGTACGGGACCAATCTCAAGGTAGGTACCGGTCCAGCTCCCAGCTTGCGTGAAGAACGCGAGCTGACCGGTTGACGTACGCGCCTACAGTGGTACCACAAAGCATGGAACGAGAGTGACTCGCCCATGAACTTTTTCAAGTGGCTCGACGAAGGACCGGGCAAAGAACTCGATCTGGAGCAATGTCCGCGGGCTCGACTTGAGAAGGAAAGGATCACGTACCTCACCGCAGAGACACGCAAGAACTATCTTGTCCGCGTCACGGACGAGGGCAAGTTGGTCTGGGCTCGGAACGGCGGCCCCGTCGATACGAGCAAGTTCCACAAGGACGGTGGACCCGAGACGGGCATCGTCAAGATCTCGAAGGAGGAATACGAGGCGAAGGAGAAGGAGGCGAAGGAGAAGAGGAGGAAGATTCGGGACAACGGCGGCAAAGAGGTCGATAGCAGCTCGTCGAGTTCGAGCGACGAAGCGGAGGAGATCTTTGAGGGTGCTCAGCCCTATGATGACAAGGTCGGTCCGCGCTTCTCTTGTATATATCCCGTTCGCGCATTAGCTAATTCTAGCCATTCGATTCTTTACAGGGGGGAACGGCCGGCTCGGGCAAAGGCGTTCAACAGTTCAAAGCGCGAGTCTCTTACTATACCAGCCCGCGAGCGGTGGCGGACCAAATGCTGCGCAAGACAGTCAGCAAGAACACGTAAGCTAATTTCCCTTTCCCCTTTCCTCTTCCTCGTGAAAAGACCTAGCACCCGGCCAGACGTGGACGCATTTACCAAACTCTCGAAACATTTCTCCCATATGGGTTCTTCTAGGTGGCTATATGTTGCCGATCTCAAGGCAAGCTCTCGTGATGGGACCTGTTGGGACGGAGTCGACGTCGCGCGTGTCCATGCTAACACACAATCTATTTCTCCCATCCTCCAGGGCAACCTGTACGTCAGTCTTAAGGTCACTGGCAAGCTGCAACACTCGTCGATCCTTTACGGCGCGCGCGTCATGTCCGCCGGCTTGATCAAAGTCGACAACGGCAGCCTGACCAGTCTCTCTCCTCTATCGGGCCATTACCGAGCTGGGACGATGCATTTCAAAGCCTTCGTTCGGAGCCTCGAAGATCGCAACGTCGATATGAGCTCTGTTTCCATCTCCAAGAGCGTCATTACGATCCGAGCGTTAGAGAAGTACGGCAAGTTCTCGAAGAAGAAGGCCTCGCTCACGGATAAGATCAAAGCTGGGTTGGGGATGGGCAAGACGGAGGAAGAGGAGAAGAAGGAGGAGAGGGAGAAGGAGGAGAAACTGGTGCAGAATCAACGCGTGGAATTGGAAAAGAAGCAGGATGAGGACTCGTCTTCTTCGGATTCCCATTCGGAGTCTGATGAGGAGGATAGGGGCAAGAAACACCGGCGCAAGTTGACGAATAAGCTGCCCGGAGAAGGGAAGAAGGTCGAGGACATGACCGAGGACGAGAGGACGGAAAGAGGAGTTGCCCTCATCCAGAGGGCTTTCGAACGAGGTCTAAACCTCGAGGAGAAGAGGATCGCGGAGCACGCGACGGAGAAACAAAAGGAGCTGGAGGAGGAGCACGCGGAAAAGAAGGAGGAGTCGAAGAAGTCGCAGTAATTGACCGAGCTTGCGACATTCATCTTAGTGTCCCGGATACGTCTTCGTGTCATTTGGAGTCCGATTTGGTCTAATATCGACGAGATTACCCTTTGTGTAGATTAGTTCTGTGCTTGGTGCCCCCTGACATTCTGCTTTTGACTTTGAACCAGGCTCGATCATTGACGGGCACTATAGCTCAGAATTGTTGGGCTGCAGATGATCGCTACGAAAAGTACATCGCCTTACTCGACAATCTGCACCTTGTTCTTGTAGAACGCCGTACGACCCTCTAAATCCTTGGCACGGTCGGTGATGGCCTTGGGGTAGTACCACGCCGCATCGCTCAAGACCTTGCCATCACCGACGTCTATGTCCCAATACGACGCCTCACCCTTCCAAGGACAAGTGGTGTGTAGACTCTTTGCGGAGGGCTTGAAGTACTCTTGCTTGAGCGCCTCGCGAGGGCTGTGATATGACGGTTGGAAAGATCGGGCTCAGATGAGTATGGAGCCCCACATCAATTCTTCCGGTAGCAGGGTTGTGAAGCGCTTCGAAGCCTGTGGGAACTCACAAGTACTGTTGAGAGTAAAGTCCAAAGGTCAATAAATCGGTTTCAAGTGGTCAGTTTGGCTCCGCAACGCCTACCGATGCTTGGTCAGCAATAACGCCCCACACTGACATGGTTACCATCGGCCGTCGTCGTCTTGTCACTCTCGGCGATGACGGTGCCATTGATGAGGACTTTGACCATGGTGGCGGAACTATTTGGAGCTGTAATAGTAGTGTTGAGAGGTGCTTGTGGAACGGCAGTGTGGGGGTCCCGAGCAACAGAGCAATCGATGAGGACTCAAGGAAGGCGAGAAGTGCGCGCACTGCGGGTGTCGTCGACCCGGCCCTCTGGCAGCAGCCCTTCCAGCCTCCGCTTGGGCCTCGGCCACGAGTCGCATGGCGCATGCTGACCAATCCAGTCGTACACTTCGGACCCGGAGTCAGCTGGGTCGACCTCACTGCAGTCATCAAGCGCAACGAAAAGGACCAGGATGCCTGTGTTCCTTAGACACTTCTGACACGTTCCGATACACCTCGCCAAGAGTGGCACGTGTCAAACATGAGCTCCCCTATCTTAGAGGCATGCTCCTGAACTCAGGGGCTCATGGCCCGGGGTCGTCGGCTCCGGAGGATACGTCGAGTGGTGGCAGTCGACCGAGCCGGCCGTCGGCGTCGGCGTACTTCGCGAGGGAAGGGCGAATGTGAGGCGTTACGCCATAGCCCCCCAGTAGTGCAATGCATAATCTTGACCGTGCTGCTGTGACCGCACAATTTCTAGCCTTGAGACGCGAGGGCACGCGAACAGATCACATGCTGAGACATCGCCGCGGAACGACGCACGTGTGGGGGACCTCACCTTCACACAACGTAACGCGTGAGCACGGGGGCACGTTCTTGACGCAAGTAGACTGACTATGCTACTTGGCGGAAACTAGATGAACAGGAGACACTATGTCGCTCGAGGCCGGTATAATGCTTGACTCGGCGATTGTGAATTGCAACCCACTTTTAATTCCGTCGGGCGAGGCGTTTTCTCTCGGCTGAGCTCGGCTCCGGTCGGCCAGGCGCGGCGGCGCTATTTAGAGTGCTGCTGCTGCTTTGATGAAACGTTCATCGCATTGGACTCGGCAGCCGTGCCGCCCTCTTCTTTCTCCTCACCACTCTCGCAACACCGCCTTTGTCCCCTCCCAGCTTCACACACAACGCGCCTCGCCAGTCTAACTCTATTGGTCGACTGTCATCTTCTTCACTTCACATTGGCCCCCGTCTCTGGTGCGATCGCTGCCCGCGCCACCACCCGATATCTTGCTCGAGCTCGCTCTCACTACCGCACGCCGAGCAGCACTACTCGACTCGTTCGTCCGACGACCATGGCCACCGCCACTCTCCGCGCTCCCGTCAAGCCGCCCTTGATCAAGAAGGGCAGCTACGAAGGCCAACTTCCCTCATGCTGGGGTCACCGAGGTGTAAGTGTGATTACAGTCGCGTGTCGTCCCATCGCCGACACGGGCTCGCAAGCTGACGACGCAAGCTTGTTCCCGCGCGCGCGCCGTCTCGCAACACGTGCCCCCTGCCCTCGCCCTTTCCACGTTTCTATTTCGGGTTTTGCAGGCCTCTGCGGCGTTCCCCGAGAACACTTTGGCCAGGTACGTGGCACTAGACTTTCGCTCATTGATCTGGGACGCGTCCTGACTTGCGCATCAATTTGCACCGTGTCGACAGCTTTGAGGCGGCGATCCGAGATGGCGCCGAGGGCATTGAGTCAGGCAAGTCACGACTCGGGGACTCCGGCTCGGAGCGGTGGTTGTCAGCCCCGGGCCCGGCTCTCATCTCGCCGAACACGCCTGGGTCTGTGGCGACGGGGGGAGAAGTCCATTGCGATGACGAGGCCGAAGGGACTGCACTGCACTGCGCTACGTGGACGACTTACCGTCCTGGGATGCCCGAGGCGGGTGTGGTTCATTGATCCATGGTCTGGCGGCCGCGTGACCTGAGCCTCCATGTCCCGCGCGCGCGCCCCTGACGATGACCCGTCCCTGTCGGATCCCACGCCGCGCCTGGACCGTATTTGTCTGGAGATCACATGAGCTGACCCTCGCCCCTTCCCTTCTTCGGCATCTTTCGCAATTGATCGCGCGCTCTGTTTCATTTTGGCTTGCCCCCGTCCACAGATGTTCACATCACCGAAGACTCGGAGATTGTCATGTTTCATGACCCCCATCTTGGTTCGTCGAGGACATAAGCCCCTCGTCTGCTCCCCCCGCCTCTTTGGAGGATGCATACCCATGCGCCTGCGTGCCCAATTTCATTCCAACAGACCGCACCACGAACGGAACCGGTCGCATCCAAACGCAAAAGTACTATGGCGTCTTGGACAAGCTCGTAACCAACAAGTCGCCTCAGCAAAAAGTGGGTCGGTCTTGGAGTCGGGGGTCGGCGGGTGGGCCGAGCCGCGCGCGCGCCACTATGGGTTCCAGTGACTGACGCAGAACTTGCCCCCGCCTCTAGATCCCCACGTTCCGAGAGACGATCGAGTTGTTGATGCGACCCAATAACCGATCTGTCTTCCTCAACATCGACGTCAAGGTTGACAATGATCCCGAGCGCCTCTTCAAGCTCATGCATGAGATCATTGCCCAATACCCCGACTACGAGACCGTGCTCGGTCCTCGCCTCGTGCTCGGCCTGTGGCACCCCAAGTACGTCGAGCCGGCCGTGCGGTTGTTGCCTTACATGAAGCGAGCCCATATTGGGTTGAGCCCCGGCTTGGCGCGCAAGTACTTTTGGGAGGCGTGCTCGTCCTTTTCGATGAACTTTTCTTGTTTGGTCGGTGGAGACGGCGAGGCGTTCCGACGCGAATGCAAGGCCGCGGGCAAGGACCTCTGTGAGTCGGCATAGCATTGGTAGATATTGGACCTTGGATGATTCACTGACTCTTGTCCTCTTCCTCTTCCTCAATCTCATGCAGACGTCTGGACCGTTAACGAGCGCCGCGAGATGATCGAAGCGACCAAATGGGGCGTTAAGGCGATTCTGACGGACCGTACGGCCGAGTTCCTCAAGCTGCGCGAACAGATTGAGGACGACTGGCCTTCGGTCTCGCGCGAGACGTCGTGGAAGTTTGCCTATACCTCGTTTTGGTACAGCTCGCTCGCCAACTTCTTCATCTCTCGTTACGAGCTCTACGTCCTTACTGCCACCGCTGGGGAGTTCAAGCTCGTTCGATGATACAATGATCGTCGGTCGCGTCGCGTGGTCTAAGGTGATTTTCTCTTCTCCTTCTTGCCTTACGCCTTTTCTCTTCTGGCTCCTGTCGCCAATAACGTCATAATAACCTGTTCTGTCTATTTGTGTCATCAGTAGTGTATTGTCTAGTAGCCCTCTTTCCCCAGTCGTACCCTTTAGTATATCATTTCTCGACCTCTCTTTTCTGATGATCAATGCTGCACTCGCAATCCCAAGGACATTTCTCTTCTTACTCTCGCCTTCACTTCACATGCTGCGAAATATGCGAGTTGTGATTGCAAACCACCTTTCCCCTCACTTGGCCCCTTTCTTCTTCACGACCCTCTTCTTCTCAAAACTCTTCAACGCCTTCTCCACCTCTTCCTGCGCCTCCTGATCCTCCGTCAACCATCGACCAATCTCTTCCCCCGTCGCCTCGGGATAGGTCAATTGTCGCTTGACGACCATTTCGAGGATCTTGACCATCGCGGGGGAGTTCTTGGATTGAGGTAAAAGCGCATTCACGGTTTTGCCGTCCAAGATGGGGGGTTCGAAAGCTTGAGTATCGAGACCCGATTCAAGGATATGAACGACGAAGGCATTATATCTCGTGATCAACGAACGCAAACTTTCGTACTTTTGTTCTTTCGACCATTCTGGATGAGCGCATCGCAACTTGGTGAATTCGTAAACCAAGGACCAGAGGAGTGAGACGTTCCACCTCGTATGACCTCGATCATCGACGTTCGAACCCCTCAACAATAAACCCACTTGCTCCCTCTTCCAATCCCCCTCTGATCGTTCTACCATCTCCCGGATAGGTTCCTGCGCTTCCATCACTTTCCGAACCCACAACGCATCGTTCGATGACCATTTGAGACCATCGCGAACGATTTTTTCGGCGACGGAAAGGGTCTTGCCTTTGGTGTCGGTGAGGTGTTGGGAGGTGAAAGGGACGAGGGCGCAGGCGAGGTAGAGGCGACGTTTGGTGTGCGGGTAAATGGGGAAGTGGTCTAGGGGCGGGGAGGGGGAAGAGGTTGGTGGGGCGGGGGTAGGGAAGTGTGGGTTGATAAGGGTTGGGTCGAGGGGTACGACTTGGAGGCGTAGTAAGGGGTGTAAAGCGGAGGCGAAGGAAGGGTCGAGCAAAGTTGTGAGGGTTGAGGAGGCTTCGATCACAGAGTTGAGAGGGAGCTGAGGTTCAGAAGAGGTCGATGTGGGGATCACCGATGCGTCGTAGTAAAAGATGAGCTCGTGCAGGTCGAGTGACATGATCAACTTCATGGCGAGATGTGGGTCTTTGCCTGATCGACGCACGGGAGGGAAGGGGATGGGTCAGAAACGTAGCTAGACGAGCAGACTTTTTGATTCCGGTACTGACCCATCAGCATCTTATCCAACTCGATCCCGACCCTCTCGCGACTAATCTTCTTCGGATCCCTCAAAGCCGCTCTAATCTCATCCCTTTTGATGGCCTCGACCAAGGCCGTATCCAGCTCGAATGTGTCCCCAAACCTCGCCGCGAAACGCACGGCCCTGATCACCCTCAAAGGATCATCATGGAACGTTCGGAAGGATTCTAAAGGCGTTCGGATGCGTTTGGGTTGGCCTGGGACTAGGCCGAGGTCGGCGAGGCCTTTTTGGGTTTGGTCTTCGATTTGTTGGGTGCGCAGGTTGTAGAAGAGCGCGTTGATGGTCAGGTCGCGGCGTTCGGCATCCTCGAGTGGGGTACCAAACTCCTGGTACACGCGTGTACGGTTGTAACGAATGTGAGTTATGCGACCCCCGCGAACCTTGGAATGAACAGACAAAGCTTACCACAGTCGGTATCCTGCTGCCTTGAGTGTAGACCTCCTGCCCCCTCTGTTGAACCCAGTCGACGGACAGGCCACAGACTTTGGCCGTCGCAGTTTCCAAATGTTTCGATTGTTCGGGCTTGGCCTCGATCTTGGTCAGACGACCCATCTGAGAAATATGAGGAAGCGATCAATGGTCGGGCGAAATCTTGGGTCGATAATCGAGAGGACATACCAAATCCCGTTGACCGATCGAAGCGAGGTATTGCTCGAACAAGGTTGCAAATTTCAACCCCGTGATAGGATCAGGTGACGTCGACACGTCGATATCATCCGATGTGAGACCCAGGAGCTAAAGTGAAAGCGGAAAAGGGGTCAGTTCTTCGAAATCTTTTCAGAAAAACCTGCCTCGAGTCCAAAGACGAACCTTATCTCTGACCCAACCACCAGCGATTCTCAATTCAACAGGTTCGTGGCCCCTCGTCTTGCCGATCCATTGCCCCGTGGAGAGGTCCTTGAGACGCAGCGCATCGACGAGATGGGGGTTCGAGTCAACCCAGTCGGCACATGAGACGAGTAGCGAGCACAGGTGCGCTTCGTCTGCCGTGAGCTGGATCACGGCGTTCGAAGAGGTCGAGGTGGGGGGGATAGGAGGGTGGGGGGTGGAAGAGGTGGAGGATGACATGCGGAACTGAGGGTAAAGGGGTGTTGGTGGTCGGGATGAAAGTGGAGCTAGGAGTTGACGAGTGGACGTGCAGCGGCAGAGACGGACACTGGAGGCGGTGCTCAGCAAGCGACGGCCCCACATGCACCTTTGCAATGACGGTGTGCGTCCGGCTGGTACTGATTACTGCTGGGTCGGATGAGGCATCGTACCCGTAGAGCCAGTCGGGGTGTGTGAGTTGAAAGTGAGCTCGGAGTGGGGCTGACGTGGTGCCGGTCAAGCTGGTGCGAAGCTCTCATTACAAATTCAGCCGGTCGTATTACAGACGGTGCTAGTCATCAAAAAGACCCGAGCGGCTCCGTTTTTCCTGTCGTTCCTTTCTCTGCCGCCCCACACGCCAACTTTTGATCGTCCATCGCACCCGCCCTTCCCACCACCTCGAACCTTTACGATGCCTCCTCCTCCTAAAGCGCTTCCTCCAGGAGCTGAAGAGCCCTCTGTCTGGTCCAAGCGTACGTTCTCTTTCGCCATGACGGAGCGGAGTTTCCCCCCTCATCCCCACTTGGCATGCGGCACTTCCCCGCGGACTTCTGTTCATACTACGACAAAGTCCACCCACTGACGATACCTTTACCTGCATAGTCAAGATGGGAGCCACAATGGGAACCATGTACGCATCTTCGTCCCTGTCCGTCCCTCCCCTTCACTACCCGATCTCATGATAGACCTCCTCCTCCTCCTCTTTCATAACAGGGTCGGCCTCACCATCGGGTTTTTGTTTGGATCGTTCGCGATCCTTCGCAACGGCGCAGGACCGAGAGGTTTCTTGCCCAGTCTGTCGACGTACATGTTGAGTTCCGCCGCGACGTAAGTGAACCGCCTTCCAAATCGAAACCCGCTCGGGGCTATCGATCCAACAAAAAGAAACCCCCGACGATTCCGACCGCTAAGTTGACTTTTCTCCTTTGATGATCTAGTTTCGGCTTCTTCATGTCGATCGGCACCGTCATCCGTACCGATGGGCTCACCATGCGCGAATGGGCCGAGTTGGAAATCGCCAAAGGAACCGCGATCGGATTACCTCCCGTTCCTTCTTCGTCACTTGCAGTGAGCGGGCAGATGAGAAAGAATGTCGGAGCCCCGTCGGAGAGGTTCTTGGGAATGCGAGACGCGTTGGAGCAGAGGGTTGGGTCGGGGATGGGGGCGATGAGGGATTGGGAGAAGAGGCGCAAGGGGATGATGTGAGATCAGTCGACTCGGAACTGCAGAGATTCAGAGTAGGATGAGGCGAAACCAGAAAGAATAAGGCTCGAGGGTAGATCCCATTGTTGACATGATCAATTCAGGAAGCAAACGTGCCAGAAGGGAACTCTCCTCTTTCTCTTTCGAGCGTCGGATTGCTTTGCTGGGAATACGCGCCACCAGACAGTCAAAGGTCTTCAAGCAGTGCGGTTACATAATTGCTTGTCAGCGTGTACAATAGCATCTCAAAAACGTTACTAGCCTCCTCGGACTGCCATTTTTTTAGGAACAAAGAAGCCTCCCCCCACTTGCTCCTCCTCTCAATCCAGCGTTCGATTGGGGCTTTCTTGGTTACAGCATCGTGAGCCCATTCTGAGCGATCCAAGCCGCATGCCCAACGACGGCGAACACGAACCCGAGATTGAGTAGGGACGAGACGGAATGCGCGATTGCGAAGCGCCTGTTGAGCGACTTCATCTTGGACTGTGTAAGGGGCAGCAGAGGAAGGTTGTCAGAGGGCGGGCGGGCATTTGGCCAAGATTTTCGAACCGTAAAAGATCGGAGGGATTGGGGGAGGAGATGCACTTACGGAAGGGTCAGGTGCAGAGTAGGTCGTGTTTTCGAGACGTTTGACGCGATGACGACGGAACATGATAGCTGTGAGAGCAGGCTTCCGGACACGGTCAGATTCATCATACCCCCGGCCAGATCCATGTTTTTAGCTTCCTCACCCGTAGTCCAAGGTCCCACCAACAACAAGTTCAACAAACCCGCCACACTCATCCCACCGAGAACCCAACTCGTCGAATCATGTCGCGAAAGGACATGGCCTGCTCTCTTGTAGAGCCCCAACAAGGCCAGTGATCCGGCGGATTGGAGGGCGAAGAAGGGAGGGAACAGTTTGGATTGGAGGTTGCCAAATTGTTGGCGCGGGAGGTGGGAGTAGGCCAGCTGGGGGAGGCGTGGTAAGATGGGGAAGGTGAGTTGTGGGGGGACTCGAAAGTCTATGGTTGTGTGCGTAAACTCACGGGACCGGCGAGGAACGAGTGCCAGATCGTCGAGCCAAGCACCGTACCGAGGCTGCAAGGAGGGAGGACAACGAACAAGTCAGATTGTATCTTGAAGAGGGCAATCCCGCAAAATATGGGCTGGTACTTGCATGAGACCGTATTGGCCCTTTACGCTGAAGACGGCGCGCACGATGGCCGAAGCGGACGGTGACGTCGTTGACACTGCGAGCGAGCGAGGGCGAAAGGTCGCCGAGATGGGAAGCAAGTCAAGGGTGGCGATCAGAGCATAACCACGAGTGCAGAGAGGGTATGAGTCTAGTACTCACTGGTTAATCGAGAATGAGGTGTGAAAGGCTAGGGGGCAGGGGAGAGCAAGATGTATAGTTGTTGAGTGGCAAGACAAGTCGCGGCGCGAATCGTGATCGAATTTCAGTCGGTGGTCTCGTGCAGTGCCAAAATCACGGTCATTGCCAGTGGCCGAGAGAAAGAACCGGCTAAGATTGTTGATTCTTCCTTTTTTTACTTTTTTTACTGTAATATATTATGACTGTTGGACTCGTATAACCCGGCGAGGTAGGCTTTTCAAGTCGAGTGACTTCCGAGTTTGCCCATAGCGCGATCCGATCGCCACTTGTTGATGCTCAGAATCCGTCAATCTGTCGGCAACTTGGGCGATGCGCGGCCCGGGTCGCACAAGTGAAGGCAGAAACGGCATGCGTCGGGAACGTCGACGATTACTGGCTGTGCGGTTCACCGAGTCGGAGCACGGAGCTCAGTCGTCCTCCGTGCGACATGTTCGGCTCGAGTCCTCGACCCATCTCCGCACAGGGGAGAGGCCACTACTATCAGCGCTTCTTGCTGACTGTGGGTAAAAGCCCTGTGTGAGCCGGATCGAGGATCTAAAGCGGGCCCTCCTATCTGGCTTCAGTAGCCACGCGTGGGCGGGTATTCCGGCCATTAAAATCTCAGAAAAAGCATTATTTGCGAGTCTGGGACCCCCCGATGCTTCAAAACGAATAGTTCGGCTCTAAAGAGCTTCAGGAATAAAGAGCTTCAAGGCTTCAGGTATTAGAGCCTTGACATTCCCCCTGAGAGAATGGACCTGAAACCCATTGCATATTTCGCAGATGTCTTTGACCGCCGCGCAGCTGTCTTCATTAACATTGCAGATCTTCGTCAACGGACCACGTACGCACAAAGCCAAGTGTTGCATGTGAATGCCCAAAAATATAATACAGGGCCATGTGCTACTACCACTACATGCCTAAGCAGGAGAAACCTCGCCGGTCACGCGCTCTTCGTTCATTCCGATATCCGCAAGCAGAGCGCGCAAGTCACCTAGTCACCAATCAACCCATCATGCGACAACTCGCCCGTGGTCCACTTGGGTCCAAAGATCACTCCCTCGTCAACACGATAAATCCATGAATGCTTTAGGCCTAGACCGCAGTACTTGGCGACCGTACCGACGAGTTCGGGAGCCTTTTTAAAGAACCCCGCGAACGGTGCAAGGGTGTGTACCAACCCCCTCGACTTCTCCTCCTTTGACATTCCAGTCGGCCCGTCTGGCCCCGTGGGGTTGATGAACAGGATGAAGACGATCGAATAGACGAGGAACTCGATATCGTGCCAGGGCTGGTGGAGGTATGCCGTCCGTTCCAAAATGCCTTGGATAAGATCTCGCGCACGGAACGGGAACGAGCCCTGCGGGGTGTCAATGGTGCCAATAATAGGTAAGTATAAACTTGCTCGAGCAAGGTCCCACCCAATGACATTACCGTTGTGTGCCTCATGCTCCTTCTTTCCCTAGTATCTGCAGTGATTGGGACCAGGTACAACGACACTCGAGTGTGCGTTCCGAGATTGGGAGTACGCCGCAGGAAAGCGAGGCTCCCGCGGAAGGAAGACCCCGCCTCCTGTCTCCAGTCGCGTGCCGATTTGGCATTGGGAGCAGGCACCAAAACGAGTAGCAAGTCAATTTCTAAAATCACGTCTGATCCCTTCTCCGAGCGATGCTGTCGGGTCCATAGAAAGCAGCACAAGCGTGGTCTGATGCGTCTATGTAAGCAGACGAACCTTCCCGGGCGCGTCTGCTGACACCCTTACCTCGAGGCAGTGGAAGCTTCAAGACTCAAGCCTCAGCCAAGCTCCATTGCTCGGCTCTTTCTGCTCACTTGATTAGACATTCGACTTTCCCGGCACGTATTCTGTCGAACCATCTGCCTGTCAGAGTAAACGCTGCTTCCAATTGACGCTGGGCTTAACAGGCCGTTGGATTGCAGTGGTCATCGTCGCGGTCATCAGTCGCGGTCATCAGTTGCGGTCCTTTTAACGACGCCCTAAGCCTGGACCCCTCGACTGTCATTGAGTCGACTGACTAACGGTGTTGCCATGGTCACCGTCTTTGACCGCTAAGGGTCTACTCACTATATAACCAGGCTTGAGCTCGAACTTGGAGGCCACGACTGTGCCACTCCTCTACATACTCTGCCAGTGAGTCCGCCGAGCAGTGGCATTGTAGTGCTTCAATTCGGCGTGTCTTGGAGTCCATTCACTTCGGACGCTCAGCCGCTGACTCTAGCCGTCGTCCAACTGCTCCGACTCAGTGCCGCCGCCGACGCGATGGAAACGCTCGCCGCCGCCGCGACTCCCGCCGAGGTCGAGACCGCGTCCTTACGCCATGATGGCGGCAGTCTGAGTCAATCACGACACAAACCTCAAGCGGCGCACCGATTCTCGTCTCGCACACGACACCAAAGGGCTTGTGCTACCTTCAGAGGCCTTGAAAGCCTACATCATCTCAGACGACAGCGAACTCGACGCGCTGGCGGTAGGGGTCCAATGGCCGGCGGGCCAGAAGTGGGGTTCGGAGGATGGTTTCAAGATATTTGTTGCTGACGATTTACGCGGGGTAAGACATGCGCCTGCGATGTACTTTTGCTCTGAACCCGGCAGCACACAACTTATGTTACGACATTCCGATACTCAGGTGTCCAGCCAAAGCAAAGTCGTGGTCTGCGGCAAATCTGGCAAGTTCCCTTCCGTTCAACGACAACTGCCCCGACGTCGTTTCCCACTTTCCTCATGGAGCGACAGCGGATAAGCTGAGGAGTTGGGCAATGACAAAGCAGAGATCGATGCGATTGAGGAGAGAACGGGGCTCAAGCTGAGTGGCTGATCTTCGTACGCTGAACGAGGTGTTCGATTTCATGGAGCTGAAGAGCACCCGTGGGGAATGGTATGCAGCGGAGGCGCAGGTCCTTAGGCATCTCTACTGGATGACGTCGACCCACCCGATCCGACGATGGGTCTTTGCGGCGACCATGTGCGGGTGCTACCTCCGCGTTTACGTGCACACGCCAGCAGGAATAATCCATACTACCCAGATCAACTGCGCCTCGCCGAACGGCTGGCGCATCCTCAAGCGAACAATACTGCGTATCCTCAATGGGGACCTCGTTTCGTGGCACGGCGCTGTATCCACTGCCGCCACATTGCCAATCTCGCTCTCACTGCGTGATCTCCCATCCGCAGCGTCCACCCGCCTTGCCGAATCTTCCAATCGAGGTCCAAGAGCTTCGTCAATATGGCACTCGTCGAGTAAGACAAGCAGAGGTGGGGGTGGTGAGGTGGCGGCTAAAACGACATATTGACGGCGAAGCTTCTGGACCTCGATTGGAAGATTGGGCAAGCGGGTGGACGCTGCGGATGGGAGATCACGCAGTGAGAGCGAGATTGGCAATGTGGCGGCAGTGGATACAGCGCCGTGCCACGAAACGAGGTCCCCATTGAGGATACGCAGTATTGTTCGCTTGAGGATGCGCCAGCCGTTCGGCGAGGCGCAGTTGATCTGGGTAGTATGGATTATTCCTGCTGGCGTGTGCACGTAAACGCGGAGGTAGCACCCGCACATGGTCGCCGCAAAGACCCATCGTCGGATCGGGTGGGTCGACGTCATCCAGTAGAGATGCCTAAGGACCTGCGCCTCCGCTGCATACCATTCCCCACGGGTGCTCTTCAGCTCCATGAAATCGAACACCTCGTTCAGCGTACGAAGATCAGCCACTCAGCTTGAGCCCCGTTCTCTCCTCAATCGCATCGATCTCTGCTTTGTCATTGCCCAACTCCTCAGCTTATCCGCTGTCGCTCCATGAGGAAAGTGGGAAACGACGTCGGGGCAGTTGTCGTTGAACGGAAGGGAACTTGCCAGATTTGCCGCAGACCACGACTTTGCTTTGGCTGGACACCTGAGTATCGGAATGTCGTAACATAAGTTGTGTGCTGCCGGGTTCAGAGCAAAAGTACATCGCAGGCGCATGTCTTACCCCGCGTAAATCGTCAGCAACAAATATCTTGAAACCATCCTCCGAACCCCACTTCTGGCCCGCCGGCCATTGGACCCCTACCGCCAGCGCGTCGAGTTCGCTGTCGTCTGAGATGATGTAGGCTTTCAAGGCCTCTGAAGGTAGCACAAGCCCTTTGGTGTCGTGTGCGAGACGAGAATCGGTGCGCCGCTTGAGGTTTGTGTCGTGATTGACCCGTTACATGCGTACAAGAGCCCATTCACTGCACTGCAGTTGTGTAAGGCGACGAAGCACTGAGAGGCCCAGCCTGGTCAGGGCGCGCTTGACCGCTAGCCCATCTCAGGTCATGTGACTCGATTTGCCGAGGATTCTAGGGTCGCCACTGGGACGGGCTTAGGTGCACGTCCAAATCTTTCGAGTGCCTGGCTCGCAGAGGCGCCAATTGTTTTGGTTGCGAGGACGAGCAAGCTGGTAGAATATATGGGGATGTGATGTAGGCAAAAAATTGGCGCTTTCAATTTACTTACTACCGGCCCGGCGGCGCCAGTCATTGGACGTCACGAGCTTGCTTGATAAACGGTGTCAATATCCCACACCTACCGATTATTGAGCTTGCCAACATGAGCTCTTGACAGCACGACAAAGTATTTGAGACGCTGAGGCTTCCCGAGTAGTACTTCCGAATGATCGACATCATTTCACCCGGCTCTGACTTCAAGACTCTCGACCTTGGTCGCTCACACATTGTTGTCGCAGAATCGTACGTGACGTAATGTTTTACTCAGCTCACCTTGATTTACTATAGGTGTTTGCAGTGGGCGAGTGCCAGAGGCGGACCAGTATGCGCAACGCTCAAATGTTTGCCCTGGCAGTTTTTCAGCTGGAGTGCTGTCTCGAGGCAAGTCACGAGAAACTAATAGAACAGGGGGCCTTAGGACATGCTACATGGCATGTAGGGTGTTTTATATTTATATTTCGTAAGTTTTACTCTGGCCTCCCCGTCCCGTAATACGATCTGCCCCAAGCCGGGGTCGAGACGTTGGAGTCAGTTCGACGACGTTCGGGCGCTCCTCCGCATCCCACCACATCCTCAACCCATCGTCGAGCCTTGACCATCCACGGCGAGCACTCACCGACCATGGGCAAATCAGCACCCGCGCCCGAGTCTTCCAACTCGCTAACCATCACAGGCAAGTCATCGAGACGAAGCAGCCGCTGTACCTGATTGTAGACGAGGACCGCGCCGTGGTCGTTGTGGGGGCGAACTCGTCCGAGCCATGAGGAGGGGCGACGATGGGGAATCGAAGCTGATTATTACTACTCTCACCCGTATTACTGACACTGAACAGACAACCGAACGGGCAAGACGATCCATGTTCCCATCCAAGTCAGTGCTCCACAGCTCCCTAGTGTTCATCCCGTTCGCCTCCGGGACCCTTCAACTCGCGAGCGCTCAACCTGAATCTCCCCGTCCCCGTAATCGACCCCTTTCCTTCACTGTAGCACAACGCCATCCCCGCCACCGCGTTCAAACAACTATCCAAGAAGGAGTTGAGCAACGGAGAACGCGAAGAGGACGAGATCGAGAATGGTATCCGAGTCTATGACCCAGGTCAGTTTCTGGATCGACTCGGCTTCGGCGCTTGGGCTTTGGGGGGCACGACCTTTGGACCGCGGCCGGCGCGTGATTTCACAAGCGCCCACCCGGAATAACTACAGTCCGCGCCGGCGCGATCTATCCGGAATTTACGGCGCGGCATCATCGAGTGCGATATGCTGACGGGGAGCGCTCTCTCAAATGAACTACAGGATTCATGAACACGGCCGTCATTGAATCGACCATCACTTTCATCGATGGAGAAAAGGTGCGTATTGAACTTGGGCATGACGACGGCACCTCCGGACCGAGCGACTGCCAAGAGGGGATTCGGGCACTTCTTGATTCGCGAGGGCCGCGGCTGACCGAGACCCATCCCCCCAACTCCGAACCGTCCCGCTTGGGCTCGCAGGGCATCTTGCGCTACCGTGGGTACCCGATCGAGCAACTGGCCGAGAAGTCAAACTACCTGGAATGCTCTTACTTGCTCATGTACGTTCACATCAGTATCAACTTGCTCTCGCCCGTTGAAACTGACGCTCGAACCCCTTTCCTCGTTTGAAGCTACGGAGAATTGCCGAGCAAACGTCAGTTCAAAATCTTCGAGTCCGAGATTCTGGGGCATACTTACACCCACCGAGATCTGGATCAGATGTAAGAACCTTTTCGCCACCGACATCACGCGTGCAGCGTGCAGGATCCTGACCCCCCAATCTCCTTTCCGCAGTATTTCCGCCTTCCGCTACGATGCCCACCCCATGAGCATCCTCATCAGTGGAATCGCTTCCCTCGGTGCCTTTGCCCCCGAAGCGAACCCTAGTCTGGCTGGACAAAAGCTCTACACCTCGGGTACGATGTCGTCATTGAGGACGATGGATAAGCAGATCTTCCGTTTGCTCGGCAAGGCGCCAACGTTGGCGGCGATGGCTTACAGGATGCGTCAGGGTGGGTGAGGACGCTGATCCACCAAGGGCCTCTACAACTTGAACATTGACCCTTGAACATGTCTCCCACCTACAGGCCGACCCTTCAATCAACCTCCCGCTGGACTGGGCTACACCGAAACGTTCTTGTACTTGCTCGACCACCTCAACGAGCGCGAGTTCCGCCCTCACCCCGTCTTGGCCAAGGCACTCGACACCTTGTTCCTCTTGCATGCCGATCATGAACTTAATGCGAGTGCGGCGACGACGTTGCAGGTCGGAAGTACGCTTGTTGATCGTACGTCATCGCCTTGAACGACTCGAGTCCGCACGCAAAGAAAGCTGATGCTAATTCGTCTGCCAACGTACAGCCTACTCCGCGGTCGCTTCCGGTTGCGCGGCTCTTTACGGCCCCTTGCACGGCGGAGCAAACGAAGCCGTCATCCGTATGCTCATGGCGATCGGTACGCCGGACAAGGTCAAGCCTTACCTCGAAAAAGTCAAGAGAAAGGAAGTCGTTCTCTCCGGCTTCGGCCACCGCATTTACCGCACCTCGGATCCTCGCTCGCTCATCATCCGCAAAACGGCCGAACAAGTCTTTGCCGTCACGGGCAAGAACAAGTTGCTGGAGACGGCGATCGCGTTGCACGATGCGGCGATCAAGGACGAGTACTTCGTCAAAAGGAGGTTGTACCCCAACGTCGATTTCTGGTCGGGATTGATTTATCAGGCCATGGGGTTCCCGATGGACTATTTCCCCATCTTGTTTGCCGTACCGAGGATTGGTGAGTGATCGCTTCTGCTCCCATTTTAAACCGTACCCGATACAATCTCATCGAACCCCTCCCTGATCCCTATTTTCTCTCAATCATAGCCGGTTGGTTAGCCCACTGGCGCCAAATGATGCTCCAAGCCGGTGGCGTCAAGATCTGGCGACCGCGTCAAGTCTACCTTGGCGAAGGCTCACGCCCTTACGTCCCCATGTTGGAACGAAAAGAGGTCAAACCCAAACATGCGAGTGGGGAACCGACTGAGGTCGAGCACATTTTCTCAAAGAGGAATTTGTTGTCGAGGGAGAAGCTTTAGAGTGAGAAAAAAAAGGTTTGGAGGGGACCTGCCGATTGGGGTTACGTTCTTTGGGTGTTCTGTTCTGTTTCAGGTTTGGGTTTTCCGAGTGTGAAGCGTCCAGGTTCTGTAATGCACCTCCTCTCCATTTGAACTGCGTCATGTCGAAAAAGTGCGAGGCACACCTGGGGGCGTTTTGTCCGAACAAGGATTGGGACTCACTCAAGCGAGGCGACTCCGAACGCGGTCTGCTCTGTCTTTCTCTGTCTCACGTTCTCACTCTGACCAACATTGCTCCCAGATCCAAATATCACCCCGCCTACCTACCGTAGATTACTCCCTCCGGACGCACAGCGCACACCGTGGCACTCGGCGACATGATTAGGGGCGCGAACACCGCAGCAGTTGCCCAAACTCATGTGCGGATGATTCAACAGAGCCTTCCAACGGGAATGTAGAAAACTCCGAGATACTCGCTCTCTACAAGAGGTGGGCTATGTACCCTCCTACATCGTGCTCTGATATCTGCTCTTTCCAGATCGCCGAATTTGGGAGGGGCCAAGGTCGCCCATTAACAACGACGATGTTACAGTTCGTTCAAAGACAATCCGGACGAAACACGCGAAAAGAAATCGTGTTCATATACTCTCTGATGAGGCAGAATTAGACAGAAGAGATCGAGATATTCCGATAAAGGACAGGTGATGCGGAGGCTATGGGACCCTGCGTTCGTACATGGTAGGAAGAAGGAAGAGAGAGCAAAAGGACCCGTTCATAAAAAGTACTGCAGCGCCGTCGACTTGGCCGGGATCCCTCGCGAGTCCTGTTGTGCCGCGTCGAAACTCTTGTACGTCGACTGCAGGTTCTCGTCCAAGGTCAAGATCGAGGCGATGTTGCCGCACCGGTAGCAATAGTTCGGGGCGGACCATACGGTGACGATCAGGTTCTCGAACATGAGCTTGTGGCCCTCCATTACCTGATGTATAACAAAGCGTCAATCAATTCTGTCGTTCTAGATAGCGTCCCCGCTCAATGCAAGCAAACGTACCAATTGATGAGCCCGTGCGATGAGGTCCAAATCGTTATTGTGGACGAAATGGCGCACGACGTCGGCGCCGAAGAGGTAACCCGCTCCTCTCGGGGATAACCCCCACCCTTCGATATCGTCCGGGTCGGACCACAAGAGGTCGCACATGGCTCCGTCGTGGGGAACTTCTTGTTTTCGGTCGATCAGGCGGATCTGGGTGGAAACGCGACGGCGTGAAGGCGGGTTTGAGCACCCTTACCTCGAAAGCGCCGAAACAAAGGTGCGATGGACTGACCTGATCGAGACTCTGCACGTTCGGGCTCAGCCCGCCATGAACGCAAAAGACCCTCCCATCGACGACCGCGCCCAAACTGAGGTAATCAAACACCTCGCAGCAGTACCTCCACACGCTCGCGCTGCCGAATTTCTTGAGGCACTCGTCGTAGAAGCCGTAGACTTGGGTGATTTGGCGGGATTCGTGGTTGCCTCGGATGAGGGTGATGCGGTCCGGATAGCGTACTTTGAGAGCGAGGAGGAGGAGGAAGGTCTCGACGGAGTAGAAGCCTCGGTCGACGTAGTCGCCTGGGAAGGGGGAGGGGGGGAAGGGAGATGCATACAGTCAGGGGGTGCGGCGTGCCGGGGGGCTTAGGAAGCCAAGAGCCTCTCACCTAAGAACAGATAGTTGGTATCGGGACAGGAACCGCCGACGTTGAAGAGCTCGAGCAGGTCCCAGAACTGGCCGTGTATGTCACCGCATATGGTGACGGGCGAGTCGATCCATTGCACGTTCGCTTCCTCGACCAGGATCTCGCGCGCCTTCAAGCACAGGTCCTTGACTTGTTGTTCCGAGATGGGTTGGCTGAAGGGGGAAGGCGTCGAGCGGGTTGAAGGTGGTCAGGGGTGGGATGAGGGAAGCATGCACAGGGTGTGCTGATGGCTCACCACTCTTTGAGCTGCTGTATCTGCCTGTGGTGATGACGAGGGTGGATGTAAGCGAGTGTACGCTGACAGTGAACACGCCTGTGTAAGCAGCTCACCGATCCAGACTGGAAGTACCAGACATCCGATCTGGGAAGAGAGGGGTTTTGATGGGCGGCCGTCTGTCGCTCCGCCGTGGGCCCCGAAGTGAGTGAGTGGGTGACCGCGGTCGACTTTGGCTTCGTTCTAAGCTCAACTAAGCCCTCCCTCTGGGAGGGGCTTAGGACTTGCATCCATACATAATGCCGCGAGTAAATGGTGCATTTACCAATTACGCGCGCGCGTTTACCCCCGAAGCTTGACCCATCTACCCCGGTAGTAAGGTGCAAAGTTCACTTACAAATGGTGCATTCCTCGCGCAAGTTGGTGCGTTTGCTCCCGAAAAAAGGTGCGTTTACCAATTAAGGATGGTGCATCTACCAATTAGCGGGGCAATCCGCTGTATCTCGTGTAGTATGCCATGTATCACCCTGAAACTTGACGAGCCCTTTTACATGATCACCAAGTACGTCCACCTTCAGTAAGAAGCACTCTCACCAGGACCTCATGTAGTTGGAAATCGTGCCCCTACCCCCGGCTCTCCCCCCCCCCCCCCCCCCCCCCCCCCGGGCTCGACGAAGACTCCCAGGCATCGAAATATTCACTCTTTCTTTTGCTGGGTACTACAACGGGTCAAGTGATCCGATCATGCGTGTCACTGCCCAAGCAAAGTAGGCCCTGCATCCACTGCACAGCCGCGCATCGCCGCCAGCGACCTTGCTCAATTTTGTCTGGGTGCACGTAGCCTGCTTGACGCGTCGCGTCGCGCCAAACGCCTACTTCTACTTTCGACTCATGTTCACCGCGCCACGCCAGTTCCTGCCATCCGTTTCCATCGACCGATACTCGCCTTGGTTCTAAAACTCGTTTCGCATACGTCATGTCCAGTCAGCAGATGAATGCAACGCTCCAGAACAAGGGTGGCCGACCCCGCATTGGGACCCGACCAATCGACATGACCAGCCCACCTGCACGTGGCACCTCCCACATGTCCTCGACTACGTCTACCCAGAAGAAAGACTTGGGCCAGCGGGAACCCAATATCATTGACCAATCTCCTTCAGTGACGCACTCCAATCAAACCTCAATGACTCCTGAGGGCTGCTCCGACGATGTCGACTCGAACGCCGACTCAGACCCCGCCGTCGACGACTCCGAAGCCAGCTCCTCCGATGGCGGCGAAGAAGCCATGGATCGACTGCGCCAAGTCGTCAACCTCCTCGAAAATTGTGCACCCAACCATCTACAGCTGGAGTATGACACAATGCAAGCTAAACGTCAAGCGATCATGTCGTCGAACCGTCTCTGGTCGGCGGAAGAGAAAGCCGACTACGGGCAATGGCCGCTGATTCTTGGCGACCGAAGGAAAGCAGATGAATGGACGCTCAAGGACACCATACCAATTCTCAAGCTTCCTTTGTACATGGCCACCGAAGTATGTCGATACTGGTTCAAGCATAAGCAGTCATTGATGGCTAGTTGAAGTTGCTGATTAGGAAGCAAAACTGACACAATTCTTCCTCACCGATCCTCCTCCTATCCTTCATTGGCGAAACCAACCGGAACAGGAACACGAATGGACAGCCTGCAAATACGAACGTTGTCTCGCCGTAGAAGAAACATCTCACGGTGCTCCATCGATCTCTTTCCATCAGCATCCGGCGGATCACCTGACAATGATCGAATGGCACCCGCTGATCGGCCACAATTTGCAATCCACTTGGAAGGAATCACGCAAAGAAGTGCTTCGCATATCGCACCAGTGCTCGGGCGCCTGCATGCGCTACACTGGAGATGATGGGAAGATATACTACAACGTGCGACCGAAGGACAAAGATATCGTGCGCGAATGCTCTTCACAATTGAAGGTGAGTTAGCCGAAATTTCAGCGTCAGAGATCCTTTCTTTGCTGTGTTTGGGTTCGTGGCTTTTGCGCATGCGCTGAGACCCGTTTCGTTACCTGCACTCTGCACTCTGCTTTTGTAAGATTGTGGTTCCAGCCAGCAATCTCTCGATCGCCTTGATTTACACGCTTGGCGACCATGAGGGCCGGCGGACCCTAGAATCGGTCAGGAAACCGGCCGCGGTTATGCGAACTGTCGCTCATCAGATAGTGCAACAGTGTGGCAGCACCCGAAGCACTGCTTTCCAAGGTGAATCACAATCATGATATGTCCAACAGAACCCTGTATCTGTCTGTTGATCGCACCGCTGACTCGCGTTCTTGGTCCATTCACGCGAGAAAGTTATGTCCGACTATTGCAAGAAGTGGGAGAAGATCCACCGAGTCACTCTCCATCCTAACCGGGTCATTTGGGCCAAACAACTCAAGAGCATGTTCCGGACCAAGGCTGCGAAGGCGTACACACATTCCTCTCCATTATACGCCCTATCACGCACAGCTCAACTGCGAAAATTCTGCTTGGACGATGCGTCCGAACCGATGACTCGCGGAGTTGCCTAGTGAGTTTTCTTCTCCATCCGACGCATTGTCGCGCTTGCATCTGCTAATGCATGGCTTACACGTCGTACGTGTGTCCCGCAGTTTTCAAACTTTTAACGCCACGAACAACGAGTCACTCATTTGCGTACTCGCATCCTTGCATTCGATCGATATCCTGATCGCCTTTGCCACCATGGGAAACGTTGCCGAAGACGGTTCGCGATTCCTTGGGATTGATTCGTCTTGGCGGTATCTGAATGAGAACCGCGCCCCGCTTACCATTCTTGCGACGATGGGTACGAACGAACAGATGGCGTTGGGTTAGTCGCGAAGGAGGCCCTGCCCAATCCCGTGCCTGCTTGCGAGTCTCAGCGTCTTCAGCCTTCGGCGCTGATCAGTTTTCGCACATTCTCTTTTCTGTAGGGCCTATGCTACTCTCGAGTGACGTCAAGCAAGGGACGTTGCTGCATTATTTGGACGTTGTGAAGGACCTAGTCGAAAAACGGGCCGCCATTATTGTCAGAGGTAGGTTCGGCAGTCAGTCTGTCGATACTTCGGCCTTGACACAGCGCATTGACATGTCTTTCGCGAAGCGTAGATGCTCAACGGGGCTCCGTCAGCGAACTGCCCGGTAACCTGCCCAATCTGCTGGAGAACGCTCAGTATATTGTACAGCACCAGTGGCAACCACCCAACTTGATGATCGACAAGTGCAGGACCGAACTGAGCGCCCTCAAAAAATGTGAGGCGCTTTCCTCTTAAGCGGTGATCATTGGTCTCAGGGGTTATTTTATCTGACCTATCATTTTTTTCGATCTCCCCTCACGGGTCTGTGTCTGCAACAGGGGCATCGCGGCATGGGCTCGAGTTTCAAATTCGACTTTGTCAGTTTCATGCGATTCAAGCAATTACTCGGTGGTCAACGGATGCAACCCATGCGAGCAAGACCGACAGGTCCCCAGTATCAAAGCCCATATTGGTCCATATTTTGCGTGATTTTCGTTCAATCATCCAACGCTTCCGGTTCGTCAGGGGTCCACAGGAAACGGAGGAGCTTGCAAACGTGCGACGACGTCAGGAATTTGACGCAAGAGCGCAGACGTTTCTAACCCGAACCGATGAATGGATCCTTAAGTCGCACTCATCCGATGAAACGTCAACAACGGATGTTGGGAAGGCAAAGATCAAGAAGTTGCAGCTACACGTTCGTGACTACTTCACGCAGAATTGGTTCGTGGATGCTTGGATTGGTCAGTCCCAGAGCAAGAGCCAGTTTGCATTTGGGATGCAAGGGCAGCCAAGTGACCAGACTGCGCATTCACCACAGAAACATTTGTAGACGATGGTCTACCATTGGGAGTAGCTCGAGATGATATCAATACAAACAACATCACTGAACGAGCTTTCAAACGAATTCAGCAAGAGCATCTCCAAGGTCGAGCAAATAAACGGTAAGCTGGCTCGAGTCACGTAGAAAATGAGTAAAACAGACTTGCTGAGGCCCGCACCATCCCGCTGTCGGTAGCATCGATAATCTAGTCAATATACTACTTGACAGCGCACTGATTTACGACATTCTCAAAGATGTAACGATTGCAACTCCGAATGCGGATCTCAGGCGAATTCTGGCGAAAGCTCTGGACATTTGGGAGATGGGTGTTTTTCAACAGACGAAGAAGAGCTACGCTTGGGTGGTTTCAGCAGGGTTAGTTGCTCTCGGTCAACTTGCTCAATACTACATGTCTTCAGCTCTGGACTTACGTCATTTCCTGCGGCTCTCTACGCAAAATGCAGAGATGGTTCCGAGCCTAGAATAGTGGACATGCGCTTGCCGAAATGCAAATGCTTTCGACCAGTCAGGCAAGCGCTGCCCCCACCTGTGGGCAGTGGATCTCCTGGTGAATAATGGGACCTATCACACTGTGATGAGTACGCTATTCAACCTGTTTGCCAGACGGAACCCATTGGGTGGCTTGCTAACACCACTCAACCACCTATGCAGAGGAGCAGGCACGAGCTGCTATGGATCTCAAGGGGCCGCTTCATGACGACATTCCGCGCAGCAAGGTTCGGGATTCGACAATCGAGATGGTGGTCAATTGTGCGATCAACGAAAATCTCGCCATTGATGATCTCCATGGTAGTCTGTCAGAAGAAGATGACGAGGATGATAGTTCCGGCGAATCAGAAGCAGAGATCGAAGTCGGGAATCGTGCCGACGTCGATATGAAGGCCGCGACCAGCAGAGGTGAGGAGGACATGTATTGCCAGCTAATTGAAGTACCTCGCACTCTCACTGACGCTCCGCGCCTTCGCACAGGTCCTTCGCCCAAGAACAAGCCTTTACAGCCAGGTCGGTCGATCACGAAACCGAAAGGTCGATCAAAGAAGAAGACGCGTTTGAACGTCACGGAGGATGTCCAAGGTGCAACCTCTCCTACCATCAAAAGTGCACCTCATCTCGAGCATACGGGCCGCCGGAATGGAAACGCAGACAAACTCCTCAAGTCGCTATTGCGGGACAAGCTCAATCCAGCGTCTTTGCGTACTAAAACCGCGAAGGACAAGCCCTTCGCCGATGAAGCATTCTCAAAGACGCGTGGGCGACGACCTGAGACCAAGCCTTTCAACAGTCTCATAGGAACCAAGCATCATCAAGCTGCCAAGGAGATTACAGATTGTCTAACAACCTTGGAATGCCTCGACATCGCATATTCTGACGAAGCGCTCTCTGACGACCAGAAACCTGCATGCCCTTGCCCCCCTTTGGTCGAAGGCATGTTGCAACCGTCGATTTATGCCACAGTCAACCCTGACAATCGAATGGCGAACGTGACTAATATACAGGCTGTCGTTGGATCCATCAAGCACCCTTATACAGCGTCGCGACAAGACCGCTTTCCATGGATGATTCATTTAGACGTCCACCAGGATGCGTATGTGCCGGGGTTGAACTTGCGAACGCTGGCGACGCTCAACGACCCCGAAGAATGGGTAAGTAGTGCTCATATCGATGCGTTCGTCACTGCGATCAATCGGTTTGGTGGTCAGGCTGCGATGCGGGAGGACCAGCGATCAGCTGTGTCGGATCGGACGCCAACGTGTTATGGATTCCACCCTCTCAAAGACTTTGGAGAAGACATCGGAGGAAAAAATCCTACCAACCGACATCCCGGGGTGAGTTGAATATATGCTCGGATGCATTTGTTGAGAGTTTGTAAGTACTAACCACTTACCTTACTTCTTCATAGATACGCCTCTCTCAGACTCCAGCGCTTCTATTTCCAATCCATATGCCCGGTCATTGGGTGCTTGTTGAGGCCCGTCTGTCCGACCACACCTTCCGCTTCTATGACTCGCTGCGGCGTTCTAAAGAAAGCGTAGACGACCCGAACATTCCATCGCCGGAACAAAACTTTGCCAATTGTTTGAAGGTGAGAGGGAGAAGCGACTTGTGTGGATCCCGCTTACCTGATAGGCTGACTATAATCCGCTGAGCTGATGATCGCAGAACATCGTTCCTTTCCTCACGGCTCGGGCAGAAGGACCCATCCCTCGTGTCACCGGAGGCAGTGACCGGCCCACAATCCCGTACGCAGAGTGGGAGCGAGTGATCGTGAAACCGCGAGTACCGAAGAAGGGAGACTTGATGCCTAGGACAGAGTTTACGCGACAGCCCGATGGCAACGCTTGCGGCGTCTTCGTTTGTCGAACGATGGAAACGTTGGTCGCGGCGGTTGCGTTTCAGTCTGAATTAGACTGGAGCTGGAGCCCACTCAAGCCACTTCAGGACAACTTCTATGCTGACCAACGCGCATATATGTTGGACGTTGTTATTCATGCTCGCTTGCGGTGTGACACGGAGTTGGAAGCAAATTCTGACCCCCCTCCCCTCGATTTGCGAGAGGGGACTGGAGCTCCTCCGCCGCTTCCCGGTCAGTCATTCTACTGTTGATCTCAACGATCTGATCTTAGTGATAGTTCAAGCTTGCTTGATGTTGAGGCTGACACTCTTGTGTATGCAGAATCTGTCCCACTCGCGCTCAAGGAGAGTTCGCCGGAGCTCGAAGAGAAGCCCTTGGGATCGCCCGGCATTGAAATTTCCGCGCCTACCCTCGTTCTGATTGACCCTTCAATCGGCACAATGTACACCTCTGAGTCCAAACCCGACGCTCAATGTACTGCTCCGTTGATTTCGCGAAGCCCGCGGCCCAACCCGGCACCGTCAATTGAAACGATTGGTTCGATGCCAGATGCGCCGCCAATGAGACTCCAGAGGGTCGTAAGGTTCGACCCTACTCCCCCTCCGCCGGTGTCTGAGGCACTCGAGGTCGTTGCTTGCTTGCCAAGGTATCAAACACGTAAATTGGCCGTTCGGTCAATTGCCGCTATATCCACAAGCGCCCCAAGCCTTCGCCGATCGAAGCGCAAGAGGGAAGAATCCTTTTTCAAAGCTGCGCGGCTTCGCTGAAGCCTTGCACTCAATGCCGGACTCACAAGATGAATCTGATGTTGGAGTCAATTGCTCGGTATGGGCTCTCCCAAACTGCATCGGATCCTTCCTTGTCACCAGAACACTCACATTGGTCATGGTCTATTTTGAGCAGCTGCAAGAAGAGGAGTGAGGTCGTCGATCCTAAGCCGTGCCATTATGAGTAGAACGGAAGGAAGTATATACATATAATGAGATAATGATCGCGGCTAGTGACATTTGCGAGAACACTTGGTGATGTGCTAGCTTTGTGAGGACAGGTTCACGGATGGTTTGGAAAGGCAGTCAATGATCTTCCTTGTCCAAGTTGCTGCGGCAGGAATACAGCGAGGAATGCTATACAAGGTGTCCCACCCCATATGGACACATCCGGCAGCTCCGAGATGATTGATCGTCTTAGTCATTGTATTGCAGCCTAGGGTGTGGGGGGGTGGTTACTCGGTCCGGGGTCCGGACGATGGCCGCGGCTGGGACGAGAGCCGGGGGTAGGGGCACGATTTCCAATTACATGAGGTCCTGGTGAGAGTGCTTCTTACTGAAGGTGGACGTACTTGGTGATCATGTAAAAGGGCTCGTCAAGTTTCAGGGTGATACATGGCATACTACACGAGATACAGCGGATTGCCCCGCTAATTGGTAGATGCACCATCCTTAATTGGTAAACGCACCTTTTTTCGGGAGCAAACGCACCAACTTGCGCGAGGAATGCACCATTTGTAAGTGAACTTTGCACCTTACTACCGGGGTAGATGGGTCAAGCTTCGGGGGTAAACGCGCGCGCGTAATTGGTAAATGCACCATTTGCTCGCGGCATTAACCCATTTTCCTTAGGGCTTATCGGCGCGCCTGGCCCAGTTGCCCTCCGAAATTTCAGGGCCATTTTGGGGTGGTTTTCTGTAGCGTGGCAAGTACTTACAATTATCCAAAACGCAGAGATGTTATTGATCTTCTACTAAAAAAAATGGCCTGTGCCGAACGGCAAGAGGATACACCATCTGTAGCCGAAGCTATGATGATCTGAAGTGTGTAAATTTGGTCAATTTGGTCCCGAGTGGTCCGAGCGGCAGCACTTGCTGCAGCCGCCGGCTTGCGCACTTCGGCGTGTGCGCATCGGTTTCTCTCCCGTCCCATTCCGCATCACTCGTCTTCTCGGTACTATGCTCTTTGCTTGTTCTCGGTGCAACACCGCGCTTATCTCAGAATGACCCGCAACCGTAGACGCTATGACTCGACGACTCGCCAGGATCGCCGCCGTCAGGCGGATCTTTTCGCTCGGTTTCGGCTCCACAAGCTCTCACTATGTCAATACCTCTCGTGGTATTTCAGCCCGTCAACACAACACGATGGTGTTCACAAGCATAGGCCAAAGGTCTTCAACAGTAATTGGACCCAGCTCAAGCGTTTGACGTGGCTTCCCGGCTGTTGAAGTACATGATGGACTGGGGAAAGGTGCTGGGATCTGACCGCTGGGTAAGGAGATCCCTGATACTTCCCATCGTACCGTTTGTTCTTGGTTTTCATCTCGACAACAATATTGCGTAGGTTTGGTCGGAAAAGGTCGGCTTTGGCGAAGAACGTCCGCGATTCGGAGAGACTGGATACCTTTGGGACCTTGTTGATTTTGTAGGTTGGAGCGCCGGCGGTGAGGAAGAGTGTTTGACAGCCAAGTATGAGACGCTGCTCCGCAACTTGCCCATATACGGGGCGAAATGCAGTCGAGCCTTCCATTGTGTGGCTCATAGCTCCGGCGCGCTCCCTTTCGCTGAATCCCCACTCGGCGATCTTGATTGCCTCGTCATAGGCAAGCAGCATGACTCGTTCTCGGAACGAGTCCTTTGATATCAGCTCAGCCCAGCGCTTGTCTCCATTGTGCATCTCTGGAGACTGTCGGAGATTATTAGTAGCAAGATATCAGTACGGGGGTTGTGAGCATGCAAAAACCTGCGGCGGATTGAATGGACACGCACGATGAAGATGAATGAGACAGTATGGGAGGGATCGCTCAACTGCTGGTACAGCTCTCCGTCAACCCATGTTTCCTTGCATATGGCAGTCGCTTTCTTTCGCTCTTGATTGAGATTGTCGGCCTGTAAACGTATCAAGACCGTGGGACTCAGCACCCGCGTCGCCTCAACGACCAACCGAATAAAACCTACGTGATGTTGGCTCAGCGCAGTCAGAGGACTGACAACTATGGTCACAGCCCGGCGTCCGTAAACCAACTACATGGCTTGTTGAAATATCAAGCTCTTCCCTGAACCCGTTGGAGCAATGACGAATACAGCGTCATACTGATTTCGAGTCTTGAACCGCTCGAGCTGAAAAAGTCCCGCGAGAGCTTCGATTTGCACTGGCCGGGGGACGAAGTCCTCGCCAAATTTGTCGACCAAGAGGAGTCTGAGCTTCTTGCGTAACTCAATCGGGTCAATTCGATCTTCTTGAGTTGATTGTGATCTCCAGTGAGCAGCCCGAGAGCGACGGGTAGGCAGTTCGGGGGTTGTGTCGGTTGAGTGATGGTCCCTTGATGTCGTTGGCTTTGCCCTCGAAGCTGATCGTAAGGGCGACTCTCTCAACTCAATCGATGGAGACCGACGAGGTGTGCCCTTGACAGGCGTTGGCGTTTGTACGGGCATGGTGGATCATGAGGGCGGTAGCGACGTCGTGGACTGGCGTTGTGGACCGAAGGTGAGGCCGGTGAGGCGCGGCTGGCTGATTCACGTCGGCGCGAAGAACCGTCCCTCTGGGTCCGTGCGCGAGCCAGCTCAAGTCGAAACTAACGACTTCTCACCGCTGTAGCTCAATGAATAGGACATGCAAGAGTCTTCCCTTGGGCAGATGCTCGTAAAAATAGCATAAGAATGCGCCTTTTTCTACATATTGTAGAGGTGATTTTATTTGCCAAGCTACAGCAAGGTGTACTTTTCTGGGCCAAATTTTGATAGGCAACTCAGCCAAACGCGCCGATAAGGTACAAGCCCCCTCCACAGAGTGGAGGGTTTCGAGCTTAGCTTCGTTCCGCGACTGAGAGTACGGAGACAGCGGCGCAGGCAGTGGGAGGCAGTGGGTCGCAGGCAGGCGCGACTCAAGCGCGTGTGCGCGAGAGCTCGCGAGAGCGGCAGAACTGCGGCAGTCGGCGGCAAAGAGCGGCGAGAGCTGGCGACGGCTGGCGAATGAGAATGAGAATTTGAATTCCAGCTAGTCTACAAAGAGAGAGCGCTAAATAGAGTGAGCGAGAGAACGACGAGAATCAGCCGAACTTGCCCATTAGCCTCCTGCCTCCTGCCCACCAGTCTCCGCACACCACATCTCACATCACCATGACCACAATAACAACCCAAGCCACCAAGACCGCCTCGACCCGCTTCAACGCCGCGACCCGTACCTTGGCTCGTCGACCGACGCCCAACTCGGCCGTAGGAAACGTCAGTCCGCGCTTGCGGCTTGGATCTCGCAACGTGCTCTTCCTCGACCTGATCGATTTCGAATTTTGACCCTGCCCCACAGACCGCTTTGGCTTATGCCAGGACATGGAGATCGGTCGATGCCGATGGGCAGATCTTGGGACGGATGGCGACGCGCATTGCGATCACCTTGATGGGCAAGCACAAGCCCATATTCGATCCAGCCAGTTCAGTCACACCCACGTCCACGCGCAGTGAAATATCAAATCTCCTGCTAACCTCTCGATCGTGCCACAGCCGACTGCGGTGATTACGTCGTCGTGACCAACGCGCGCAAAGTCGCCGTCACGGGCAAAAAGGCCGACCAGAAACTCTACCGCCACCACACCATGTACCCCGGCGGGCTCAAGGAGATCCCGTACAAGACCATGCTCAAGAACAAACCCGAAGAGGTCAGTGCTACTCAGACCGGAGAATGCTCGTACGCCATGTCTTCTGAATCGCACGAGTTTCCCTTGGCCAGATCATCCGGAGAGCCGTCTCGGGGATGTTGCCCAAGAACCGACTGCGCGCCAAGAGGTTGGAACGTCTCATGATCTTTGCCGATGCCGAACACCCGTACAAGGAGAACCTACTCAAGGACTATTCGGCCCAGTTGGGGGAGACCTGGTCCAGGGTTAAAAAGGCCGAGGCGGCCGCCGCGACAGCAGCAGCAGCAGCGAGTCCGACACCATCGGCATGAGCTGGGCCATGGCTGTATAGATAATCGTAATGCAATCACGTCTTTGCGCGAGATCTCTAAGGGGTTGGACTGAGAAAAAGCTCTTCGGACGCGGACTACGCGAGCGCCGGCACAAGAGAAAATTGCGAGGGTAATACTACATCCTGATAAAAGACAATATCCGAGAGAGAGAGAGCCTGACTACTCAAACAAACAGTTCAAAGTTACGTTCTACAAAGTTGACCATGTAACCATCGATCGTACCGGCCAAAGGATCGACCGGTTGGTCGTACTCGACCGCCGCCGCAGCCATCTCGATGTCCCCATTCGGTCCCACCCCCAAAGCAGGGGACTCGGCCCTGCTTCCCAATGGCGTCGCTGACCCTTCAGCGCGCCCTCCATTCACACTTTCCAAGCTAGGATGGTTGACCGTCGTAGGTGCAGCCACAGCCTCGTTGCTGAAATCGCTCTGATCGACCTGCAACTCCGTGATCGCCGCCCTCGCCGCCGCCGCATCTTCGACGTCCTCCGCTGCTGCCAAAGCCTGTCGGATCTCAGCTTCGGTCTGTACCGGACCTCCACCCTGGGTCGGATCGGCGTCGGCGTCTACCCCGAGCTCTTCGAGCTGGTTCTCGTCGAGATAATCGCGCCAATCGAGACGCTGTAGATAGTCGGTCGTAAACTCGCCGTCCGAGATAACCATTTCGTCCAAACGACGCTTCTGGTTCGCCTTCTTGAGCATGTTCTCCTCGATGCTGTGCGCAAAGAGTCCAGAGGGGTCAGAAACTATTTCATGATCGTTCACCGTAGAGACCAGGGCCCACTCACGAATGCTCAGTCACGAATCGCCAAATGCGCACCTCGCGCGTTTGACCGATACGATGCGCACGATCCTGGCACTGTCGATCGAGTGCAGGGTTCCAATCCGAGTCGTAAAAGATGACCGTATCAGCACCCTGAAGGTTGATCCCGAGACCACCCGCACGTGTGGACGAGATAAAGCACAGGATCTTGTCGTTCGAGTTGAAACGCTCGGTGATGATCTGCCTTTGCTCAATCTTGGTCGAGCCGTCGAGGCGAAGGTATCGATGCCCATGGAAGGAGAGGAACTCTTCGAGGATGTCGAGCACTTTGGTCATTTGCGTAAAGATGAGCACGCGATGACCACCGGCTTTGCATTCACGCAATAGCTCATCAAGCTTTTGCAGCTTGCCGCAATCGTACTGCAGCAACGAGCGATCGGGGAAAGCTATCGAGAGCTTCCCCGCTGCGGGTTGGATTACGTCCGCGAGCGCATTCCATTCGAAATCTTCGACATCGTCCTGCGTCGCACCGGCGAGAGCGTGACGCTCGATATCGACGACTCGGACCTTGGGCGTCACGAACGCAAAGGTGTCGATCGTCTTGTCGAGCATCTCGGAGCGCTGCAGTCGCGAGTGGATCAAGTGGGGCAGGATTGTCGAACGCTCGAGAGCAGAGCGCGGATCACCACCTTCGTAATCGGTCGGGTACAGCGTCGATTGGCGCTCGACTTCACTGACGACGTGGATCAGGTCGGCACCGATGTAAGGGCCGGCGGTTTTTACACGTCGAGCATTGATGGCGGCGAGGCGGTCGAGGCGAGCAAAAGCGGCGGCATGCCGTTGCCAGTCGTAATAACGACGCCACCCCGCGACCGTCAGCGTGTCTCTTGGCGGTTCGGCGGTGGGGTCAAAGTCGACGGGAGGCTCATGCAACGAGTGCATGAGCGGCGAGGCGTCGAGACGCTGCAGCGATGAACCCGCGACGGTCGACATTGACGTCTCGTTCATCGGTTGGATTAAGGTCAAGGTCGCCCAGTCGATTTTGGAGATCGGCTCCTCGGCGAGTAGGCGCTTGCGAATGAGCAGTTCGGTCGGTTCATACTCGTTCGCGATCGACCGGCGCTGTTGGTACGACGTGACGATGGGGCGCGTCTCAAACAAATCTGGGTGGTTGCACACCTTGCGCAGCTGCATCAAACAGTTGATGATGCTGAGAAAGTGGCCGGAGCCGAGCGTCTCGCGAGTTTGGGATCGACTCATGAAATCATCGTAGAGGAAGCGCTGGCGTTTGGACATGCGGCAGTAGATGATGGACTCGGTCTTGCCCGGCATCTGCGTCTCGACCTCGGCTTTGAGGCGGCGCAGGAGGTACGGTCGCAATACGGTGTGCAGCTTGTTGACGGTCGCTTTCGTTTCCTCGTCCATCACCTCGCCGTTCTCAATCGCCTTTTCCATCGGGTTCGAGAACCAAGCCTGAAAGTCGGAGTGGTCTGCAAATGGGCCTTTACCATCTTGCATGAGGCCGTGGGGCATGAGGAAGTAGAGCAGGGACCACTGTGAAGGGTACCGCTAAAGCTCAGGAGCACTCTCGAGTCTGACCAGAGAAATTTCCACTCACGAGTTCCATCAAGTTGTTCTGCAGAGGTGTGCCGGTCAACAACAACCGATGACGAGCGTTGAAGCCGAGCAAAGTCTGCCATCGCTGGGAGCGAAAGTTCTTGATGTGATGGGCCTCATCAAGGATCATGTATTGCCATGGCTTGCGTCGGAACACGTGTTGATCGGCGAGCACGAGTTGATACGACGTAACGCAGACGTGGAACGAATTTTCGGTGCTCCAGCCCTTGCGCTTGTCCTTGCGTTCCTTTTGGTTGCCGTAGTAGGTCAGGATCTTGAAGCCGGGGAGAAACTTTTTGAACTCCATCTCCCAGTTGAGCATGACACTGGTCGGGACGACGACGAGATGAGGTCCCCATTGTCCGCGATCACAGGCGAGGTGAGCCAGCAACGAGATGGTTTGGATCTGTGGAGGTCGAAGGTGAAAGCGATGAGCTCCCATTCATGGTGAAGGCGAACAACGTCGGTGCTCACCGTTTTGCCCAGACCCATTTCATCGGCCAGGATTCTGCAGACGATATCTCGAGTCAGCTCAAATATGCCTAATAATCACTCGTATAATAGGAGTCGCTGTGCTTACCCATTGACTCCATTAGCATACAGGCTAGCGAGCCATTCGAGGCCCGCTTGCTGGTACGGTCGAAGAGAGCCTCGCAAGAGGAACGGCGGTCGCAGAACGATCGTGTCCTTATCTGCAACCCCATCTTCGGCCTCGTTTTGCTTCTTGCCATTCAGCAGCGTCTCTTCTTCGGCTTCATCTTGGCTTTGATGCTCTTCCTCTGCTTCCTCGTCCTCTTCCTCCCGCTCTTCCTCGGTCTCGGCGGTGTCTTGATCGTGGCCATTTACGCGTGGCTCATCCTCGGTATCGCCGACAGAGCTGGCTTCGCGCGTCGAGGTATCGGTTCCATTGACCTCGCCGTTTCCGTTTCCATTCCCGTACCCATACTTGCGCATCAACTCCTCGATCGGCAGTTCGGCGTCGTCGACCAGCCCATCCATCTCACTATCGTCCGATCCAGCATCTTCCTCGTCCTCTTCCATAGCTCGCATCAGTCGTTCGTCTTCGTCTTCCCGCTCATCGTCGACCTTGTCAGACCCAAACTCGGACATGGCCTCCGCTTCGACTTCTTCGGCGGTGAGTGGCGTGGCCTCCTCGTCTTTGGCAGCGACCGAAGCGTCGTCTATCATCGAGACGTCCTCGTCTTGAGCTTCAGCCCCTGCTTCGTCTGTCTCCGCAACCTCTTCCGCAGCGTCACCTTCATCTCCGGTACCCTCTTGCTCAGCCTGAACCATCGCCGCGTAGCCCGACCGCCTGAGCAACTCCTCGATCGGCATGTCCGCCTCCTCTGCCAATCCTCCAAGCTCACTATCATCATCGTCATCTTCATCCTCAGCTTCCATCTCGGCCATCAAGTGCGCGTCCTCCTCCTCTCGAGCTTCGTCATCGTCCCCTTCAAAGACATCGGCGTCGGCAGAGAGATCCGGGTCGGCATCGGCTTCGTCATCTTGCAGATCGAGGGGTGTGACCGAGACGGAGAGCCGTGAGCGCGCTCGCTGGGGTGCGTTTCGGCGTCCATTCGTGAGGCGTCTGCTTCGGGCGACGGTCGGAGGTGTTGCAGATTCTGATGATGCATCGTCCGATGCGGGAGCACTTGATTCTGCCTCATCTTCTGCCTCCGTTCCTTGCTCTTCTACCTCCTGTTCCACATTCCCTTCGTCCGCTTCGTCGCTCCCCTCCTCCTCACTCCCCTCCTCGTCGCTGGATTCCTCCGCCGAAGAACCATTTTCCCCTTCCCCTTCCTCTTCCTCCTCTTCCCCCGCCATCTCCATTTGTTGAGCCTGCAACATCGTCGTCGACTTGTCCAACATCTTGTTCAGCTGTTCCTTGCCCAACCGTTCCTTCTCCTCCCTCACCGCGGCCTTCCTCCTCGCCTTGATCACATCAATCGCCAACTTCCATTTGCGTCGTACCTCGCGCATCGTCCATCTCGCCAACGCCTTCTTATGCTTCGCTTCTTCCTTGGTCTCGATCGACCCCTTGTTCTTGAGCCGATCGAAATGCGCCAAAACCATCTTGCCCACCTTCTTGGCCAAAACGATATGGGCTTTGCGTTCGTCGTGTACGAGTTTGCTGAAATAGATCGCGTGGTCGACCAAATTCTCTTGATGATCTCGTTCGCGTTTCGCTTCGACCGATTTGGTCAGATCCGGATTGTGGAGGACCCCGTGTTCGGCTCGTACGCGATCCGCCTCAAGCAGGACCGCGGCTTCGTGGGAGGCCCTCGCTTCGATATCGCCTTCGGCGGGAGGCGGTTGCACAATCTTGTCCTCGGTCCAAAAGTAGAAGCGAGAGAGCATCGTATCCAGCGAGCCGTCATGGGGCCGGGGCAAGGGCAATTGTTGATGGTGCGTGTAGACGGTCCGTTCTTCACCGTGATAGTACTTGGGTCGTTTGTCCGGGCGCGATCGACGCGGCAGTGGGAAGTCGCTCGTCTGTCGTAGTTCGGCCAGGGTGGAAAATTGCAACGGCGGAATCTTTAGACGAGCATCCCCAAATTGCAGGGGTCGATTCTGAGGCCAGAACGAAGCTGGAATCGAGTTATCGACGACGGGTTCGTCCTCCCAGAGCTCCTCGTCAAAGGCGGGCAGCTTTTCCCCGTCGACTTGCATCGCTCTGCCTTTGCTCTTGTCATGAGATGAGCTTGACCTCCTCCCTGAACGCTTGACCTCGTTCTGCGCTTGCAATTTGAGATACTCCCTCTGCGCAGTGGAATTGAGAATGAGATGCAGCTCGCGTTCCGGCTCCGGTTCCTCCACGGGCTCCTCGAAGGGTGCGACGACGACCTCCTCGGGCAACTGCTCGAGTTCCGACGCCTGCCACAGCATCGCCGCATCATCCTCGACGATCTCTTCCTTGGCCTTGCCCTTGCCCTTGTGACCGAACGAGGTGCGTCTTCGAGAAGAGCTACTTGTCGCTGCAGTCGAAGTCGAAGTTGGCTGTACGACCTCGGCCGCCTCTTCTGCTACTTGTGCTTCGACGACGGGCACGCCGATCGAGCTGGCTTTGGCATCGTTCGCAGCGCGTCGAGTGGCCCTGCGCCCTCGTCGAGTCCCCTCGGCTTCGGGGGTGGCGTGAGTGAAGAGGTCATAGTCGTATTGGAACGTTAGGAATACGTCCGATTTGTCCTCTACGTGTGTCGAGCAAGTGGGGCATGGGTGGTGAGCGCCTACGAGGAAAGCCGGTCGACGGAGGGGAACAAAAGAGCGGTAGGAGACTCACGTTTCGCGACTGCGGGATCAAACCCCACCAAAGTAACGAATCGATCGAGATGGAACAGCTCTCGTACGCAGTCGTCGTGCCGGTTCACAATCTCGGCGAGCTGGTTCGTGAAGCGCGCGAAATACGAAAGGGCGCGTCAGCTCGACGGTGCACTCGACGAAAGATCTCGTGATCCAGAACACCACTGACCTCGTTCGACTTGGTCTCAATCTCGGTTGCCCTCCAGGCATTTATTTCCTCCTCGGTGTAGGTGCGGGGTGCACCGGACGTCGAGGCGATCGGAGGCGGCTGCGATGTAGATGCCGATGCGGAGGTGGGAGCAGATGCGCGGGTGAAGGCGACCGACTTGCGACGCTTACGACTGGCCGTCGCCGAGATGGACGGTACCGAAAGCTCGAACGAGGGTGTGTTCGGTGTCGAGGCATTCACATTCGACGATGTAGCCAAGGAGGAAGTCGACGTACTCGCGATCGGAGCTGCGGACGAGGTCGGTTCGAGTTGGACGACGTGATCGGGCTTGACCACCGGTTTCTGATCGATCGCACTACCTGAATGCGACGCACGGCACGATTTCCGAGAGGTTGGGGCATCAACCTTCTCGGTTGAAAGCGTTGATGATGGTGGTGGTGGTGGTGAGGTGGCTTTGCTCGTCGAAGCGATCCCAGTCGAGCTCGAGGTCGAATTCGAATCCGCGGCGACGACGGCATCGGCCGCTCCCAACGAGCGACGCGAACGAGTCGGCATCTCTCGACCTCCCACAAGTCCACGGGTGCTGAGATCCTAGTCCCTGGTCCCTGGTGTTGATGTGGCCGAGTAGGCTCCAGAAACAGAGCGCGAGGCGGTACGGGGAGCTCGAAGCTCTATCGCGAGATGCGTGGTCGGTCACCAGTCAAAGCGAAGCTCGGCGCGAAGAGTCGCGCGTCTTTTGGCGCTCGAGCCAGCAGGACAGGACCCCCGAAAGCCCAGCCTGAGGCGCGTAGGTAAAGAGTGGACAAATTTTTGGCCCTAGAAAAGCCAAAATCGCGATTTTTGGAGATGTTGTAGAGCATCTGAAGCAATTCTAGAGCTATTGTTGGACGAGCGTAGATGGACTGGACATTTTAAGGACGTTTTTGGGCGAATACACCAAAAAAAGGGTGGACAAATGAGGTCCAAAATCCGGGATTTTTGACGGATTTTTTACCTACGCGCCTCAGGCTGGGCTTTCATGGGTCCGAGCAGGACAGTAGCAGGACGACGACGCGGAGGCCACTGCAGGCTCAGCTAACCAACGCGCCGACCGGGTCTTGCCGACTCACTCGGACGCGGCTCACTGCCACGGCACGTGGGGCTGGCATGGGGTGCAGTGAGGCTGGAGAGTAAAAGTGGATCGCCGGGCAGAAGAACGGTAGAAGAAGGAAAATTTGAATTAAATATGCCAGTAGTGTTGACGGAAGAGTAACTGTGCCTTTCTGCAGCCTTTCAAGGAACTCTGTCACGGCTGCCGAGTGGCGATCATAATTCGGCACATTATAGCAAGCCGATCGAGCGCCGAGCGCCGGAAGGTTGGTTCCGGCCGTCGAGTCGGTCCTTGTTCCTCATCCTCCCGGCACGCGCCAATCACATACGACGGTCACTCCCGCACTCCATAATGTCCTCACAAGCTCATTCAGACGGTGTCGTGTAAGTTCCCTAGTACAATCTGGTGCCCATGGTCAGCAATGGCCCGCAGAGCCCCTTGGACTCGCTTGCTCCCGAGAACTTGTACATCATCATCAACGTGGCTTGCGCGTTCTGCCAAATCAGACCGCGCGGAATCGCGCCGTCGTGTCGCCCCACACCCCACATCGAGGAGTCGACGACCATAACGTCCGCACCTCTCCATCCTTTCGTACAACAGCTTGCTGACCACATACACTACAATATGAACTTTACCCAGTCTCAACAAGTACTCGCGCCTCTTCACTCAAGATGTCACCAACGGTGGCGCCAAAGGTGAGCGCTCCGGCGCCGGAACTTGTTCCCCCCCCCACGCATGGGTGACTGCGTGGGTGACTGCTTCGGACCGACTTTCCGGGCGGGCGGGTCACCGGTCCCCGACGAGGAGACGATCTCCCCTCCAGACCCCTTCCGCCCTAGCCAATCGGTACTAACCTAAGGATGCGCATCTGTTTCGTCAAAAGCCATGCTGTACGCCACGGGCATGACGGACGAACAGATGAAACTACCTCAAATCGGCATCTCGTCCATCTGGTTCGAGGGCAACCCTTGCAACGCCCATCTGAGAGGTTTGGGGGATAAAGTTGCCAAGGGGTGCGAGTTGGAGGGGCTGGTGGGACTGCAGCATTCGACGATTGGGGTTTCGGATGGTCAGGTATGTTGCCGAGTTTGTTGCGGGCTTGCCCCCCGGTGAATACACCTTCTAACCGTGGTGAAGAGTCTTACAGACCCAAGGCAACCCTGGAATGAGTTTCTCTCTGCCGAGCAGGGACTTAATCGCCGATGCGATCGAGATGATCATCACCGCCCAGAGCTACGATGGCAACATCTCCATTCCGGGATGCGACAAGAACGTGAGCTCTCATTCCACTTCACCCAGGATCACCGACCAAACTGACCGTTTTGCCATCGGCTGAGAAACCCATCCAGATGCCCGGCTGTCTCATGGCCGCTGCCCGCCACAACAAACCCACGCTCATCATCTACGGAGGCACGATCGCCGCGGGTAAACGCACGATCGACTGTCCTTCGATGGGCTTCAAGAAAGGGGAGGACATCACCATTGGCGATGCGTTCGAATCGTACGGCGCTTGGGCGACGGGAAGGATCAGCGATGCAGAGAAGGATGACGTCGTCAAGCACTCATGTCCCGGTGCGGGGGCTTGTGGAGGCATGTTCACAGCTAATACGTGAGTCTGGAGGGGATTTGGGTGCTTCTGAAATTGGACTAAGATATGGACGAGGAGGGCTCAACAGGATGAGCACGGTGCTCGAGGTGCTCGGCATGAGCTTGCCTTACTCGTCGTCGATCCCCGCCGAGTATCCAGGTAAGTGACGGCCTTGCTTCTTCCCGGCTTCGTTTGCTCAGACCTTGGTCTTTGTTGTCGTACGGATCACAGAGAAGCAACAAGAATGTCTCCGAGCCGCCAAGTTCATGCGCATCCTCCTGGAGAAGGACCTCAAGCCTCGCGACATTATGACGAGACAGTCCTTCCTCAACGCCATCACCATGTGCATGATCATCGGCGGCTCGACCAACTCGGTCCTCCATCTCTTAGCCATCGCTCGATCCGCCGATATCCCATTGACAACGGACGATTTCGTCGCTATCGCCAACAAGACCCCTGTCTTGTGCGATCTGAAACCCTCCGGAGCTTACGTGATGGAGGATCTGCACAAGATCGGTGGGATCCCTTCGATTTTGAAGTACCTCATCAAAGAGACGGATTTGATCGATGGGTCGCAGATGACTGTGACGGGCCAGACTTTGGGGCAGAATGTTGAGGATGCGCAGGATCTCGATTTCGAGAAACAGGATGTTGTTCGTCCGTTGAACAAGCCGATCAAAGCGACGGGCCATCTTGTGATCGTAAGTGGCCCTACCATACTCGAAGGGCCCCCATAAGCTGAACCTGCTCACGACTCGGATTATTGCAGCTGAAAGGCAACCTAGCCCCCAAGTCCGCCGTCTCCAAGATCACAGGCAAAGAAGGCCTCTCGTTCCGCGGCCCAGCGAAGTGCTTCGACGACGAGCCGTCCTTTTACCCCGCTTTGTCCAAGGGGGAGATTAAACCAGGTATGGCCGTGGTGTTGAGGTATCTGGGCCCTAAAGGTGGACCGGGTATGCCGGAAAGTAAGTCCCCTTGCAGCCAGACTATCACCATCGAAGCCTACTAATTGATCTGTGTCTACAATAGTGTTGGGCCCAACCGGAGCTTTGATGGGCGCTGGGCTCGGAGGCTCGGTCTGCTTGTTGACTGACGGAAGGTTCTCCGGAGCGTCGAGGGGTTTCATCATCGTACGTGTCCCCTCAAACTTTCCGCCCTCCGAGCGTCCACCGACTAACCAAAAAAACAAAAACAAAAACCTCCCTCGGATCTCCTCCAATCGTAGGGCCACATCACTCCCGAAGCCGCGATCGGAGGCCCCATCGCCCTCGTCCAAGACGGTGATATGATCCACATCGACGCCGTCACACGTGAGATCACTGTCGAGGTCGACGACAAGACGCTGGAGGAGAGAAAGAAGGGTTGGAAAGCACCGGCGCATAAGCATCGTAGGGGGGTGTTGTACAGATATGCTCGAGTACGTATAAGAACTCGTCGGTTAAGGTGGGCCTTCGTTCTGCGGTAGAAAAACTGATCCTCTTGCTTGGGTGGTCTTTCACTACAGGACGTCAAGGGTGCGGATGAGGGGGCTTACACGGACTGAATGGATCAGGTTCGGGTAGCTGGAATCAGAAGCGAAAATTTCTTGAGTCCTCCCATGTGAATTTTGAGACCCCATGACCTCACTCGAGTCCAGAGGCTCGACACAGTGAAAAATGTGGATGGTCACGAGCGTATGTGCGAGAGTCATAGCGGGGAGACGACTCTACCAGTGCAATTATTTTACCATAAGCGCTCGAAAAAACCTATACCAAAACCATATAACTACTTCCAAAAAAGTCCAAAGTTCACAAGACATAACGGAACCCCTTGGGCAACTTGACCCCACTCAACTCGCAGCTCTCACCACGCGCCTCGGCCTCGACGAGCTTACGGTTCAATCGAGCGAGAGTGAAGCGGTGGAAGAGGACGCCGGCGATGCAGGTGGAGAACATGGCGATGACGATGCCGAAACTATTTCGTGTGAGAATGATTTGTCAGTTTCCGGTACGGCGGAGCGGAGAGGAACCGGTCGAGATGACTCACCTCTTGACGTAAGACGGCCCCCAGTTTTTGGGGTACGTGTAAGCTCCACTGATGTTACCGAGTTGGGAGAAGGCGTTGATGAAGGCGATGGCGATACCGCGCTTCATGGCGGGTCGAGGGAAGCTGAATTTTGAAGCACAACATATCGGGTAAGTCAAGGCTCGTCGCTGGAAAGGAGAGTCCTAGTACTCACGTGTTGGAGATCCAAGCGTAGAAGACGACGAAGCTAGAGAAGGACTGAGCGAGCAAGAAGAGAGCGACATAACGAGCGGCAAGGGCCTCGGTCGACATGGCGATGATGCAACCGAGGATACCAATAAGAACGGGAACGATGATGTGCATCGCTCGCTCCTGAGTCTTGTCAGAATGACGACCGACGAAGAAGGCGCACAAGGTGGCGAAGAAGAAAGGAGGGGCGCAGAGCAAGAGCGAGACGGTGTTGTTGTAACCGAGGGTCTTGGTCAAGGTAGGGAAGAATTGATTGAACGAAAGACCGACGACGAGAGCGGTCACGGTCAAGGCCATGGCCCATGCTTTGGGGTCGAGGAGGGTATCGAGAAGCGATCGGAAAGCGCCGACTTCAATTTCGTCTTCCACACCAACATCTTCACTCTAAGTGGGATAAAAAAAAGTGGATCGGTGAGAAAATAGTCTCGAGGGCAGCCTTTTACTGAAACTTCCTGATCTACATGCAAGACTCACCATGCGTTGCATTGCAATGTTGCGCTCCGCTTGACTGAAGCCGCGCGAGTTGTGAGGGAAGTCGGGCAGGATGGGCACGGCGATCAAGGCCACGGCGACCGTGATTATCGCCTCGACGAAGAAGAGGTTCCTCCATGCTTCACGACCACCAAAAGACCCTTCCATGTTAGCGAGGATACCGGCGGCAATAAGCGGGCTGTCAAAAGATGCGCATCCCTCTTTCAACAAAGGGGCTCGGAAGGGGACCAGCAAAGCGAGGTTCACGAACTGACCCAAAGGCGTTGGAGATGAGCGAACCGCAGTAGAGAATAGCGGTGCGGAGACCCAGCTCATCCTTCTTGTACCAAGAAGACAAGAGGAAGACGGATCCGGGGAAGAAGGATGCTTCTACGAATCCCAAGAAGAAACGAGTCAAAAGAGCGCCAATGAAGCTGGTGGTGATGCCGGTGAGCGCCGAGATGAGACCCCAGATAGCCATGCAGAGCGGGAAGTAGATTGAGGGTCGACCTAGCTTCTTGACGATCATGTTACTGGGCACCTGCATGAGGATGTAGCCCACGTAGAGAATGGAGAGGAGCGTAGGATATTGCGATCCGGTGAGCTTGAGGTCCGCTTCGAAACCCTTGGTGCGAGCCGCGGAGATGTTGTTGCGATCGATGTAGTTGAGGATCTGTTGGGATAGGAGTCGTGGAGTTAAAAGAGTGAGCAGCTGTGTTGATTAAAGTCCGGTCAATTCGTCACGTACGTAGATGATGACCAGAATCGAGCATCGGGCATCGAGTTTTCGCACGAGCCTCTTCTCAAGCCGAGCTCGGTCGACAAGACCGCCGGCTTCTCCCGCCGCACCGTCATGCTCGACGTTTTCGGCTTCGACAGAGACAGAGTCAAGCTTCTCCGAGTCGTCGGACTTGACTTGGTTCGAGAATTTGAGGCCCTCGGCGGTGTTGGACGACGTCGCGCTAAGGAGAGCAGGCATGATGATGTGGACGTGCTTGGGTAAGGCAAGGAGGGGAGGGGAGGTGCAGGAGTTCGGGCTGAGGTGGGTTTCGGCGCAGTCTTTCCGCTCGAGGCCAAAGGTGGTGTTTGGTCGAATCGTAAGAGGGAGCAAGAAAGCAAAAAGAGAGGATCTGTTGCAAAAGACGTGTGTGGCACTTCAAAAGCGCGTAACGCTAGAGAGGCGCGGTAAACGATCGTTTACACTTGCCCGCCCGAACTCGGCCGCTGATCCGAGCGAGATGTTTCACAAAATTCAAGTCAGATAAGAAACCCTAAAAGGTAGGCTGATCTGACTTGCCGGGTGTCACTAAGTACAAGAGGAGCTCTCTTAAGCGAGGCGGGGCCGCATTAAGCGGGGCGGGGTCCAATAAGCGGGGCGGGGTCGCATTAAGCGGGGCGGGGCCGCATTAAGCGGCCTCAATTGAGGATTCGCAGGGGGGTTTACGGCGTCGTCCCGCTTAATGCGAGCATTCGCAGCGGGGTTAACGGCTTCCTCCGCTCCGGACAATAAATAAAAAAAAGACCGGGCGTGGAGGCGGGCGCTGGCGAGCGTGGGTGTGGGCGTGGGCGTATCGCGCCTGGGCCTCGACGGTTCTTTTTTCTCCTCGAGCCATTTTCGCTTTTGGCCCGCGTTCGCCACACACGCTCCCTCAACCCCTCCTCCGCATTCTTGGCAACTTGTCATTAGTAATCGATGTTCCTTGTTGAGCAAGGCCTACGGTGTCCCGGGCAGTCCACTTCGGTTAAGCTGGCTACACCAAATCGCCGCTCTCGAACGATGGTAACGAGAAAATCATTGACGGAGAGCGCGGCCGGCATCTTGTTTCACCTGCGTCAGTAGTACTTAAGTGACTACTAAGTAGCGTCGAAACGAAAACAAAATAATCGCGGACCAACTTTCGCCGAGACGTCATCAAGGCACCCGAAACAGAATTACGAAAGGGTGCACTGAACTTAATTTGTGCATGATGCATCAGCTGCGAACCCATTCCCAAGATCCTGCGGATGCAGTAGTGGTGGATTCCCCACGGAGTTCTGCGACCGGCGCGCGCAAACCGCCACTCCACCTCCTTCACGCTCCCCCCACCCCCCGCCGTTCACTCACCTCCGTTTTCGCCGGGGTAGCCCAGCCGAATTCCAAAACTATGCATTCATTAACGCGCCCCGGAGGGGGCGACGGGTCCCTGAACCTCTGACGGAGTAACACCGACTGACAACGTCAGCTAGTATTTCTAAGAACGTGCCATGGATCGGGTATGCAGCACCAAGTTCGCGAGTCAGTTCAATGAAAGAGTCGTGTAAGCATGTGCCAAACATTCATGAACATTGCAGACAAGAAGAGATCGAGCCAGAGCCGGGGTGTACATGCATAAGTTGAGATCACTCGACATTGCCCATGTCACAGTCCGTGTCTGGTCCGACTGTGTGGATGCATGTGGTCGTCAGCGCCGGAGACCCACATCGCCCTTTCACCGAACTTGGCTATAAGAAGTGGTTTCAGTTGACGTTGAGAGATCGGGACTTCAGGGAGCGACTTACGTTTTTTTTGGAAGGGGCAAGGTCAATGCCACGGTAACGGACCTCTTGACCGGTGATAGCTTTTTCTTGGGCGACGGTGGACGGTCGGTGAGAAGAGGGAGACAAGGCTGTAATGATGACGATGCGGTAGAATTGTTAAATCAGCTTACCCATACAGGAATTTAGTTGATTGTACGCGTGACTTGCATGACGAGGGGCTTGTTCCTGGCATGTACCCGGATCCGATGCGGCACGAACTGAAAGCGTCGGAGCGTGTTGGGCCTGCCTCGCCTGGTTGAAGTACGTGCGTGCTTGGACGAAACGCCAGAATACGGTCGATATGCGGTAAATTTCGAGCAGTGCTGCGGCGATTCGAGGCACCTTCTCTTTGGGGACCCGAAAAGCGAGATGGCGAAACACGTCTCGTCGGCGGAGAATGTTCGAGATGATGAATGGGAAAGACGGGTCGCATCGAAAATCGCTGTCGTATAGATTGAGCCAATGTTTGACTTGCTCCTCCAGAGAAATCTTGACGTCGCGCTCGACACAGAAACCGACGAGACCGAATGGATTGAGGTGTGGCCACAGCTTTGAGAGCAGGAAGTCATCCGAAGATTCCCACAAAGGGTCGTCGCCTGTCGGAATGACATGGGGGGGCTGGTCCTTGCAGTGGTTGAAACAACGGAGAGTCTTCTCAGAGAACTGCCACGAGTGAACTGGTTCGTCGGTAGCGGGTGACGGCACATGGACGTGTTCGAATACTGGTTCATCAGAGTCGTTATGCGCTGTTGCGTAGCCTTCAAAGAGCGATGATGTTGGTTCCACTGTCTCTGCGGTAAACACATTCGCCAAAACTGCGTCGGGCACGAGACCGTCTCCATCCGAGGTTTGTCCATCCGACACTTGGGGAGCAACCGAGACGGAAGCCGAAGCCGAAGTGGAAGCCGAAACCGCCGTGGGTGCTGGAGAGGTAGAGTTGAGCACACCAGAATTGCGTCGAACGAGCTGTGCAAGTCTTTCGCCATCAAAAAAGGAGACGGCAGAGTACGCCGGATTCTTGCTTTCGTTGATCAACCACCTGAGCATCTTTTGGATCCGACTCTGCTTCACGATCTTGGGTCGACACTTGTCCAGCTCCGCAAGGTTGGGGTTCCCTCTGCAGAATAGAACGCACACACTGTCCGCGAGTTCCTCGACTGACATAGACAGTACATCGGTGAACGAAGCGGTGTTCTGGCTGAAGATGAGGGTGTTTCCGCGCGTATATTCTTGTTGAACTTTGGGATCTCCGAAACGAGTTAGCTTGTACACGCTCTTGTAGGCTCTGGCGCGCGCAGTGAAGAGGTGCTCAAGCTGACTCGCGTTGGAGAAGCATACTCGGACATCAGCGGGGACGTGATCCAGTGCGCGATAATCCGTTGCTCAACGACCGAGGGGGCTTAGTCGGTGGCCCTGTGGTAGGGAACAACCGTTTGAAGCAGCCTGGCCAGAGTGAGCACTGAAGCGTGTTGTTCATGGGCGAGTACGCGATCTGATCGATTAAATCGCTTGGTCGATGAAGACGTCGGGGATGGATGAGTGCGCCCCGCCAAGCTGAAGAACCGTAAGTCGGTGGTCGGAGGTCCGTCCGTAGTGTAGAGTTGGTTAATATCTTCCAAATCCCTGATTCCTCATGCTTGATATGGTGTTCAGGCACCCATCGTACTTTATGCCCGAAGACTCTCTCGGAGCACACCAGGCAACAGAAGAGAAGGGAACAAGCGTCGGTGAAGTAAACATTCCATTCAGAACGGTGCTCGGTCTTGAACTGATCGGATGCTGGCGCAAAATGCGATGTCACTTTACCGGGTTCTTCTTGTTCGGGTTCGGGATGCAGCGGTGGACGTCTGTGAAGCGTTTGTTTAGAGTCAGTCGCTGAGACGTTCTCGCGATTCTTCTGGACTTCCTCGTTCAGTCAGACTCGAAGCACGGTAACAGGTTTTGATGCGTATGCTCTGTGCTCGGGAAGCAAGGACGTTGTGGCGGAGTCACGGGGGTCGCGGCTTGTTGCCTTCCGAAAACACACCCATTTGAACAAGCATCACAGTTTGGATCGCACGACCAGACGAGTACTCGTAGGAATCGCTCTTTCGCAAGCGGGTTCCTCCTGGAGTATTTCCACGTGGTGCGCCCGACAAAGCTCCTTCAGGAGATCCATGCTGAAGGTGATGCTGCTGCGCACGAGCTGCCCAAGACTGCATTTGACAACCACATCTTCGAGTGCTGACACTCAACTATTGCGTAGGAGCAGACCGGAAGACACACACTGTGCTCGATCGGTGCGGCGGGAGGATCGGCTGTCGCTAGTGGTGGACGCGGGCTTAACACGTTGTCGAGATTCGAGGCGTTGAGCGTTGTGGGCTGACCTCGATGGTGCGGAGGTGTACAAGATCAGAAAGCAGTGACATGACGGCGATTGTGTGATAGCCTGTCTTAGAGATGCGAGGAAACTCGGTCCAAGTTAGAATAAGGCAGTACAGAGAGACGCAAAGGAGAGGGCCGGGCGGTGGCAACTCGCTAACGGAGGCCAGCCTGAGTGCGCTAGCTTGCGCTTGTCTGCGCTAGTAGCACCCGACTCGGCCACCTCGGGCACTGACGCTCTAGGGAATGGCCAGTCGGGGCTTTCGGAGGTCGGAGGCCGCGGCGTCATCTTGTTGGCAGCAAGACACCCATAAGCGTTACAGATCGTAGCTGTATGCGGGACACCTCGGCACAGGAATTACTCAGGGGTCGCGATGCCTACCTTAACACTCTTGCAAGAGGTCGTTCTCACGATTTCTTGTCTGATATCGCGGCGTTCAAAAAGTGTGGATTTATGCGATCCAAGCACGCGTGTTACGTTCCGTTCACGTGATCGGCGACTTCGAAACGCGTCTCCGACGGAGCAAGTCGCCGGGCCTACCACACGAGGCCACACGAGGTCTCCACCAACGGCGCAACGCACCAACGTTCATCTACTCCCCAGCGCACCTTTTCCTATCAAACTCAACTCCCTTCCCCACACTTTGACCTCATCCCTCCCTCCTCCCAACTCAGCCCCAGATTACCCTCCTCGAGCATGGCCTCAGCCTCTCGACGCCCCTCCAAGAGTCCCCCGCGCCAGGACATTGAGATTCCCTTCGGTGTCGCCCGTATGTCCGCTTGGTTCTATCCCTCCCCCATCGCAACGACAGACAAGCCCGGACCCTGCGTCGTCATCGGCCACGGTTTAGGTGCCTTCAAGTCGATGCGTCTCGATGCGTACGCCGAGACGTTCCAAAAAGCCGGGTACAGCGCTTTGGCGTTCGATTACCGAGGCTTCGGAGAGAGCACCGGCTCGCCGAGGCAGATCTTGGATTGGAATGCGCAACAAGAGGATTGGAAGGTCGTGTTGGAGTATACGCGTACCGAGTTTAAGAAAGTTGGTCAGTTTTTTTTGTAAAAGTGATTCGGGCGTTGTTCCGCGGTTCCCTGGTGGGAACATAATACCAGGAGTAGATAAGAGACTGACAGGGTCGTTTTTGGGACATCGTTCCGCTACGGGCCGGACTCGACAGACCCGGAGCGCATCGCGATATTCGGCACCTCCTTTGGAGGTGGTGAGTCAAATTAACACAAGTGTATAAAAAGCTTCAGACTGACCTCATCCACCTTCTCCACAGCCCACGCCATCACCGCCGCCTCCGGGGACAAGCGCATCAAAGCCGCCATCTCGCAATGCCCCTTCACCTCTGGCTTCCATTCCTCCTTGACGGTCGATTGGAAAACCTTGCCTTGGGTCTTGTTCGCAGCGACGAAGGATGTGCTCTTTGGGACCAAAGATTCGTACACCCCCATCAAATTGGCTGGGTACCCGGGTGAACGTGAGTCTCGGGGAGCTGTTTTTTGGGGTTTTGGAGAGAGGCTCTTCGAGGACCGGGGTGATCATGTGACTCCGAACCTCACGGGCTCACACTTTCGCACTGGTGATGAGGCCGCAGCCCGCTGACTACGTTTGCTCCCATTCTTATTAATGCATCCCTCTGATCCAGCCGCCCTGATGAACGCCTCGGACGTGATGACGGGCTTCAACCGTTTCGTCTCCAAGGACTATCGCGCCCAACACCCCGATCGTGAATACGTCGCCGCTCGCATTGTCTACCAAATGCCCTTCCTCTACCCTGGTCGTGACGCGAAAAGGGTTCAATGTCCCATTTACTTCGCGATTTGTAAGAATGATTCGGTCGCGCCTCCGGGGGCTACGATGGGGTATGCGAAGCAGGCGCCAAGGGGGGAGATTAAGGAATACGGGGTGAGTGGAGGCCTTTTTTGTTGGTGGTCAGGGGCATGGATGATCTCCTGTCTGTTTCATCAGCGGTGTGACTAATGTGGGCCGCTTTATCTCTCGCATAGGCGGGTCATTTCGAGATCTACTACGACGAGCATTTCGAAGAAGCGACCAAAGACTATGTCGACTTTTTGCACAGGCACCTGCCCCCCAACTAGCTCTGTTCAATCAGTCCAGCATTGAGCTTTTGTCCCAATAGAATGTTATTACACCTTACAAAGTACCGCTAGTAAAAACCTACTCTAAGAACGATAAATGACATCGCACCCCCTCGAGCCCGAATAACCCTACCCCATCCTCTCATTCTCCGGCTCCTCCACCTTTTCCTTCCCCGCCGAGCCATCAACCTTCTCCCCCACTCCAGCGCCCATCTTCCCTTTCCTCGCCGCGTCCACCCAATCACTAATCAACGCACAACTCTTCTGCGCCAAATCGTACAACCCGTCCGACTTTTCCGTAAACATCTCGATGTGCGCCGTGATCTCGTCGTCGGCTTGGTGGTTCGAATTAGGGGTGAAGCGTTCGCGTACGACGGGGGTGTTGGGCAGGACGCAAAAGGTGCGTTCGGGGAGGTCTTTCTTGGGTGGGAGGTGGGTGTAGAAGCTGTGCGACCGTAAGAAACCTTCAAGATTAGTAAATCGCTCGAGTCCTGATTGTAGGCCATTGTGCGTTGAACTTGAACTGACCAATGAAAACCAACCCCTTTCTCCTGCGCTTCGACGATATGTTGGATCCTCTGTTCCATTTCGGTCGTCTTCCATAACTCGCCCACAAAAGAAAGGTGACTCGTCGCCCAACTCCAATGGTTCCCGATAGCTTCTCGGTTATAGTACGCCGCACCGGCAGCTCCGATCGCTCCTACTGCGGCTCCTACACCGGCCATGGTGGCGAGGGAGAACCAGCCCTTCGACGAGGATGCGTTCGATGATGCAGAGTTGGTTGCGGCTACTTCTTTGGGTTTCTTGCCGCCTTTGGGAGGGGTGGTCTTGCCTGAGCCAGAGGATAAGGCCGAAGCATTGCCGGTTGTTGATCGGATAAAGCCATACCCAGCGGTCAAAGCCGACAGGGCGGCTTGCCCTTGCGATGCGTAGCCCAAAGCCTTGTCGAAGGTGTTCTGCTTCCGATCGAGGAGCATCGGTCGTTCAGTGCCTTGGTTTGCCAAGAATTGGGCGAGCGAATAGAGACGAGACTGACCCTGAAGACGGCTGGGTGCAATCCGAGCAGAGGACTGTCATAACAAATGAGACCCAGAATGGGCAAGGTTCCAAGCGCCGACAAGGTCGAATCGGCAATGACGAGACCGCCCATACTGTCGGCCAAGAGACGGGGAGCGGAAGAATCAGCTCGAGCCCGGGTGCTTATCACGTGCCGATCCGACTGGGGCAGACATGGCTGAGACCTGTGACGCACGAGTGTCCGAGGAGTATGACGCGTAAAGGTCCGGTTCCACCTTTTTCGGAGAATTCGCACTTTTTTGTGGCGACGAGATCGGTGAGCCATGACACGTGTTTGTCAACTAAAGAGAGAGAGAGAGTACGTGCCAGGTCGGACACGAGGCGGGGGCTCATTCCAATCAGCGGTTGACTTGGGCACCCCGTGACCGTTTCGATGCTCACTCACCTGCTACCGTCAATTCGCCTCGAGTGTCATAAGGGGGATAGACGTGAGACTGGATCTCGCAACGAGGTTCGGTCTGCTCGAGGTTGTGGCGCAGTCGATCGGGGAACGCGGCAAAGCTGTAGGAGCGCATGAAGGACACTTTCAACAGGGTCAGTAAGCGGTCAAAGTATTGAGCGCTCTCACGTGGCCACTCACGTGTCTGCGCCGCCTTTGAAGCCGTGCAGGAAGACGAGCAGCAGTAGCTCGTTGGGTGGGGTCGACGTCGTCATGGCCGCCGCCCCGGTGGCAGAGCTGGCTGGTCGGGCGTATGGGCCTGAGGAGTACTTGTCGCCAAGACGGTGAAAGGTTTTTGTGGAGGAATACGATTGCTGTGGTGGGCGTGTGATGGGTTTGTGGGATCAGGCCCAAGGTTCGGCGAGGCGTGGCAGGGCGCCAAGACCCGAGGAGAAGCCATCGGCCGACACTGGGGCGATCGGCGATCTCGGCGACAAAATCTCCTTATTACAACTTCAGGGATCTCACCACCGGATTAGCTCAAATCGGATTTTTTTCAGATGTTCTATTTCCTTCCCTCCACCATTACGATACTGTGATTGGATTGTACCAGACACCAAATTTACCGAGGGTGGGTCAGCCGAGTCGAGACCACTGCAAGTTCTTGAACGATTGGTGACCGCCTGGGAGAAGAGACTGACTGATAGCCGTGCTTGGTCTTGATTTCTCGGTATATCGGTGAGGCACATGTCGAGACTGGAATCACAAGATACAACATTCTTCGACATGAGCAGCTGCCATGAGCTGCCACCGGAGGACGGCAGTACGCAGCTATGGCAAAAGCTTCTTCCTGCCTTGCAGCACCTCACAATCTAGCTCTACGCCGAGTAGACTCACCCGGAATCGTAAAGCACACATCCTGGAAAGCGCCCACCATTTGAGCTCGTGTCATCCACCTGTAGAACACGTTCATCCGACCGCTGTCAGCTCCTCCCACTGCGTTACCCAGCCCTTGCAGCCTGCAACCCCCTCGAACAACTGACCCTAATGACCCTCCATGCCTAGCCTTGTCCTCCGAATAAGCCGTCGCAACCGCATCGAACGAGGTCCCCGCCTTGATCTTGGCCAACGCCTCGAGCGATTTGGTCTGCTTCTCGCACAGGATGTGTCGCAGTTTGAGCGAGTTGGCGACCTTGAGCTCTCCTCCGCTGCTGGGCCCGTCGGCATCGTCGGAAGCAGATTTGCCTTTGCCTTTGGAGGCGCCTTTGTTGCCGCTTGGTTTGGAGGGGGCCATTCCGTATGGCCTTGGGGTGCGAACGGGTCGTCGGTCCGAGAGCCAGGAGGAGAACCAAGGTCCGGGCGGTGGTCATGTGGGGGCGACGGCGGAGCTGTGGCCTAAGTGACGGCGGACTGCCATCACTGTCGTTTTCCCGGTGAGGTGTTTAATTTTCCTGTCGAAGGAAATCTTTTCCAATCGCAAAACACATCATTTGCCGGCTGCCCCATCACTTGATCCTCCGGCTGAATAAACGACCGACGATTCGCGCCGAGACAAGTCACGGGATCACGGGAGCTTCTTCTCCCTTCCGCTCCTTCTACCCTCACTCTCCCCGCTCACACCCTCGCCACCTGTCATCACCCACCACGATGACGAGCCCCTCTCTCTCCATCGCGAGGCACAAACTCGCCAACGGCAAGACCGTCTCCCTCTCCCGTCTAGGCCAACAACTGATCATGACGACCCAACCGCAGCCTCCTTTCGAAGCCCCGACCGCAGGGATCGAGTTCCGAGTCGATGAGGACGGTCCGATTTGGGCCGTCTTGTCCAATATGGTACCGGAGGATCCGTTCCCCGGTTATTCGACCGACGGGAATGAGATGTTCTGGGTATGTACTCCGCGGTATACGGGAACGGAGCCCACAGGCTCTCTCAACGAGGGGCTGGGCTGGCTCCTGGCTTGCGAGCTGACGTACGACCTCACTCTCCACCCTACTCCCAGATCAAGACGTATTCGGAGAACAAAGGCTTACTAGAAGAATGCATCAAAGCAGGCTGGCTTAGACCGCAAGTATCTTCACCTCCTCCACCTCACCCCAAGACCCCACCTGAAAACCCTACTAACTCAACCCTCTCACTCCTCTCCTCCTCCCACAACAGAACCGGTCGAACACACAAACAAGCTTTCGTTGTCTACCCGATGTGTGAACTCCGATTGGACGAACAAGCCTTGGCGCGCCATTGTCCGGCGTGCAATCGGTACGAGTCCATCTTGGACGAGCAGCGGTTCAAGAGGTGTGCGAAATGCCACAAGAGGTATTATGTGAGTCATGCGAACGGAACAAGGCGAACACCCTACGAATTATATCACTGAATGAGCTGTGGTTCATCATCGGCGTGGCATTGGATAGTGCTCAGCCCAAGTGAGTCACGCCAGTATAAGTAGACTCGGAGAGTTGTCCCTTGACGTGTACTGATCACGTGCCCGCCTTCCGGCCCTTACTTCTCCCTGCCTTCAGTGCCAGAAAGACGACTGGTAAGTCCTTTCAGCACTCGGCCAATCCAAATCCAACGAAATAATCCTAAATATTCCCCACTCCTCCCCGATAGGCCCTCGCACAAACTCGACTGCAAGGACCTCCTCGCCGGTCGCTTGGCCCAAGTCGAGAACCGCAAGCGCAACGAAACGAGAAACTTCTTTCAAGAGATGGCCGGCCCGAAAGCGTTCGAAGAGTTGTCGTTGTAAGGCAAGTGATTGAGACATGGGAAGATATGTTTCTTGTGTAGAGTCGCGCATATTTGCAGTATTGTTGCATCGGTGTACGATCATGAATTTCACTCGAGGTCGGTACGTCGAGAGAATTGCGAGTGTGTTTTTGTGTGTGATGAGAATTTGTCAAAGAGAGGGGGAAACACAAAATGGTCGAAAGAAAGGCAAAAAAAGACAGATATGTGGAAAAAGCACAATTAGAGGGGATAGGATGGGAGAAGAAGACATAGATCGAAGAAGACGACGTCACGATGGAAACAAGAGAGTGGAAAAGCCCCACCTCACACGCTTCTTCTCCTCCCCACGTTCATCACTGCCCTCATCCAAACTTCTAAGAACACGCAAAAAGCCCCTCTTCAACACCACACGACCCGGCCAAACTACAAAGACAGACGCTTTAGCAGCATGATCCGGACGGGGCTTGCCCGCCATCGTTGGCCGAAGGGGTGATCTGGATCGACGAGCCTTGACCTGGTCGGGCCGAGATCGGGTCCGCCTCGAGTTGTTTCGACGAGACGATACGGTAGATGTCTGTACGCAGCATAACCACAACCAGAGCACCCCTTCAGCCTTGAACGATGCCAGACTTCCGTGGCTAGAGGGTTTCCTATGCACGTACCAGTCAGGATTTGTTCGAAAGCGGTCTCGACGTTCGATGCGTCCAATGCCGAAGTCTCGATGCTGTGGTGGGGGACGAACGCGATCCCATCAGGTTTCACTCAATCACTCCTCCCATCAAGTGAAGTGAACGTACAACGTCAACCCGTTCTCTTGACTGAATGCCTTGGCCTCCTCGCTCGGCACTGCCCTCAGATGCCTCAAATCGCTCTTGTTGCCGACAAGCATGATGGAGATTTGCGCATCGGCGTGGTCGCGCAACTCCTTGAGCCAGCGTGTGACGTTGACGTAGGTCGCGTGCTTGGCAATGTCGTACACGAGCAAAGCACCTACCGCACCTCGGTAGTAACTGGGTCGTGGTCGTTACGAGCAGGTCAGCTGATGACGCCCCAACAAGCACATGAGGCGTTGCATTGAACTGACGCAGATGTGATGGCACGGTATCGCTCTTGTCCAGCAGCTGTGGGCATTTGAGCCGAGTGAAAGAGTCAGTTTTGCTGTGGTCCTTGCGGGGACGACACTCGGATATGTATACGCGATCCCGGTCATTTTGCACGCGGTGCATCGCGGCACTCGGCCTGCCCCCAGCCATCTTTCCCGTCCACGATATTGAATATCCTGTATGAGGCGATAAGGAAATGCAACTAACTATCCCAGATCTGTGCCTTGATCGTCTTGCCATCGACGCTGATCGAACGCGTGGCAAACTCGACGCCCTGTGATACGGAAACGCGACACGACGTATGGCAACGTAGTCGAAAGTCAGTCGAACCCCGTGCGTGATTGATATCGTCTGAGTTGAATGGACTGACGATGGTCGACTTTGATTCGAGGTTGAACTCGTTGCGAGTGAATCGCGAGAGCACTGTACACGCGCGGGCCCAGAAGGGGACGGGGGTCAGTCACTCTGGGGTATACAGTCGCGGTGGGTGCACACCAAACTCACAGTTACTGTAAGAGCAAGAGGTTATATAATCGGGCACGAGAGGACACGATGAAACCGTGTATGGGTGAGTATGACGTCGCCTGAGACCAATAAGATGGCCCCGGGGTGGGTGGGAGGCGCGCAGGCCGGGGGCGAGCGACCGACCTCTTTCCGACGCCCGAGTCTCCAATCAAGACGACCTCTGCAGGGGCGGACCGATGCCATGATCAGTGTCCTGCATTCAAAGATGTGTGGGGATAGGACAGGACTGACTGAACAGATAATCGTACGACGAGTCTCCCTGCGCGTGTGGACGGCCCAGCGTGGGATGGCGCGCGTGGAGGCAGGCGCAGGCGTGGGTGAAGGTGAAGGCGTGGTGGTGGGTGGTGGTGGCGTCAGCAATCGACCCGGACGCGACGCCCATCACAGAAGCAACCAGAGAACCACGTACCATGTTTGGATGATGTGGATTGGAGGTAGGCGGTGTGGGTGAGTAGAGCAAGTGGAGGGCTGTGGAGTACGAAGGGTTGCTTCACACAAGGGCAGTAATACCAGGGCCGTTGAGCTGTTGGCGCTCAGACGACACGACGACGCGCCGAAGCTGGCGGGCGGTGCGCAGGGCAGTCGCAGTCGCAGGGCCAGGCCAACGACGGAGCACCCGAGGCTAATCGCTAATGACATACCGAGTCAGCAAAACAACAATCCAACTTGAATCGGGAGTCTCTGTATCCCTTGCCAGCACGTTATGCTCCACCCCCAGCGTCAAACTTTTGTGACTGCAGATTCATCCCACAGGGTGACTGTGGGAGCTAGTAAGACATATTTGAAACAGTCACACGAGGAGGTGGAGGCAGAAATTCCGTTAGCAGAAGCACCCGGCCCGGGCCGTAGAGCGTGCCTGAGCCCACGGGCCCACTGCGGTCCGACGATGCAAGATGACGACTGCCATCAGTTGCGACGTCAGGTGAAAACCCTGTCGTCGTGTACTTGCATGACAGTATCCTACCAGCAAAGTATTTTCTTTCGCTGCGCACCGCCTTCCTCTTCCACGAATATCACCCGCATCGCCGGCGATCAAAGAGCCCCTGAGTCATCTCTCGGATAGGGGCAAGCGCACGTCGCGCTAACGACTCGGGTATCTACGACGAGCTGCCGGCTGCCCTCCTCCACTCCCCTCGATCATGGTGAGTCACCAGCGAACTCTTTCAGCTACCCTTCCCACGAAGCGAAAGAGCCTATCGTCATCCTCGACCCACTCCTTCAGTGGCATGCTTCCCCTCGCCCGCACGGCAACGCCCCCACGTCCAGGGACACACGAGAAGTCACGTAGCATCGACCAACACCCCTCCTTCAAACCATGCCATCATGTTCCTTCCCCAAGTCGGGCCCGTCGAGTCGCATCTTCTTTCGCTCGCTATCTCTCGTTGATGCTCGTCGCGCTCGTCGTGTTTGGCATGACGATCGTGGTGCTCGATTACGTGTTACAGCTCGATGCGAGGCCGTACACGGTCGCGGGTCGGTTGAACACGGATTGGTCGAGACACATCTATGCTCCTTCAATCACACGGTCGCAGGTGACATTCTCGAACGTATGGCCCTTGGAACCGATGCAGGCGTGGGATACGATCGAACGAGTTCACACCCCCGACGGTCGGCCTCGCGCTTCACTCGACGCCAACGGCCGGATGTTCTACGTCTACCCCAATGGAAGCAAAATTACTCCACTGACGCCTCTCGGCACAGCGGCGGATGGCGCCTTCAGAAATCTCATCTACGACCGTCTCGAATACATGACGACGCTCGAAAACTTTCTGCATCACAATTTTCCCCAGGAGGATTCGGACGAGCAAGCGCCCCGTTCGCTCATCAACGACATGCGCGTCTTCTTCCCCCTCGTCAAATCCCCTCTTTACCAATGGCGATCTTCTAGACCCAGGATACCACCCAAGGTGTATCAGAACGCACCGATGAGATCAGAGACACTTCGACCAGACTATGTGGATACGAGGGCCGAATGGCGCGACCTGATCGGGTGGACGATGAAGGCCTTCGTCTATGGTCGATCCAAGATGGGGGAGTGGGTCAAGGAAAGGTTCGACCTCAATGCTGGCACCGATCATGGGACTGAACACGAGGCGGAGGACGATTATGAAGAACCGAGCATGGACGATCTCCCTTACGAGAGGATGCCGGAACGCGTTGTCCCTGACCCTACACGCAACGTCGTCACGACCTACGAAGCGCTTACCTCTGATCAGGCCAAGTCGGATCTATGGCAGATCTTGATCATCCTTACATCTGGTGGCGTTTACACGCCGTTCAACTACCGGCCGACCCGCAAAATCACGGAATGGGGACTTTGGCCGACTACGGACAAGGCCTGCATTTCGAGAAGGTGAGAACACCCCCACATGTCCTGGGGAATGATTTGTGGGTGGTACTGAACCACTTTTCGTATATAGTGGCACCTCTTGCCAAGATCCGGGTCTCATTGCGGCGGTCAGCTTCGTGGCCCAAGACAGAAGCTGGCGAAAGGTGAGCGTGAGGGCCATTCCTATTCTTAAGGTCCCCCGCAATAACCAAATCTGGCCCTCCTTGTCCATCTCAGAGAGCAAACAGGCCCATCATGCTCACGCCAAACTACCTGGCGGCAAGAAGAGGTCACCCCGTCCTGGTCGACACCGTTCGTCGGGTCCAACTCGCCATACTCAACAACGAAGGCGGTCCCAAATCCCCGATCGCCGTCGCGACTCATTTCACAGATGCGATGATCAATTGGATGTTGGTACGTCATCGCTTGGCCTGGTCCGAGTTGCTGGGGATGTCGGAGAAGGGGTGGAGGTACATTGGGGAGAGGGAGTGGGGGGACGTCAAACTTGTGCCTGTCGACAGATTTGGTAGATGACGTTGAACATTGGATTACACTCTTTGGAATAGTGTGTGCAAGTAAAAAAGTGAAAGCCGAATTCTTGAATTTACTTCCTCTCCAGAAGAGGTAGCATGGTTTCATGAGACTGTCCTCTAGACGTCGCGCAGGGACGAACGGCGGACGCGGACGCAAACATGAACGGCTTGCGAGACAGGGGGCTGTCTGCGGTAACCCCGTTTTTTGACGCTAAAAACCGGACCGCGTCCAGGAACATGTCCAATGGACCGGAACATTCGTCGAGTCCTTCTTCCTACTCCGTCCATCATCCTCGTCAATGATGCGTTGGCATGATCCAGACGACCCTGATTGGGTGATCGCTCACATCCCATCCTCACCACAGCTTCTCACGGCCCAACTTCCTGAAGCGCCTCCCGACCTACGGAAACAGCACCAATCGACGAGGTTTCCCTTGGCTGTTCTCTTCCTTACGGTAAGCGATACATCCTCCTGAGGTCTGTGGACTAAGCTAATTCGAGTGTTACTATCGCAGCTCTACGCCTTGATGTGGTGTCAACTCTACGAGCCCTCATCACAAACGACCCCGTCTCGAACCCAGGAGTCTTCGATCGACTGGTCGCGACTATCGCTGACCCCACCCCCACCCGTCGAGGGCGATCCTCTGAATCGCTTCAAACCACCCTACGTCCGGCGCGGGAAACCCCTCGCTCGACTCGTCCACGGTCGGGTCATCCTTCAATACAATGGAACCATCACGTCGCCTTTGACGTCGTTAGGTCTCGAAGCGGATGCCTCGTATAAGATCGAGACCGACGACTTGCACGAATATCTGGCGACCCTGGAGGCGTTTGTTCGAGGTCACTTCCCGAAATGTGACTCGGACGAGAAGGATCGAGAATCGCTCATCAATGATTTGAGAGCTCATTTCCCGATGCATCGACCCGTTAAGACCGGCCCGAGGGCACCGAAGCGGTTGTTTCAAGTCAAGGGTGTCCCCAAGACCGAAGAAGCCTCACAAGCTACATGGAAAGCCTTGACCTCATGGCTCTCTATGAACCAGCCGATCGAGATCATTTTGCGAGATGAGGAGGATGTGGGAAGATGGATGGCTTCGATGTTCCGCCGAGCTCCTGACGTTCCAGCTCCTTCAGCACTTATGGAACAGAGGCAGGACTATCTCGAGCTCGAAGGTCTCGACAGCGTCTCTGCGGATCATAGATTAGATGGCGAAACGATCCATTCCCAAGCTTCGCGGACTTTTCTCGACCTTTGGCAGGATGGTAAAATCCCGATTGAGGTCCGAACAAGACTCTATCAATACCTCATCCTCGTAGTCGAAGGCGGTATTTGGGCCGAGCAAGGTACAACATCGCGGAAACCCGTCGAAGAATGGGGTCTCGCCAGCCCGTGAGTTTGGGAGTGGCGCCGCTGAGTGACTTCGTTGTAGGAGCGTGCTGAATGAGTGAATGAGCCCCTATCTGCAAAGGCTACCAAGGGGCTGGACAGATCCAGCGCTTTTGCTTGCGGTGGGATACGAAGCGAGCGGAACAGGATGGAATAAGGTAAGTGATTCATGCATGTACGTGCTAGAACATCCGAATCTGACGAGGAACCCACGAAGCGCAGAATCACAAACGCCCTCTCGAAATCGACGGACACGTTCTTCGCGCTGCTCGAGGTCACCCGGTCATTCTCGACGCTCTCCGACGGCTGTACCACTCTCTTCAGAACCCTCACAGGATTTATCGAAATGATGACTGCCTTACGGATGCGCTCATGAACTGGCTCTTGGTACGATGGTCGTTGCCGTGGTCGGAGTTGCGCCATACTTCGGGGAAAGGTTCGTGGCGGGTTCGGGATCATCGAGAGTGGAGTAATGTGCTTGTATTGCCTCGGGAATCGTTCTCTGAACCCGACGGGTCAGTTGCTCTGGGACTTTTTGACATAGTATTCTTGCGCTGACCTCGTCTGGGAGACTCTTCAACTTCGCAGTCCTGGCAAGTCACCAAATTTGCAGCTGGTTGTGCCACAGCCACGAGGCTAATTACGGCTTTGGAGACTACGACATGATTGCTTGTGATTGGCATTCTTGTAATCCACAATTCAGAAGACAGTCCCGAGATGCGTGAGTCAGAGAGTGAGTAGTGTCGTGCCAAAGCTCACGCCGAGCGAGTGCAGTGGCGTGAACTTTGGGGTCGAGGTCCCGTAGGGTCCCGTGACTTGCCGACAGGCACAAGCAGGCACGCCGGTGCACGCGCGTGGATTGGCTTCGTCCCGGCCGAGGACTCGACGAGCCATGTTGGCTTCTGCCACGCACCCACGTCTCCGCCCTCCCACTATCGGTGCCTGCCCAGCCCCGCGTAAGCGACTACGATGGACACAGCATCAGGGGGTGCACCCAGTCACCCACTGCGACCTTACGCCACCTCGCTGCCCTCCCAAGACTGGTCGTTCCCCAGCCGCGGTGGCCCCAACGCGTCATCATCCGGCAGCTCGTCTCTCCGTGGTCTGTCGGCGCCTTCGTCCTCGAACCGCTACGCCTCGACGACGACCCTCGATGGCCTCGATGGCTCTTCAGGATCAGCGCCTGCGGCTGGATCGTTGTTGAAGGCGTTCGTCATGTCGAGCATCCTGTCCTTTTCGGGCACGGCGCTCGTGATGCCGTTCGAGGTCGGCAAGACGTTGGCGCAGGTGCAATGGGTGCCCAAGGATGGTCTCGAGCCTCCCAACTGGGCCACACAGGACGAAGCTCACTACGAGCAGGACGAAGAGACGATCGAGGCAAGTCCGAACGCTTCTCCGGAGCTTCAGTGGCCGTCGCTCTTGGTGGAGCTGCCCTCAAACCCCCACCCAACCGGCCGAGACCACACTGGGCTGCGAGCTGACCTGATGCTTCCTCACCCCGCCAGCTCGAGGACGAAGCCGAGGCCGAAGCCTACTTTTCGGATCTAAGCAACATCGCCAAGCCAGGCTTTGCACCGCCGACGTCCGGCGCGCCACCTCGCGCCGTCTCGCCGTCGGGATATCTTCGACGGGATGGGGTCGTCGACGAGCGGTCCGGGACCAAACCAGAGTGGATCATGCCCGTCGTCGTGCAAGGTGGGGTGTGGGACATGATCAAGCACGTCGGACGGTGGAAGGGCGAAGGGTGGGCCAGTCTGTGGAAAGGTGGGTCCAAGGTCGTGCACCGGGGAAAGATCAAGTCACCTCGAAGAGTCAGCTAACGCCCGGGTCCAACCCTGCGTCGCACAGGCCAACTGACGACGTGCATCCTCGATGCCATCACCACATCGATCCAACCCATCTTCCTCTCCGCCCTGAGCTTCGCCTTCCTCCCCACCTCGGCCCTTTCGACCCTGCCCCTCATCTACTCCCCGCACCCTTTGCCGCTCCTCTTCTTCTCGACCATTTCGCACGCGCTCGCGAACCTCGTCGTCTCCCCCCTCGACCTTGTGCGCACGCGACTGATCGTGCAGTCCGCTCAACCCCGACACCGCAAGTACGCCGGACCGTACGATGCCTTGCACCTCATCCTGCGCGAAGAAGGTGGGCTATGGACGACCTACTTCCACCCCAACCTCTTTCTCCCCGCTCTCCTCGAAGGGATCGCCCGACCCTTGGTCCATCTCTCAACACCGTTAATCATCTCTCGCTACCTTCATCTCGAACCCTCGACGTCGCCCATCTCGTTCGGATTAGCCGAGCTCGTCTTGGGTACCGCAGGATTGCTAATCACGATCCCGATCGAGACCGTTCGGAAACGCCTGCAACTACAATCGCGAGCCGAGTTCGTTCGAGCCGGTCGAGCAGGAGGGACAGGTCGACCGTGGCGAACGTGCGTCGAGACAAGACCCGTAGGGTACGCGGGCGTCGTCGAGGCCGTGTATAGGATACTGACCGAAGAAACAGGACGGATCCCACGGAGGAGGAAGATGAAACGATCTTCCAGTTCGTCCTCTTCGTCCGGTGGGGGCAGTGGGAAAACCCAAGTCGTTCCTGAACCTGTAAAGGAGGATCTAGGGTTGATGGGTTTGGGTGCCGGCTCGGGCTTGACGCAGTTGTATCGTGGATTCGGGATGGGCGTCGGGGCCAACTTTGTCGTTTTCGTTTTGGGTCTGGTTGCGGGGAGTACGGAGGCAAGTGGGTGGTCCGAGATGTGATTTTGGGCGTGTCGATTGCAATGTTCTATCTACGCAACTCTTTTCTTCAGGGATTTGAGTAGGGTGGACAAGGATGCTCTCGCACGGCTCTCGGGAGGCATCACGACAACCTGGGAAATGGAACCTCGGCGAACGTAGGCGAAACGGTCTGTCGCTGGCCGACCCATGGGCAGCAGAGACGTCGGCATCGTGAGCGAGCTGAGCCTCCTCCGTACAACCCGACTCCTGCTCTAATCGCACAGTCGCCGCCGCCAATCGATCAACACGACGTCGCGCAAACTGGTTCGTCAAGTCAATCTGCACCGGCAGCACGTCGGGTAGTGTCGGCCAGTGCGCCAATTCCGCCGTTAGGGGCCCCGCCAGCGTGTCACGGCTTGCCGACATTCGCAACAATCTGCCGCTACTGGCTTCCTATACTTTTACCGATGGACCGCTGGCAGGACGGGTAGCAGCTGCGGACGTATTGATTCGAAGTCAAGGAGGAGCAAGGATGGTGCCAATCCGGATCGTATCCGCCTACTGCCCACATGGAGGATACGCACGCAATGCGGAAGGTGACGGTAATGCGATCAACGCTTTTTGGGCGGCCCTCCAGGACCTCATACGAACAGGACCACCGAACTGGGCCATAGTGGGTGACTTCAATGCAGTGCTCGACGCTCGCGAGACCACAGCAATGGTTTTCCCACGACTCAGACCCACCGCGGTAGAATACTGCCGCTTCTTACGCCAGACCAACGGCCACGATGTGTGGAATGAAATGGAGTCGGTTTCACTCGCGGAAAATTGGACACATAAGGCATACGGGGAAGCGCAAACCATCAGCATCATAGACCGTCTCGCAACGTCAGCGCCGGCGGGGAATGCGGATATCCATACGTTGCGTCAGGTTATGGCCACTGATCACAGACCAATTCATTGCAGACTATGGTTCCCGGGTCTCTGTGCGACAATTGAGGAGGCGAGCGACGACGGACCTCGGAGGGTTAAAGTTCCGCCGCGGAATAGCGACACTCGGCCAAAATTTCGGCAAGAGATGGAAGAAGGCGTTGCTAATTCGCAGTCTTTGAATCGAGTTGCCAAGGATGGAACAGTAGCCTCACAAGAGGCTTGGAATGCGACTTACGATGAATTTTCCAATCTAATAGTAAACACTTCCCTCCAAATATTCGGCGAACGAAGATCGCCAGCGGTCGGGAAACGCGAGTTTGTCGGATCGCCAGAGTTACGACAATTGAGTCAGGACCGTCACCATATGAATCGCTATATATACGCACTCAAGACTAACTCCATTCATATATTGAGAAACAAACCGGACACAAGAAGATGGTTCGAGGAGCTCCATACCGACCTAGAAACGGCGACATTGCAACGTCTCCAACAAGAAACAGGCAGAGCAGTGTGGTACCCCCCCGAGGATGAAGTGTTAGAAACCGCGACTGTCTGGCGCCGCCAACTCTGCAAAAGAATACACGCACAAGAGAAGCGGGAGCGTAAAGAACTGGCACAGAGGTCTGATAATTTTCGGATACAGAATGTCATCAACGGAGGTTCAGTGAAGAAAATACTGATACCACGTACGTCACTGATACAACCACGTGCGGTAGAAACTGTGGATGGAAATCTTACCGCTGACCCCACAGAGGTACGGAACACGTGTAAGCAGTATTTTAGCGCTTTATTCCAAAAAGAGGATGAAAATGCTCTGACAGACAAACCTTGGATGAATACGGAAAGTTCCCGGAAGTTTCGGGAGGCTACGCAACGCGACCCATTTATCTGGCCTAGGCCCCTGATGCTCAGCGACCTCCGGGCGCTCCTCGGCAAAGGCAATAGGGAACCATCCCCCGGTCCGGACCGATGGGAGAAATGGACAGTAACGATACTTGGAGACCAAGCGATGTCTGTTGTTCTGGCACTCCTGAACTATGTACTGGTGCACAACTACTTCGACAAGCTGCGCGACCACTATCTGCTTCCGATGTTCAAAAATCGCGGACTGTCTTCCCAACTGAGTAATTACCGAGCGGTCTGTTTTGGCAATTTCTTGGCGGTCACAGCGGCTGGATGGTTTACACGTCAGGCGCAAGCTTACGCAATGAAACACCACATGATTCCAGAAACACAGGTGGCCGTCCAGAGCGGTGTACAACAGCGCGACCTCACAAGTTTCCTAGCGAACCTAGAAGCCTGGGCGTTCCGGGCCAAAACTCCGATCTACGGGCTAGTACGAGACCAAAAGAAGGGCTTCGACCTGCTCAGACCAGAAGCTGGGTATGACGCCTACCATTTTTTCGGCTTTGGCCCAAACGCAGAAGCTTTTGACCGAGCCCGATTGGCACACGGCGCTTTTATCGTCAAGACACCGTACGGCCTCGCGGAACCTTTCGAAGTGGACGGGCAGATGAAACAAGGGGATCCCCCGAATCCTCTTCGTTTCTCCTTGGCCATGGCTATGGGCTCTTACTGGCTGGACGAACAAGCGTTCGAGGACCCACTACTCATCACAACACAGAACAGGGCACGCTCAAACAACCATACACAAGCGGATGAACTGACCCTCAAGATTACTCAGGTATCTGCGATGGACGACACCATACTACTGGCCAAGAGTGAAAGGACGCTGGCAGCGATGACTCTCTACATGGAGCATTTCCAGGAAGCCTACGGAGCCCAAACCGACTGGGGTACAAAGACTCGAGCCATCATAATGGGCCTCGGCAACCAGTCTGATACACCAGGGACAGTCCAAGTTGCCACTCCTCATGGGAGACGACAGGTCACTGTCGACCCAGCACACGTTTTTCTCAAAACACCGTTCGCTGCGCCGGACCGACAATACACTCAGCTGGAAAGTATTGTGCGATCGATCGGGTTCCCGAGCACGCCAACGAGGCGACTCCCGCTCTCGGCATTACGACGATTCATCGAACAACAACTAATTAGCAGGCTGAGGCCACGACTGGCTTTATGTCCTATCCGACCGGACGATGCCCTTAAGCTAGACCAGCTTATAGCAATGCGGATCAAAGAGTACTATGGATGGGTTTTCACACCGAGCGCTAAGTTGGTCACCCTCCCCGTCGCTAAATTTGGATTCGAGCTTACTAGTCTGTGGCGACTGAACGGGGCTATGGCAGTCGATGGACTACTACGAGACCTGAACCATCATATTCCAGCTTTCGCACAGATGGCAAGAATAACGCTGGCCGACCTACAAGGCCAACACCATGGCTGTATATCGCCGCTCCTGAACCCTAAGCCCCTGTCTTTCAAGCACTCGCAGCAGATGGTTCCTCAGATCTGGAATACGGCACTAGGTGCGCTACAACACTGCGGGAACCTCCGAGTACTCGAAACCGACCAGTCGAATCGCACCGACTCAGGTATTAGTGCGGAACATGCATACCTCCAAAGCGGAGGGGCCAAACGAAACGAACCGCAACTACAAAAAGCCATGGCGGCGCTTCCAGCAGGCCTGACGGACCTCCAAGTGCTACGGAGAGGCCCACAGCTCGATAGACCCGACCTCTTTGCTGGATGGCTGCACCCGAACACGAGATTGGTGCGACAATGGTCTAATCGCTTTGATGAAACTTTACTGGCGGACGGGCCGGTTAGGTTGTTGAAGACGCGAGCACAGCGACAAAACGACGCCGAGCAGCAGATCAAAATCACACTCCTTTCCCTGATAAATTTTCGAGGCCAACAAGACCAGAATATTTGGGCTACGGATGGCTCACTCATCGTGTTACCCACAGGACTCACATCTGCGGCGGCAGCGGTTGTAGGGCCATACTCGGCGGCTCGTGCGGCACTACCGGCGGGCGCGACTATCATGCAGGCAGAGGTGACAGTCCTGATCATAGCGGCACTGACCTCACACTTAGAGACCTCACATTTTGGGTCAGCAATTCAGGTTGTCGCAGATCACCTTACCTCCGTCAAATTCGCTGAGAATCTGAAGAAAGATCAAGTTGCACCAAAGAAACCGAGGGCCGCATTTGCACACTACACTTGGCTCGAACACCTGCTGAGAACGAGTGATTCGATACAAATACGGCACGTTAAAGCCCATACGGGTGGCGGAGACGAAGCATCGCGTGCAAACACTCGAGCAGATGAGGCGGCGAAATCGGCACACACTCAACCTGACTTCTTCGTGCTTTTCCCGGACTTTGCACTCCCACAATGGACAATCCAGGCATACCTTGGCGAGCAAACTGCTTGGATAGAGGGTGATGTGATCAAGAAAATCTACGACCTACAAGAAGCATGGCAAATCAAATCGCTGCCCCAGAAGATCGGTAACGACGTTCAATTGCTACTCCAAGTCGCTCATTCCGCAGGACGGTATCCTTACCTTCGCGCAATTTCGACGTACGCAGCGCAAACACAACTCCAGCTGCGGGCACACATCCTTCCCACCGCCTCGCGATGCTCAGAACGATTCGGTACGTCGTCTTTGTGTACTATTTGTGGATTGGCAGAGGAGACAGAGAAACATGTTTTCAGGGAGTGCGAGGCAGGTCGTGGACTGCGGGAAAGAATTGGACAGGACTTGTTTCAGATGACGCGTAGGGAACTGGAGATGAGACACCACGAATGGACGGGAGCACAAGTATACGAGCTTTCCAATTTCGCTGCAGGGCTAGTAACGGGACATCTATGGTGGTATGCGATGCCGATGATCCCAAAACCTGACATCTACTGGGCCCTCGATGAGCGATCTCGGACGCGGCTGGATCGGACATGGCATCACGAGCTTATAAAGGGAGCCGGACGGTTATGGGCGGCGAGAATGAGGAAGTGGTGGGCACTGCAAAGGAACACGCAGCAAAGGAATTCGCATTAGTGACAGAGGCGGTGGTGGCGGCATTCCCCACCTGCCTTTGAGGGCGGGCGCTGAGCTGGACGAGGGAAAGACTGATGTAAGCCCTGGAATGGGGGGCATCGGTCCTGGTGACAGCAAGGTGACGGCCTACGTGACATGAATATGGTGGTCCAGCGGATCCAGCAATTTGTTAGATTCTGTCTTTAAACAAGACTAGCTGGAATATATGGATTAAAACATTAAAACACTGGGCTTCACTCCACGTCGTTCCGCGGCCTTCCGCGAGATTCTATGAGCCCAGTTTAAACTGAGGCGCAGCCTTCTCCATCTTTCTCCCTCCGGCTCTTCACACCTTACCCATCGCACCTCATCCTATCGCAACTCATGAAGGAAGCCCCGACACAACCATCTTACAACGTCGCAGATGGTAAACGAACAGCTCTGTCAGTCGATGACATCGATCGACTTGCCGCACTATACGCAAAACAACGCACCACCGTCTGTTCCCTGAAGGCCGACGGCCACGAAATAGTCAAGTTACCCGAAGGTAACTATGGTCATGCGGTCCTGGCCCACGACACGGCTCAAGTAGTTGTCACAATGCTTGGGAAGATCGTGTCGATTGATCGATCCCCCAACAGGGATGCCTCCCGTGTAGTAAGTGACGCGAACAGCAAAACGTTTAGGGGAGCAACCTATTGATATACCTCCATGATGCCAACCAACAGCCCATTCAGCCTCAGAGATGCGCACATCGAACGGGTGGGCCGACCCGAACTGTGCTCGAGACAAATCGGCTTCGAGCTTGCGACACCCGAAGGGGTCGTCGTGGAAGCTCTGCAACGAATACGGGACAAATTCTCTCAAGAAATGGCTGCAGCGTGCAGCATAGCTACGGATTCGAGTAAGTAACTTCATGAACTGTGCTCTTGGTGTGGGATTGTTGAGGAGCTAATGGAACACTACCAAGCAGCAATTCCCTTCAACACGTCCTCTTTGAATGACAACCCTCGAGTTGTTTTTCTCCACCTTTGCTTGAGTTTCTCACTGGCCATGGGCAAGGTATGTTAGACATCATACCCTTATTTTTTGGTGCAGTGCATCTGACGAAAACGCGTTGCATCGTGTGTACAGTGGAGAAGCTATTCCGTGAGCGAATCCTGGCCTTTAACGAGAACCTTGCAATGGCGTCATTTGGAACAAGCCAAGATTACGGAATCATCGGCGCTGATGGACGGCCTTCTTTCTACCTCAGCGGGAATGTCTATCATAGAATGGGTACGCTAGCTCCAGCACGGGGTAGCAACCCTGTATTCGCGCAAATTCTCTTCGGTGCTCCTTCCGAACGAATCGACGCTCGAATTAGGTTCAACGGACCCTTATCGGACGACGAACAGCAATTGGCCATCGCATACCGCCAGATTCTTCCCCGGTTGGACGAGATGATGCTACAAGAAAACAGGAGAGCGCAGCAGTCCCTCACGGCGCGGGAGTTCATCAATCATGAGGATGCGCACGCATATCAGTTACGTCTTCTTGCACCACGAAATCGAGACCCCAGAAGTTCCGAGTCTTGCGTTGGCAAATTGTACCTCCTGGGGTCTCGATTTCGTGGTGCAAGAAGACGCAACTGATATGCGTGCGCATCCTCATGATTGATGAACTCCCGCGCCGTGAGGGACTGCTGCGCTCTCCTGTTTTCTTGTAGCATCATCTCGTCCAACCGGGGAAGAATCTGGCGGTATGCGATGGCCAATTGCTGTTCGTCGTCCGATAAGGGTCCGTTGAACCTAATTCGAGCGTCGATTCGTTCGGAAGGAGCACCGAAGAGAATTTGCGCGAATACAGGGTTGCTACCCCGTGCTGGAGCTAGCGTACCCATTCTATGATAGACATTCCCGCTGAGGTAGAAAGAAGGCCGTCCATCAGCGCCGATGATTCCGTAATCTTGGCTTGTTCCAAATGACGCCATTGCAAGGTTTTCGTTAAAGGCCAGGATTCGCTCACGGAATAGCTTCTCCACTGTACACACGATGCAACGCGTTTTCGTCAGATGCACTGCACCAAGAAATAAGGGCATGATGCCTAACATACCTTGCCCATGGCCAGTGAGAAACTCAAGCAAAGTGTTGGGAGGTTTTTTGATCGGCAGCTCCACCTTGCCGTCGTCGCAACATGCCCTGAATACTGGAGTGTCCCGTCCTCCCAAGCGTTCGAAGTCCCAATGGAAGGCGCAACACTTCCGAAACAGAACGTCCATTGCACCTAAGTCATGTCGAGGGTAGGCTCCTTCCGGCAGTGGACGCAGTGCAATCGGTGACTGCGGCGGGTGGATGTCGCTGTGCGCGAACTGAACGCGCTCCCGGAGATTCCGGACTGTGAGGTCGTCGCTGCGGGATAGAGTTGACATCGGGCGTTGGCTGGGGTGGAGGTGATTGGCCAACGCAATCATTTTGCCCAGATCTCCTGGAGGTGGACTGATTCGTCGATGTTGATTTGGCAAGGCAGGGTCGGGCGGAAAACTGTGCGGGACCGGAACGGAACGCTCTCGCTGAAGCCTTTCCCGTTGACGACGTCTTTGCTGACCTTGAGAGCTCCGAGAGATCGCAGAGTTCACAGGCGGTGGATCCATTGGATGATGTTGATCCTCCGGCAGTGGACGCAGTGCAATCGGTGACTGTGCGGCGGGTGGATGTCGCCGTGCGCGAAACGAACGCGCTCCCGGAGGTTCCAGACTGTGAGGTCGTCGCTGCGGGACAGAGTGGACGTCGGGCGTTGGCTGGGGTGCAGGTGATTGATCGACAGAATCATCTTGCTGCCTTTCCCTGAGTCTCCACAATCGTTGTGCCCTAGATCTTCTGGAAGTAGACTGATTCGTCGATGTTGATGCGGTAGAGGCAGGGTTCGGCGAAGAACTGTGTGAGACCGGACCGGAACGCTCTCGCTCGAGCCTTTCCCGTTGACGACGTCGTTGCTGGCCTTCAGACCTCCGAGACGTCGTGCTCACAGGCGGTGGATTCATTTGATAACGTCGATAGGTGTAGCTGAGTACGTTTGAATTGATAGAAACGCTCGAGCACGTTCTACGTCGACTCATGGAACGCCGGCGAACTTGAGACACGGCCCGAGGGCACTGGCTCCTGACCGCCCGATGGGAGCCACTCGACGCGCCGAGAACCGGTGCGTACGTAACAGTTGTTAGAGCATGACTTATTTCAGGGATAGTGACGGAAGGTTGTCAAAAGACCCAATGATGATTGCCTCGCATGAGTCATTGCAGGGCCTGAGCAGTTCTAAGTGAATGTGCAGAGCTTTTTGCTGGGCGACTCGAACTACATTTTGGGCAGCGAACGAATTGGGGAAAGACCCCCAAAGCCAAAATGTTGACAGCAATTCTGACTTGTCCATTTTCCTGAGTCTCCGGTATCTGAAGTGTAGTGTATTCAGAACTGGCGAAGCGACGTGATTTAATGCAAGCCGAGAAACAGTGGCTGTGTCGTGACTTGGCCGATCATGGAACGTCGGCGAATAGGGCTGGGTCACTAATTGTTTTGGCCCCGTCACTAATAGGTGACAAAAGTCGGACCCTCGGTCACTTATTATTGTCACTGTCACTTATGTCACCAGATTTTCGCCTGTCACTAATGTCACTAAGTCCAATATTTGGTCACTAATGTCACTAAGTCCAATATTGGTCACTAATGTAACTGAATGGAAACGATGTACATTGCACTGTCGGAGGCAAGCTCTAGCACTCAACATAAACAAAGTGTGCCAGAGAGACCATCGTTACATGGTCATGTCGTCATCAGGTGACCAAAGATCCATCGCTTCGTCTTCCGAGTCGTCGTCCAACACCACTGCTGGGAGCGGAAGCGATGTTTGTTCGCTCCTCAGATGCTTGGTCAGGATCTGGAAATCGACCCACTCGAAGATATCCAGCTGGGCCGGAGTCGTGACCCGGCATTTTCGTGTTGGTAAATAGCATTCCAGACTTGTCATTCACATTCCAGGGTCGCCATCAGGTACAAGCAAGTAGACCGGGTCTAGACCGGTACCTAGTACCTATGGGTACTTAGTGACATTAGTGACAACGATTTCTGGGACCCCCTTGTCACTAATCCGTCACTAATTCGTCACTAATGTCACGTCACTAATGTCACCTATTAGTGACCCAGCCCTATCGGCGAAACAACCTCTGGCTCCTAGCCGTCGGGAGCGCGGAGAACCGGTGGCACCATAACTAATTCTGAAACATCGCTAGCTGGGACGGGCTGGACCGAGAGCCGTGCAGAGCCGAAACTGTGACGTCACGCCACGTGAGTTGACATTGTCATTGTCTTTGTCTTGGGGACGACTTTTTTCTGGTGACACTGCATTCGTGAGTTATCACTTGACATTGGCTGTGCAGTCATAGGTATGACGGAAAAACTGATATGAGAAACAGAGACATTGGACGTCAGTGACAGGAGGTGACCCTATCCCCGAAAATGGGGGGCACCCACCGTGGCCTGCTTGGGAAAACGACATCGATGGGAACAAATACCACATGTTCTACGAAAACGCTCGCGAAGGAAGCTACAATGGGCGAAAAGTAGCAAAGTCCTACGCTAAGCCGCTACCCGTAAACGTTGACGGGCATGCTGAGCTGTACGCACACACCATTTTGAGGGTGAGGGACGTATGTGCAGTCATGCAGTGCTCAATACAAGGCAGCCTGAGCGTGGAAGTCAAAGGCCACGGGAAAATACAGCGGAAGGATTGACTTCGTACAGTTGAGAATCCGGGTCCATGGGACACTAAATGTGAGTCTTCACTGTCATTGCTACAGATGGACAACAACAAGAATACTGATGGCTGTAATAAACGAATCACGCAGAAAAACAGGCTCTAGTTCCGTGGATTGCGGCTCACCATCCCGTGGCAGATCCTCAACGGCACGGTTCGGTGGAGTGACCGTCGTGTTGGCAGGTGTGTGCCAATCTTTCAAAAGCAAGGCGCAGGGCAGCAAGACTAACTGACCGGTTGGACTGTAACATCACAGGGGATCCAAAGCAATACCTTGACTCTTCCCGTTATTCCCACTGCAAGTCATCGCCTACACAAATCGTCGACGCTTGCATCATGAATGGTGACTTCTGGGGGGAAGTTGAGGTGCTGCATCTCTCTGTAAGTAGTAGTCCTTGCCTGATTTTTAGACCCTAGACTAACAGCGGCACGGTGCGAGCGCAGACAAACATGCGTCTTCTGGCCGCTGCAGACCGCATGACCGAAACGGAACGGGCAAAGGCACAGGGCTTTGCAGATTGGCTCTTAGGAGTTGGAGACGGGTCGGCGAACAAGACAGAAGACTCTATCGCGCTCCCACGTGAGCTTCTCCTGCCGGCGACCTCGAGGAACAGATCCGGGTTGATCAGACACGTTTATCCCGGCCCCGCGCTCGAACTGGACAATATGTCGATAGGCGAAAAAGTTGAATACTTCCGAGATCGAGCAATTCTGGCGCCCAAAAATTCGCAGGTGGATCACATCAACGACATGGTGCTCGACCTGCTGCCGGGTGATGCTCAAACGTTCTACAGCGCGGATTCGGTCGAAAACGAAGACGAATCACTGCTCTCGATCGAGTACCTTCAGAGTCTCAACATCGCCGGGATGGCGTTGCAGGCTGCAAAATTTAAAGTGGAAACTTGGACCCCGCCGCGGGGCTGCGCAACGGCACAAGACTGTTGTCGACTCGGTTACACACCCGATTGCTCGAGGCCATCATTCTCACAGGAGAGCATGCTGGACAGCCAGTTTTGTTGCCACGGATCACGCTGAAGACAGTGTCATCAGCTGAGCTTCCTTCCGTTCACTCTGCATCGGACCCAGTTTCCGATTCGGCTGGCAATGGCTATGACGTTCAACAAGTTGCAAGGGCAGTCACTCGCGCAGGTAGGAGTGTGTCTGTAGACGCCGTCTTTTCTCACGGCCAATTGTATGTCGCATTGTCCCGAGCAACGAAAGTGGACGGTGTCAGAGTTTTGCTTCATCAGACTGAGAACGGAGAAGCGGATAATGCAACAGAAAACATAGTTTTTAGAATGGTTTTTGAGTTGATGAAATGAAGAGTTATCTCAAAGCTTCATAGTGAAGCTCCGGCAAATAGCAGGTGAGGGATGTCGATGTCGATCTTGGGAGGCACCCGTGAAAAGGTCCACACTCGACGCGGGTCAGTATGAGGTCTGAGCCCATTATCTGGCTCCCGGAGAACAAAAAAGTAGTTCAGTGATGAAATGAAGGCTCTGTACATTTCATCGTCGTCGCACGGTCCTCTCCCGACTTCAACCACTAGGCTTCCGTTACTCAACAGTACCGCAGCTGTTGCAGCAAAGTACATCACATTGCAGCGGGTCAACGGATACGGTGGGAGGTGGCGCGCGGAGCGCGCCGCCGAACCTAGTAACAAAGAATATCAAAGCAGGAGATCCACGGTGTCGAAAGGAGGAGGAGGAGGAGAAGACGCTCACACACAGCTCCAATCGTAGGGGAAGGCGGCCGACCACAAGGACAGTACAAATACAATAAGGCCACGAGGGACGAGAGAAGAGGATATAGCGAGAGGGCGGAATGGCGTCGTTAGCCGCGGGAATTTTCTGTCGGTGGTGCTTTTGTTGGTTTTGTTGGCGTGGCGTTTGTCATTCAAAAGCGAACTCGTCAACGACTTGCTGAAAGGGCTACTTTAGACGGACTTGACACCGACGGCCAGACCCGACTTGCGTGCGTACCACAACAAAGCCAAAGCGACGTCTGTGCATCAGAAGAAATGTTACGAAAGTCAATTGAGAATCTCGCCATAGACCCCGCCTCCGCGCCAAACGACAAGCTCCTGACTCACAAGCCTCGATCGCATCCTTGATACCGAACAACAACGCCTGGGACAGAACCGCCTTAGTAATCTGCGCCTGCATCCCCTGGTACCACCCGGCGAACCCATTCTCCTTGTACACCTGTCGCAAGCAATCGACGGCCCCATTGTACCTCTCCTTTCGCTTCTTGTGCTGCGTCAACTTTGAGGGCAGTCCGATCGAGGCTTCTTCATCAAGAAGGGGTTCGTCGACGTCCTCGTATTTGGCTTGGAGGCGGGTTTTGGCCATGATGTAAGGGTAGGTGACCTGTTAGGCATTTCCGGCGAACGGTCAGTCTCCAAGAAAATTTTCAGCTTCGACAGCTCAGGAAATGTCCACTCACCACCGTCGCCAACGTCTTTGACAAAGCCCCGACGTAGAATGCCTTCCCAGGGGTCATCTTCTCCCCCGGCTTCAACAGCGCCGTCTTGAGGCGTTCGAACGCGCCGTAAGTGATACTAGGGTTGACAACCAACACAAGGGAAGGTTTCAGACCCCTCCAGAGACCGGTGATGCCGTCGTCGGCGAGGATGTCGCGCGTCGTCGCAGCGAAACCTTGGTCGTTGGTCGAGGTCTGTTGGCGAGTTGCGATGACCGAGACGGGGATGGTGAAGAGTTGAGCAAAGGCCGCGGCGAGGGCGCCGAGGGCGAGTTCGGTACTGAATTTGGAAGAAGAGTTCGAGGACCCGAATCAGCTTTGTAGTCTTTTTGTGGTCGTCTCAAGGGTTCGATGCCGCGCTCTTTGGCTTTCAAGCATTCTTCGCGATGCACCCTGAGAAGGGAGCGGACGAGAGCCGTAAATTCAAACACATTCCTCAACTCACGCGGTGTTGAGAGCGGCAACGGAAGGGAATCGCTTCATGTAGGTCCTTCGCACGATCGTGTACCAGTAAAAGTACGCACTGTTTCGAAGGGAGTAATACATGCATCAGCAACCCGATTCCTTGGTCACAGCTCCTGCCCGTGCCTCTGCCCCTCCTCTCCCCTCCCGCTTCATTCCTACCAAAACTCACAACTGCATACTAAACGTGTTCAACATGCTCGCCCCAAACCCACGGTACAAAGCCCTAACCCCACCCTCCTTCAAGACCTTGAATAACATCTCGCGCGCCCCTTTGCCCTTGATCGCCGCACCATCCGCACTCCGACTGGTGCTAGCCGCGGGTAGTCGGTTCGGCGCGCCCGGTCGATTCAACGCCGAGGGGGAGGAAGCCCCTGCCGCGCCGGCTTCGGACTTCTTGCCTTGTACTTCGGTTTGGATGCGCGTCTTGATACTATAATCATGGAGTCCCGAAGGAGAGCAGCCCAAGAAAGGTGTCAGGTTCAGACAAGAATCATGCCCGTGATGCAATCCGCGGTCTTCTGGAAACGTGATGTGCGAGCCGCTCGATCACCTCTATGCGAGCGGGTTTCCGAATAGCCGGGGTGTCTGCAAGCGCGGGCGGAGGGCTTCCGCTCTCTACAATCACGAAAGCTTCATCGAGCGGGATGGAACGTGCCCTTTCGCACGTTCACTCGAAGTGACACTTACGTATCAAGAGGGTACCTAAAGAGTCATTCATAGGAGCCTGGTCAGTTATTGTCTTACCAACCATGAGACGGGTCCCTCCTCGTCGACCCTCGTCTCCCGGGGCTCAAAGTGACGCATGTGAACTCACACCATCGAGTTGGCAACGACACCCCCGACCGCTCCCGCGAACGCCATTCCGAAAGGCGATAATTGGTTCGACATGCTTCTCAGTTCGAATCTCGTAGTTGCTTCTTATCGTACTGGTCCGTTCGAGATTCGGGCCGATGGAGCGTGCCAGGAAGGTGAATGAAGAGCGGCTAAAGTCACGAACGAAGGCCAAGAGTGCTCGGTGTGCTGAGGCTCGCTCGCTCGGCAGTCGCTCGGCACGCTCAAATCCGAAACGATGCGACGGCGGGCTGAGACCACTGCTCTCCGGGTCCCAGTTTATGCGGACGACGTCGACGCGGCCTCAGGAGGTAAAACGGCAACGGGCACTATTATGTATGCCTTCGTGGGCTCACCACAGTTCCTTTGCATGGTATGGCCCCATCTAACGTGTTTGGGCAAAATTTTATACCGGTGCGGCAAGGTCCATGATCTCATTCGATAACGTTCCTCGCGACCGACCGATCAAGCTCGAGCTCCGCGAAGGCCTCGGGAACTCCCCCACATCCTTTCGCCTGCTGGTGCGAAGGTCCTCAAGGACAAGGTAAAATACAGGCCTCTATTGCAGGCGTCGTTTTCAATAGCCATTCCCAAGCTATCTATCATCCTCGGAAACACCCCACATCTTCATACACTGGCGACTTCACCCAAGTAAATGACCCCTTCGACGCCGGTTGAGGCGCAGATGGGTTCTTTGGGCGACCAGTCCGTCGCGATCACCGTTCCTGTATGACCCGGTAACTGAGATCAAGGCGACGGGAGAAATTCAAGAGTCAGTCTCACAGGTCATCTCCATCGCACCCGGCTCTCCGACGCACCTTGTACCGAATACTGGCCGTCTCGGCATCCCAAATCGTCAAGGCCCTATCCGCCCCTCCAACAGCGACCATACTCCCCCCGTTCCCCTGCTGCGTCGAATGCCTCGAGAAACTCGCCCTCCTCAACAACCCTTCGAACCCCGCGGGAGCGCCATAGAAACTCCTGATCAAGCGAGGGTGGAGACTCGGGTTCGAGGCGTTGATCGTTGGTGCGAAGGGGGCGACGGACCAGAGATGAAGGACGGAATCCATTCCAGTTGATAAAAGGTGAGAAGGGTTCGAGGGGGATAGACAGAGGGATGTGATGGTGTCGGTGTGGGCGCGGAGAGAGTAGATGACCGACTTGGAGGCGAGCGAATAGACGTGGACGTCGTTGTCGAGGCCACCGATGAAGAGTTGTTGGCCGTCCTCGGACCATTTGACCTGTGCATGATGAGTATATAATGTCAGTGAACATTCAGCGTTGACCTATGGTAGGGACACATCTCAGAACCTACGGCGGTGACGGGATAGCCCAGCTCGACGACCTCGATCGCGTCCTTGCTGTCCTCTGACCAAACCATGACATAACCATCATCACTCCCCGAAGCGAACAGGTCCCTCCCCGCTCCCCCTCGTTGCACATCGACGCTGTTGACGATGGAGGTGTGCCCACGGAACCGACGTTGGACTTCGCCCGTGGGGAGGTGGAAGAGGAAGAGGGTGTGGTCGGTCGAGCCGGCCAAGAGGCGGTCGTTGCCGACAAAGGCGATCGAGGTTGGTGCTCCTTTTGGTGTACGCAACATGCCCCAGCTGGTGGTGGTGAGATGATCACACGAGATACAGGGTCAGCATCGCAGGCGGCAGTGCGAGGAGCGAGAGCGCGTCGTGAGCTTGCGACAAAAATACGTGCCCTAGCCTCACAGAGCTCGACTCACTTTCTACACTCTCCGTATACATTCCACAACAAGATAATCCGGTCCACCCCAGATGAAGCGAGGTGTTCTCCGTCGGGGGAGAACTTGACGTCGAGGATCTCACCTTGGTGGCCCTGGGTTGTGGAGGCAGAAAGAGCGAGAGATGAGCACGGGTAACATACCGCACCGCAAACAACGGACGCGTACGCACCTGCAAGCACATGATAGGTGCCTGTAACCCGGATGTCCTCCGAATGGTCTGTATGAGCGCGCCCTTGTTGGCCGAGTTGCCGTCCGAGGCGACGACGATCTGCTGCATCGCCGGGTCGTCCTCCGCTGTGCCGTCCTGGTCCATGCGTACGCGCTTGATGAGGGATGATGACTCATCGCCCGCTCTTTTGGACGACATGGTTGCTGAGCGGGGAAGAACGGAGGTGCGCGGCAAGCGTGTGAGCCCCTGCCCAGGCTGGCTTTGATTGGCGCCGCGCGGGGTGCGACCGTCGGCTGGCCTGCCTCTGGCTGCAGCTGGCTGCACTCGCTGCTCGCGCCACTTCGCGTCGGCTCGCGCTCAGCACAGCTCAGCACTCGCTCAGCTGCGCCCAGCTTCCGGCTGCTCGATCGCCACTCGCTGGTTTGCTTCTTCGCCTCCTGCGCCTCGTCGACTTGGCTCCTGTCCTCACCCCTCTCCTGTCCGTGGACCCACATCGGCATGGAACTCTCAGCCCAAGACGCGCGCACGATCGCCGAGAACCGACTCAAGGGTAAAGCTCTCCACACCTCCTCTCGTTAGTCATCCACTCGACCTCACCTGACTCTAGACCTCGCGTTGCTCCCCCTTCCCCTCGCTCGGTCGCAGCCAAAGCCCGCGTCCAAGAACGAGAACGCCACCTCGTCGCCGCCTCGTCCTCGATCCTCAACGCAAACGCCAAACGACCGCTCCAAGTCGTACCCGCTTCCTCGACCTCCCCAACCGCACCCAACACCCGACGAACGCACGCGACGAACCCCACTTGGGGCACCACGACCTCGTCGAATGCGTTGCAACAGGCTTTGGCTTCGGGCAGTGGGCAGCAGGTTGGGGTCACGCATTTTCAAGGCGCGGATAAGAATGCGCCGTTGAAGAACATGATTGGGAATTACATAGAGTGAGTGGGGGATCCTCCTCGACCACCGATGCACGAACGACGTCATCGAGCCGAGCCCGAGTTCGGTCAAGGGAAGGGAGGGGTGACAGAACGATGGCTACTTTACTCGAGCCACCGTGTATGGTATTGATCGCTTTCATACTTTGCACTAGATACGACCTCGCGACGGTCAAGAACTCGAAAGGTGGTTTCTTGCTCGACAACGAAGAGGACGATCCACGCAAGATCAGAGCCCGGCAGATGGAAGAGGCCCTACGACAGAAACGCATAGAAAACGCCCAAAAACAAGGCCAACTGCGGGAACCGAGTTGAGTTTCTCACGGTACCACTGGTGGTAATGCGAGCACTGACCTTGTCTCACCCCCACTTTCCGATAGAGATGGCGCTGGATCAGCAACATAACCCGAAATGCCGCCACTGCGGATCGATGGACCTCGATACCCAACTCCGCACCATCTTTGGCGTCTTCGTCTGCGCCAAACACAAAGCCGAACTTCCGGACCTGTATTCGTTATTGACCAAGACCGAATGCAAGGAGGATTACCTCTTGACCGATTGTGAGTCCACGCATGATCTTCATCAGAAGAGGGTGTATGGAGCTCATGCTGATGGCATAGGTTGCCCGCAGCCGAACTACGGGACGAAGAACTCTTACCCCACCTCTTACGGCCCAATCCACATCGCCCAACGTACAGCAACATGATGCTGTTCCTCCGCGTCCAAGTCGAAGAATTCGCCTTCTCGGATAAGAAATGGGGGTCCCCCGAGGCCTTGGACGCCGAATTCGAAAAGAGGGAAGCGGAAAAGATCGATAAAAAGTCCAAGAAGTTTGCGCAGAAGTTGCAAGAATTAAGGAAAAAGACCAAGACGAACGTGTGGCACAAGAGGGTCGAGGGGGAGCATGAACATCACTTTGAGGAAGGGGAGGGCGAGGGCGTGCAGGTTTGTTCAGAATGTGGGTTCAAGGTTGAGGTGGAGACGTTTTGATGAGAAAGGGCGTTTGTGTTGTAAGAACCCGTGTATATGCTAGAGCTTGTTTGAAATACAAACCTGTGGCATCGAGAAGAGGTCCGTGCGAAGGCTCTCCCGGCGAGTCCCGGCGAGGATCAAGTCAACCTGCGATCGTGCGCGTCGGGCCTGACTTGGGGTTTCCCTTTGCCTCCATCTCTCAACCGTGGTCTGCACTGGGCACAGCCGTCCACGCACTACATTTCAACAAGTGGGCGACTGATAAGGTCTCGCCGCCATGGTGAGCTCCCTTGGACCTGATGTTGTGCTCAAGTCCGGTCGAGTACGATTGAGCGATGAGTGGTAAACTGACCACGGATCCAATCCTACCTATTCACAGTCGGTCTTGTTCGAAACCTCGTTGGGTGACATTATCGTGAGACTCATCATGTCATACAAGCCCTACACTATTCCTCTACTCACCCCGGTTTCTCCTCCCCCACCTCTGCCCCAGGTCGATCTCGACACGGAGCGATGCCCTCGCACAAGCCTCAACTTCCTCAAGCTCTGCTCGACCTACTACTACAACTTTTGTTCCTTCCACAACGTCATCCAAGATTTCATCGCCCAAACCGGTGATCCAACCGAGACCGGAACAGGTGGAGAATCGATTCTGCATCGGTTGCCCAAATCATCGCCTTCGTACCTCCCGACTAAATATTTTGTCCCCGAGATGACCAAAGCGATCAAACATACGGCCAAGGGAACACTGTCTATGGCTGTCGCGGGCGAAGGTGATCAACGCGGGTGTGGGAGTCAATTCTTTTTCACGCTCAAGGACGAGTTGGATTACCTCGATGGCAAACATGCCCCTTTCGGCAAGGTCATTGAAGGATTGGAGGTGTTGGACAAGATCAACGAGGCATACTTGGATCAAGGTGGACGGCCTTTGAGGGATATCAGGATACGACATGTCGTCGTGCTCGGTGAGTGGGACAATCGATTTTGCCGAAAGCAAGAATGACTCCAGGCTGAATCCTTCCGGCGACGGTGTCTTTCCCCCATGTCACAGACGACCCCTTCCCCGATCCCGAAGGACTCGTTATCCCACCCGAGTCACCCGAACCCACACCCGCTCAACTCGCCTCCCTCCGTGTAGGTGACGATGAAATCCTCGAAGAAAGCGGCGACGCCGAAGAACTGGACCAATCCCGCCGAGCGCGCGAAGCGCGTGCCCAAGCTCTAACCCTCGAAATGGTCGGTGACCTCCCCTTCGCGGACGTCGCACCCCCCGAGAACGTCCTCTTCGTATGCAAGCTCAACAACGTCACCAAATCCGAAGACCTCGAATTGATCTTCTCGAGGTTTGGGGAGATCTTGTCGTGCGAGATTATCAAGGATCCCAAGACGGGGGATTCGTTGCAGTATGCTTTCGTCGAGTTCAAGGAGAGGGAAGAGGCCGAGAGGGCGTATTTGAAGATGGATAACGTTTTGGTCGATGATCGCAGAATTCACGTTGATTTCTCGCAGGTCAGTGAGACTTGATCTGCCTGATGATTGGGAGGGAGGGGGCTGATTTGTTCTGGCGACGTCAATCTATGCAGTCGGTTTCGAAATTGCACAACTCGTGGGTGTTCAACAAGACCGGGGGACGACCACCACCCAACAAAGGTGGGCACAGAGGAGGAGGAGGAGGTGGTGGTGGGAATGCTGGTCGAGGAGGATATTCTCCTTCCTCATCATCGTATCGAGGCGAACCCTCTTCCGCGAGGGATTATTCGGAAACACCTCGATCTTCCCGAGGCGGCGGAGGTGGTGATCTCTTGTTCGACATGGCGGATGTGCATGATGATCGAGCGAGGAGGAGACCTCATTATGAGGACAGAGGTGGGAGAGGTGGGGGGGTTGAGAGACGGAGGGATGGCGATAGCGGCGGGTCATCGAGGAGGGAAGAAGGGAGGGAGTACAGGAGCATTGATCGACGGGACGATCGGAGGGGTGATAAACGGGATGATAGACGGGATGATAGACGGGATTATGGACGGGACGATCGGAGAGGAGGCGGAGGTGGTGGACACTATGGACCCTCAGGTAGACAGCGGTCGAGGAGTCCGAGGCGATGATGTGCATGAAGACTTGTGTGACTGAACCAGTGAATGAATCAGTCGCCCCAGTCAAAGTCAGGAAAAAGTGTGACATCGTATCTATTGCATAAACTTTCGACCTTAATGTCATCGTATCTATGGCATACACTTTCGACCTTAATCACAATCACATCGCATACTCCTTCATCTCCTCCGCATCCCAACTGACGAAATTCCCACTCCACTCCTTCGTCGCCTTGATCGCCAAACCGGCCAAAACAGCTCCCGGTTTCTCCGGTGGGACCAGCTCGCCCCTCTCGTGCAGACCCGTGAACTTGGAGAAATCCTTTGCACTCATGTGCTGTTCCCCTGTTGCGCGAAGTGAGGTTTGCATCTCCGTGTCGACGACGCCGGGGCGCACGGCGAGGGTCGAGATATTGGGTTCTTCGTTGCCTAGTGTGCGGGCGAGCGAGTTCATCGCTGCTTTAGAGGCACTGTAGGAAGGAACATCGGGCTTTTTCAGGAATGAACACCTTCGTATTCGGAGAGAGCGCTGGGCGTTGCGATCTCGACTGACGAATACGCCCCCCACCCCGCTACACCCCCGGTCGAAGCCCCACTGGAAACCATTACGATCCTACCGGAAATTTCCTCCCTTTCCTGAAGGTCCTTGTTCGCCCTCTCGTTCAAGAACGGTAGAGCATGGGAGATGATGGATACGAGGGAAAAGTAGTTGGTGTCGAAGAGGGCTTTGTGTTCAGCCAAGCGGTCCGTCATGGAGGATATTTTGCCGAGAGGGGATAGCGTGCCGGCGTTGACTGGGAATAAGAGTTAGAATGTGATGAATTGCGTCTACTATGGGCGGACAGGGAGGTGCAGAATCGATGAGTTGGACTAACGGATCAAGCCATCGAGACGGCTGTACATCTGCATCGCGACATCGACGGCGGCCTGCACAAGCGACGATGCGCAGCGGAGGCCCAAGCTTTCCGTCAGCTCAAAAATCAGTCATTCCATATGACGACAAGGCTCGCCTTGTTATCCTCATCCTTGGCGACATCGCCTTTGGAGATGACCAGTGAGCCCGAGTAGGTGTCGGCGAGCTTGACCAGTTCGGGCGTTTCCGACCGTTGCAACGCGACAACATTGTACCCTTTTTTGAGCAGAATTTCTCTGGGGACAATGCAGGGAGTTTTATTAGTCTTGCGTGCCTGTGTGAAGGTGAGTCCGACTGGGCTTACAAGGCAGCAAGTCCAAGGCCTTTGGAGCCACCTGCGAACGAGCATGATGACGATGTTGCGGTCGCAGGGTGAGCAACGTTCCGAATCAGAGAACCCGATCACGCAGAGTCGCACCAGTAAGGATGATCGTAGCAGCTGAACTCATGTCGCTTCACGGGGATGGCGGTATATTGTAAGAGGCAGGAAGCCACTCCCCATGGGAAACTGCGGCGCGACCCGGCCGAGGCGACCCCCACATAAATGACGTCCATCGTCCCGGTCTCACACAGCGCCTACAACGTTGGCCCGCCATAGCTCAGCTTTGGAGGTGGTGTTGTATTTGCTCCGTCAGAGGAAACCGCGGACAGGAGCTCCTGGACAGATCGGGATGGACGAAAAATATTTTCCCCTCGTCGCCGAGCGCGTCACGTTTTCTCTTGCCAATGCATACAGTGTGCCTTTCTTTTTGCTGCTCCTTCTTCACTGTGGTGACACTTGCTAGGTGAGGCCACGGGCACAACCAAAGTCCACTACCATTACCATGAACCACAAGTGCAAAGCGATCAGGTTGCAGATGATACCGTGAGGTGCAACTTCCTCGGAGCCGCCGTGCCCCGGCGGGCCGTGCTTGGGTTAAGTTTTGCGTCCATGAGGTAACGTACATGTGCTGGACACAGGTACCTTTTCGGAATTTAGGGACCGGGGGTTTGTTTGCTCTGCGGTTGAGAAACACGGACCATGCTTGCTTCAATGCAGGAAGCAGTTCCAACACAGTCGGCGCGTGTGCTCGGTTGAACCGGTTCACCGTCGTCCGCGACTCCGCTGTCGTGTCACGCGGTCCGTGCGACAAACGCGCTCATCCAAAGCGTTGCTCTTAGCTGGTGTGGTTCGCGGCGGCCCGGGGGCGGTTTACGTTGCCCATCCACGCTGCACGCGCTGTCGGACTCATTGTACCGCTTCTTTTTGCGTCCCGTTGCGTCACCTCAGCTGCGATCCCACCTTTGCAGCCACTTGTCGACGTGTTCCGAGGGCAGGTGCGACACTCTGTCCGGATCAAGCACTCGCGTGCGCCAACAAGTTCGTTCCAACAGGCGCAAGCCCTTGTCTCGCGCGACTGCGATTGCGACGACCACAGCCACGGCCTGCCACGGCCGCGCTGACGCTCAAGCTCGCGCTCGCTTCGACAACGTCTTGGGCCGCCGCTCTGGCATGTCGACGCTGACCGAGACGAGGATGAGCCACACCGCGCTCGACGAAGCGATCCTCAAGGGCGTCGGAGGATCGCAGGGACCGACCTACCGCAACGGCGTCGGGGTCGCGGCGAGCGGACTCTTTGGTCTCGGCAGCAAGCCGTTGCAGATCAAGGACTTGCTCGCGAACCCGGTCCGATTCCGCAAGCAAGCGGCCACCGTCGCCGCGTCATCGAACCCGGCCAACGAGATCCCGTACGAGCCCATCAACGATGACCAGGTCAGTATGCCTTCGAGAAGCGCTTCATGTTCAAGTTCTCCGTACTGAAGCTGTCTTTCCGGTCTTTGGTGTACACTGCGACTCTTAGCTCGGCTCGCAATTGAGCTCGACGAGTGCCGCCACAGCTGCGAATGCGAGTGCGGATGACGCGACAGCCGAGCCGCCGTCGCCGGAATTATCACGCACCGCATCGACGAGTCATCCAAAGCGCAGCGATGACGACGCTGACGAGGAAGAAACATCGAGCTCCTCACCTCGCAAGAAGAAGAGGAAAAAGGCCCTCGTAGACAAGACCGAGCCGACCGACCAAGTCGAAGCTGCGGCAGCGGTGGCCGGGAAGAAGAAGAATAGCAGTAGTACGGGTGTCAGTCCGCTGCAGTTTTTTCCGGCCATCTCGACCGAAGCAACCTGGTCCAAGTCCCTCAAAGTCGGGTGGGGCCTGCATAACCTCGGCAACACGTGCTTCCTCAACAGCGCGCTGCAGGTTCTGCTCCACACCCCACCCCTCGTCCGTCACCTCGAAGCCACGAATCACTCTACCTCCACCTGTGCGTTTTTTTTGGCTTGGTTCCTCTCCCCGTCATCATACGAGATTTCACATGCTCAAGTTTTCTGCTCGATCCCTTTGCCTCTGATTTTTTTCAGGCAAGTTTTTGGCAGCGAAAAAGTTTTGTATGACGTGCGCGCTGCAGAATGCGATCAAGATCTCGTTCTACGGGTCCAAGAGGTCGTACGCGCCTAACTTCATCGTCAACAACATGCGAAGTGAGTTGACCATGCCGTACTCACATGTCATCTGATACAGTGCCTGACGGACGTTCCCTTCCATGGTCATCTTTTACCAGAAATCGCATCGCACTTCCGTTCCGGGCGGCAAGAGGATGCGCACGAGTTTTTGCGCTTCTCGATCGACAACATGCAGCTCTCGGCATTGTTTGGGACCCCTTCGTGAGTCAACGAGATAGAGTGGGAATTAACCGTAGGAAGGCCCAAAATCTCATGCTCAAGCACCGCACGTTCCACTAACAGAACACTCGACGAGCGCGTCAAGGACTCGACTTTCGTCCACCAAATCTTTGGCGGGCGGCTGCGCTCGCGCGTCACGTGCGAAGCCTGTGGCCACGCCTCGGACACGTTCGATTCGGTCCTCGACCTCTCACTCGACGTCAATAAAACCACATCGGTCAAGGAGGCGCTCGATCGCTTCATCAAGACCGATTCCCTGCGCGGCGCGAACAAGTACAAATGCGAAAAGTGCAAGAAGCTCGTCAACGCCGAAAAGGGTTTCACGATAGACCGCGCGCCGATGGTGCTGATGATCCACCTTAAGCGCTTTACCGCCACGGGGCGCAAGATCGGCGATACGATCCGGTACCCTGATCAGTTGCAATTGGGGAACTATATGTCCGATGTGGGTGTCGTGCGCGCCAATGCCTTTGCGATCTGTACCGCAGTCGCTGATCTATATCTCTGTGTTCGCCTCCTGCAGCGCTCGACAAATCCGACCTATCGCTTATACGGCGTTATCAATCACTCGGGTGGAGGGCCACATTCGGGCCACTACACCGCCAACGTCAAGGCCGCGAACGGGACATGGTACGACATGAACGACGAAACCATTAGCTCGATGGGGTCCAGTCCGCCGCTGCATCGCCGACAAGCCTACATCCTCGCGTACTGCCGAGAAGGTACCGGACCGACTGAGCGGCTCTCTGCCTCTTCCTCAGTTCGCGCTTCTGCCCCGAACGGCGTCGCCTCGAAAAAGCCCGGGATGACCAATGGGGTCGGGTCGCCCGTCCGGCCCATGCAGAGCGAGGCGATCGCGAGGCCACGCGTGTTGAGCAACTCGGGACCTCGACCGCCGGTTGTGCAGACCGCCAAGAAGCCGTTGCTCGAGACCGTCCCTCCACCTCCATCTGCACCCCGTGGTATACCCTTCATCGACCCCTCGACCGCATCCCCTTCGTCGGAAGCACCCGAGGAGGAAGCACCAGAAGAGGATGAAGAAGACCCGATCGAGTCGGATTCCGAGGACACCAAGAAGGAGCAACGCAAGCCGCTTCGTGGCCCCAAGTACAACACGGGTGCACGACCCGGATCGGGTGTCTTTACGAACGGCCCCTCCCCCATGTCGGCGCCGAAGAACAAAAAGAAGGTCGAGGGCAAGCTCCAGATCAATGCGATGGGCACCTTCGGCAAGAGCAAAGGGCTCGTCAGCAAGATGAAGGGCAAGAGTGGCGCCGGGTTGATGTACGGCAGACCCAAGGTGTTGAGAGGGTGATATTTTGTGTGCCTAAATCGCGGAAGGAATCGTACAGCTGTGTTTCATTTGTTTGCAGCCCACCCCTTTTTTGTAGAACTAGTTGCGCGCAGGTCGTAATGTACACTTTTGTGCTGCCGCCGGGCGTGCATGAACACATTTCGGTTGTCTCTGATGGCATCGAGTACGTCACTCACCAGGCTCGTATCATTCCAAACTACTATGGTATATTCTAAGAAAGGAACTACTTGTACCTCGGCTTCTTCGCTAGCCTCCGCCTCTCCACCACCTCAGAGCGGCGTCCTCGCCCCCACTGACCAATTGTCCGCCACTCATCCCCGCTGCCGCTCCACCCAACCCTTCAGTGGCTTTCGAGACATCCTCGGGCATCCAATCCAAACTCCACACATCGGCCTGATGATCCCTCAGCGTGCCGACGGCCCCCGTCCCGCCGGCCAAATTCGCCAAATCCCAAAGCTTGATCGTCCCATCCGAACTACCCGAAGCCAAGAGACGATCGTTGCGCGCCGCACAACATGTAACCCAGCCTTCGTGACCACCAAGGGAAGCGACTTGACCTCGGCGGGAGAAGGTGGCGTTGGTGGCTGTTGGGGAGGCGAGGGAGCGGAGGTCAAAGATGTTGAGACGGTGGTCGTCTGAAGCGGAGATGAGGAGGGAACTGGTAAAGGTGATGCAGCGGATCGGCGAGGCGTGGGCTGTGGGAAATGTGCGCGTCAGCCTCGAGACCGGGGCGGAAAAAATCAAGCTTTCGCTTGAGGGCTGACCGGGGAAGGTGGCTACGAGCGAGCCTGTCTGAGCGTCAAAGAGGGTGATGTAGCCCGTCTCGGACCCGACTGCGAGGTATCGACCATCTTGGCTCTGCAGATCCCCCGAAAGTGTCAGATAGGGCCTCGTTTAACGAAATCTTGCCAGTTTTCCAACTGACGTATTGGATGGCGCTGCCAAAGGATCCCTGAGCGTCCATCTGCACCAACTCGGTACCAAAGTCGTCGATCGCGGCCGAGAGTATCCTCACTTTGCCTTCGTTGCCCGCCGTGGCGACGTTGGGCGCGGAAGGATGAATTGTGACTCCCCACGACTCGGCTGCAGAGAGTAGAGAGGAAGCCGGGTCAGCGGCAGTCGGGACTCTTACGAGTTCGGAAGAACACTGACCTGGACCCAGCTCTTTTCTCGCCTGTTGTTCACCATCCAGGGTCCATCGCGTGAGGACCGAGTCGAGGGTGTTGGTGATGAAGTAGGACGACGAGCGCCTGCGACTCGAGTCCCGTTCGACGTCGAGGCCGACGATGCCGAGCGACTGCTTGGGCTTGATGACGGTCGTCGGTTTCGCACCATTGGACGGGTTCCTGTAATTTGAAGAAGGGGTCTCGGTCAGCTAGGAGGCGCTGGATAACCTGGACTGCTGGCCAATGATGACGTTGACGAGGAAGCTGGAACTGACCAAGTTCGAATCTCGTGGTCCGCTCCAGCGGTGATGACGAGCGACTCGCCACTTTCCAGTCGAGCCCACTTGGTGCACCAGATGGCATCCGAGTGGCCCTTGTCCTCGGCCGAGGTGTCGCTGTCGAGATTGGGAGTCGGGGTCGAGGGCAGAGAGCGGTACGGCTCCTTCGCAGCCGCCGAGACGTGCGCGAGGAGGTAAGTTGCCGACTGTGGAAGATGACTGGGTCAGCGATCTGTGCTCTTCTCGATAGAACTGGTTGAACTGACTAACCATCGCGGGTGACGAGCGAGCGAGCGGGCGAACGAACGAAAGAGAACCGGCGCGTGACGTCGGACAAGTCAGGCCGTTGACGCGTTGACGATCCAGTCGCCCAAGTCAAGGCAGCCCAAGTTCCAAGTCGGTGCGACCGGTTTGCAGTGCCAGGCACCCGGTATCCAAGCCGTAAGAACCGGTCTGATCGTGTTATATCTTGGAGCAGAGACGCCTTGATGAACTTTCAACAAAGATCCATTTCTCCATTGGTTCCCCCAGATTGACGTGGCTTTCCGAATCATCGGCGAAAATTGCCGCTGAATATTCGACATTCGCTCGAGCCGGGAAGCTAGGCATGTTGTTAAAGTGCTTGGGTCTTGTCACAGGGTGAGCGGATCAACTGGGTCCACAAGGGAAACCCCATCCCAGACACGACCGAGCTTGGAGGCTCTGCAGTGGGCGATCGAAGGCGATCGAGCTGCGACCTGCTGCGACTGTCCTCGGAACTTGGTTCCCTTTCCCTTTGTGGTTTCGTCCGCTCTCACACCAGGGTTCCGCTATCGTCGCGGGCTTGCCCTCTCGCCTCCCCATCCGGCTCTCACACTGCAAGCCATGAGCTTCCGTAGCAACACGAGCTCGGTGCCATGCAAGTACTACCCGCTGGGGCAATGTCGCAACGGCAACAACTGTCGCTTCTCCCACGCGAATCCGTCCTCGACGAGCAATGCCGCCCCTTCCAACCCTGGGTTCACGTCAGTATACTGAAACCACCCTTAGGGTTAGAAACATTCGCTTCGCTTGTGCGCTGAACGCCGAATCGTGTGTGTGTCCCCCCACAGCTCCGAGTCGATCAAGATCGACTTGACGACTGACCGACCTTCCTACGCGCTGTCCTCGTATGGGCCGGGCAAGACCGGCAACCTCATCAAGGACCAGGACCTCTCCCCCGAAGAGTTGAGGCTGTCGTACTACAATGCCGTCAAGGCCAACAACCCGTCGCTCTACGTGAGTATGCCCGCTGGCGAATGCCTCAACTCTTGTCGTCGGTGAGGCGACTTGCCGTCGTTTAAAATTCACTGATCATAGCATTCAACGTCTTCCCAACAGCCCGAAGAAGTTCTCGTCAACAAGGCCGAACAGACCGTCAAGTCCATTCTGGCAGATCTACCCGTGGCGTATCGTTTCATGGCGGCGCAGCAATCCTCGGGGACGACCTCTTCCACAACGACATCGACAACGGGGGTCTTTGGAGGTGCCGCACCGACGACTTCGGCCTTCGGTGCGTTTGGCTCGGCACCGCAGGCGACGTCGGTCTTTGGTGCAACCGGAGGAGCTTCAACGACACCGAACCCGTTCGGTGGAGCCTCGACCTCGAACGCCGTCGGCGCCGCCCCGTCGAGCGCTTTCGGATCGACCGCTTTCGGTGGCGCGCCCGCGACCACGTCCGTTTTTGGCTCGGGAGGCGCTTTTGGGTCGACGAAAAAGACTTTGAATCCGTTTGGTGGCACGGGAATGGGGACGAGTGCGTTTGGGGCAGCAGGTGGGGCACCGTCGGTGTTCGGATCGACGACGACGGGCGGCGGCGCTTTTGGAGCAGCGGCCTCGACGGCCGGCGGCGGTGGCTTTGGCGCCTTCTCCAACTCAACGTCCACACCTTCGGTCTTTGGATCGAAACCCGCCCCCTCGGCATTTGGAGGGACAACCTCCGCTTTCGGTGCAACAGGGACGGCGCCGTCGGCGTTTGGTGCTGGCGGTTCAGCCCCATCAGCGTTCGGAGCCGGTGGATCCGCCCCTTCCGCTTTCGGTACGGGCGGATCCGCACCGGCGTTTGGATCGACCGGTTTTGGTTCTGCCACTGCGTCGGCTTCACCGTTTGGTACACCCGGACCTGGAGTCACCGCAGCGCCACCAACGACGACCCCTTCTGCGTTCGGAGCCGCAGGGGGAGCCCCCGTCTCGGCATTCGGTACGAGCGGCAGTGCGCCGACCTCGGCATTCGGCGCCTTTGGATCGGGACCGACTTCGACAGCAGGGGCGTTCGGATCGACTGGTTTGGGGTCGGCAGCCGCACCATCGAGCGCTTTCGGTTCCTCCGCATCAGGGGTGTTTGGAAGCGGTTCATCAACGACGGCCGCTCCGGCTTTTGGGTCGAGTGGGTTCGGTGGGACTTCGACGACACCCGTCAGTGCGTTCGGGGCACCTGCGAAGACGACAACGACGTCGAGTGGGTTCGGAACCTCGGGTGGAGCACCTTCGGCATTCGGAAGTGGGGGCAGTGCGTTCGGTGCAGAGGGGAGCGCGGGTACTGCGGCGGGTGGAGGAGGGTTTGGTGCTTTTGCGGCATCGACACCTTCGGCTTTCAATGCCGGCGGAGGAGTGTTTGGTGCTGCTGCTGCTACTCCTGCCGCACCCTCGTCGGGAGGGTTCTCTACCTTTGGGTCCGCACCTTCGAGCACTACGGGTGGTGGATTCGGCTCTTTCGCCGCCGCCGCCACCTCCCGGACTGGAGCAGCATCGTCGTACCCCGTCGTTCCGGACGCGTACGACGACTTGGAACCTAGCGAAGCTCGAGAGGAGGAAGAAATGGTCCTATGGAGGAGCGACAAGTTTGTATGGGGTGGTATCCCCGTTCGTGCACCTCCTGTGGGGGTACGGTGAGAGAAATAAAGTAGAAGGTTGAGTAGTCGGTTTCTCATTTGTTGTCGTTACATGTTGTCAAATTACTCGCATGATTCGCTACACATCATTCACTCTCGCTTTCCATCTCCATCGAGCGTTCACTCAGCTCTTCCTCTTCTTCCACCACAGCCTCCGAAGGTGGTTGACAAGGCATCGTCGCTTTGCCCACTTGTACGCAAGGTGTCGGTACGGAAGTCCAAGGCGTGGGATGAGCCAGGTAGAGGTCTGGTCTATGGATCTCGAGGTTCGAGATATCCGTTTGTCGTGAAGGGTAATGAACGAGTTTAATCGTTCGGTAGATAGGCAACTCGATTGTGGGTGGGGGTAGAGGTGGAGGAGGACCCGGGGGGAGAGGTGGAGGGGCGTTCGGTGGTAGAGGGGGTGGAGTGGAGGTGGGTAAGGGGGGAGGAGGCTCGCTGGGAGGTGATGGTTTTGACGATGATTGCGCATCCAGCGGTGGAGAAGACGATGCTCCTTCGTCATATACTCGGAGCGCTTCGACCTCTTCCCAATCCAAAAAATCTCGCCCTTGGATCCTCTGCCGCACGACGTGAAGCAGTTCTTGCAGACCTGTGCGCAGAGCTCATACTCAGTATCGGCTTTCAAAAGGGCCGTCGCACTGAAAGAAGACAAAGCAAACCGACCTGTCTCTGCATCGACCATCCCCCCTTGATCTTGCCTTACGGTGCGCGTCCACCCAGAAGGGTACCCCCATTCTCTGAACTTGTCGAACCAAGGCCATTCCCCTTGCGACCCTGTAATCCCTAACGCACCCTCCAATTCCGGCCCTACGACACCGGGTCGTAATCTCTCCAAAAAACCCAGTCGTCGCGCTACATCTTCTTCTCGAGCCTTGTTCGACGTGGAGGAACCGAGGGTCAAACCTGGACCGGCATGGATCGGATACTCGGCTTGGAACTCGCGACGGTTGTGGGCGATGACGGAGCGGTCGATGCGGAAGGGACAGTCGTGGAGGAGGTGGGTACCGAGGCAGTTGAAGCACCGTCGGACGTCCTCGATAGGCTTACGATGCTGGGATCCCTCTGATTCGTTCGAGGGGGATGCCTCGACGCCGAGTACGGGCAAGGTCGTCAGCTCGTCAAAGGACGAATAGTCGTACGAGATCGTCGTCGTCGGGAACTCGACGGGTTCGGTCGGGGACGGCGCCGACCAGACGACAAAGGGCAGTTCGGAGAAGGGGAAGCGTTCGGATTCGGGTGAAGGTTCGGGTGAGGCTCGATGCTGTTTGGTCGTCTCGGGTGGGGATGCTGAGCAGCTGCGAGCTCTTTTCAACCCTGTGCGGTGTGGGGGGTCAGTCGGAAGAAAGGAAGAAATCTCTTCTCGTCAGAGAGCCGAGTCACTCGCCTCTTTTGCGTTCAATTGTTGGGTCCATTTCTTGACCAATTCGACCAGCTTGTCGTGGTCGATGCGATGCTTCATCACTCGCCCGCCTTTGAACAACCTTCCACCCCCTGTCCTGCCGGCCAAATCGTCAAAGCCACCGTCGTGGGCGGTCAGATGCAAAACGGGTACGTCGTACTGGTACAACCTCCTCCACGCCGTGCGTTCGATCTGTTGGTCGAGCGTGTCGGACGCGGTCTTGCGGATGTCGTACACACGCAGATGGAAGGGGGACTGCGACTGCGCTTCGGCCAGGACGTCTTTGGCGACCGTGCACAGCGTGCACTGCGGTCCCGAGGTGAAGAGCGTCAGGTGGGGTAGCTTCGGGGGCATGAGATGGAAGGCTCAGGGGTGGTGCACGTGAGCCATGGCGATGAGGGAGAAGCGAGAGCGCGGAGGGCAGAGGACGTCGTAACCAGTTCCATTTTTCGAATTGGCGCACGGATTACTAATGCGGGATTACCAGGGATTACCCCTGATTACCCGGCCGAGAGCACATCGCACAGGGCGCACCGATCGCACGTGGCTCACTCAGGCTATTACTAGTCTGTCTCTGCCCACTGCACCGATCATCGCCATGTCAGGTCTCTCGCTATGGCTATCCCCACCCGCAGCGTCCCCCCTCGGCGACTTGATCACCTCGCTCTCGGACCGGTACGAGACCGTGCCCTTCAAGGCGCACGCGACGCTCGTGTCGGATGCGCTCGTGCCCGGGCTGCCCGTCGCCGAGCTGGTGAAGAGGATAGGAGAAGCGATCGCGAGGTGGAAGGGTGATCGCGCGATCCAAGCACGCGCGTTGGAGCTCAGGTTTTCGGATGTCCGGCAGGGTCAGTTGAGCGCACTCCTAGTCCTCAGAGCGGCGTGTTCGACGATTCGTCTGTTCCACGTCGCCCCGCGAGAAGACGTGCAAGTGGGGCCCCAAATCTTGTCGCGCACGAAGCTGGCTGGCGAGCACTCCACTAGGGCGCAGCTTGACCGCTCACCCCTACGCTGATTGTGACTTTTACAGGCGACCTCTTTTACCAGTGCGTGCTCGCCGCCCTCGTTCCGGACGCGCACCTGGTCGCGCTGCACGAAACGCTGCTCTCGTCCTTCTCCGTCCCGATCCCGTCCCCACCGACCTACTTTCCCCATCTATCCCTCGTCTACGGCGATCTATCACCCCAGACCAAAGAAGGAATCATACAAGGGATGAAGGAAAGGAAACAAGTCCAGCAAAAAGCGAATGGGGAATGTCGAGTCGCGGGAGAGAAGGGTTTCAAGGCCGAGGAGGTGTTGCTCGTGAGAACGAGCGGGAGTACGGATCAATGGGAGATATTGGCTAGAGTTCCTCTTTGATTGGCTGTAGAGGTGAACTTCTTTCCTGAGAAGAGTTTGCGTAAAGATGACCGAGAGGTGCCGGGCCCTTTGCGAGAAACGTCGAAAATTCGTGGCCGGCTCAGGCTCGAGAGCTTAAAAGAGGGCCTAAAGATCTCGGGCATGTTCGCTGACGCCTCGCCGGCTCTCGCTCTCTATCCGACTCGACACTCGTACCACACCGTACCGCACCCACTGCCCAGGCTTTTTGAGCCCCAGATCTCAGCTTGACACCACTACCACGCGGCGATACCTCGTCTGACCGACAGCTTCAGTGCCCGCCTCGTGGAGTCGCTCCTCGCGCGTCGCCTGCCTCCGACACGATGGACGATAATCCATGGGGTGCCCCTACGCCTACGACACCTTCACCACGACCGAACCAATCCGACGTAGATCCGATACGGTCGCTTCGGTTGAGCGTAGGGGGAGGGGGTGCGTCGAATGAGAACGAGAACGAGAACGAGAACGAGAACGAGCCTTCGACGATCAGTAGCGCAGGCTGGGACGCGTCGGAACGGTCGACTGGGGTGGTGGGCAGGGAACACGTGCAACAGGAGAAGGAACGGACCGAAGGGGACGTCGAGGAGAAGGTCGAGCATGAGCAGGCTGGGGAACAAGCCACACCACCAGCGCCCACAGAGCCAGAGACGAGCTCAACCCGGGACCGCGAATCAGAGCCGCCAGCCCACGAAGACGACGAGGACAGCGAAGGCTACTCGTCGCCACCACCAGCGATGGTCAGAAGTGCTTCGAGTCCGCTGGCTGTACCGCCGATGGAGGAAGGTCCACCGATGGACGATTTCGATGACGACGAATCCGGCCCCACCCCCATTGTTCCCGAAGCAGGCGACTACGACGAGGACGACTTTGACGATTTCGGCGAGGCCGCAGAGCCAGGTGGTGGGGCCGACGACGCCGACTTTGGCGACTTTGGTCATTTCGGCGACACTCACGAAGGCGACGTGGATGGCTTCGAAGGCTTTGACGAGCAGCGGTCGCCTGTGCTGCGACCGAGTGCTCCTCCCATCGCTTCGTCGTCGTTTGCCGCGTTTCAGTCGACCGGTCATCCGCCCTTGTTGCTCGAGCTGACGAACCCGTCCAAGGCGGCGATTGCGGAGCAGCTGCACGACTTTTTCGAAGGCGTGTACCCCGGTGCGAGAGGTATGGTCTCGGACGAACCCGAGCGCCAGGTCGAAGGCGTCGGCCAGGTCTTGGCTTCCGAATCGACGTGAGTAGTTTGTACTTTGGCCGGCGGATGCTGTGCTGATTTGCTGCTTTGAGGAGGCACAGACGGACACTGCTAGCGGGTTTGTCGTCGTTGCCGGCGCTCAAGCCGCTTGACTGGCGGCGGTCTCGCATTCGGAGGGAGCACCTGATCACACTCGGTGTGCCCATCAACCTCGACGATGTGCGTTGGGTCAGGCATCCTCCATTTCATATGCCCCTTGTTGAGACATTATTTCTTCTACAGACCGCACCCGTCAAGCAGCTCGCGTCGCTGACGCTGCCCCCTCAGCGCTCCCACTCGCCCCACGCGACCCGATCGCCGACGAGCGCGCTCGCGGCCGGCGGATCCATCTCTCGCTCGACGACACCCTTTGCCGATCGAGAACGCGCCCGAGCGCTGCACCAGGTCCCCATCCTCGATCGAAAATTGGCTGACTCGCTCTTGGCCTTGCGGGAGCACGACCTCGTCGGGCTCGGTCTCGCGGATCTGCAGCGCAAGGTTGCGGAAATGGATCGTGTCACCGAGGAGGCGAGCGCGGCATTGACGCATGCGCTCGTGACGCGGGACAAGGAGAGCGGCGATGCCGAGACGTACAATGGTATGATCCAGGATCTCGTTGCCGCTGCGGCCAAGACCAAGACGACGTCGGCGGCTGGGGGGAGGAGTTCACCGGCGTTGAGGACCGCATCGGGGGGGAGATGGGGTAGGAGTGTGGTCAAGTAGGCCTCGTAGAGAGATTGTGTTTTGGAAGAAGTGGCGTCTGAAGAATGGTGATACTAAGGACAGACGAAGAAACGCACCGCGACGTTGATGAGAGCAGATCAGCTGAGGCTGACCGCGACTGTGATCTCGCTTGGCAAGTGAAACTCCTTCATCTGTGCTTCATGTGTGGATCCTACCGGCATACCAACTTTACCTGAGGTGGCGGCCGTCTTGATGCGATGGATACGTTCTCTTTCTACAGAGGGCCACGGAGTTTTATCGTTGTTCTGACTTCAGGTCAACGAGATCCTCGGCACAAGCTCCTATCTTTTGAAATGACTGGTAGGTGTCTGCGACCGGCTATTCGTATCGTAGTAAGGGAGAATTCAACATTTATGCATCTTCGGCAACCGCGACATCTCCGTTCGTTTTGATTGCGCACCTTGGAAGTCGCGATATGCAGTAGTGTGACGAGTCGAATCCCTTCGGACGACTAGAGATTCCCATCAAAGCTCATCCCGAGGCCCTGAACCTCTGGTAGGAAACCCGTCATAGCTTCCTGCCACCTTCGAGCCCTGCACGTGATCCCGAGCTGGGCGGCAACATCGCCAAGCGCAGCGCAGCGCCTAGGAATTCCACGCCGAAGGGTTGGGCATGTGGGGGGGCATTCTCGCGTAGGGAATCAAAGCAGCCGCTAGCCGCTGCTGGCGCCGCACGCGTGTATTCTTGCACACTCGGCCCGGCATGCCTGGCTCAAAACCCAAAAAAAAACCGGTGGATGCAAAAAAAGAATCTCCCCCGCCGGGAATCGAACCCGGATCGCCGCGGTGAAAACGCGAAAGGCTAACCGTTGTCCCACGAAGGATTTGCAAGCCATTAAGGTGTCGCGGCCGCAAAGACCCATAAGTATCTAAAACACAAAATTTTGTCAGCCAAGCTCGTCAGGAACTTCACCCCGACTCGGAGTCTGCAGTTTCATCAAAAGCACGACGACTCGCCCGCGTGCCTCGTCTGTGGAGCGCCCAAGGACGATCGGGAGCACTACTTCTTCGACTGCGTTGACTCTAGGAACGTTTGGATCGCGGCAAGGGGCGTGCTCTGCGACGCACTGGGGCTCGACACGATCGACAACACGCATTACACGGCCGTTCAACGCATGTTCGGACTTCCGAAGCTCAAGGCCAGTCTGCGCGATCAGGAAGGAGCGGGGAGGACGATCGAAATATTGACCGGGCTGGTCTTGGAGATGATCAGCAGCGGGAGGTGGGGGATGCAGAAGTGGGGGACGAGGCTGGAGGGTGTTGGGAGGAGGAGGATCATCTTGGAGGAGAGGTTGAAGCTGAGGGCGGGAGGAGCTTGGGGGAGGAGAGGGCAGTAGAGGCTGGGTTCGACTTTCCCCCCACCACCACACACACACACACCAAATTCTCGTGACATCATTTTCTCCTACTGTACACTAAATAGCTCGCTTTCCTCTTTCTTTTGTTACAGGTTCACCGTTGCGGATCATGGACCATCTCGCGATTTGGCGTCGACTCGGTGTGGCTCGCGCTCTTCGGCTTCGGGGTTCTGAGTCAAGGGAGGGATCAGCGGACACAGGCAGAAAGTCGGCTTTGAGGGGCCAGGGACTGCCGAGGGGGAGGTTTTGAGGGACCTTCACCGCGTCTTGTTGTGACTGAGCAGAGACTTGGAGCGTCGAGGGTCGTGGTGGTTGCGCAGTCGTGCTCTTGTCTTCGTCTCGACCGAGTGGGAAGTGGCTGTGGGGTGGGCCTTCTGTCGTTAGTACATTTCTTTTCTTTCTCTTTCTCTTTCTCTTCATCTCTCTTTCTCTCTCTCATTCGTCTCCTGGGGGGGAGCAACCGCTTGGCTAGGGCATTTGAATCCGAATCTCGGATTGGTGGACTTGGCTCGTTTCTCGCACTTTTGCGGGCGGTTTGTGTTATCATCGTAGTCTTCCATCTAGTTTTTCCGTAGGCCGAAACAGGGGGAACAGGAATTGGGGGCAATATGATGAACGTTTTCTACAAAAAAAAAGCCACTTCACTTCACTTCACTTCACTTCACTTCACTTCACTTCACTTCACTTCACTATCGCCCTACTGCAGCCTTCGATACTCGAGTTAACAAGTGATACACCGACAAGATGTCTACCGGAGACCCTGGGTCCCCACTGCCGGCACCGCCACCACCGGTATCCGCCACCAGCGTCCAGCCCCCCCGCGACCGGATCCCGATAAGCTCGAAGAAGACGCAAGTCACGGGCCCCGCCACCGCCGCACCCAACTATGCTGCCGCTGCGAGTCAGATGGCGGCTCAAACACCTGAACAACAGCAACAACAACAACAGCGTGCCAAGGCTCTGGGCAGCCTCCTACAAGCCATGGGTGCTGTACCCGGAAACCGCATGGATCGCTGGGTCCAGGCCATCTACTTCGCCGAACTCTACCCCGTCGCCACCGCCACATCGCTGAAATTTTCGGCCTTGAACGCGAACCGGTCCGTCGAGAACATCTTCGATTACGCCCTTGAAGTGACTCTGTCTCACCAGAGCGCCTCGCGAGCGACTCATGCCGACAAGATCGATCTCGTGGCCTGCGTCACGAGGCTGCTATCGCCCATCTCTCCTATCTGCTTTGAGCCTGGAGTTCCTCTGCCGGACCATCTTGCGGCTTATCAACCACAGATCTTAGGCGTACAACATTCATCAATCCTGCGTAATGGGGCGGCTCACCATCGCGTTACGGTTGGGTTCGTCACCGGCGAGGCACGTGACGCGGCGCTCACGACGCCCCCCGCTCTCACTTGGCGATCGGCGAAGGCCCGCTTCGCGAAGTCTCACAGGTTCCACCATAACATGGTCGAGCTTCGAATCAACGTCGGTGTTCAAGGAGTGCCCTCCATGGATGCCATCATCAAATCGTTCCAATCACTTGTGCAAGACCTGTCAGGCAAGGGACATTCATGCCAACTTGTGCAGGTTCTGCGCGTTATCAGCGTGGACAACGCCTCGGCCTTCGCCCACGTTGCCGGAGACTACTCGGCTTTCCTACACTTCGATGACGACTCCCTATTCCAACGCCCCAACACGACCTTGAAGGAGATTCTACCTTCGAGGATCGACCTTCCCACTCGAGGCATCCCGGTTACCGCCCTTCGCCATGACTATGAGAAGGAGGCGGCTTGCGGTAGGTGCCACTTTGTGGGTCACGTGGGAACCTGCGGACTGGATCAGGAGAGGAAGCGGAAGGAGGCTCACAACGGCATCATCAACAGCAACAAAAACACCATCACCCACAACACCAACATCGCGGAGGCCGAGGCCCCCATTCCTGTGCTGGTTGTTAACAGGATCGCATCACAGAATCACTTCGCCGGGCTCGAGGTCGAGGAGGGACAGGAGGAAGAGGTAACTGGCCAGGGCGAACAGGGACCGGAGGAATCGGGGGAGGAAGACGCTGGTGATAAGGCGGATGACGAGGACTCGGAGGACTCGGAGATGGAATCGGAGGCGGCCGCGAAAACGGAGGTCATCAAAATTGAAAGCGAGGACGAGTCGGTCTTGGAGGACTGCAGCGGATCCGATGGAGAGGTGATTGATGAGAATGAGGTGATGGCGGATGAAAGAGGTGAAACGGAAGGAGAGGTGGCTACGGAGATGGAGGAAGAGGAGGTGGCGACGGAGGTGGGCGATGTGGACGAAGCGAGGGGATCGACGAAAGCGGAGAATGCGGAAGCGACGGACTTAGGGGAAACGAACAGGCTGGACAATGACGACGACAGCGACGCCACAGCAACCGCCGCCACCGCTTCCCGCGAATCGACGCCGCATGAACCAACCCCACCTCTGTCACCCGAAACTCTCGCCAAGTCGCTACGCGAGGGGGAGGAGTGGGACAGGATCAGAGCTAACTGGGTTGAGCAGGCACGACTTGAGCGGGACCAAAGCATCGAGAGGAGGCTCAACGCTGAAACCCCCCCTCTGGTGCGTCACAACTTTGCCACGTGGGACGAGGACGGTGAGATACGCTCCATCAACATCAGGGGGACCGCTGCGAAGTTCAAGAAGCAGGTGATGAAGAGGTCGCAGACTGCGGCGGACCTCAGTGACCCAAGTGACGAACCGACCGACGCCAAGCGAGTCATCATCAAAGGGAAGAGCCGCGTCGTGGTGAAGGATGGAATAGAGGGGCGGAGGGTGACGAGGTCGATGTCGGCGGCAGCGGCGATGCAGGTCGAGGTGACGAAGGTGGACAGAGGGAAAGGAAGAGGGGTAGCTGAGGAAAAACGATGGTCCGACCACGAGCCCGAGGACGATGTCCTGCCCGCCCTTCCCCTCTTTGAGGACGTCACCACCGCCAAGAGCGCCTCGACCTCGACTACCCATTAATGATCAAGCACACCATCATCACCTGGAACGTAAGAAGGGGCATGGGGGTCCCGGAAAAACGACGTAATATCTACACCTACCTTTCCACATTCAAAGCTTCCGCGATTCTCTTACAAGAGCATTTCATCAGACCACAATTCTGGCAGCTCATCAAGGACGAGTACGAGGGCAAGCTCTTCATCAACCAGCACTGCCTGACCCTGATCCCGGCCGACTCGCCCCTGATCGACGCCGAGCTCTTGCGCACCCACTCGGCACTCGACGGCCGGCTCCTCGTCACCTCCTTTCGTCTGCGGGGCGACATCAAAATTCTAGAAATCAATAACCTCTACGCGCCCGTTGACCCAAAACAACGAGCAAAATTCTTCGACAAACTGATCCTCCACAAAACACAGAAATCCCACCTCCGACTCCTTGGCGGCGATCTCAACGACTGCCCGCGCCCAGAAGTCGATCGGCGGAACCAAAGTCGGCGCGGCCACCACTGGCCGATTCTGATGGGCAAGCTCGACTCGGCCTACACGGACTGCATCCGCTACAAGCACCCCATCACCCCATCTTTCACTCGACCTAATCCCAATCGCAAGCGACCCAACTCCTTCTCCCGGCTTGACTACTTTCTCCTACAAAGAGCTCACCAAAAAAGGCTCGACCAGGCCTCGACGATCTACGACTATCCCAAGGATCTTTCCGATCACCGACCGGTCTTGATCGTACTAGCTCTCTCAGACGATCTTGATGCGGCTCTCCCACAGCTCAGCCTACCTACCACATCCGACCAACTACATCGAATCAATACCACAACCTTCAAGACGGTGGAATTTCAGCGGATGATGGAAGGATGGTTGGAAGGGGCAAGCGGGGAGGATCCGGTGCGAGAGCTTGAGGAGGTTCTGGAGGCGTGCAGGGACAGGGGTGGGGAGATGGCGAGGAGGCTGCATCGGGAGCGGACGGAACGGATGGAGTATTTGGTGGGGAGGGTGCAGGATCTGGAGGCGTTACCGGTATGGGGGGAGGCGGAAACGGCAGAATGGACAAGGACGTCCGAGGAACTCAAGCGGGCGGTCGAGGAGCGCGCGCGCCTACTCCGGATCCGAGCCCACGTCCCCGAGATCGCTTCCGAGGAACGACTGTCGCGGCCGGTCCACGCCAAGCTCGCGGCGCGGAACTCGGACTCCAAGATCACAGCACTGCGCTTGGGCAACGGAGAGCTAACGCATGACATTGATGTCGCTCTTGACCACACGCAGGCGCATTTCCAGCGCCTCTACCACATCGAGCCTCGTGATCCGGAACGCGTCGACCGACTTCGGGACGAACTCCTCGTGCCGATCAGGGCGGCACGGACTTGCGACGACCCGCGCTCAGATCCGCTCTTTCTGCGCCGACTCTCGGAAGCGCAGATTGATCTCCTCCAGCAACCCATCACCGAGGACGAGGTCGTGGCCGCGATCGGGACGACGCACCCGGGGCGATCGCCGGGCCCGTCGGGCGTGCCTTACGAACTCTATCAGACCGCACCGGAGGCGTGGTCCAAGGTGCTGACCAAGGCCTACAACGCGATGATCGAGCGCGGTTCACTCTCTCCCAAGCAGGGCCAGGGACTCGTGCGCCTCATCTTCAAGCGCCACAAGAAGAATGCCGATCGCGCCGAACTCTCGTCGTATCGCCCCATCACCCTGCGCGAGTGCGATTACAAGATTTTTACCAAGGTCTACGTCGCCCGATTGAACCAAATTCTGCCCGATCTCCTCCCGCCGCAGCAGCACGGCTTCGTCAAGGACCGCCGATCGGCCGACGCTGCACTACACCTTCGTCTCCTGATCGAGGAACTTGGCGCGCGCAGGACCGAGTTCCCCGCGGCCGCGCTCTTGTCTCTTGACCAATCATCCGCCTACGACCTCGTCGAGCATGACTGGATCTTTGCCATCTTCGACGCTCTGGGCGCTCCTACCACCTTTCTTCGCGTGCTGAGGATGCTCTACTCGGGTGACTCGACCTCGGCGCGCTACATCATCAATGGGTTCCTGACGGCGCCGGTGCGACTGACGTGTGGGCTCGGCCAAGGGGACCCGGCGTCATCGTCGGTCTGGGACATCGTGTTTCAGCCGTTCCTGGATGCTCTACACCGTCGAAACATCGCGCTGAATCTCTCCATACCTGCACTTCATCCGTACCCACAGAGCCGCGCCATTACATCACTTGCATTTGCCGATGACGTTGTCGTCGCCGTCGCGGGCTTGGAGTCACTCAACTTGCTCGATGACCTGGCGCTCGACTGGAGGCATGCAACGAATGGCCGGCTCAACACGGACAAGACGGTCGTCCTACCGATTGGACGTCGCTGGGACCCTGGGGAACGGCCAATCGTCGTCAAGGCCGCAGGCGAGTCGCTCGAGTGGATCGGCCTCCCCTTCGACCCCAGCGGCGACACCGAACTCGCCTACGCGAATCTCATCGAACGGCTCGAGGCGACGCTGGAAGCGGTTCAGCATCGCTGGCTCACGCACCACACCCGTGCCTTTTACGTCAATCGGTACGCCATTCCCAAGATCCTGCATTTCCTTGCAGCCGACATCCCGCCGCCCGAAGTCGTCAAGAAGCTCGATGACATGCTCGTCGATTTCGTCCGTGGGGGCAAGGGCAGGACCAGCTACGGCAGAGACATTGTGTTCACCGCCAAGAACAAGGGGGGACTCGGGGTGATAAGGATGCGGGACGTTGTGGACGCGGTTGCGGCACGGCTCTGGGACGTTCTTCTCGGCGGTTCCGGCGCGATTTGGCAAGGACTTGCGCGCGCATCACTCCAGCGAGCTCAGCCCGACCTCGACCTGGCCACCGATCTCTGGCCACATCCATCTACTCCCATCCCCAACGACCTTCATCCCCGATGGCACGCCGCACTGGGCGTTCCGAAACTTCACGACGCGCAGGTCAACCCGAGGGCCTTGACCACCGCGAACTTGCTCGCGCTGCCCACCCTGCTCGGCAGCCTCCACACCCCCATCAGAGGGAGACAGACCATCGACGCGGTTCATGTACCTGACTACCTTCGTCTCCAGGGCTACCCGAAGGTGGCGGATCTCTATCGACGCGAGTTGTATGCGGGTGGGGGGTTTCACCTCTGGACGCCGCCGGCGGATGTGCTCGGCGACAACAGCGAGTACGATCGACGCGGGCTCCCGCAGCGACTGGCAATCGCGGCCTGGTACCGGTTCACTGTCGATCGACACAAGAACACCCCCTTGGCGGCGGCGGTGGCGGCGGGACGACTCAACGTGCCTCCCCGGATCGGCACCAGCGCACCGCTCGAGGCGATCATCCCCAAGCCCGTGGCCCGCTTCGCAATGGAGCAGCGCCTTCCGGACCCGGTGCTTCCACAACAGGCGAGCCAGTATACGCTGCTGAACATGGCTCGCCCCTACACAGTCCGTCGCATCCGCCGGGTCCTGAACGCGAAGGCATTTACCAACATGCTCGGGCTCAAGGGACCACCGCAGCCGGACGACCTCAGGAGCTTCTGGAAGGCAGTCAACTCGAAGGCACTGACAGCGAGGGAGAGGGAAGTTTGGTTCAAGCTGATCCTCCGCTTCACCCCGACGCGCAAGCTCCAGCACGAGCAAAAGCACGACACTTCTCCCGCGTGCCTCGTCTGCGAAGCGCCGGTGGACGACACCGATCACTACTTCTTCGGCTGCTTCGACTCGCGAAACGTCTGGATCGCGGCGAGGGGCGTGCTCTGCGACGCGCTCGGATGCGACACGATCGAGGACGCCGAGTACACGACGCTTCAACGACTCTTTGGCCTCCCCAAGCTCAAGGCCAAGCTCAGCGCACAGGAAGGCGCGGGCAGGACGATCGAGATCTTCACGGGGATGGTTTTGGAGATGATCAGCAGTGGGAGATGGAGGATGCAGAAGCACGGGACGAGGATGGAAAGCGTGGAGAGGAGGAGGGTGGTACTGGAGGAGAGGATGAAGTTGAGGGCGGGAGGAGCAAGAGGCAGGCGAGGGCAGTAGAGGCTAGGTTCGATTTCCCCCCACCCCATCCCACACTCACACACCCCACATCACACATCCTCTTACAAAAACTGTATACTAAATATATTTTCTTCATCTTTCTTTCTTTTATTACAGGTCTGCCTCCGTTGCTCATGGACCGGCTCGCGATTTGGGATTGACTCGACGGTGGCTCGCGCTCTCTGGCTTCGGGGTTCTGAGTGTAAGGGAGGGATCAGCAGACACAGGCAGAAAGTCGGCTTTGAGGGGCCAGGGACTGCTGAGGTGGAGGTTTTGAGGGGCCTCCACCGCGTCTTGTTGTGACCGAGCATAGACTTGGGATTTCGCGGGTCAGGGTAGCTGCGCAGTCGCTCTCCTGTCTTTGTCTCGACCGAGTTGGGAAGTGGGTGCGGGGTGGGCCTCTTGTCGTTAGTACGCCAGTTCTTTTTCATTTTCTCTCTCTCTCCTTCTCTCTCTCATTCGTCTCCTGGGGGGGAGCAACCGCTTGGCTGGGGCACTTGAATCCGAAGTATCGGATTGGTGGACTTGGCCCGTTTCTCGCATCTTGCGGGCGGTTTGTGTTATCATCGTCGACTTCCATCTAGTTTTTCCGTAGGCCAATCAGGGGGAACAGGAATTGGGGGCAATATGATGAACGGTTTCTACAAAAAAAAAAAAAAGCGTGTTTGCGCAGATCGCGGACCTGTACTGGAGGGACGAAGGGAAGGGATGGGCTCTGGTTGGTCATCGACGCGGGTTCTGGCAGCACTCTAAGGAACCCGCCCTACAGCACGAGCACGTGTGGTCGCGCGTGGGTCAGTTGCTCAAGGCGAAAGCGTTGCTGCCCAAGACCGCGTTGCGACCTGCTCGGATACCTCTCAAGGAGGCTCCCCGTCCTCGGTGCTTCAACTTCTTTGGGCTCTCCCGACCTTTTACGATTCGCAAGCTTCGTCGGCTTGTGAACAAGGTGCGGTTCCCAGGGAGGGAGGACCGTGTCAAGCGTTTCCCTGATGGGACTTCTCAGAGCGATAGGAAGCGCTTCTGGAGATGGCTTCATGACCGGTTCGCGTCTGCTGTCGAGCAGGACACCCACTGGCGGCTCATGTACGACGTGACGCCGACGCGCAAGAGGCAGCATACTCAGGGTCATGCCTCTTCGCCGACGTGTCTGTTCTGCGGCAACGATGCAGCGGTCATCGAGACGGTGTCCCACTACTTTTTCGAGTGCGCGTACTCGACCAGCTTCTGGGGTGGGGTGCTACGCATTCTGCTTGACAAGCTCGGCATCGAGGATACCGACGTCGATCCGTCGACGTTCACTCCGGAGCAGCTGACTATGGGGCTCCCCCTTTTGCGGGGTCGTGGGAGAACGACCTCGAAATGGATGTGGGTTCGGCTGGCCTGCGCGATCGGCTTCCAGCGGCTGCACCTGCTCCGCTGGCGCGTTCATCAGCGGTTCGAGCTGGACAACGTCGTGGCCCCTCCCTCGCTTCCCAGTGCGCTCAGAGCGTTCGAGCGAGATTTTCTCTCTCGAGCGGGTTTTGTGCCTGGGGTTCGAGATTGGGAGGTGTGATGACCGAGTTAAGTCCTTCCTTCCCATTTTCCTCCCCTCCTTTCCTCCCTTCCTTTTCGGTCAGAAGCTGACTGTCTTGAAACTTGTTGCGCAGTGGAAGGCTGCGCACCTCTCCCTCTCTCTACTTTGTGCAGTAGCGGTTTTCGTTCTTGGATGGATCGGCAAGCCGGGTCGATCGTCGTTGCGTTGGAGGCTTTGTGAAGTTCTCCCCCCTCTTTCCCCCCCCTTTTTTTTCCCTTCCCTTCCTCTTCTCTTTCCTGTTGCTCGGTTGTTGACTACGCTTCAGCCACTTCTCCTTTTATTCCTAAGCCGTGTGTTGGATTCCGTCGAATAGATCGTTCGTTCGCGTTGGTCAAGATCTACGGCATGGATCGGGAAGAAAGGTCGCTCGTTTTTTTGGTCAATATCCTCGCGTCAAGGCGAGGCTTGTTTCGTTGTATTGGATCGTTTTCGCTCGGCCCGACGGCTCAACAGCCAGCACTCGAGACTCAGCCAAGGGAGGACATCAGGCGCTGTCGGGGTGACGAGTAGCTGGGGCTTGGCTGCGGCCTGTCAGTCCCTGGGGACCTCTAGCTCTGGCTTCGACCCCCTCCCTTGGCCCCTCGGGTGTGTTCCCCTCCCCCTCCCCTCCTCTCTGTCTTAGTATTCCTGGTTCTCCGTGTTTCCAGTCGTGAATTTTTGTTTATTCTCCCCTTTTCTTTCTCTAGGCGCTCTTGCCTGGTTTTCGAGTATCTTCGCTCCCGCTCTTGGGACGTGAAGCGGCAGCAGTACTCACCGCCCGTTGGAGTCCGCGTTAGGTGCTCGGCGGGTTTTGATCTGCGCAGCGCTCTTTGCGCGCAGGGGTTTGACTTTCACCCAATTGCTTGCCGTCGTTGCTTTATAACCTCTTTTAGCTCTTTTTGTAGCGGTCCCAGCCAACCCGAAGGATTGCAATTTATGAGCCCCAGTAAAATTTTTTTAAAAAAAAAAAAAAAAAAAAAAAAAAAAGGGGGGGGGGAAATAAGAACATCAACTTAAGAAGGGAAGAAGGATAGACGAACACATGATGTACATTGCCGTACTCTCTTGTCGTACGACGTGCGCACCGAAGTCGGGAATCCTCGGTGTAGCCAGTACACCTACGCCAGGTACACGTAGATCTGGGTTGTCTAAGCTTGAGAATCAGGCGGGCGGTCCCGATCGCAGCGGCCTCACTTCAAAGCGTTCTCAAGCTTCGGTCAGCAGTGTTGAGTGCAATGAAAAAGGTAGGCTCTGAAGATATGGATTACAAGATACAATGAGGTGAACCTCCTTCTTTTCCGCCCTTTTTGTGCTCTTTTCTTCAGACGCCCCAAACAATTCCCAACCTCTCCCAAGCCCAGCCTTAGACGTCGGGCCGCCGGCGCGGAAGTTACATCGCCATTTGGCTCGCGACCTCAACCTCAACCGACTGCCAAAACCCCCGCGACCTTCGCTCATATCCTGCAGTCCAAGCTTGAATTCACAAGCCATGTCTGGAGCCGCTCGATTAGGTCTGGCCGACATCGCACACCGTACACTCGTCACGGGCCTGGCCGGCTTGTCCGTGTGTACGTCATCCCACCCGAGAGGCGCTTCGGGAACGGGGGCCTCGATGACCCTGTCCTACTGGCTGACACGGCATCTTATTCCAACCACTTCGGGAGCTTCAGACGGTCTGTATGGGATGTACAGGATCCACACCCACACCATGCAGGCTGGGGAGAGGCGTGGAAGAAGCATTTGGACGTACGTCCTCTCGCGATCGTTGTCGGCACCGGGCTCACTCGCGGGGCCACTGCTGACTCCCAAATCTCTTGTTCTTTGCAACCTAATCACCGCGATTTGGTGTGTGGCTCCCTACTTCCGTCGCCCTGAACCTCCAGGACGAGGCCAAGGTCAAGTCGGGATCAGCGTTCGTCGCCGACGATGGGAGCCACTCGTCTGCACCGCCGGCAACGACGTCCGAGATCCCAAGGCATCGGTTTTAGCGAGGTGGGCTCTAATTAATGCCACGCCGGAGCGGAGGTATTGGGAAAGGGCACGTCATCGCGACAAGGGTGACGGGATTGGGGGAAAGGCGATCCCCCCGATGAGGGTCGAGGAGTAGTGATGTCGCAGCGAGCAAGTCGATTGCAATCATGTATCATACGCATTGCCATTTTGGGTCAGAACAGAAAGTCTCGCACGCCCATGCACAGGTATTCGAGGACCCTCATCGAGACGCAGCATCGCGATCTTGGCCTGGACAAAATAGTGCACGCGATTTGTCCCACCTATGCCCTTTTTTGGGAGGAACACAAAATCTGACGATGGAATAACGCAGTCTATGATTCTAGATCCCAACGAGCAAGGTGACACTCGCCTACCGCTCCTGCGCCGAGGGCCCGGCCCGAGTCCAGTCTTGTGCTGGCGGGACTCGGGAGCGCCGCACCGATGTCCGGACACCGTTCACTCTTGGTTCCCAAGCCCGTGCCAGAAACCATCGGCCAACGTTGTGGACAACCATGGTACATGATTCAGCCACTGTGAGCATAACAAGACCCGTGATTCGCACGCGAACCCCTTTTCTCGGCCCCTCCCTCATCCTTTTCATGCCGGTCTCGCCCAAACCACCGCCAGTATTCTTCGCCTCGGACTCTGATACCTCATCCCATTCCACCCATCTGAGGCAATTGTTCGACGACAGATTTGCTGTTCACTTCATCTCCGAGACTCGATCGATGTCATCGCCTGCGACTCACATCTTGGAGTACATGTCTCCCCGTAATTGTCCCGCAGTGCAGCAAGCTCGCTGTGTGAGTGGCCAAAAAAAGAAGGGGCACATGATTGAAAGAGGTTCTACCAAAACAAAAAAATCTACCCAGCCTCAAAACGACAGCCACTTGTGCGCGATCACCTTGGCTAGGTCGGGCTCGCCCGAGAGCATGTACAGGTTCGAGAGGTTGTATGCCGCGACGCGCGTAAAGTCGTCTTCGCCCGTCCTCGTCCTCCGCGTCATCACCATCGAGGTGCATCCGAGCCTTGCGGTCCTCGGCCGCGATCGCCAGACAGGCCTCGTAGTGTCTCACCGCATAAGATTGAAGGCCTACAATGACGAAGCACAGCGTTAGTACCGATACTTTCGCGTCTCAGAGTAGGAAAGCACTCACCTAGCAGATGAAAGACACGACCGAAGTTGTACTCGACCTCTTGACACCTCCCCTTGATCGCTCGGTACTGGCTCAAAAAGGCGAGCCCCTGAGCGATCTGGTGCTGTCGATTGTCGGTCGCACGCGTCATGGGCGCGATGGATGTAGACAATCCCGATCGTGAGGTTGATTAAGGGCTGCCTTGGCATCCGCTCGTAAGCTCGCAGCAGATACTCTGAGACAAGAGAAGCGGAGTCGGTTGTATTCAGCCTGTGAAGTCAAATGCCGACGCCAACCCTCTCATTCAACTCACGGAGAGCCGATTGATAACTCCTGGAGGTCTCTAGCATGCACGCGTAGACGTAGTTGTACCACGGGTTCGGCACGTCGTCGGTACAAAGCTCGGTAGCGACCCATGCCCACCAGCACCGACCACATCTTCATCCTCGTCATCCCCGTCCATGTCTTTGTCGACTCCCAAAGACTTAATCACGATCGTACCATTGGCACCAACGCGCACCTCGGCGCCTCGAGAGATGCGTTCGAGCATGATCAGTTGGCGCATCTGATACTTGGCCAGCCTCGTCGAGTTGAAGGCCTCGATTGCGGCGACCCCACCCGGCAAGAGGGCGTTGGAGCAAGCGCAGGGGCTCGGATTGGAATTGTCGACGGAGCGAGATGCGGCGAGCAATCATGACGACCTCGCCGTAGTTGCGGAGGTAGTTGTAGCCCGCGGCCGAGGGCAAGCCAGATGGAGAGCGAGCGCGTTTCCGAGTGTTTGAACGGACCGGCGTTCTGGCGTGTGCTTGAGGGTTTCGAGCCCGGCTTCGGCCTCGTCGTTCTTGATGAGCAAGAAGGAGTACTGTCGAAGGAACGACTCTCGTTACATTTTGGTGGGTGACGGCCTGGGAAGAGCAAGGCGACTCTTACCTTGATGATCAATTTCAGCCAGTCGTCAAAGCTGATGCCTCGGAACGAGTCGATCGCCAGGTTGTCATCGTCGTTACGACTGCGGGGACCACCAAAAGAGAGGGTCAGTGGCCGCAAGGCTCACACAAGAAAGAGCAAGAACCGACCCAGGTTCTCTCCAACCGCGAAGCCATCTCGTCGGCCTGCTTCTCAATGTCCATCTCATTCCCACCCTTCCTCTTCCACTGCCTGCGCATCGCCCCCATGAAGCGTTTCCTCCCATCGCTCGGGAACAACGACTTGGTCTCGCGGAACGCATCGACAAGGAACGTCGCAACCTCGAGCCACTCGGTGATCGCCTCCGCATCCTCGGCTTCGACGTCGTCGTCGAGCTTGCGCAAAGTCTCGACCGCGAGGGTGAACTCTTGGTGGCGTTGCCGTTCGACCGTGGCGGCGTTCTGGCGTCGAGCGGCGCGTTCGCCGGGGTCACGTGCGGGCGAATGGTCGAAGATCGGGCCTGCGTGGCGCCGCGGCGAGCACGCGGGTGCTCGGCACTCGAGCCAATTCGCTCAGCTGGCCGGCGTCACGCAATTGTCGGCGCACTTCGACGACTGCAAAGACACGTAGGGAAATAATCAGCACTGGTGTTGTTGAGCTGGCATGTGGCCGGGCCGGTCACTCACTCTCGTGAATGAGCTCCAGGGCTTTGCCGGGTTTGTCGAGCTGCTCCCAAGTTCGAGCGAGCTGCATCTTGACCGTCAAGTTTTCGGGTTGCTCCTCCATAACTGCGACGCATATTCACCATCAGCATTAGAGTCTTCATTTGTTCATATCAGTTTCGGGAGCGACCGACCAGCCTGGAAGCATTCGAGTGCATCTTCGAAATCACGGGTTTCAAAGTGGCAAGCGCCGACTTTGGCCCACACGGCCGGTCCGTTGGTCTGTCAACGATCCTGGTCAATAGTCAATTCCAGCGAAATCATCACACGCTGGATAGACTCACAATCTCATCCTCTGCCATTTCCTGAAAGATCTCGAGCGCGTCCTCAAACATGTCGCGCTCAAAGTAGGCGTCCCCGATGGCACCCCACAACTCGGGAAAATCGGCCACATCCTCCTGCAGGACGATCGCAAAATGTCGCTGTATCCTCGTCGACCCATGCCACCAGTATTCAGCATCGAACCACCTTCTGTGAGAAGATCCATGAAAGCCGGCAACTCACTTTGGCCTCCTCGACCCTCCCCTCCCAATCCTCGCAAC